CAATAAAGCGAGATGAGTGCCGCAACCCCAGAGTCATCTGCGACTGGACCTAATGGTCGGGGTCCCTTTACCTTATATGTTGGAAGCTGCCAAGAGGGTCTTGGGCAACCCAGTCAGATGGGTGGGGTACATCAGCACCCCCTTGCCTCTTAGCAACACCCCCCAGGTCATCCCAGCACACCGCAGGGACCAGCAGCACCCACTTTAAGAACCACTGGACAATATCAAGGCTCAAATCTGCACAGCAGCAGTTTAATTCCCCTGGACTTGGATTCTATTCTGACCACTGCTTAGTCAGCCTGGGTTAAAAACCAATGAGGCACTTGTGTATTATTAGTTTGCTTTTGCTTGTATTCTATGTCTCGTCGTTGATGTCATTCTATAAATGCATTTTCTCCAAAGAACACTTACGTCTTGAATGTCCTTGCCTCTCCCCCTACATACTGACCTATTTTAATTTTACACATTTCACTTGCTTCCTCAGAGAGCAGGTTTATGCTTGCAGCCTGCTGAGCCTCATGACAGCACAGGGAAGGAGGGGGCAAATGCTTCCCATTTTACTGACTGGGACACTGAGGCTAAGCGAAGGCATATACCCACAGGGGTTGATGCTGGGGCTGAAATCACACTCCTAAGTCTTGTTTCCCTGAAGTCTTTTGTCATCAAGATTCTGCTGGAGCTTTCCTAGAGAGAAAAATTGAAAATGAGAAAGAAATCACACCTCAAACGCAAAGAGGAATATTCACTCAGCAGAAAAGGTTCTCCACCACAGCTGAGCAAAGGAACATTGGAGCAACCCTAACAAGCCATTGTAGGCAGTCCAATCCTGCGCCTATTTACTTGGAGGTAAGTCCCACTGTGTTAAACGGAGATTACTCCCAGGAAAGCGATTACAGTAATTGGGCACAGCAATTCTAAGCTGGCAAAAGCAAGCCTCCCTCTTGTGTAAATTAAACTGCTTCCTGACTCCTCCTGGCCATGGGGTGGCTAGACTGGGTGTAAGCCATAAATCTTCATTTTCTGCCTTTCCATTGAATTTAGTTACGCCTGCATGTTGTTTTTCTTTGGGGTAAGTTTCACCAGGCTATGTGGGCTGGACCAATGAATTAACGGAGTTAGGATAACGTTGGTTATCTCCTTCTGCACCCTTGACATTCCCCACCTCCATTTGCCCTTTTTACTGATTTTATTTGTTAAAAATATATGGTATGCCGCCGCGTCATTCAAAATAATCAAAGCAGTTTAGGGCGATAAAAGCATAAAGCTGTACAACAAAGCCATTAAAAAATTAAAAACACATGTCAATTAACCAGTGTGGAAGGATGTGTTTTTAATTGCTTGTATAGTTTACACCAGTGTAACTTCCACTGGGGGGGGGGGGACGCGGGTGGTGCTGTGGGTTAAGCCTAGAACTTACCGATAAGAAGGTCGGCGGTTTGAATCCCCGCGACGGGGTGAGCTTCCGTTGCTCGGTCCCTGCTCCTGCCAACCTAGCAGTTCGAAAGCATGTCAAAGTGCAAGTAGATAAATAGGTACAGCTCTGGCGGGAAGGTAAATGGCGTTTCCGTGCGCTGCTCTGGTTCGCCAGAAGCGGCTTAGTCATGCTGGCCACATGACCCGGAAGCTATACGCTGGCTCCCTCGGCCAATAAAGCGAGATGAGTGCTGCAACCCCAGAGTCAGTCACGACTGGACCTAATGGTCAGGGGTACCTTTACCTTTACCTATAGTTTACATCAGCGTAACTTCTGCTAGCTTAATTCAGACATGCACGGCTCTCCCACAGCCAGTTTAAGCAGATACGCTGGTTTAAGACCAGCTCAGGGTGGGGAGATGAGCCACAGCCTAACCTCTTCCAGCAGCCATATCTGTGGCTTAGGAATTCACCTTAAAAACCAATAAAGCTCTGGCCCCCCTTATCTCTCACAATGCCAATACAAATATATACAATTAAATGTTGCTGACACAAACCCTACACTAACACTATGCAATAGAACAAAAGAATATTAACCCCCTCCGTCTCTCTCCACCCCCCTTTATCTTCCTGCTTTCTCTTCCCCAAACTGCATGATATCTATGACAACAGCGTCTGTGAATGGTGAAAAAGACTATATGAATAAAAAATGGAGACGCAGTGTGTAATTTTCCTTGTTTATTTGTTTGCTTCTTATCGTAATAAAATATTTAATTAAAAATCAGCCTTTTAAAGGGCCCAGGAGGCAACATTCGAGGGGAAACCTAATACTTCCTATGACAGAAGCCAAGAGGCAGCACAGAGGCAAACTAAGAGTAACTTTTTTTGTTACACTGTCCCAAAATAAAGAAGTGCTTTCAAGATCTGTCCCCGGCTGACCTGGCGTCTTATTACATTGAGAGCCGCAGCTTTGCAGCAGAAAGCAAAGCAGCAGAACACCTTATTTTTAGTTAATGGTTATACAAGGAAATGGGGCTGTTGGACTTTTACCTTGCCTTGATAACAAAAAAGGAGATTAGAATGCACATTGATTGTGAAGGGGGGTTGGAGAGAGGGAAGAAATCAGAAATCAAAAAGAGGATGAAAATGGAAGAATCTGCTTTGGGGCAAGGGGGAGTTTGTTTGGCCCAGAAAGAGAGAGAGAGAGAGAAGAAATTGCAGGTCACAAAGCTGCCAAGTGAGAGACCTTTATCCAGTTCCTGGATGAAGATATGATTCTGTCTCATCAGAAGTGGCTGAATCTTATCTTCAGGTGCAAATAGTGGTACAAACAAGCAGACATACCCTCTGTATGTTTACTCGGAAGCCAAGCCTCACTCAGGACTTGCTCCCAAGTAAGCAACAGCTACAGAATTGGATGCACAGATTGTTCAGGACTGGTGCAAAAGAAAGAGTTAAACTGTCTGCAACTGCAGATCACCCACTTACTTTCGAGGAATCACAGGTGCAAATCAGTTAGGAGGTATCTGCATCATGTATATGCTTCTAGATAAAGATGGACATAGCAAGCAAGCAAGCCCAAAAGGATAAAGCCAATGCACACCTATATGAGTGTCAGTCGATCCTCATTTATTTTTGTGTGCTTATATTGCAAACCGCCCTGTGATCCTCGGATGAAGGGTAGTATAAAAATTTAATAAATAATAACAAATAGGCGGATATACGTGTTAAATACTGTATACAGAATACATATATAATACATGCATACACATGAATGCAATGTGGCTATACACACAAATGCAAATGTAAGACAGCAAGTGACTATCAAGCACACACAATCAGGGCCAAAAATGTTCTACAAAATGCAAAGACCTGCATGGTTCGTGCTTGCTAAAAGATGCAGAGATGGCAGCTAATATGGCAACAACAACAACAACAATAAAAATAATAAAGAGTGCAAGTAATAAAGAAACACACCCGCCCCTCCAGCCTAGGCAAACAGGCTGTAAATATGTTCAGAGCCTCTGGAACTAACGGCGTAGCTATTGCAAACCAGGGTCAGGAGCAAAACTGATCTGAAGGCAATGCATCTGTGATGCAGAGCCTGCCCTTCACTTTCGCAAGTTGCAACACAGTACATGACAAGGTCCTGCGTTTGCAGAGGCGTCAGAAAGTGAAAGAGCTGAGCGCGGCGGCAGCGGCCCACCCCTCTTGCTGCGCTTCTTGGAAACCTTGTTGTTGTTGTTTAGTCGTGTCCGCCTCTTCGTGACCCCCTGGACCAGAGCACGCCAGGCACTCCCGTCTTCCACTGCCTCCCACAGTTTGGTCAAACTCATGTTAGTAGCTTTGAGAACACTGTCCCACCATCTCGTCCTCCGCCGTCCCCTTCTCCTTGCATCCTCCATCTTTCCCAACATCAGGGTCTTTTCCAGGGAGTCTTCTCTTCTCATGAGGTGGCCAAAGTCTTGGAGCCTCAGCTTCAGGATCTGTCCTTCCAGGGAGCACTCAGGACTGATTTCCTTAAGAATGGGGAGGTTTGATCTTCTTGCAGTCCATGGGACTCTCCAGAGTCTCCTCCAGCAGCATAGTTCAAAAGCATCCATTCTTGGGTGATCAGCCTTCTTTATGGTCCAGCTCTCACTTCCATACATCACTACTGGGAAAACCATAGCTTTAACTATACGGACCTTTGTTGGCAAGGTGATGTCTCTGCTTTTTAAGATGCTGTCTAGGTTTGTCATTGTTTTTCTCCCAAGAAGCAGGCGTCTTTTAATTTCGTGGCTGCTGTCACCATCTGCAGTGATCATGGAGCCCAAGAAAGTAAAATCTCTCACTGCCTCCATTTCTTCCCCTTCTATTTGCCAGGAGGTGATGGGACCAGTGGCCACGATCTTCATTTTTTTGATGTTGAGCTTCAGACCATATTTTGCGCTCTCCTCTTTCACCCTCATTAACAGGTTCTTTAATTCCTCCTCACTTTCTGCCTTCAAGGTTGTGTCATATGCATATCTGAGGTTGTTGATATTTCTTCCGGCAATCTTAATTCCGGTTTGGGATTCTTCCAGCCCAGCCTTTCGCATGATGAATTCTGCATATAAGTGAAATAAGCTGGGAGACAATATACAGCCCCGCAGCCCGGTCTACTCGGAAGCAAATCCCGCCGATTTGCAGCGGAGGCTTTCCCCTCCAGCCGTGCAAAAATACTCCCCGCGGTGCAAAACTTGCGCAGGACCTCGAGCGCGCGGCCGATCGCAGCTGATCACCCAAGCAATTTAATCGCCTCGCCATCCCAGCGCTGGATTCCTCTCTCCTGGCGTTGCCTCGCATCCTTCATCCCACTCCGGCCCCCACGTGGCCGCGGAGCACCTGAGCGGGACCCGGCCGTCCAATGGGAGCGCGGGGCGTGGGCGTGGCCGCGGGGCGTGGGCGTGCCTCTCCCCCCGAACGCCCCGCCCCCTGCCTTATCATCTCTCTCTATATATAAAAGGGGAGGGGGGTGGTCAGCGCGGCCGGTAGGCAGGTGCGAGGTGCTGATTGGCCGGAGGGCGCGCGGGCGTGCGAGCGAGCGGCGGCCGTTGCTGATTGGGCGTTGGGCGAGGGGCGAGGGTGTGTCGGCGGGCGCGAGGCGGGCAGCGGCAGAGGCAGGCGGGCGGGCGCGCGGTGAGGAGGAGGAGGGGGCGCTTCGGCGGCGGCCGCGGCGGCACCAACGGACGGGCAGGCGGACACCCAACAGGTGGAGGAGAAGGCGGCGGAGAGGCGGACGCAGCCGGCGGGGATGCTGAGCGAAGCTGTGGAGAGCGGAGGAGGAGGAGGCGGCGGCGGAGGAGCCGTTACCGGCCCCGGGGAGAGCCCCGCGGGGGAGCCCGCGGCCGGCGTGGCCAAGCCCGCCCCGCCCGCGGCAGCCTTACCGGCGGCCCCCGCGGCGCGGAGCCAGGCGGCCAAGCGCGTCTTAGGTGAGGGGGCTGAGTGAGGAGGGCAGGGGCGGAGAGACCCTCTGAGGGAACCGTTTGCCCCGCGAGCACCTGAGGGAGGGGGAGGGGCCTGAGGGTGGGCGGGGCCAGCGCCGAGCTCTGGAGCGGGGGGAGGGGCGCGGGGGGCGGGGCGTCATGGATACTGGGGGGGGGGGGGAGCAGGTCCCCAAAAAAGTTGGGGCGAAAAAAGGCTTGGCAAAGTTTGTGGCAGGAGCAGGTTTTTATATTAAAAAAGTATTTGGTCAGGCTCTGAGGTGTGGGGCAGGGGTGTGGCTTAAGAGGTTGGGGGCGGGGCTAGTGGAGCAGGTGCCCAAGGTTTTTTTTGGGGGGGTGGGACCCCACTAAATTGGCAAAGTTTGTAGCAGGAGAGCCTTAGAGAAAAGTGTTTTAGAGAAACTCAGGATCTGAAGTGTGAGGCAGGGGTGTGGCTTAAGAGATTGGGGGCGGGGCTAGTGAGGCAGGTGCCCAAGGGTTTTTTCTGGGGGGGGGGGATCCCATTAACTTTGCAAAGTTTGTAGGAACACTTTTTTAATGAAAAAAGTGCTTTAGAGAAGCTGGACTCTCAGGTGTGGGGCAGGGGGTGTGGCTTAAGAGGTTGGGGGCGGGGCTAGTGAGGCAGGTGCCCAAGGGTTTTTTTCTGGGGGGCGGACCCCACTAACTTGGCAAAGTTTGTAGCAGGAGAGCTTTAGAGAAACTCATGCTCTGAAGTGTGGGGCAGGGGTGTGGCTTAAGAGGCTAGGGGTGGGGCAGGTGCCCACGGGTTTTTTCTGGGGGGGGGATCCCATTAACTTCGCAAAGTTTGTAGGAACACTTTTTTAATGAAAAAAGTGCTTTAGAGAAGCTGGACTCTCAGGTGTGGGGCAGGGGGGGTGGCTAAAGAGGTTGTGGGCGGTGTCACTTGGACAGAGGCGGGACTATGAGGCAGGGAGGTTGAAGGCTGGTCCCCAAAAAGATTGTGGCGAAAAAACACTTGGCAAAGTTTGTGGCAGGAGCAGTTTTTTATATTAAAAAAGTGCTTATTCGGTCAGGATTTGATGTGTGGGACAGGGGTGTGGCTTAAGAGATTGGGGGCGGGGCTAGTGGGGCAGGTGCCCAAGCTTTTTTTGGGGGGGGGACCCCACTAACTTGGCGAAGTTTCTAGGAACACTTTTTTTAATGAAAAAAGTGCTTTAGAGAAGCTGGACTCTCAGGTGTGGGGTAAGTGGTGTGGCTTGAGGGATTGTGGGCGGGGTCACTTGGGCAGAGGCGGGCCTGGGAGGTGGGAGCCACGTCCCCAAAACGTTATAGCTTTTTGGGGGAGCAGGGAAAGCAACTTGACAAAGTTTGCATTAGGAGCACTTTTTAAAATGAAAAGAGCTATATAGGTCAGGCTTGAGGTAAGGGGCAGTGCTGTGGCAAAAACCACTAACTGCCCTAAATTTGTGATAGCAGCACTTTTTTTACTAAAAAAAAGCGAAGACTAAATTATAGCAGACCAGGCTTTCGAGGTCCTGGGAACAGAGAACATCTTAAGGGTCTGTGAGCAGAGTCATTTGGGTGCGGAGAAGGGCTAGGCAATGGGGGCCACCCCACCCCCCAGGGGTTGTGGCTCATTTGACAAAAACACTAAGTTGGCTAAGTTTACTTTGGGAGCCTTTAAAACAAACTTTGAGGTGTGGAGCAGGGGGGTAACTTAAGGGCTTGTGGGCGGGGCAGGAGGGCAAGACACCAGAGAGGGTGGGGGCCATTCCCCCAAGGGATTGGGGCTTAATTGGCTAGATCCTTAATTGGCTAACTTTGTTGCTCTAGTTCAGCGGTTCCCAAACTTACAATAATAGTGCACCCCTTTTGAGAGTTTTAGTCTTACCAGCATACTATTTCTTGGGCAGAAATAATTTGGGAAAAGTTTTAATTAATACCACTTTCCATGTACCCATGGGCGTAGCCAGGCTTTGTGGGTGGGTGGGGGCGGAACTATCTGTGACACGATTGGTCAGCTAAGCGTTTTTTCCTCTTGCTTGGGGTGGGCAACTGCCCCCCTGCGCCCGCTCCCCATTATGCCCATGCGTGTGCCTGGTTCCTTTAAGAGGGAAAGGACCTCACCACACATGCCACCTTGAGCTCATTGAAAGTGGGATGTAAATGCAAGAGTTAATTAATTTTAATTAGAAGATATTAGGGTTTGAATCTGGGACCGGTGTGCAATGCATGTTGCCCATTGGTGAAGCTATGGCTCCTCCCTTGCTTTGACCCTTTTGGCTTGGAAATAGTTTAAACTCTGCCACCTCTCTCACATCCCCCAATCATAAAGAGATGCCTGAATGGTGTGCTGTAGCCTTTTTCAGGATAAGCACTTATGTAGGTAGGATGCTCAGAAGTGTTCCTGGTTTGGGGCTGGTGAGGGGGCGTGTCTAGGGTTCCATGGGAGAAATGGATATGGGGCTGTTTGCTTCAGAGTAAAGGTGTTGTTTTTGCTTAAATTACCTGGCCTTATAGAGAGCTAAAACCCCCCATTAGTTTACTTTTATTGTTAAATCTCCGGGTGTCATACATGTTTCTTCCCCTCCTCATTTAATCCTCACAACAAGCCTGTGAGGTAGGTTAGGTTGAGAGGCAGTGTCTGAACCAAGGTTACCCAATGAGCTTCATAGCTGGGGATTTCGAACCCTGGTTTCCCAGGTACTGGTTTGACATTCTAACCACTATGCCACATGGCTAGACCTCTGGCAGTTGAAACTGATGCAAATGAAGTTGGAGCCATGAGAATTCTGCCTCCTGAAAGTCTATTGAGGGACTTGACCACCAACTTAAAAGTGTGTACTGCTTCTTTAAAGCCTAGAGAAGCTGGGGCTGTATATTGCCAAGCTAGGTGTCTACTAGATTCTGTTTTAAAACATTTCTATGCCGCCCTCTTTAAACTCACAACCCCGCCCCAAGGTCATACAACAAAGAAGTATGTAATAACTGCGTAGTTGTAGAGGGTTGAAATAAAAATTAGCTAGCCTTAGGGGCAAATCTTAGCTTGTTTTGGAACTCCTGACCTGAACCCAGACTCTTAATGCGTGCAGAGTAGTACTGGGGTATGGAAGTGGCTTGGAGGTGTGCTTAGAAGGGAAAGATGTTTCACCAGGTGGGTAGAAGTGTATCTGCCACTCAACATGTGAATTTTCTTTCTTTCTTGCCAACGACTTGCAGCCACCCAGGTACAGGGCACTGTGAAATGGTTCAACGTCCGCAATGGCTATGGATTTATAAACAGGTGAGCCTCCCTTGTTTACCTCCCCAAAGGCTCGGAAGATGCATGAAACTCTGGGGCCTTTTATTTTACATGCTTATGAATTTTTAAATTTGATTTACGTTCCATCCTTCCCCCCTAAGAAGGAACAGGCTTGGTTGCAACGGGCTCTTCATCTCGGGAGGTCAGAAGCAGCTGGAGTTCTGTCAACTCCTGATCAACAAAATACAAAACTTTGAGTTTTACAACCACACTTTTAAGGAAGACAACTCTACTGTAGTTGAATCTATTGAAATGTATTGACTTAAATAATAAATGGACAATGATTACATAAAAAAGAACCCTGCTGGATCAGACCAGTGGCCCATCTGGTCCAGCATCCCATTCTTCTAGATGCCTATCGGAAGGCTGCAAGCAGGACCTGAGTACAGTAGCATTCAAGAAAGTCCCCTTCAGTAGATTCCCACTACGATGGCTGATGGCAAAAAAGGGAAATGTAAAGGAGGCCAGGCTTGACTAGTAGCAGGGCCGTCTTATCCATAGGTGCTAGGGGTGCGGGGCGCCGGGCTCTCAAGGGCGCCAGGCTGAGAGTCTGGGTCCTGAGAGTTGAGTCCGGGGAAGAGCCCGCCCATCGGTCGGAGTGCCGTGACGGGCTCTTCTGCTGCAGGCGGCTCTGTACTGCAAGTTCGGGGGTGACCAAGCCAGTGAGACGCTGAGGCGGCCGGCCAGCTCTGCCCTCCTGTGCGCCTGGGACTGGGAACCGGGGCGGGGGGGGCGCCGGGCGGCTCTTTGCACCTCGGCGCCACATATGCTTAAGACAGCCTTGACTAGTAGCTATATCTTCAGTTCGTTTTGCATGTTGGCTGTGAATTAGCAATGAAGAGAACTGCACTTCAATGAAATGAACTTTCTCTTAGGTGAACTGAGCCTGAAATTAAGCCTAGCGCCACAAAACAGAGCTGCTTCTCAGTTCCTTAATTTCTCTTAGAGAGCCTCTGAGTCACAGGAGCAAAGACTAATCCAGAAATTGCCAGCTGGTCTGCTCTTTTGCAGAAAAATTCTTGTGCCCCACCCAAGATAACTCTAGTGAAAGACTTGAGCATACCTGAGCAAGATTTCCAGTACATCTTTGTAGAACTAATGTACTGAAACACAAGAACTTCTTAACAGGTCTATATGTGCATGCTCGGAAGAAGCTTCCTTGGACCTTTGTGCATTTGACTGAATCCCCTTACAAATAGAATACTGTTTGCTCGTGTGTGATTTTAGAAATCTGGGCTGCTTGGTTGGACTACTAATCTGTTAGACGCCAGTGTGTGGCTTGGCTAATACAAACAGGTGATTAAGCCAACAAGCAGAGCTGTGACACTCCCAGCTAGCCAGCCAAGGACTTGGGATGTTTATCCATGCTGTATGTTGGTACTATGATGCCCTCTTTGGGTGGCTGTATGTAAATGGAATTGGCTATGCTAGCAGAAAGCCACTGTTCATACTAATAGCATGGATTTCTGGTGAAGGTGATAGAGCAGAGAGCTAGAAGCTTTCAGATGGGGTGTGTGTGTGTGTGTGTGTGTGTGTGTGTGTGTGTGTATGTACAGCAGTGCTTAAATGAGACCTGTTGTCAGACTGGGAATTTCTATATTCTGAATTTCAAACTTCTCATAATATACAGTAGAAACTTAGATAGCTATCACATGCATCATCACTTGATCAGTTATGGAAGCATAATAAGGAAGTGTGCATGCACACGAAAGCTCATACCAATAACAAACTTAGTTGGTCTCTAAGGTGCTACTGGAAGGATTTTTTTGTTTTGTTTCAACTACGGCAGACCAACACTTACCTGTAACTGATCAGTTATAGTTCTCCTTTTATGCTTGTGGAAAACAATGCCTGTGACTCATTTCTCTCAGCTTCCTCAGACTAGGTTAGCTGGGTGCCTGTCCCAGTTGAAGAGGTACCAAGTGGGTATGGTGGTAGTGACCGTGACCATAGGCTGGTATAGGAGTAGACACGTTAAAGTTGTGTTGTGGGCGCTGGGCACGTTACTCAAATTGCAGCAGGGTCAGGTGGGGTATTACCCCCCACAAGCCTTTTGTTACTTCCCTGCCTCCAAGCTGTGGAAGATGGGATCTGGCTAAAATTGGGAGAGGATTGTAGAACTCATACCTCCCCACTCCCTAATTTGGGCCCTCATTTGGCATACACGAAATCCAGAACTCTCACCCTCCGCATATTCTGAGCTTTGTCTCCCTCTCCTTCCCTCAATACAGGAATGATACCAAGGAGGATGTGTTTGTGCACCAGGTAAGAAACGCACTAAAGTTCATTCTCTTTGCCCTCTTCTCTGTTATGCTGTAGGCTTGTGTCTTAATCACAAGCTCATTCTATGTGGTAAATAAGTTGGCAAACAGAAATCTGAATTACGGTGCTCTGCTGGATTTCCTAGAGGAAATTTCCTAGATGTGGAAATCATTGTTTGAATTAACGAGAGACCCCCTAAATCCTTCTCTTTAGATGATCAGATGTCCATTAGATAGGCACTAAGCTTTAAGGATGCAAAGCTTGTATTACTGAACTGGATGGGTAACTTATTAAACAAATGTGCAACTCTTTTGTAGATTAGGAGCTACCTCTTTTAAGGTAGGTTAGCATTGCCATCCAGATAAAGCTTTAGAATAACTTCAGTTGCTACAAGTTATTATTCCTGTAAACCACAAGCAACATGGTTCTTCTTGGACTACTCTGTCTATCTACATGGTTTGGAGAATGTTCTATTCTTAAAACTTGCATCAGTAGCCAAATAAGCCTGCATTCCTAATTGCTGGTCATTATAAAAGAACATTAAAAAGAGCTATCTCCAATTGTTTGAGAGTTTGTTAATTCAGTTAGCGTATAGTTCTTGTGCATTATCTGTAAAGGTTTGATGGGAATAAGGTATTTGCTTTCTTCCCCACTCCTCAAGGAAGAGCGATTCTGCGTCCCAGAAACTTGGTGCAGCCAAAATGGTTTGTTGTTGGTGCTTACAAAAGGGTTTAACTTGGGAATTGGTAGAAACTTGAGAATGTAGCATGAGTTACATCGCCTTCCCGAAAAGTTCATGTTGTCTTCTTTGCACTTTACTAGACAGCAATTAAGAGGAACAACCCCCGTAAATTCCTCCGAAGTGTGGGAGACGGGGAAACGGTGGAGTTTGATGTTGTGGAAGGAGAGAAGGTAAGAGGACTGTGGCGCTAGCCTTCCAGCCGTTGAAGACTGCGATGGAAGAGTCTCTCCCCACTCCTTTTGTTCCTTGTTTTCTTTTGCAGGGGGCTGAGGCGGCCAATGTGACTGGCCCAGGCGGTGTTCCTGTGAAGGGCAGCCGCTATGCTCCCAACCGCCGCCGCTTCCGCAGGTTCATCCCCAGGCCCCGGCAGGCCCAACAGCCACAGGATGCCACCCGAACAGAAGGGGCCGCAGAGACGGTCAGCGAGGGGGAGAGGGCTGATGATGCTATACAGCAGCGCCCCCGAAGGAGGCGCCCCCCACCATTTTTCTTCCGCCGGAGATTTGTGCGGGGGCCTAGGGCTCAAGCCCAGCAGCAGCAGGCCCAGCCAGCAGAAGTGAGTCCTCTGTGGGGCTGGAATTCGCTAGAGAACCTGCTGAGAGGTGGGAGAAGCAGAGTATCTAGTCTTTTTCCAGCCATTGTGGGAGTAACACTTTGCGATCTCTCACTCACACACAGAACACAGCCCTACACATAAGTGAATTTGTACAGAACTTCATTGTGGCAAATGGCCTTCACCACTGAGCCATGATCTTCTTTGGCGATCACTTGTAGCTGAGTAAGATGGGCTTCCCTGAACACACTCTTAACAGTGGCTGTGGAGGCCAGTTCTGGATCCACACGTCCTTCCACAGTTGGGATATAGGTTTCCGGTGGGAGTTGATCACGGTGAGGGTTTGCCAAGCGTGCCTTCCTCTTAGCACATTTCTCCCTTTCATCCTGAATTTGAGTGTCTTCAAAGCCCATGACACCTTTTGTAAAGGTTGTTCTCCAATTGGAGCGCTCACTGGCTAGTGTTTCCCAGTTGTCAGTGTTCATAATAATAATAATAATAATAAAGATTTGGCTTGAGAGTCTTTGAACCTCTTTTGTTGACCACCAGCATTACGCTTTCCATTTTTAAGTTTAGAATAGAGTAGTTGCTTTGGAAGACGATAATCAGACATCTGAACATGACCAGTCCAGTAAAGTTGATGTTGAAGTATCATTGCTTCGACACTGGTGGTCTTTGCTTCTTCCAGTACCCTGGCATTAGTTCACCTGCCATCCTTTGCTGTAGGTGTATTGTACCAATGGTTCTAAGTGGCTCTTCTGGCCTTGGGGTAAGAGCAGTTTGGGATAATACCCTGAGGAACTGAAGGCATTGTGATATTTCTCCCTCAGGGCAGTGAAAGCACAGAACCCAAAGATGCCACCCAGCCTGAGGGAGACCAGCAACAGCAGATCCAGGCTGGTGAGAGAGCCCCAGCCCCTCGCTTCCGTCCCAGATACCGCAGGTAAAGCTGCAGGCAGCACCGTCATGTCTGTGACTTCAACCAGTAAGACCAAGGGTGGTATTTCAGTTACAAACCATCTTTCCCTTCACAACATCCCTTCTGGGGACCTATATCCACATGATCAAAGCAAAGAGTAGGGTTATTTAGGCAGGTGTCCCCTTCGTATGCTGTTCACATGCTTGATGTACAAGAGAACTTTCCCTACTCTTTAAGGAACAGCGTAGTGTTTAAAGGAATAAGGGAAGTACAGTCGTACCTTGGAAGTCAAACGGAATCCATTCTGGAAGTCCGTTGCAAAATGTTCGGAAACCAAAGCGGAGCTTCTGATTGGCTACAGGAAGCTCCTGTAGCCAATCGGAAGCCCCATCGGATGTTCGGCTTCCAAAAATAGTTTGCAAACCAGAACAGTTTGCGGCCTTCGGGAGCCAAAACGTTTCAGAACTAAGCTTCTTTGAAAACCAAGGTACGACTGTATATGGCAGCTCCTCTGCTTTTCCAGGATAGAAACGACAGCTCTCTGCAAGGTGCATTTTTGAAAGGGATGAGAAAGGGTCTACTCTGCTAATATCTCATAAACAGTTTCAAGAGGAGATGCATATTCTGCTTTGAAATCTGCAGCCTCTTCCAATTGCTTTTCTCCCCCACCTCCCATTTGAGGAGCTACTGTTTACAAGGAGTTTGCTATTTAAGTTCTTAATCCGTGTTGCTAAATAACCTCCTGCTTCCTTTCAGTCATTAAGTCTTTAACGTTTTCATTATATTCTTTATATCCTGCCCTTTGTCCCAGAAGGCTAACCACTTAAAACAATACGTTAATTATAAAAAACTTTTAAACCACAAACTGATCTTCATCAGCTGCCAAGGAGTGTGGTGGAGTCTCCTTCTTTGGAGGTCTTTAAGCAGAGGCTTGACAACCATATGTCAGGAGTGCTCTGATGGTGTTTCCTGCTTGGCAGGGGGTTGGACTCGATGGCCCTTGTGGTCTCTTCCAACTCTATGATTCTATGAATAAAAGCAGCAGCAGGTAATACAGCCCTGAGACCAACCATACTCCAAAGACCTGAACGCACAGGTGAGTTTTCAAATTATGCCTGAACATAGCCAGGGTGAGGGGCGACCTGATTTCATCTGGGAGGAGGCAGTGGCTCCATAAGCAGAGTGTGACTATCCTTTGCTTTTCCAGACCTTTCCGCCCCCGCCCACCACAGCAGCCCACCACTGAGGGAGGAGATGGCGAGACAAAGGCGGCACAAGCCCCAGCGGACGGCATCCGTCCTGAGCCCCAGCGCCAGCGCAACCGACCTTACTTCCAGCGCAGGCGCCAGCAAACAGCTGCCGCCCGCCAGACTGCAACTGAGGTGAGATCCAGGGACTACTGATTGATCCTACTGATGGATAGGATGGGATCTCTGGCCATCAATACCAGCCTCTGTTCTTCCGTCTCAGTCACTTTGGAAGCTCTAGAACATGGCCTTGTTTAGTGCATTTGTTAAAAGTTCAATGGCTGAGATAGACGGGAAGCCTTATCTATTTATTTTTGTATTTCTTTGCTACCTTTTTTGTTTGTTTCAGAGAGTTAGCAACTCCCAAAGCAGCTCACATCAGTTAAAAATAAAGGCATCCCCTGGTGAAACATAATCTAAAGAGATTTTACTTTTTGTGTTTTTTGCTTTTTGGAATAATAAAATATGTTTAAATTTAAAAAATAATAATCTAAAGAGAGTGGGTTCTTTATCTTAACCCAAGTGTTCATCAAATGCTCTGAGCAGGAGGAACCTTGCTCACCAAAGCTCTCCAGATAATTCTGCAACCATTGGCTTAAAAGATGTACAAAGCAATATGTTCTGTACACTGTAAACATGGGTTAAACTTCTTAAGGCAGTGGGGTTTGAAACTGGCTAATTATAGTCTTCTCTCCTAAATGGAAGTAGAAGTAATTTGAAAAGAGGTAAAATATAGCCAGTGCTTACTTACAAATTTATTTGACCCAACTGTGGGATATTACAAAGCAGGGAGGCAAAACGAATCTCCTTCACTTCCAACTCCCTCTCTTTCTCCTTTTTTACTGGGGTGGGGAGGTGCCCCTGTCGTCTGCTTTATTTATACCCATGGCTCCTATGCTCAACCCTCGCAAGAAATGTAAACAATGCAAACAGGGTTCTGCTAAAGAAAGAAAACTCTCTTGGCTCCCAGTACGTTTCTGAGCACAATTAAAAGTGTTGGTGTTGACCTTTAAAGCCCTAAACGGCCTCGGCCCAGCAGACCTGAAAGAGCGTCTCCACCCCCATCGTTCGGCCCAGACGCTGAGGTCCAGCGCCAAGGGCCTTCTGGCGGTTCCCTCATTGCGAGAGGCAAAGCTACAGGGAACCAGACAGAGGGCCTTCTCGGTAGTGGCACCCGCCCTGTGGAATGCCCTCCCATCAGATGTCAAAGCGATAAACAACTACCTGACATTCGGAAGACATCTTAAGGCAGCCCTGTTCAGGGAAGTTTTTAATGTGTGACATTTTAGTGTATTTTGGTCTCTTGGAAGCCACCCAGAGTGGCTGGGGAAACCCAGCCAGATGGGCGGGGTACAAATAATCAATTATTATTATTATTATTATTATTATTATTATTATTATTATTATCATTATCTCTGCCTTGCTGACATGGCATAGCTGCCTTGTTCTTTCTCAGTATCCAAATCTCCCACTCACTGTTCAGAAGGGCTGTGCGATGGGCAAGCTTTTGTGCCTTACTTTGACATAGGTGAGGGGCATCCGTAAACTGAGCTAGGTTTCTGTAGATCTTGAGGAACTGCACACTCTGCATGCACATTCAACTACCGAACATAAAAATGGCCTGCGTGTCAATGCCAATCTCTATTCAGAAACCTAACCCCGCTTTTTTTCCTGCCTAAGGCTACCACAGCTACCAAAGAGCAGCCTGCTCCGAGCTCTGCTGCTGCTGGTGGAGACACCCCTGCCACTAGCACACCTGCGATGGCTCAAGAAGCAGTGGTGGAAGCCAGCAAGCCTGCTTCCCCAGCCCAGGAGAGTCCCTCCCAGCCGCTGCCGGAGATCCAGCAACAGCTTGTGGATGTAAGTAGATGCTGGCAGTGAAAGGCCCTTAGTTCCCTTAGAGTCCTCCGTTCCCAGGACAAATTCACAGAAGCAAGCAAGCCCTGTTCTAACCAGAGATGTTCCTGGACAGGGGCTGCAGGGAGTTGCAGTTCTACAGCATGTGGGGAGAGGGCATAGGTTTTGCCTCTCCCTGTTGTAAACCAAGGTGCATGAATTCTGGTTGACGCAGGCTGCATCTTCTGTCAGTACAGTGGTACCTCTGGTTACATACTTAATTCGTTCTGGAGGTCCGTTCTTAACCTGAAATTGTTCTTAACCTGAAGCACCACTTTAGCTAATGGGGCCTCCTGCTGCTGCTGTGCCGCCACGCAATTTCTGTTCTTATCCTGAAGCAAAGTTCTTAACCTGAGGTACTATTTCTGGGTTAGCGGAGTCTGTAACCTGAAGTGTATGTAACCCGAGTTACCACTGTATATGGAACCTGGAATGCTACGCTGCATATGGCTAAGACCATGGGTAGGCAAACTAAGGCCTGTGGGCCGGATCCGGCCCAATCGCCTTCTAAATCTGGCCTGTGGACGGTCCAGGAATCAGCATGTTTCTACATGAGTAGAATGTGCCCTTTTATTTAAAATGCATCTCTGGGTTATTTGTGGGGCATAGGGATTCTTTTTTCCTTTTTTCTTCAAAATATAGTCTGGCCCCCCACAAAGTCTGAGGGACAGTGGACCGGCCCCCTGCTGAAAAAGTTTGCTGACCCCTGGCTAAGAGCCATTATGTCTTTCTGGCCCTCTGTCATGTTTTCCTTTGCCACACGGTGTCCTCCGTGAGTTAACTTCAGAGACGCAAAGTTATTAGTACAGAAAGGGACCGGCTTGTCAACAGGGCTAATTTTTTCTTTGCAGATCTCAACACCTGAGCCTGGGGGAGAGCTGGCCCCAGCCCTACTGGCGTGATGAACCTGCACACGGTGAGGGGATGCCAAGAGCTGTGATCTGGTAAGGGCGCCTGGGCAGGAATGCTAAAACTGAACAGAGATGTTGTTGATTTATTACATTTGTATTGTGCCATCTGAGGCGCCCAGGCAGTGCATAAGTGGTCTTCCCTCCCCATTTTATCCTCACAGCAACCCTGTGAGGTGGGTTAGCCAGAGGAATTGGCTCAAGCCCTGCTAATAGCTGGATGAGACTTAAAAGGTTAGCAGTCTAAGATTTCCAAATTTGATGCACTTGTGTGCCTTACATCTGCGAGGAAACAGTCTGAATGGAAACTTCTAAATCCCTGAAGCAAGCTAGTTTTTCTTCCCCTTCCTTTGGGTTCCCCTACTGTTGTGACATAGTGCTTCACTGGGCATATGATTTCAGAAGTGAAGAATAAGATGTGCTGGGCCCGATCTCTGGTTTTCAGCCTCTTCTGAAAGGGAGCTTTTTAGCATTTAAGAGCTGCATGGCAAAAGAAGTCACACCTCCTGAATTAATTCAAAGCTCTCAAAGGCACAAGAGGATGCTTTGAGAGGCTTGAGGGGTTATCTCTGAGAAGAGGGATTAACACTTCTTGCTGAAAATTCAGACTGACTTTTGTTTCTCACCATAAACTACAATTTTCAAGGTTTTCTTGTGGGAAACATTTATGCTTGAAACTTGCATTCCTGCATTGGCTCCCAGTACATTTCTGAGCACAATTCAAAGTGTTGGTGCAGACCTTTAAAGCCATAAATGGTCTCAAAGGCCCAGTAGACCTGAAGGAGCGTCTCCACCCCCATCGTTCAGCCCGGACACTGAGGTCCAGTGCTGAGGGCCTTCTGGCCGTTCCCTCATTGTGAGAAGCAAAGCTACAGGGAACCAGGCAGAGGGCCTTCTCGGTGGTGGCACCCACACTGTGGAACGCCCTCCCACCAGATGTCAAAGAGAAAAACAACTACCTGACATTCAGAAGACATCTTAAGGCAGCCCTGTTCAGGGAAGTTTTTAATGTGTGACATCTTAGTGTATTTTTGGTCTTTGTGGAAGCCACCCAGAGTGGCTGGGGAAGCCCAGCCAGATGGGCGGGGTACAAATAAAATTATTATTATTATGCCCCCATAACTTCTGTATTTCTGCTAGAGCTTGGTATTTACCTTGTGGGAATAGCAGCCCTATGTCCTATTCTGCAAATGCATCCCCACAACTTCTGCTCCCTGAAGGCTGCTGCTTCCAGCTTCTCCTTCTGCCTCTGACCACATCTTTCCCCCTCCACAGGTGTCCTCAATGTGCCTACAACCCAAGTTACCTCATCCTGCACTTGAAGAGACCCCAAACTTCACCAATACCCCCTTTGCTGCTGTTGAAGCCCTGAATGTGAAAAAAAAAAATAGTAAACCCGAGGGGGGGGAATTTGACCAAAAAGATAACTCGCTTTGCTTTAAAAACCTTCTGAGGGGTTTGTCTTCCCTCTCCCACAGCTTTGCCAGTTTGAGAAAAATAAACTGGCTGTTGAATCTTCAGTTAACTTTTTTCTCCCCCATTGTTGAAGAACACCCTGTGTGAACCATTGTGTGCAGTTTGGGCGTCAGTAAAAAGAAAAATTGCACAGACTTTGTGTCCCTTGTGTTTTCTTCTTCCCCCCCACAAGGAAATAAATGCTGCCTTAAGGTGCTGCTTTGTCCTTTACCCCACAGCTCTTGGTGAGGGCATTTGTGGAGAATCTTGATCTTAAGGAATCCTAAGACCTACCCCATAATACTTAAAAATAACTTGGAGGAAGTGGAGAATAGTTCCTGGCAGCAAGTGTTGCTGCTTGCTTAGTACTACGCAGAGGGGCCGCAACTGACATTTGGATGGATAGAAGTCAGAGATTCTCCAGGAGTAGGGAGAATGCCATAGGGAACACCAGACCCACACTGGGCTGCTTTTTAAAAAGAGGGTTCTAAATTATTAGAAAGGTGGCACCTAACTTCCTCAAGTGCAGACAGTAATGTAGTGGTTATTGTAGTAGCAGGACTCTCCGTCAGCCTATAAAAGGAATTTACATTTGCTTAACTTACTGCTTCCCAAGGGAGTGTTTTTGCAGAAAGGAAGTTGCTGTTCCTGCTAATGTGGTGAGCAGGAAAGCATCAGACCTAAGTAACCACTGGTAGCGTCAAAAATCATTTTCCTGGAGCGAAGCCCAAGTCCGGTGTGTTTCACCATGTTTGCTAACAAACCACTGGGTCCAAAACATATCCTACCCCAGAGTTCTAGAAGAACTGAAATGTGAAATTTATGGTTTTCCACCAAATACGTATCTTGTCTCTTTAAGTTTGGTGTTGGAACCTGAAAACAGGAAAGTGATCACTGTAACACAAGTGAGTTTTTTTAACAAAAGGGAGCCCAGCATATTACAGGCCACTTTGCTTAATGTGTTCTCTGGGAAACTTAATGTATGTTTTGATTAAAGTCAAAATTTTCAAGGAAACAGAAGTCTTGCTGAAAAAGAATCGGCATCACTTCTGCAAAGGGAAGTCCTGTCTAGCCTGGTGTCGTTAATGGACATTACTATCTTAGGTTCATTAATTTCGGTGGTTTTCCTCTGAGGAGGACTTGGCTGAATGCCACCTGTTGTGTACTTGTCAAAAGCTTTTTGGAAGTCCAAAAGACTTCTCACCAAATTTCACAGCCATGGGATCAGATAACAGGTCCTCTTAAAGTAGGAGTAGAATTAAATGGGCAGTTCTGCCCATGGAGGGCTGTAAGAAGTGGGGTGCCCCAAGGATCTGAATTTGGATTTATGCTTTTTAACATTCATAGATCTGGAGTTTAGAGGTCAGCAGTATCCAATGCAAATAAATCAAAGCTGAAAAAATGAAAAAGGGATTGTGAAGTGCTTCAAAGGGATCTCTAATCTGGGGTGGGCAGGCCATTAAAATGTGGCTCAATTTAAACTATTTTTAAATTTAGAATGCATCACTTGAGAGGGTTGTTTAGAAAGCAATTAATAAATTGATTATGATAAAAGTAATGCACATTGGGGCAAAAAAGAATTCAGCTTCAGATATACACAAAGCAAGCTCCATGTTAGGGAGCATTAGGGAAAAGATCAAAAATACAACTGCCAATATTGTAATTCCTTAAATCTATGGTGTGCTATTGCTTGGAACACTCTGTACTGTTCTAGTCTCTGCATCTCAGAGATGGCATTGTGGAAGGAACTGGAAAGGCTGGAACATTTGGGGCTTTTAATTTGGAAAAGTGAGCAAGAGTTGACATGATAAGAGATGTAAAAAATTATGTGTGGCTTGGGGAAAGTGAAAAGTTTGTCTCCTTTTCCAGAACCCAAGGAAGGTCAAAGCAAGGAACCTAAATGTTGGGACAGGCAAAAGGAACTGTTTTCCAACAGTGCATAGATAAAACCACAAATCTATAGTGTGAGCACAGTTGGATGGCTTTAAAAGGGAATTAAGACAAAATCATGGAAGACAAGGCTGTTGGTGTCTACTAGCTGCGATGGCTACATGTCCTCATTAGCCTACTTATGAATACCAGTTCTTGAGGTCCTGCTTGCATGCGTCCCAGAAGCAGCTGATTGCTCACCATGGGAACAGAATACTAGATTTCACGGGTCTTTGGTCTTATCCACTCCGAGGTTCTTGTGTCATTGTCAACATCTTGAACATCTCACTGGACATGCCCACACCATATGCCTCAACATGGCATTTGCAGCATTGCACTTCCAGCATCTACCAGTAATAAATAATGCCTTCCTGTAAAGACATTGTGGAGTCCAACATAACTGAAACATCATTTTTTTGCTGGGATAATCTCAATTTTAAGTCCCTGGGAAGGAGCCACTTAGCTCAGGAGTGGAGGGTGCTGTATGCATGCAGGAAGTCTTGGGGTAAAAGACATGGGAGCTGCCGTTAATTCAAGTAGACACCGCTAGAGTACATGGGCCGGTGACATGGCTTAAGTCAAAACAACCCCGTATCTTCATGTACTGTAAAGGCCCAGCAAAATTAAGCAGCCTCAGTTGCTCTCTCTTTGGCAAAAACTGACTTTTTGCGGGTGGGAGAGTACAGCCAGTTTTTTGCTCGTATGCAAAAATACATCCAACAATGGGCTTGAGCATGGGTAGGCAAACTGAGGCCCAGGGGCCGGATCCGGCCCAATCGCCTTCTAAATCTGGCCCACGGATGGTCCGGGAATCTGTGTGTTTTTACAATGTGTGCTTTTATATAAAATGCATCTCTGGGTTATTTGTGGGGCATAGGAATTCGTTCATTCCCCCCCCCGCTAAATATAGTCCGGCCCCCCACAAGGTCTGAGGGACAGTGGACCGGCCCCCTGCTGAAAAAGTCTGCTGACCCCTGGGCTTGAGCAAAAAGGGAGTTGTGCAACATAGGGCAAAATATTCCTTGAAAGTTGAACAGGTCACAGTGATCAAGTGATCAATCACTAAAGAAGCTTGTGGCATTGTTAACCTTTCCAGAAAAGCAGGGGCAGTTGGAAGGCCCGTCTCTCTAGCTACTGAGTGCCAGGATTCAGACTTTGGAGAAGGAAAATATTAAGAAGTAGCGGCGCAGACTCAACTCCCCTATTTGTGTGGCATTTTGAACTATCCTGTTCCTTTTACTTTTTGGAACAGATTGCTTATGCATTAAATATTTAGAACTGGAGAGAACTAATGTAAAGCAAGCAACAGCCGTATAAGAGTCTATTCTTTATATACAAATATTTTTTCTTGGAAATACAAACATTATCATGCGCACGCACACACAAACATGCCTGTAATCTCGAGAGTCTCTTCCTCTGATTAAATACACAGAAAACAGAATCCTTTGCACAGTCCCGAGGGAAACCCTTTTTACAAAGTGGGCGTCCCTTTCCCCCCCCCCCTTTCTTGCTTCCATTTAGTATTTTGAGTGCTGGGTGGCTAACGTAGCCTATGGAGTGATGCAGTCCATTTGCTCTTGTTTTAAAAGCCCACCTTTAATACAAAAGTCGTCCTAGCCCTCTTGGGGTCTAAGTGCCATGGTGAAAAGTGCTGAAGAATCAGTGCAAAGCTCAAACCACTAGAAAGTTCACTACACGTGTTCAAGTCTGGATTTGTAAGATGGTGTGGACTCCGATGGCACAGCTTCACAGGGCCTGTTCTACAACATTAAAATCCCTTTATAATTTCCATCGCTCCCAGCCAAGAAACCCTGTGTTCCCGCGCTCAGCGTGTTTTCAAAGATGTCGTTGCGAGGCTTAGGGTGAAAACCACCAATGGTTTCAAACCAGTTTGGCAATACCTGAAAACAACTGGGTTAGCCAGGTTCCCTGCGGTTTAATACTTGCCATTTACGATTAATGCCAAACGATATAAATACATATCCTTGCAGCTGTTCTGCCTAGAAGAGAACTTGTTATTTCACCTTCCCAAGTATTGCCCTTGAGGTAGGGTGTGGGGTTGGGCTTTGTAACTGGTAAGGCCAGAACATTTTTCCATCTGGAACTCAGTTCCGGCACATCTCAGGTGAGTGCTATTGCAATTTTAAGATAGTGGACATGTACACCAGCCTTTCTCAACCTGGTGCCCTTCAGATAATTTAGACTACAACTTCCCACCAACTCAGGTTGCAATGGACCAAGAGGCCTTCCTGGAGTTCTTTCTCTCCTCCATTTTTGTTTTGCAAGCAGATTACCGTTTCACCTTCCAGAAAACCAAGCTATACATTTGGAATCAAACTGATAACATTAATCAGTTGGCAATAATGGAAGATGAACCACAATCACCTAAGATTGTTTCTTAAAAAAATATGTGACCCTTGTAAGCAAGCCACACTGAAATAAAGGAAGGGGAAATCCTTGCCTCAGATTCTCTTCTTCACACGAGAAGCCTTTTTGAACTGCTATGGACCATCCATAGAGCCCTATAAACCACAGGGTTTTTCTATGCGCTGTCCATGTGCTTGAGAGCAACAGGCTTCCATGATGGGAGTGTCACCATCTTCTCCCTGCTTCCTCATAATCTGCTCTAGAAGGTTTGTGGGACCCTCTGGAGTAGATGAAGGAAGGCGAAATCCCGTTACACAAGAGGAAGTCCACCCACGTAACTTTATATTCTGCCCATAGTTAGACCTCTTGGTTTATTCATGGCGTGTGGCGGTTTGCATTTCTCTGCGCCGAGACACTAACCAAAGCAACCATGAGACCAGGCAGCTCTGCCAAAGAAAACTCAACACCGCTAGAAAACTTAATTCCCGGGGTGTTCTGGTAGGGAAGCGATTGCTGTGACATCCTCCGCAAGCGGCCTTGCCGGTGGTTTAATATTCCTCATAGGAGGGAGTTCTAGAAGTGCAGAATAAGCTGTTGGGGGAATCCGTCGAGATGGCCTTGACATTCAAAGCTGGAGAATGGGTGACTCATCCTCCTCTCTGCACCTACTCTTAGGCCACAGTCACACTATACAATGTTGAAAACACAACTGATAGCAATTTAAACAGTCATGGCTGCCCCCAAAGGATCCTGGGAACTGTTGTTTGTAACAGATGCTGAGCGTCGTTAGGAGACCCACCCTAGCCCCTGTCTCGGAACTACAATTCCCAGAGTCCTCCATGAAGAGGAATTGATTGTTAAACCACTCTGGGAATGGACCTGGGGTTTTCCCCCAATGACTCGGAACCATTAGGAAACTACAGTTCCCAAAGCCATATTCTGATCTCCCTGCCCTACTTCACCCTGCCACAGAGTCCTCAACAGAGGAGTGTTTAGGCAACACACATGGTGGTCGCTAAACACATCCAGGGCAGCCATTGCTGCTGTTGCTAGGCAACCAGGGTGCAGGGAAAAATGATTTTTGGGGGGGCTTGAGACCCCAGCAACGTCACTACTGACCATATCACCTCTCCATGAGCATACAAGGATGTTTTTCTTCATACCCACTCTCCAGTTCTTAATTTCTAGAAGGAGATGGGTCAGCCCTTGGGCCTAAATGCCCTGACCCCTCCCCACACCCTAAAAGTGGGTGATGGGACAGGCCTGAGCGTGGCTCCTTAGGGTGTGAGCGGGAAAGAACTCAGCACATGCTCTGGGGCACTCTTTCCTCAGCTGCAACAGCTGCTTGTGTAAGTCAGGGCTGAGCCCTGGCTCGATGCGGAAATGGAGTCAGCATATAAATAACCCGAAAATCAGTGAGAAGATTAATTTAGTCGCTGTCCTCAGAATTACTTCCGCCCCACCGTCCCCTTTTCAGATTCAGCCTCTGCCTTTGAATTTTGCTTTTGGGGAGAATGCGTTTCCTGGATCTCGACAACACATCAGCCTCCTGTCTGCTCTCAGTGCAAATCCCCCACGATCCTTTATTTACAGAATCGGAACTCGTGGCTCCTGGCTCGACGCCACAAACTTCTTGTCCTCCGAAACAAAGAAAGCGGGGCGAGGGGCCTTGTGTCCCCCACGCCCCACAATGCCCACCCTGCTTTTTATTAATGTTTTTCCTTTCTTTCTTAAAAAAAGGGAAAGAAGTTAAAAACACATCCAGGCTAAAAACTGACCTAATGAAAACAAAGGAAAAAAATAGGGTTCAACTCTGACCACGCACCGGTAAGGCTTGTGGCACCATTAAAGTGCTAAGCAGATCCTGGTACCTCTTGCGGGCTACCCTGAACACCACGGTCCACATTTGCCGTGCCTTTTGGGTGCTAGGGTTCGCCGCCTGCCCAAACCCTATCATTCATGGGCGTCCGGGCTCAGTTCGTCCAGTTCTGTGTACGGCTTGATCTCTCGTTCTAGCAATGATGGCGTCCTTCGGAATGTAGCGGCGATCTGGTCAAAGGTGCGGCCTCGCGTCTCGGGAACCTTGATGTACGTGAAGATCAGGAACACGAAGAGAAGGGCTGCGAAGATGAGGAACACGTACGAGTGGAGGGCTCCCTGCAAGGAGGAGGAAGAAGAGAGCGTGAGAAACTGTAGCCCTGCCAGATTTTGCATGGCGCAGGACCTCAGAGTGCCACAGCTTAGGGGCCGCCACTGAGAAGGCCCTGTTCTTGGACGCGTCACCCCCTGAGCCTCCGAGGACGGGGAAACCACCCCGTTATAAGAATTCTAAGGTCTCAGGTATCAAATAAATGTTCATAAATGTACAAGGCAAACACAACCATGTGTCTGAAATAGTGCAGGAGAGCAATCCTGAAGCCATTTTGACTCTCCCAATGACCTCAAATAATCCTCTGCAGTAAGGCAGGAAAATGGGGAAAATTGTCTTTTTCACTTACAAATCTTGTCTTAAGGGCGTATTTGTGTATGAATAGGGTGAGCTTGTGACCTGGACTCAGGAAGTAAAGTATTAACCATCACAAAAGAATGGTCAGGCTGCCCAGGTAATGCAGGTAATCAGTGACCATTATCAGGTATCCTGGCAGACAAGATATCTGCTGAAGACTGCCTCCTTCTGTGATGCAGGTATGATGTTTTGGGCTACAGGGTGGGCGATTTCAAGAGTCTATATAAGGGCTAGCGGCTGAAACTCACCTCGATCGAGGGGAAGCTCATCCCAATGATGAAGTTGCAAGTCCAGTTGGCGAGGCCAGCTACGGCCATTGCAGCTGGCCGCGGACCCTGGCTGAACAGCTCTGCCACAATGAACCAAGGAATGGGCCCCGGGCCGATCTCAAAGAACGCCACAAAGCCAAAGATGGCCACCATGCTGACGTAGCTCATTGCTGGTACACGCTCCTGCGGTGCGTGGAGAGAAACGGGAGGCGCTGCGTCAACCCTCTCGCGACCAAATGTGTCGTGTACATACGTAAAATATTCTACAGTGGTACCTCGGGTTACATATTCTTCAGGTTACAGACTCCGCTAACCCAGAAATAGTGCTTCAGGTTAAGAACTTTGCTTCAGGATGAGAACAGAAAGCGTGCTCCGGCGGCGCGGCAGCAGCAGCAGGAGGCCCCATTAGCTAAAGGGGTGCTTCAGGTTAAGAACAGTTTCAGGTTAAGAATGGACCTCCAGAACGAATTAAGTACTTAACCCGAGGTACCACTGTACTTTAAAACTAGGAAGACGAAATTAATGGCAAAAGCCAGGGATACCCTCTCCGCCCTAGTATCTTGCCTTTTATGTCCAAGGCAGTGCCAGATTTACGTATAAGCTAAACAAGCTATAAGGGACGCGGGTGGCGCTGTGGGTTAAACCACTGAGCCTAGGGCTTGCCGATCGGTAGGTTGGCGGTTCGAATCCCCGCGACGGGGTGAGCTCCCGTTGCTCGGTCCCTGCTCCTGCCAACCTAGCAGTACAAAAGCACCTCAAAGTGCAGGTAGATAAATAGGTACCGCTCTGGCAGGAAGGTGAACGGTGTTTCCATGCGCTGCTCTGGTTCGCCAGACACGGCTTAGTCATGCTGGCCACATGACCCGGAAGCTGTACGCCGGCTCCTTCGGCCAATAAAGCGAGATGAGCGCCACAACCCCAGAGTCGGTCATGACTCGACCTAACAGTCAGGGGTCCCTTTACCTTTAAACAAGCTATAGCTTAGGGCCCCACTCTCTTGGGGGCCCCCCAAAAATGTAAAGGAAAACAACAACCTGGATGTACATTTCCAAAATATAAGATAAAAAAACAAATAAAATGAAACCTACAAACAGCAACAGTGTTTTGTGTTGTGTAGGCTCCTAGATGTAAGTCATGGGCCCCGACTGCTAGCCTGCTCCCTAAAATATCACTGGTTTGCTCCTTTCTATATATAGGGTGCCTACATTCTGCATGGACTGGTTGTAGCAATTACTTTGATAAAATACATATTTTGCTATGTGCAAATGGTTTCTGATACCTATTAGGTCCATAAACTACCATATAGTTAGGTCACCAGATTTTTTTTCAATGAATCCGGGGACACTTTTCAACTTCAATGGATTTTGTATGGGGACTGATTTGTAAATCCGGGGACTGTCTGCTAACCTTATCATATAGCATATATCCAACACAAAAACAGCGACCATTTCTTGTTGACAAAGGACAGCTGGACATATAAAGGGCCCCATTACCTTCAGTAGCTTAGGGCCTCATCAAACCTAAATCCAGCTGAGAGCTGAAACGATGACCCACAGATGAAATAGCCCCAACAGAAGATTAGTCAAATCAACATTGGATAGGCCTAGGGCAGCTGTTTTGGACTACAAATCCCATCATCCAGAGCCATCGCAATGCTGGCTCTGGATGATGGGATTTGTAGTCCAAAGTAGCTGGAGGGTGCCAGCCGGGTGAAGGCTGTCTGAGGCCGATGAAGGACTACGTCCTCTGCCCAGTTACTCACCGTCAAGCCCTGGGCCACTGTCATAAGGATGGCACACACCGCCATCCCCGCCAATCCCAGCATATGCAAGGTCCGCCGGCCGGCTCGCTCCACCAGGAACACCTGGGGCAGAGAAGAAAAGATGAAGACGGTTGTGAGAAAGAGGTGGAGAGAAGAACTACCGATGAAAGAAGAATGGTGGATGAAATTGATGGACTATGCAGAGTTAGATAAAATTAACAGGAAGGATTCGAAACCTGCGGGACCAGAGATTCTCAGAAGACTGGAGTAAATTTACGAACTATTTGAAAAGCAATTGTGATGAACAGATTACGCTAGTAGGATTGCAAGAAGTTTTGTAAGGTGAATTATTTGAAATACTGCAAGAAAGATAATGAGGAGAATTATTAGTTAAGGATAATTAAATGTAATATAATAATAATAATAATAATAATAATAATAATAATTTTTATTTATACCCTGCCCTCCCCAGCCAAGGCCGGGCTCAGGGCGGCTAACAAGCAATAATCAAAGCAAGTTGAATGAATACAACTTAAAAACAAAATTAAAATACAACATTAAAATATTGAAACATTAAAATATTAAAATATAGCCTCATCGCAGGAGGAGAAAGGAAAAAGAAAAAAGAAAGAGGGGGAGGGAATCAAATTGGCTCCAAGCCAAAGGCCAGGCGGAACAACTCTGTCTTACAGGCCCTGTGGAAAGAAGTCAGAAATTATCAGAAATATAGAAATTAAGAAATGCATAATAAGCGATAGAGAACAGAAAATCATCAGAGGTGTTGATGGACGTCTAAAAACATTGTGTAAGATGAGAAATTATGTTGTATGACTGTTGGAACAGATATGTTAAAAATTAGTAAAAATGAAAAAAAAAGAGAGAAAGAGGTGGAGAAGGGGACTGAGGGAACAACGAAAAAAGGAAAGAGCAGTTCAGGCAGTCAAAGGCCTTGCAGAGCAGGAGGCAATTTTTCCAGAGATTGGTGGACTCCACATCCCAGCAGGCAGCATGGCCCAATGGTCAGGAATGATGGGAGTTTTAGTCCAGCAAGCAACATCTGGGAGACAACCACATTGGTCCAAACTCGCAGCCTTTCTCAACCTGTGGGTCCTAGGGGGGCTAGGGGGGCGACTGGCCTGTTGCAGGGGAATTCCTTTTATGTTCCCAATGCACTGCTATTGCTATTATTAAAGGTAAAGGGACCCCTGACCATTAGGTCCAGTCGTGGCCGACTCTGGGGTTGCGGCGCTCATCTCGCTTTATTGGCCGAGGGAGCCGGCATACAGCTTCTGGGTCATGTGGCCAGCAGGACTAAGCCGCTTCTGGCAAACCAGAGCAGCGCACGGAAACACCGTTTACCTTCCCGCCAGAGCGGTACCTCTTTATCTACTTGCACTTTGACGTGCTTTTGAACTGCTAGGTTGGCAGGAGCAGGGACCGAACAACAGGAGCTCACCCCGTCGCGGGGATTCGAACCGCCGACCTTCTGATCGGCAAGTCCTAGGCTCTGTGGTTTAACCCACAGCGCCACCCGCGTCCCTTGTTGCTATTATTACTTTTTATTAAATGCATATAAAGATTGGCCGGGCAAAAATGACTGCATCTATCAGGATCTGCTCCAATCAAAAATTCTATACAGAATGGGAATGTGGAGGGGAATACATGAAGAAATATGGTGTTAAAGCAGAACTCTTAATTGGCAATTGTTAAGCGTGTAAGGACAAAAGAAGTAATTATAATTTAACAGTTTTCATGCTATTCTATTTTATTAAAGCAACTAGAAAAAATATTATGATGGGAAGATCTCACGCGGGTGAAGGGAAGCAGTGGGAGGAGGGGAGGGTTAGGCTGAATTTGGGAAATAAAATAAGATATGGGACAGCAAAGGATATAATAGATTCTTATAGAATAGTAATATATTGTAACCAGAATAGAAGTTCAAAAGGGGAAGTAAATGTATTTTTAGTATTTTCATTATTGTAATAGTTATTATTATTTCTTATCGGTAGAAGGCAGTGTTAATTTAGGCTTCTTCGTTTTGCTGTCTGTATAATTTTCTTAAGTCAATTAAAAAAAAAATTATAATAAAAGATTGCCAGGCACGGATACAGCAACGGGAGGTTCTTACCGAAACAACGGTGAACACCGTGTTCACGGCGCCAGCCCCGATGGTGGCGAAGATGGGTTTGTCCAAGCCGGCCTTTTTGAAGATGTTGGTTGAGTAATAGAATATCTAAGAGGACAGAGAGAGAACGGTCAAATGACAGTGTCCCCCAGCAGGGCTTGCCCAAGACATCTTGCCTCATGGCTGGACCAACTCTGCCCCCTTCAGAGCCATCAAACACCCCCCACAAAAAAATTCCACTTCCTTTCCTGCTCCTTTTCAACACCACCTTAACTGCTCAACACCTACTTTGTCTCTTTTTTCACCCAAAAACGAAAGCAGTCTGGTATAGAGTGATGCAGGGAGGGAGCTACAGCCCAAGAGAGGAACAGAGATGCTAAAGGAATAGCTGCTTTAAATCTCCAGGGTCTGATGAGCTGCACCCAAGGGTGCCAAAGGAGCTTGCGGGTGTCATTTTAGAGCCTCTGTCTATAATCCCTGAGAATTCTTGGAGAACTGGGGAGGTCCTTGCAGACTGGAGGGAGGCAATTGTCCCCCTCTTTGAGAATGGGGAGCGAAGCAAACTTGTTTTCTCCTGCTCCAGAAGGTAGGATCTTAACCATCGCGAGAAAGGAGATCCTGACTAAACCTCAGGAAGAACTTTCTCACGGTAAAAAAGGTAAAAGACCCCTGGACGGTTAAGTCCAGTCAAAGGCGACTAGGGGGTTGCAGCGCTCATCACACTTTCAGGCAGAGGGAGCCGGCGTTTGTCTGCAGACAGCTTTCCGGCTCATGCGGCCGGCAGGACTAAACCGCTTCTGGTGCAACAGGACACCGTGATGGAAACTAGAGCACACGGAAACGCCGTTTACCTTCCCGCCGCAGCAGTACAGTGGGCGTTCGGGTTGCGAACGTGATCCGTGCAGGATGCAACCCACAGCGTTCGCAAGCCGCAGCAGCACGTCTGTGCACACGCGGGTTGCAATTTGGCGCTTCTGCGCATGCGCAAGGCACAATTTAGCACTTCTGCGCATCTGTGGCCTCTGAAACCTGTTCTGGTATTTCCGGGTTTCGGCGGGTCCGTAACCCAAAAAAATGCAACCTGAAGTGTCTGTAACCCGAGGTATGACTGTAACTATTTCTCCACTCGCACTGGCATGCTTTCGAACTGCTAGGTTGGCAGGAGCTGGGATGGAGCAACGGGAGCTCACTCCATCGCAGGGATTCGAACCGCCGACCTTCCGATCGGCAAGTCCTAGGCTCTGTGGTTTAGACCACAGCGCCACCCGCGTCCTTCTCACGGTCAGAGCCATTCGGTGGCGGAACGGACTCATTCGGAGGTTTGTGGGCTCTCCTTGGTTGGAGAATTTTGAGCAGAGGTTGGGTGTCAGGGATTCTTCAGCTGAGACTCCAGCATTGCGGGGGGCTGGACTAGATGATATCTCGGGGTCCCTTAGAACTCGACAGTTCTATTATTCTTCCTCCCCCTGCAGCAAACTCACCGCGTTGATGCCAGAGAGCTGCTGCGATAGCTGCAAGACCACGGCGATCAGCAGGGGCTGGCGGTAGATGCGGCAGCGGAAGAGCTGCGCGATGGAGACTTTGCGCTCCAAATCCATCCTCCGCTTCTCTTCCTTCATCTCTGTCAGAGCCGCGGTCACATCCACCTGGCCGGTCAGCCGCTTGAGACCTGGAGGGGGAAAGAAGAGGGGGCGTCACTGTGTGTTTGGGGGGGAGGTTGAACAGGAAGCGAGAGAGATAGGAGGCTCAGGGGGCGGCAGACGTGAAGAAAGGACGATTACGTGCGAGGGATCGAACAGAAAACTGCCAATATCGAACAATGGCGTGATTCGAATCTATGGCCCAACTGTATTTGGAGCACTGTGTGTGCAATTCTGGGTCTCCTTGCCTTGTAAAGGATATTGTAGAGTTGGTCGGCTGGAACCAGAACTCTTCCTGCTGGGACTGATGGCTAGATAATTAGAAAAAAAGACTATGGAACTTTATTTCGATACAGTGGTACCTCGGGTTAAGTACTTAATTCATTCCGGAAGTCCGTACTTAACCTGAAACTGTTCTTAACCTGAAGACCCACTTTAGCTAATGGGGCCTCCTGCTGCTGCTGCGCCGCCGGAGCACAATTTCTGTTCTCATCCTGAAGCAAAGTTCTTAACCTGAAGCACTATTTCTGGGTTAGCGGAGTCTGTAACCTGAAGCGTATGTAACCTGAAGCGTATGTAACCCGAGGTACCACTGTATATGATTACAAGCCGTGAGACACTTATATACACAAAGATGGGAAAATCCATCATTACCCACCATACAGGAATGGCTGGTTTAAAATTATTGGACCTAGCCGAGATGGCAAAGTTAACATGTTTAATCAGAGAAAAACCATCGCCAACATTCACTAAAGATTGGAAACTTCTTATTGTATACGCTTTTTACATGAAAAAGAAAATGGGCTTATGATATCTGTGTTTGAAGATTGAAGATAAGGTTTATAGAAAGTGGATTTGTTGGGAGTGGATGCGTTGAATAATTTTCTGCTTATAGCTGACAGATGAAAAATCAGAAGTTCTATTTTTCCTTTCTTACCTTTTTTTCTTTTCCCTTCATCTTCCCCACCCCTTTTTTATTCCTGGTCTGCGTTTTGATTTAGGTTAACTTTTCAGTTTGGATTAAAAGGTATCTGACAGTAACCATGGTATTTCCCCCCAATTTTTTTAAAAATTAAATCTATTTAAAAAGAAAAGAAAACGATGTTGTAGTCACGTGAATTAGCCTGCATTGCCGGGGGTTGAGCTAGAGAACTTTGTAGGGATTCCTCTCTAACTCGGGAAGAAATGGAGGCAGTGAGAGATTTTACTTTCTTGGGCTCCATGATCACTGCAGATGATGACAGCAGCCATGAAATTAAAAGACGCCTGCTTCTTGGGAGAAAAGCAATGACAAACCTAGATAGCATCTTAAAAAGCAGAGACATCACCTTGCCAACAAAGGTCCGTTTAGTTAAAGCTCTGGTTTTCCCAGTAGTGATGTATGGAAGTGAGAGCTGGACCATCAAGAAGGCTGATCGCCGAAGAATGGATGCTTTTGAATTATGGTGCTGGAGGAGACTCTGGAGAGTCCCATGGACTGCAAGAAGATCAAACCTCTCCATTCTGAAGGAAATCAGCCCTGAGTGCTCACTGGAAGGACAGATCCTGAAGCTGAGGCTCCAAGACTTTGGCCACCTCATAAGAAGAGAAGACTCCCTGGAAAAGACCCTGAAGGTGGGAAAGATGGAGGGCACAAGGAGAAGGGGGCGACAGAGGACGAGATGGTGGGACAGTGTTCTCGAAGCGACCAGCATGAGTTTGACCAAACTGTGGGAGGCAGTGGAAGACAGGAGTGCCTGGCGTGCTCTGGTCCAGGGGGTCATGAAGAGTCGGACACGACTCAATAACAACAATTATTGATTCCACGATTCAAGAAACGTAAGGAGATTCTTTGCTAAAAGGGTGTCCATTTCAAATCCCTTTGGGAGTCCCAGAGGTGATGGATAGCTGCCATATACACAGAGGTTTGGGTCCAAGAGAATGGTCCAGGGGGTCACGAAGAGTCGGACACAAATAAACGACTAAACAACAACAACTCTCTAACTCGACAATTCTACGATTCTATGAATGGGAAAAGGCAGAGGGAAAGGAAGCGGGGAGGTCTCACTTTCTTTGGCCTTGGACTCCTTGTTGCGGATGATGTAGAGATATCGTGGGCTCTCCGGACAGAAGGGGAACATTAGGAGCTGGAGGATGGAAGGCACCACGGAAATACCCAACAAGAGCGGCCACAGCTCACTTGTGCCTAGAAGACTGTCCAGACCAAACACCTGTTTCACAAAAAAGCCAGTTAGGCACTTGACATATTTCTCATTGCATTCATTTTTCAAAACAGATTTTGCAGATTCCAGTGAACATGCCCTCCCAGCACACCCCATTCTGGACAGAACAGAAAACACAGGAAGGAGGTTTTTAGCCATACAGTGGTACCTCAGGTTAAGTACTTAATTCGTTCCGGAGGTCCGTTCTTAACCTGAAACTGTTCTTAACCTGAAGCACCACTTTAGCTAATGGGGCCTCCTGCTGCCGCTGGAGCACGATTTCTGTTCTCATCCTGAAGCAAAATTCTTCACCTGAAGCACTATTTCTGGGTTAGCGGAGTCTGTAACCTGAAGCGTATGTAACCTGAAGCGTATGTAACCTGAGGTACCACTGTATTTTGTTGGAAGCCGCCCAGAGTGGCTGGGGAAACCCAGCCAGATGGGTGGGGTATAAATAATAAATTATTATATATTATTATTATTATTATTATTATTACCACCACTGTAGTTGTAAACATGATTCCAGACGATGCCAAACATTTGAATTTTCAACAGAGAATGTCAGGGCACCAGATTTCCACAAAGCCATCAGCTAGATGCAATGGTTCTCAACCTGTGGGTCCCCAGATGTTGTTGGACTACAACGCCCATCATCCCTGACCACTAGTCATGCTGGCTAGGAATGATGGGAGTTGTAGTCCGACAACATCTGGGGACCCACAGGTTGAGAACCACTTAATGGGTAGGCAAACTAAGGCCCGGGGGCTGGATCTGGCCCAATCGTCTTCTCAATCCGGCTCGCGGGCAGTCCGGGAATCAGTGTGTTTTTACCTGAGTAGAATGTGTCCTTTTATTTAAAATGCATCTCTGGGTTATTTGTGGGGCATCGGAATTCGTTAATTTCCCCCCCTTCAAAATATAGTCCGGCCCCCAACAAGGTCTGAGGGACAGTGGACCTGCTGAAAAAGTTTGCTGACCCCTGAGCCTTCATTTCCTTAGCCAATTTCCCCCGATAATGCGATACCCCATACTTTTTGCGGCCACACAGAGATACAGTCGTACCTCGGAAGTCGAATGGATTCCATTCCAAAATGTTCGGAAACCAAAGCGCGGCTTCCGATTGGCTGCAGGAAACTCCTGCAAAGCCAATCAGAAGCCGGGCCGGACATTTGGCTTCCGAAAATCGTTCGGAAATGGGAACACTCACTTCTGGGTTTCGATCGTTCGGGAGCCACTTTGTGAGGAAACCAAGGCATTTGAGATCCAAGGTACGACTGCCTAGTTAAACTGCGGAACTCCTTCCCACAGGAAAAAGTGATGCCCACCAAATTGGACAGTTTTAAGAGGACTGGAAAACTTCACAGAGGAGGAGAGGGCTACCGGTGCCCACCAGCAAAGATAGCTATGCTTCTCCCTCTGTGAAATTATTGTTATTATTATTATTATTATTATTATTATTATTATTATTAATCAGGCCATTGGACTGATCCAGCAGGGATGTTCTCATATTCTTAAATGCCCCAGGCTTTTTCAGTTCTGAGCTATGAGCAGATACTGAATATATTTTCTAACCCACCCTATTCCAATGACTTGGGGCGGATTGCAAAAACTGAGACGCCCCTTTCTGTTTTGAATGCCAGGCCAGGCAAGCATGGAGGAGAGACCTGGCCTCTTCCTTTTGCCCAAACGAGACAGGCAGCGTCTTCTGCCAAGTTCCCCAAACACAGCGCAGAAATAGGTTCTGTCTGGCAGGCAAATCCCTCTCTGGAGCTGTCTGTCCACCTCCCCACAACTTCCTGCAAGGTTTTCACAGGCCCCCCGTCCGGCATGACTTGTACTCCGATTGCCTGGGGAAGTGTCAGTCACCCAACGTGGGTTAGAAGAAACGGACAGCGGTCATGCAGTCCCTTTTACCCTCATATTGGGGTCTGCCCCATCACTGGCCTAGGACCCACGTACCTATGGGGCCGCCTCTCCTGGTATGCCCTGTGGAGAGGTCCACAAATGACAACACCTTGGAGGTCCTAAGTTGCAAGGTGGTTAGATTGGTCTCAACTACGGACAGGGCCTTTTCAGTACTGGCCCCGACTTGGTGGAACGCTCTGTCCCAAGAGACCAGGGCCCTGCGGGACTTGACATCTTTCTGCAGGGCCTGCAAGACGGAGCTGTTCCACCTGGCCTTTGGTTTGCACTCGGTCTGACCCTTATGTTTCCCTCCCCTTATGGTCTTGATTAATCAGCTACTTTAAAATGAGCCTGCATTTTAAATTGCACTTTCAGCTGTATTTTAAATTGGTTTTGTTTGTTTGTTTGTTTTTCCCTTCTCTTTCCCCCATATTATGTTTTTACTGTGACTTTATTGGTGTTAGCTACCCCAAGCCTGGCTCTGGCTGGGGAGGGTGGGGTATAAATAAAAATAAAAATAAAAATAAAAATAAAAATAAAAACCCTGTATAGTCTGTCACTGCATCAGAAAACTCAACAAAGAGATTACAGTGGTACCTTGGTTCTCAAACGCCTTGGTACTCAAACAACTTGGAACCCAATCACTGCAAACCAGGAAGTAAGTGTTCCGGTTTGCGAACTTTTTTCGGAAGCCGAACAAGCTCTGCTTTGAGTGCCACACTTCCGTTTTGAGTGTTGCGCTGAGGTCTGTCTGTTATTTTGCATATTTGTTTTTGTGGCTTTTTTTGTTGCTGTTGTTCTTGTGACTGTGTGGAACCCAGTTCAGCTACCGACTGACTGATTGTGTGACTGCAGTACATTGCTTTTTTGCTTTCATTTTATGGATCAATGGTCTCGTTAGATAGCAAAATTCATGTTAAACTTCTGTTTTAGGGGTTGTTTTCCAAAGTCTGGAATGGATTAATCCCATTAACAGAGCCCTCTCATTTCCCTAGAATCTGGCCAATGGTGGTTTCCGCACTGTTGGGGTTGGGCTAGATGACCCGAGGTCCCTTCCCGCTCGACAGTCCTAGGATTCTACGCTACTTGTGTGTGTGAGGGAGAGAGGGGGGAATTGTTCTTTACCTGGGCAATGAGAATGCCAGTGACGATGGCCAACTGATTCAGTGTGCCCAGCGCCCCGCGAAGGTTGGTGGGGGAGATTTCGCCCACGTACATGGGCACCAGACCCGAAGCAAATCCTGGCATGGAAGGAAACATAGGATCAGTCTGGGAAACAGCCAGAAGAATGCGACAAAACAGGAGCTGCCATCAGAAGAATCACAGAACTGGAATACTAATAATAATTTATTTATTCCCCGCCCATCTGGCTGGGTTTCCCAGCCACTCTGGGCGGCTTCCAGCAAAATATTAAAATACAGTAATGCATCAAACATTCAAAACTTCCCTAAACAGGGCTGCCTTCAGATGTCTTCTAAAAGTCAGATGCTTATTTCCTGGACATCTGGTGGGAGGGCGTTCCACAGGGCGGGCGCCACCACCGAGAAGGCCCTCTGCCTGGTTCCCTGTAACCTCACTTCTCGTAGGGAGGGAACTGCCAAAAGGCCCTCGGTGCTGGACCTCAGTGTCCGGGCAGAACGATGGGGGTGGAGACGCTCCTTCAGGTTTGAGGCTGTTTAGGGCTTTCAAGGTCAGCACCAACACTTTGAATTGTGCTCAGAAACGTCCTGGGAACCAATGTAGGTCTTTCTGGAACGGTGGTATGTGGTCTCGGCGGCCGCTCCCAGTCCCCAGTCTGGCTGCCGCGTTCTGGATTATAGTCATGCCTCGGGTTACAGACGCTTCAAGTTGTGCGTGTTTGGGATATGGATGCGCCGAAACCCAGAAGTACTGAAGTGGGTCACCTCTGGGTTTCGGCGGTCGCGCATGCGCAGAAGCGCTAAATCGAGCTTTGCGCATGTGCAGAAGCGCCGAATCGCAACCCGCGCATGCGCAGAGGCGCTGTCGCGAATGTGCATCCTGCATGGATCACGTTCGCAACCTGAGCGTCCACTGTATACAGGACCGAGGCCATTTAGGGCTTTCAAGGTCAGCACCAACACTTTGAATTGTGCTTGGAAACGTACTGGGAGCCAGTGTAGGTCTTTCAAGACCGGTGTTATATGGTCCCGGTGGCCGCTCCCAGTCACCAGTCTAGCTGCCGCATTCTGGATTAGTTGTAGCTTCCAGGTCACCTTCAAAGGTAGCCCCACATAGAGCGCATGGCAGTAGTCCAAGCAGGAGATAACCAGAGCATGCGCCACTCTGGCAAGACTGTCCAGGCAAACAGAGAATGCCTTTTCTTCCTCTTGCTAAATGAGCCCGGCTTCCTTCCACAGATGACTCCAGGAAGCCCCAAAACAGGGTGGGAAAGGAAGGGCCGCCTTTTATTCTTCACAAGACGCAGTTCTGCCTTGGCACCGTGTCCCTGGGCACGTATCCAGCCTTGCTGACGGGTAGTGATGACTCTTCAGTCCAAAGGTTCATCCAAGATTCTCGTCTGCTGCGGCCGTTACTCAAATGTTCCCTCTCTAAGTCTGGGAGTTTGTCACGTTACGTCCAGCCGCAGAGGATGATTTCCGGCTGAGTCACACAGGGAACAAACCAGGAGTCGCTTTGGTGAAGCTTTTTCGAGTCCCAGGGAACCACATGGCCATGGTGGGTGGAGCCAGAGTCCAAAGGGGGCAGAGCAAACTTAATCGTAGACTTTTGTAGGCTAATTTCTCCCAGGGGTGGGTCTACCATGAAATGAATGATGCTCCAGTTCAGGGTGGATAAAAATCAATTATTATTATTTTTTAAATCAAAGAAATCGGATTTTTAAAAAAATTTAAATCGGATTTTTAAAATTTAAATTGGATTTTTTAAAATTTAAATCGGATTTTTAAAATAAAATGCTTTCGGAGAAAAATCTTTCTAAAGATAGTTTTCTGTTTAAGTTACATTATCATCCAAAGGCTATTCATCAGGAAATAAGGATTTGTTTTAAGTTTTTCATGTGTGCTAAAACTCAGTCTAAGTTTTTTTTTTAAAAAAAAGTTTAACCACAGCAGTTAACAAACATGGATACATAGGCAATAATGCTATTGTTTCAGTTAAACAAATTGTTTAAATTGTTATTAAGGAAATTGTTCTTTTTCTCCTCCTAATAAAGTACAGCAGAAAAGTTGTCCAAATATAAACAGTTCACTTATTAAACCTCACAATAATTTCATCATTATCTGCCTATGTATTTCTAATAGTAGAGCCAAATTAGTGATTTTTGATAAAACTGCTCTGAAAATGTATTATTCCAAAAATGAAACCTTCATCTGGTTGTAAATATTGAGACTAGACCAGCAAGAATGAGTCTTCCTGTATAACCCAGCGCAGCAATTTTAATCGAGACCTGAGATGTAGAAGATCCGAAGGTCGCAGGGCGATTGGCCGCATAAAAACACGAGGTGGGAACGCAAAATATGTAATGAAACAAAAGCAAACCAATAAATCCCCTTCCACAAACACAATTAAACGAATAACCAGCCAAAGGACAGGTTACAGAGAAACATTTTTGCCTGGCCCCACTGACAAAAATATATCCAGGTTTTCTTCTCTATTCCCACTAGCATCACTTGTTCAAAACCTGTGTGTCCTTTCATAGAATTGTTAGACGGGAGCCCCCCAAAGGTCATCTATCCCAACCCGCTTCCTTACCTGAGAAAGCCCCAATCAGGAACCGTCCGATAATCATCATCTCGTAGGATTTGCCGAGTTTGGCCAGCCCCATGAATCCGCCGCCGAGGAAAGCCAAGCCATTGTTCACAATCATCGCCCTCTTCCTAAAAACCACAGAGGAAACGAAAGCGTCTGTTGTTGTTGTTCGGCTAGTTTTGTTTCGAAGAATTTAATACAGCGTTTCATTTATTTATTTATTACAATCATATCCCCCACACCTCATCTCGTGACAACCTTGCGAGGTAGATTAGGCTGAGAGGCAGCAACTGAATCTCAAGGTCACCCAGTGAACTTTCGTGGCTGAGTCAGGATTCGAACCCAGGTCCCGCAGAACCTAGCCTGACACACTAAGCACTGCACCGACTTACGACTCAAATCCCCTTAGAGATTGGTCAAGGGGATGGAGCGACTCTGCTATGAAGAAAGGTTGCAGCGTTGAAGAATTATTATTTTTTTAGTTTAGAGGAAAGGCGAGGAAGAGGCGACGAGATTAGACGTTTATAAAACTATGCGTGGCATAGAGAGAGCGTTTTCCTCCTCCTTCTCAGAGCACCAGAACTTGAGGACATTCAACAAAGCTGTGGAAGATTCAGATAAAAGAAAGTCTTTCTTCACAGAGCGCGGCATTAACCTGCGGAACTCCTTGCCACAGGAGGCAGCAATGGCAACCAACCTGGGTGACTTTAAAAGAGAATTGGGCAAATTCACGGAGACCACAATGGCTATGTTCTGTTGCCACTGTCAGAGGCATCTTCTCTGACGATCCCTCGTAGCCGAGTAAGATTGTCCTCCATAAACACAGTTTTAACAATGAGTCCGTAAGTGACTGTGGAGGCCAATTCTGGATCCACACGTCCTTCCACAGTGGGGACATTGGTTTCTGGGCGGGAGTTGATCCCAGTGAGGGTTTGCCAAGCGTACCTTCCTCCTAGCAACTTTCTCCCTTACATCCTGAGTTCGAGTGTCTTCAAAGCCCACGACACCTTTGGTAAAGGCTGTTCTCCAACTGGAGCACTCGCAGGCCAGTGTTTCCAATTGTTGGTGTTTATACTACATTTTTCCAGATTTGCCTTGAGAGAGTCTTTAAACCTCTTTTGTTGACCACCAGCATTACGCTTTCCATTTTTAAGTTCGGAATAGAGTAGTTGCTTTGGAAGGCGATCATCAGGCATCCGCACAACATGACCAGTCCAACGAAGTTGACGTTGAAGAATCATCGCTTCAGCACTGGTGATCTTTGCTTCTTCTAGTACACTGATATTAGTTTGCCTGTCTTCCCAAGTGATGTGAAAAATTTTTCGGAGACACCGCTGATGGAATCTTTCGAGGAGTTGAAGATGGCATTTATAAATGGTCCATATTTCACACTGTAAAATTGGCAGTGCAATAGCTTTGTAAACAAGCATTTTGGTTTCCCTGCGAATGTCCCGGTCCTCAAACGCTCTGCACTTCAATCGGGAGAAAATTGCACTCACAGAGCTCAGGCGATGCTGGATTTTGGCATCAGTGTCGGCCCTTGTGGAAAGATAACTGCCCAGGAAGGAGAAGTGATTGACATTTTCCAGCGTTACACCATTGAGTTGGAGCATAGCCATATTGCCTAGCAGATCTGGAGAGTCCTCTCCCCTTCCATGAATTGGCCCAATCCTCTTTTAAAACCATCCAAGTTGTTGGCCATCACGGGTCCTGTGGCGGGTAGTTCCACAGGTTAATTCTGTGCTGCGCTGCGCTGCCCCCCTCCCCATCCTCAGGCCGCTGTCTAGAGAGGATCTCTAAAGAGCTGCTCAAGCAATATTTTATCTCCGGATTATCAGTGCCGGGAGATAATCTTGCCCTTTAGACATCCCTCCCTAACGTTCAGATCATGAGATAAAGAGCGAAGGCTGGCAAGTCTTTTTGCCACAGCGTGTAGGGCTGGATCCGGCCCACGCACCGCAGGCAAGGCTCCTCTGCTGTAGAAGAAGAAACGATTACGCGTTCGCCGCAAGAAACGAGGGATTAAAATCCCAGCTCCAAGTTGCAGCTTGCAAATAGCCTCTGAAGGCACAACCTGCAGGAGCGTAAAATCAAAGTTAAGTTTATACAGGTCTTAACCGCTCGCTGAAAGCATTTTTTGTTCAGGCAAGCCAATCTGGACACGTCAACGATGACCTGTTTTAATCTCTCTTCAGCCTACTGTTGGTTTTAATTTATCGTTTAAACGGTTTCCACCGCTTTTATTTCTAACTTTCATATTTATAGAGGCCAACTGGAGTACAAATGCCGTTTTCTGATAATAATTCCTATTTATGTGTTGACTAACGAGATTTACTTGGTTGTCGTGAAACCTCGAAGCAGGTTACGAGAAGTATTAAGGCTATCGATATAATAAAGAAATAGAGTTTACGTATTTATTGTCAACCGCTTAGAGGTTTTTGGACCATCCAGCGGTATATAAATCCCATTTTCTGAGAAGACTTCTTAGCTATTTGCTGGTTACTTTCTGGCAAAATTTATGTCCTGAAACATTGAAGCAGGTTTACAAGAAATATTAAAACGATCAATTAAGATGATGGTGAGGACTTGGCAAATTCACGGCGGCGGAGAGGGCTATCTGTGGCTAATAATAATAATAATAATAATTTATTATTTATACTCCGCATATCTGGCTAGGTTTCCCCAGCCACTCTGGGCAGCTTCCAACAAAGTTTTAAAATACAGTAGTCTGTTAAACATTAAAAGCTTCCCTAAACAGGGCTGCCTTCAGATGTCTTCTAAAAGTCAGATGGTTGTTTATGGCATTCCACAGGGATTTAAAAACAGTTTAAAACACTTACAAGATTAAAAGGATCAACAGCAGACAAAAGAGAGATCAAAACACATCAGTGCACCGTATTTTTCGCTCTATAAGACGCACCAGACCATAAGACGCACCTAGTTTTTGGAGGAGGAAAACAAGAAACAAAATATTCTGAATCTCAGAAGCCAGAACAGCAAGAGGGATCGCTGCGCAGTGAAAGTAGCAATCCCTCTTGCTGTTCTGGCGTCTGGGATAGCTGCGCAGCCTGCATTCGCTCCATAAGATGCACACACATTTCCCCTTACTTTTAGGAGGGAAAAAGAGAGTCTTATAGAGCAAAAAATACAGTACATATTTCTGGAAAGGTTTACCTAAGTGAAAAGGTTTTAAGCAGGTGCCAAGAAGGGTACAGCAAAGGTGTTTGCCTGTCATCAAGAGGCAGGGAGTTCCAAAGTCTAAGCGCTGCTACACTAAAATACCTGATTTCTTCCCAGAACAGAACAAATATTATGTGGCACCTGTAAGAGCGCCATTTCTGCAGAACAAAGTGGACAAGCATGCTTTTATGGGTAAGGTGACCTTGCAAATAACTATTAAGTCTACTTTGTTCTTATTTCTGGGCTGGCTCCTGTGTTGCTCTATAGCAGACGGCAACTCGACAGGGGCCACCTCTTCCAACATAGGCAAGCAGTGACAAAGCTTCACCTGTTGAATTACTGCCGGTCATACGGTTATTAAAGGTAAAGGGTAAAAGGACCCCTGACCATTAGGTCCAGTCGTGGCCGACTCTGGGGTTGCGGCGCTCATCTCGCTTTGCTGGCCGAGGGAGCCGGCGTACAGCTTCCGGGTCCTGTGGCCAGCATGACTAAGCCGCTTCTGGCGAACCAGAGCAGCGCACGGAAACGCCGTTTACCTTCCCGCCGGAGAGGTATCTCTTTATCTACTTGCACTTTGACGTGCTTTTGAACTGCTAGGTTGGCAGGAGCAGGGACCGAGCAACGGGAGCTCACCCCGTCATTGCGGGGATTCGAACCGCCGACCTTCTGATCGGCTAGTCCTAGGCTCTGTGGTTTAACCCACAGCGCCAGTCATGTCCCCTCATACGGTTATTACATGCTCACAAACACTGCCCAATATTGGCAATTTGCCTAATCCTCGATCAATTTGGAGTGATTGGTTGTAGTCAGGGTGGACAAAAACCAATGTTTTTTTTTAAAAAAACACACGATTTTTTAAAATTTAAATTGGATTTTTTAAAATAAAAAGCTTTTGGAGGAAAAAACTTTCTAAAGGTAGTTTTCTATTTAAGTTACATTATAGTCCAAAGGCTATTGATCAGGAAATAAGGATTTGTTTTAAGTTTCTCATGTGTACTAAAACTCAGTCTATGTTGTTTTTTAAAAAATCGTTTAACCACATCAGTTAACAAACATGGATACATATGCTATAACATTATTTTATTTATATGCTATAACGTTATTTTATTTTTTCATGTGTGCTAAAACTAAGTCTAAGGTGTGTTGTTTTTTTTTAAAAAAAGTTTAACCACATCAGTTAACAAACATGGATACGTATGCTACAATGTTATTGCTTTAGTTAAATAAATTGTTTTAATTGTTATTAAGGGAATGATTATTTTTCTCCTTCCAATAATGCACAGCAGAAAAGTTGTCCAAATATAAACAGTTCACTTATTAAACCTCACAATAATTTCATAATTATCTGTCTATGTATTTCTAATAGTATATAACCACATCAGCAATTTTTGATACAACTGTAAAAACTACTCTGAAAATTTATTATTCCGAAAATGAAACCTTCATCTGGTTGGTAAATATTAAGAGTATAGCAACAAAAATGAGTCTTTCTGTAAAAAAAATGATTTAAACCAAGTCTTACCAATTAGTGATTTAAATCAAGTCTTACTGACTAGTGAGTTAAATTGTGATTTAAAGACAGCTATTCCGCCTGGCTTTCAATTTGAACTTAGCATGATCTTTTATTCACCTTCCCCTTTTTATGAAGATTGCCCGCTCTGGGATCCCACAGCTAATTCTCTCCTGGTCTCCTCGCTGGCCCAAATAGGACTAATTCAGCCAGCCAGTCCTGGTGATCATCTAATGTTTATTGGATGGATTTCCCCCCTAAACTGATTTTTGAATTCGGAATTTATTGTTATTCACGTTTTATACTGTATTTTAAGCTGATTTTTTGTTGCATCAATTAAATTTGTTGTTAGCTGCCCTGAGCCCGGTTTTCTGAACCGGGAAGGGCAGGGTATAAATTAAAATTTATTATTATTATTATTATTATTATTATTATTATTATTAATTTGATTTAAATCAAATCCACCCTGGTTGTAGTTTGCCCAGGGATGGGCGTTCTGCACATGTTCAGAGGAACCTTCTACAGGTACCGTAGTTTTCGCTCCATTAGACGCACCTAGTTTTTAGAGGAGGAAAACAAGAAAAAAATATTCTGAACAAAACAATGGATGTATGATTTTTGTGGTTCAAGCTGTGGCCACAGACATGTGATCTGATGGTGAATTTGGGGTGACCCAATGCAAAAATACTGAGAATCCATGTGGATCCGTGCTTTGTAACCACATTTTTGCACCATTGCGGCCCCAGGCTGCAGTGGGTGCGTGATTCTTTTAGTGCAGGCTGTAGCCACGGACATGCTATGTGATCTGATGGTGAATTTGGGGTGGCTCAATGCAAAAATCCTGAGGATCCACGGGCTTTTACCTCCTCCCTCCCAGGCAGCCTCCTTTATTGCTAGCGTCCCTTATCTCTCTTCCCGATCGCTTGCTGATCAGCTGCTTCCTTTCAACACTCCATTCCCTCTTGTTTGCCTTAGTGTCTTTCCCTTAGCTGGAGCAGTTTTTTGCTCCTCCTTTCCTTCTAATTTCTCTCCTTATTGCTTTGGTCTTCCTGTTTCCACCCTTTGCAAGTTGGCTGTCTTTACCTCCCCTCTCCCAGGCAGTCTCCTTTACCTCTAGCATCCCTTATCTCTCTCCCCGATCAGCAAACGATCAGCGGCTTTGTTTCAACACCCCCTTCCCTCTTTCAAAAAATGAGCTGCTTTTTGCCCCTGGGCAATTCGGCTCCAGGGACCCACCCATTCGCTCCATAAGACGCACAGACATTTCCCCTTACTTTTTAGGAAGAAAAAAGTGCGTCCTATGGAGCGAAAAATACGGTGCTTTGTTGCGGCTTCGCACGGAGCGGTCTTACCTGCCGAGCCATTCCGAGACAACGCCCACCATGAAGGCAGAGATCATTCCGCCGATGGAAAAAATGGCGACCGACAGGGACCAGAGCGTTTTGAGGGTGTTGGGGTTGATGTGCTCCCCATTTCGGTGTAGCCAGGTGGCATTGTAGTTCTGTTCGATTATCTGAGCGAAGCAGGAAGGAAAACGGGGTGAGTAGCGAAAAACCCCTCTTATATCGTAAACCGATCTGCGGTCTTCAGATGGAGGGCAGAATAGAAGCTTACTTTATTATTTTTATTATTATTAATATTATTACTCTGTAATGGGTCGGCATTTTTGTATATCTATGAATGATAAATAAATAACTTATTATTAATAATAAATAAGTTAAGTAAATAATATTTAACTTATTAACTTATAGTGTTTTTGTTTATCTATGAATGATAAATAAATAACTTATTAATAACAACAACAATAATAAATAAGTTAAATAAATAAAAAGTTATTTATTTATCATTCATATACAAAAACGCCGACCCATCACAGAGCATCTTTCTACAATATACTAAGGTAAGATAGCTACTTAAGTCCAAAGAAAGAACAAAGTCAGGAAGATGGGGGGAAGCAAGAAAAGGAGGTTCCTAAAGAGAAAGGGAGAGAAAAGAGAAAGGAAGGGAAAAACTACAGAAAGATAGAAGAGAGGAAAATGACTTCCAGCTCTCTGTCCTGAAACTTCATTCCATCAACCATTCTAACTTCTACAAACCAGTATTTTTTCCCGATCTCTTCACACCCCAATATTACAAGTTCGTTTTCTCTTTCATGCAAAAAGAGAGAAATTTTTAGTCCTTCGCAAATGTCGATGATGGTTTTTCTCTAATTAAACATGTTCGCTTTGCCAGTACTGTATATAAATTATTATAATAATAGTTTCACAATTTATTTATTAAAGTGTGTTTAAAATACCCTGATTTGTGTTGCGGGAGCCACAAGCGCACAACCACACACAGGCGGCCAACATTGCTGATTCTCCTCTCTCAACCTTTAACTCTTTTCTATTGTGTATCTTAAATTGCGAGTACGAAGGCAGGGCCTGGTTTTCTATTTATTAAGTTTATCAGAGCAAACCAAACCGTATCAATAATCCGCAGTGAATTCTTTAGATTACTATAATAGTTCGTGGACAGAGCGGCTATTTGGCATGCAGAACATCTCGGGTTTAGAGCCTTGGGATTTAGGGTTGGGAACGCCGCCTTTCCCTAGGTGTCGCTAGACTACAACTCCCATCATCCCTAACTAGCAGGCCCAGTGGATGATGGGAGTTGTAGTCCAACAATACCTGGTGGAGAGGGGCTGGTGTGGACAATACTGGGTTTGGCGGACTACTGGTCTGACTCCGTAGCAGGCATTGCCTTCTGTTCCGAATTGTTTTGTCACTTCATTTAAGAGAAAACATTTAATTTTTTCATTTAAGAAAATCCATATACCGCTCGATTGTACAAAAAAAAAGGAGCAACCTCAGTTGCTTACAAAAACCACAAATTAAAATTGTCGATAAAAAGCAGTCCGAGAAAGATATTTAAAAAAACATTCGGAAGAATGTTTAATGCAAATTCTTACACGGCTGAGTCCCGGTTTTTGAAAGTAATCCGTTCCAGAAGACCGTTCGACTTCCGAAACGTCCGAAAATTGAAAACGGAAGCCTCAGTACAATAGGGAAACTCAAAACGGATGCCTGTAGCACGTTCGGCTTCCGAAAATCATTTGAAAACCGGAGCAGTTACTTCCGGATTTCCAGCGTTCGGTTTCCGAATCGTTCGGCTGCCGAGATGTTCGAAAACCAAGGTTCCACTGTAACACAAAATGGGGCTGCTTTGATTTTTAAAAATATATTTGTACAGTGCCTAGAAATTAATAATAATACGCAGAATTAGATAAGTTAACAGGAAGGATTCTAAACAGGCGGGATCAGAGATTCTTAGAAGACTGGAGTGAATCTATGAACTATTGGAAAAGTAACTGCGATGAACAGATTACGCTAGCAGGACTGCAAGAAGTTTTGTAAAGTGGATTATTTGAAATATAGACCATGAAGAGAACTATTAGTTAAGGGTAATTATATGTAATACAGAAAGTAAGACATGCGGAATAAGTGATAAAGAACGGAAAATCATCAGAGGTGTTGATGGAAGTCCAAAATATTGTGTAAGATGAGAAGTTATGTTGTATGACTGTTGAAACTGATATGTTAAAAAAATTAATAAAAGAGTGTGTGTTTGTGTGTGTGTATGTGTCTATCTATCTATCTACCTATATCTATCTATCTATCTATCTATCTATCTATGAAATTAATAATAACAGCAACACACTATTGATTCACTCTGTAATTTCCTGTCCTTTCATACCCAATAATATACTTAAAAAACAGAATTATCTACCATTCTCTCAGCCTTCCCCAACTTGCTGCCCTCCAGATGACTGGGACCACCCCTCTCTTTTCTCCCCAGACAGCCTTGGGGGTCTGACCCTCTCTCCTTCCAGGGGAACACCCCCCAACAAACCTCTTGCGGCGCGTTGATGACTCCGACGTTGTATCCAAACTGCAGAGACCCCAACACGGCCGTGAAGACGGACAAGATTAAGGTGAAGGTTATCCCACTCCCCGAATCTTCCTCTCCTTCCTGGGAAACGACAGGGAGAGAAAAAATGAGTGATGGATCCCTTTTCCCAGCTTGCAGCTGGATTCCTAGGACCCACGTACCTACGGGACCGCCTCTCCTGGTACGCCCCACGGAGAGGTCCCCAAATGACAACATTTTGCAGGTCCCAAGTTGCAAGGTGGTTAGATTGGTCGCAACTAGGAACAGGGCCTTTTCAGTACTAGCCCCGACTTGGGGGGCCCTGCAGGATTTGACATCTTTCCACAGGGCCTGCAAGACGGAGCTGATCCGCCTGGCCTTCCGCTTAGACTCACTCTGACGACCCCTTATATGGGATTTGGTATATAAATTCTCCCTTGGCTTTTTTGCTGAGACATGTAGGACCAGCATGGATAGCTGGCTCGGGTGAATATCTGATGTTTCCTCCCTTTATGGTCTTGATTTATCGCTACTACTGGCACTGTGGGTTAAACCACAGAGCCTAGGACTTGCCGATCAGAAGGTTGGCGGTTCGAATCCCCGCGATGGGGTGAGCTCCCGTTGCTCGGTCCCTGCTCCTGCCAACCTAGCAGTTCGAAAGCATGTCAAAGTGCAAGTAGATAAATAGGTACCACTCCGGTGGGAAGGTACACGGCGTTTCCGTGCACTGCTCTGGTTCGCCAGAAGCGGCTTAGTCCTGCTGGCCACATGACCTGGAAGCTGTAGGCCGGCTCCCTCGGCCTGTAAAGTGAGATGAGGCGCAACCCCAGAGTCGGCCACGACTGGACCTAATGGTCAGGGGTCCCTTTACCTTTACTAAAATGAGGCTGCATTTTAAGCTGTATTTTAAGCCATATTTTAATTAACTGTTTGGTGGTTGTTGTTGTTTTTCTATTACGTTTTATTGTAATTCATATTTGGTGTTAGCCGCTGTGAGTCCTGCCGGCGAGTGAGGGGTATAAATAAACATTTATTTACTTATGCGTGTGATATTTTGACGTCCTGATGTCGCGCACGTGAGCATAAGCGAAACCCCACGTTTGAGGGAAAACGCACTTTGCACATGCCCAGAAGCATGCCCTGGCCTTTGGTTTGGACTCGGTCTGACCCCCTCCTTTGGTAATCCTCATAGAACTCTAGCCCAATGGTTGCCATTAAATAAAATTATTATTGTTATTATTCTAGCTGCCACCCAGAGCATCTTCACCCCGCTATCCACGGCACCCCAAATCTGCACTCCAAAGCACCCACCACCCATGTTGCAAACTTTGTGTTCAGAAGACGGTTCACAAAGATGGAATTAAGAAACCTCCAGAGTCCCAGGTTATCCCTATACAGTGGTACCTTGCTTCCCAAATGCCAAAAACCCGGAAATAAGTGTTCCGGTTTTCGAACGTTTTTCGGATGCTGAAGGTCCAATACGGCTGTCGGCTATTGTTTCCAGGGCGCCTGCACCAATCAGAAGCCGTGCCTTGGTTTTCAAATATTCTGGAAGTCAAACGGACTTCCGGAACGGATTAAGTTTGGCGCTTTTGTTTTTGCTCTTTATTTTGCATTTTTGTTTTTGAGGCTTTTTCGGTTCATTGGTTTTTTGTGACTGCGTGGAACCCAGTTCAGCTACTGATGGATGGATGGTGTGACTGTGGAAATGGATAAAAGCCCCCCATCCAAACAAGGACTATCATCAGTGCAGGTAAGAAAAACAAATGTAATTTTAATTTGTATCATCTACGATACTGTCTTATTTATTTTATAGTACAGTACATTGACTATTGCTTTCGTTTTATGGACCCATGTTTTATGGATCCATTAGAATAGTAAAATTCATGTTAAAGTTCTGTTTTGGGGTTGTTTTTAAAAGTCTGGAGAGGATTGATTCGTTTTGCATGACTTTCTATGGGAAAGCGCGCCTTGGTTTTGGAACGCTTTGGTTTTGGAACGGACCTCCGGAACGGATTAAGTTTGAGAACCAAGATACTGTACAGTGGTACCTCGGGTTACATACGCTTCAGGTTACAGATTCCGCTAACCCAGAAATAGTGCTTCAGGTTAAGAACTTTGCTTCAGGATAAGAACAGAAACCGTGCTCCTGCAGCGCGGCAGCAGCAGGAGGCCCCATTAGCTAAAGTGGTGCTTCAGGTTAAGAACAGTTTCAGGTTAAGAACAGACCTCCAGAACGAATTAAGTACTTAACCCGAGGTACCACTGTATCTTTATGATGATTTCTCCCTCCATCTCTTTGTTGTTTACAGACAGATACGTCTCAGGTTGCAGTGTTTTTTTACAACTTCCTCCTCACCTTTCTCTCTCTCTCTCTAGGCCTGAAGGTGAGAGGTCACCTTCAAACCGAGAGAAAAATGGAGCAAAAAACCCTGCCTTTTTCTTCTTCTCAGGACTAGTTCGACCAGAAACCTCGGAAACCAATAATGCAAAGTTGGAAAAGGTTCGGGGAAAAGGAGAACCGAAATGAGCAAGGGGAAAGGGTTTCAAACGCCAGGTGAGTGAGAGGCGACATGACAGAAAATTATAAATTTATAAAATTATAAAATTTCCCTACAGAAAATTATAAAATTATGTGATGGGGTGTGTGGAAATGGATAAAGAAAAGTTTTCCTCTCATAACCCTGGAACTCCAGTGACGTTGAATGTTGGGAGATTGAGGGCACAGAAAAGAAAGCACCTTTTAATGCAACACATAGTTAATCTATGGAACTCCACGCCTAGGGAGGAAGCCCTTTCTTTTATGTTCTTAAATTCTCACTATATTCGAGTGACAAGCTTTCCCAGCTTAGCCTAGTCCACACGACTCGAAACTTATCGGATGTTATTTTCAGTGTTGCTTTCAAACTGTTCTCATTGCATTTTGCAGATTGCCTTGAGACACATGTGTATTGGAGGCAATAATAATAATAATAATAATAATATTGTACCCCGCCCATCTGACTGGGCTACCCCCAACCACTCTGGGCAGCTTCCAACAAAACGTAAAAGGCATAACAAAACATCTTGAATTCAGTGGACGTACGTATAATGATTGAGGGATGCGGGTGGCGCTGTGGGTTAGACCACAGAGCCTAGGACTTGCCGATCAAAAGGTCAGCGGTTCGAATCCCCGCGATGGGGTGAGCTCCCGTTGCTCGGTCCCTGCTCCTGCCAACCTAGCAGTTCGAAAGCACACCAGTGCAAGTAGATAAATAGGTACCGCTCCGGTGGGAAGGTAAACGGCGTTTCCGTGCACTGCTCTGGTTCGCCAGAAGCGGCTTAGTCATGCTGGCCACAGGACCCGGAAGCTGTAGGCCGGCTCCCTCGGCCAATAAAGCGAGATGAGCGCCGCAACCCCAGAGTCGGTCGCGACTGGACCTAATGGTCAGGGGTCCCTTTACTTTTACCTTACATATACCGTATTTTTTGCTGTATAAGACACACTTTTTCCCTCCTAAAAAGTAAGGGGAAATGTGTGTGCGTGTTATGGAGCGAATGCAGGCTGCACAGCTATCGCTGAAGCCAGAACTCTTGCAAAGCCTCTTCAACAACATTTGATTCACAATATTTTTTTTCTTGTTTTCCTCCTCTAAAAACTAGGTGTGTCTTACGGTCAGGTGCGTCTTGTAGAGCGGAAAATACTGTACAGTGGTACCTCGGGTACATAATTCGTTCCGGAGGTCCGTTCTTAACCTGAAACTGTTCTTAACCTGAAGCACCACTTTAGCTAATGGGGCCTCCTGCTGCTGCTGCGCCGCCGGAGCACGATTTCTGTTCTTATCCTGAAGCAAAGTTCTTAACCTGAAGCACTATTTCTGCGTTAGCGGAGTCTGTAACCTGAAGCGTATGTAACCCGAGGTACCACTGTAATGATTATGTAAGGAATAATAGCAATCATGATGTTATTCAAAATGTGTGCTTCAGGGCAGATGTGTCCCGTTTGAATTTTCCACCTGAGACACCAAACCAACTCATTTTCCCGTTCCCAAACGCAGGCATCTTTGATTTTTATAAGAAGTCTTCAGAAGAGAGATATTGTTGGGAACTTGGGAGAGAGGGGAGAATCAGTGGTACCCCATAAACTGCCGCATTAGTCCGCTTCTGGTTTTAACCTACTTATTACTGGCCCCGGTGAAAACAAAGAATTCCAAATTTCCTGTAACGCCGCCTGCCCCCTCCAGTGTGTGGCACCGAAAGGAAATGAGCTTTGGAAACCAAAGATGTTGCAAATTGCCATCTCTTCCCAGTTCACAGGAACTAGGGCGAGGCCAGCCTTGCCCGGCGTGGACTGCGCTCGGGTTGGCAGGAGTAATGTCAATATTTGAGATTAGTGATTATATTATCCGCTATCATTGTCTCCCCTCACCACCAACAGCGACCAGCTCAGTCCCAAAGGATCACATTTGTGGAGGGGGGAGGGTACCGGAAAGAGGGTGCGTGCACACAAAAACACACACACACACCCTCGACTGTTTTCGGCCTTGCCCCAAAGTGGAAAAACTTTTGCAGGAGAAAAGCCGTAGGACCTCACAGCAAAGGAAATTGTCCCACAGCCGTCGCACGGTTCAACCACAGAATTTGCTCTCGTTTTTTTTTTAGCAGGCACCAGAAAAAGTGAAGTTGAAGGCCTGTCGTCAAGTGGCAGGGAGTTTCAAAGTTCAGGCGCAGCCACGCTAATATGGTCTTATAAATGTGGAATGTGCCCGATCTCATAGGTCAACGCTGGAGGATCAATGGCGAACAGCCACAATGGGTATGTTCCTCCTTCGCTGGGATTCAGAAGAGAGGAGAGGGTCCCCCGGGCATCTGAGAACAGGACCCCATACCTGGGGGCATTCCGTCTCCCACATATTGCGCCACCGATGGCCCGCCTGCCGGCAGATAGCAAGGCGTGTTGTGACACAGAGCTCTTCAGCGATGCGCTGGCAGGTGAGGGCTTCCCATAACCCCACGTACCGCACGTAGCCCCAGGATGGCGCACCACGGCGCACAGCCTCAAGGTCAAACGTTATTTCGCCCCGGGGCAGTGGCGCAAAAACGTGCCAGGCTGCTACCTTTGCACAACACTCACGCCGAGGCTATTTAGGCGTGCGAGGAGTGAGCAACGCCTGTCCAGAGCTATAGGGCTGGCCTCTGCTCTGGTGCCCCTTGTGGGTTTCTCATCTGTGCCCATTTCCTCACGTTCAAGAGTTTTGCCGCCAGCTCCCTGGCAAAGGCTATCTTGCGCTCTGCTTCTGCCACACTGAAAATGCGGCTTTGCCGTCCTTTAACGACCCTCCGAAAACATCAGAGTTTTAGGCTTCCGGGTGGAATACCTTCCACATGCCCATGCCCACCCTGCCCCTCGTAAACAGAGGATCCCTGCCAACGCCGCCACAGCCCCACGGAAAGATCGCCAGGCGGCATCAATGCCCTCCTCCACCCCAGAGCCGGCTGCATTTTCAGGGAGCTGGTTCCTGCACAAAACAGACGGCACGGGGCAGGATCAGGCCGGTGGTTGGTTCCGCCGGCCCAGCATCCTGTCCCTCTGTGGGGCCAACCAGATAGATGCCTTTTCTGGGGAGCCCGCCAGCGGGATCCGAGTTCGAGAGCCGCTCTCCGCTCTGGCGGCTTCTTCTGGCGACTGGTTTGGGGTGGCGACATGGGGTGGAGGGGGCTGGAAGGAGCATGTGGGGCTAAGAAGGGGGCTGCAAAGGGGATGCCACACATACCTTCCTCCGAAGAACCATCCTGAGCCGGCTCCCAGGCTGCCCTCCAAGTGACTCACGCCTCCTGCTTGCTGCCGCAGTCGCTGGAGGCCTGCCTGTCCCCTCCCTCTTCCTCTGGGTCTGGTATTCGGGGCGAGGCACGTTTCCATAGCACTGGGAGGCAGGGAGGGGCAGCCAGACAGGCGAGGAAGGAGGTGTGTGGGGGGGAACCCTGCAGGCTGTGCGGCCTATGGGGCGAAGCAAAGCTCCCTTGCAAAGTTTTAATTTCCCGGCACGGTTCCCCCCCCCCCCCGAGCTGGCAGGCAGAAATCCAACACGTGGAGCTTTGTGGGGGTGCTTCACCGGTTGGGTTTCTGCCTGCCACTTACTTGAGTTTTAAGGCAAACGCTGCTGGCTCCTTCTGTTTTTTCCCCTGAGCAGGCAGGCAGAAATCCAATACGTGGGGCTTTGTTGGGGCGCTTCACCGGTTGGGTTTCTGCCTGCCGCTTGAGTTTTAAGGCAAACGCTGCTGGCTTGTGGGGCAGACTGGAGAGGGGCTGGGGGCTCCTTTTGAGGGGGGAATCCAACACGTGGAGCTTTTTTGGGGCGCTTCACCTGTTGGATTCCTGCCTGCCGCTTGAGTTTTAAGGCGAATACTGCTGGCTTGTGGGTCAGAGTAGAGCCGGGGGTGCTAGGAGCCCCTTTTGATGGGGCAAATTGTGGGTTTTCACTTTTTTTTGAGCTGGAGGAGGAAAGGCAGGCTTTAAGGATGGCTGTCTGGAGGCCCTGAGGGTTTGTGCTCTGCTGGAGAAGAGAGAGACAGCAGTGTGGCTAAGGTTAGTGGTGTGTGTGTGTGTGTGTGTGTGTGTGTGTGTGTGTTTATTAGTGCATTTGTTTTCTGACAATCTGGAACGGACCTCCCACCCCAGGCACCCAGGGGAGGGCGTCCTGTCCTGACAGACATCCGCACAAGAGAGGACCATATTAGGGGATGCTGCTGGAGCCAGGAAGCTTCAGAAATGTAAACACGGAAAGGGCTTCTTGACCCCCAAGAAAGGGAGGAGGAGGAGGAGGAGGGACAGCAAGGGTTAACTGGCAACAAACCTCAAGCCATTTCCAGCAAACCTTTAAGGGGCTTCGTCTGGCAACCAAGCAGCAAATTAAATTTTGCTGAGCGACAATTCGCTCCCGCGAACAAAGGGCCTCTGAGCACGTGCAGAGTTCCCCGCATTTGTTTGAGCGGCTGCGACAAAGGATGTGGCACAAGGGAGCGATTAACCGCTGGGGGATAATAGAAGATGAAGTCTGGCAGAGACTCCAACTGCCTTTATAATGTTTGATGTTTCCTTTTTACTTCTTCATCTTGAATGTTTGTTTGAATGCAAAAAGTGGAATATAACTTTCTTGTATCTTATAGTGCGGCGGTTTTGTTTGATTTTTCTGTTATTTCTATGATTGTATGTTTGTTTACTTGTATATACGTCTGTTTTCTCATCCATGTATTTATTTTAAATGGATATTTATATTTTAAAAGGAAGAAATTGTAATATAACATATGCACATCTAATTCAATGCCTGCCCACCCTGCTTTTATCCCGGCTTTGGGGGAAATGTAGAGGAGACCCCCTTAATTTTTTGCCTCCCTGGTTCACGACCAGCCGGGGGGGAGCCCGCCTCCAACGCGCCCTTCTCCAACGTGGCGCCCTCCAGGCATCTCGGGAGTCATAGCGCAAGGCGCCAGGTGGGCGCCCGGTTGGCAAAGGAAGCTACGGTGCGTACGTGCATGAAAATGCGACCGCGTTTAAAGGATGGCGTGTCACTTCCCCTCTTCGGCAGACAGATCTAAGCCCGCCCGCCTTCTGAGAAGTCTATAAATAAGCACCGCCAGGTCCATTGTGAGATCAAAACTCTTTTTTGAGAGCTTCAAAGGAGAAGGAAGCTCAGGCACGCGGTCTTTTTGCTCACGAAGCCCCATTTCGCCGGCCGGTGCAAAGATAATAAATGAACATTAAAGGCAGAAAACAGATAGCCCTGGTGGTTCTGAACAAAAGGCCCACCTGCTCCACCATCCGGCGTCCGACTGCGCCAGCCCAGGTGTGGCAAAAACACCCTCTGTCATTTTGTCCCATCTCTTGCGGGGGCGCAATTAGTGCCAGCACCTTCCGTTAAGAGTTTGGGTGTCATCTTCGACACCTCCCTTTCCATGGAGGCGCAGATTGCAGCTACAACAAAGGCGGCATTTTTCCATCTCCGCCAAGCTAAGCAGTTGGCTCCTTACCTCTCTCGCCCTGACCTGGCCACTGTGATCCACGCAACGGTCACCTCCAGACTGGATTATTGTAACTCGCTCTACGTGGGGCTGCCCTTGAGACTGACCCAGAAACTCCAGCGGGTGCAGAATGCTGCGGTGAGACTCTTTACGGGGTCCTTGCCACGGGATCACATTCACCCAGTGCTATACCAGCTGCACTGGCTCCCGGTGGGGTACAGGATCAGGTTTAAGGTGCTGGTTTTAACCTTTAAAGCCCTATACGGCCTAGGACCCTTGTACCTACGGGACCGCCTCTCCCGGTATGCCCCACAGAGGAACGTACGGTCTTCAAACAAAAACATCTTGGAGTTCCCGGGCCACAGAGAGGTTAGGCTGGCCTCAACCAGAGCCAGGGCCTTTTCAGTACTGGCCCCGACTTCGTGGAACGCTCTGTCCCAAGAGAGTAGGGCCCTGCGGGACTTGACATCTTTCCGCAGGGCCTGCAAGACAGAGCTGTTCCACCTGGCCTTTAGCCAGGGCACAGCCTGACTCCCTCCTTTGGCAATCTTCACAGAACTCTAGCCCAATGGTTGCCATCAATTTGAGTTGAATTAATTTTATAATGAAATGATTTTAGAATGTTGTATTATTTTATTGTTGTTAGCCGCCCTGAGCCCGGCTTCGTCTGGGGAGGGCGGGATATAAATAAAAAATTATTATTATTATTATTATTATTATTATTACTGTCCTCCTCCTGAGCTGCCAGGGTTCAAAGGTAGACTGCGCCCGGACATGGGGGCTCCATTTAGCTCTCGCTGATAACCCCAAGGTTGCAGGTTCGAGCCCCGTAAGGGACACCTGCATATTCCTGCGTCGCCGGGGGTTGGGCTGGATGACCTCTGGGGTGTCCCTGAGGCCTCTACAATTCTGCAAGTCTAGGAATGCAAAAAAAGCCTTTGGCATGATCAGGCAGCCAGACTCTCCTTATGGAGTTACGCAGGGTCGTTCAAGGTCACGGTGGAATATTTGGGATGGGTAGGTAGGGGAAACAGAACACGTCGTTATTTATTTCCTAAAAATTAGGCACCGCCCAATTGTTAAAACGGAAAAAGCTCCAAGTGGTTTACAGAAGGGGGGGGGCGTTTACGATCCTTTGAAACGTACTAAAAGGTTGTGAACGGCCCTGAGATCTACGGATAAGGAGAAGAAGAAGAAGAAGACAGATTAAAACCAACTTTCTATAACCAAGTTTCTACTGAAATGAGGCTGCATTTTAATGTTGTACTATAATCTTGTTTTTAAGTTGTATTTTAATCAATTGTTTTTATACCTGGTGTTAGCCGCCCTGAGCCTGGTATTGGCTGGGGAGGGCGGGGTATAAATAAAATTTATTATTATTATTATTATTATCCTGGGTACGCTTGTCTAAACAAGGATATTTTCAAGGGACGCGTCAAAAAAAAATCCAGCGAAAGCACTGGCAGGTGTCAATCAGCAGGGAATTCCAAAGGGTGGAAGGATTCAAATTATTATTATTATTATTATTATTATTATTAGACCCTTCTTACCTGTGTGAGAGAAGAATCCATTCCATCCCAGGAGACTGCCCTCCGGGAATAGATATCCGCGGTAATAATTTCCGTTTATCCGACGCCCGCCTTGCTCTGGAGACCCCCCCACCAGAAAGACCCGCAATCTCCCCCCTTCTTTTAATATCTCCTCTTAATTTGGCCTCGCTGCCTCCCCACCTCCTCAACATTCAATCCCTTTCCCAAGTCTCTGGGGAAACCAAGGTTTCACTTGGCAGTTTCCAGCTCTGAGATGGGAAAGTTTCCAAGGCAGGCTAGGATTTCATCCTCTGCTTGCGGGGGAGACACAACACATGATGCATTTGAGTGGCAGGTGACGGGCATGTCACCGTGTGGGATAGGGTCCAGTTACTCGCACGCGCAGGACCCCCCCAATGTCCTTGTGCGTGTGTGTCCCACCATCCTATTCTCCCCCCCCCCAAAAAAATATGACTGCAGCATCTTTGACAGGCTCGGAAGTTCAGGCTGGGAAAGTGGGTCTGCTTTTTTTATTTTTTAAATTTATTTATTCTTTTTTTAATAGCGACAGCAACCACGAAAAACACCTACAACAAAAACCACAGTAACACTACGAATACCATTTAAATTTAATGATTACTTAGTTAAATATGTTAAGTTAAATGAACTGAAAACAGCTTGCAGGTACTTAATTGGCATAGGATTTTATTTATGTTAATATGTTTAATTTCATAAAGTGAAGATTTAAGGACGTTAATGTTTAAGTTAAATTTGATAAGAATTGTGACTTGGGGAACCGTTAAAAGGATATGCAATGAAATTCAACCAAGGGGAAGCGGGGAAGTCACTTAACAAAGTTAATAAGTGTAATTTTCAATAAGGTTATGATTTATGTTTGTTTGTTTTATGTGTTTGTTTATAATATTGGGAAAACCAATAAATTTTTTTTGAAAAAGAAAGAAAGAATACAATTTAACAATTCAGAGTTGAGTACTGATATACCTATAACTACACCCTTTTAACATTATTTCCCCACCTCTCCTCCCCCTAATTCCCACCATTTTTATGCCTTATCGCTTAAGTATTCCTTCCAGATTTCTTCATATTTATCCATTCTTGATATGCAATTTGTTCGTATGCAACTAGTCTGTCCATGTTGTCAATCCATGTGCTCAATGGGATCTTTTTGCGGCTCTTCCGATTCATCAAAACAAGATTTTTTGCGTCTAATATGGCACGGTACATCCATATTTACCATATTTTTCGCTCTATAAGACGCACCAGACCACAAGACGCACCTAGTTTTTGGAGGAGGAAAACAAGAAAAAAAATATTCTGAATCTCAGAAGCCAGAACAGCAAGAGGGATCGCTGCGCAGTGAAAGCAGCAATCCCTCTTGCTGTTCTGGCTTCTGGGATAGCTGCGCAGCCTGCATTCGCTCCATAAGACACACACACATTTCCCCTTACTTTTTAGGAGGGAAAAAGTGAGTCTTATAGAGCAAAAAATACGGTATTTATTTTTAAGCCACCCAGGCTTCTCACTGCCCCCTTCCCAAAATAAGAAGGGGGTGGGGGCCTCTGCGGCTGCCTTGACAACCTCTGCACCCTGTCAATCAACGGGTGGCCTGGCAGCTAGCACCTGTTCGGCTGCTGGGCGAGGCAAGTGTAATTTAATTTAATTTTTTTTAAAGGGCCAGAGGGGAATAGGCAGAGACATGCGCCTTTACCTCCATTACTCAGCGTAATAGGAGACAGGCCTGATCTGGGTGGAAGCAGCCAAATATGGCTTTTTTCCCTCTCTCTCCAGCAGCAGAGGTTCATTCCTGCCTCCAGGCGTGGAAGAACAGCTTTTGCAAAGTGCTTTTTTTTTTTTTAAGTCCCAATGTTTTTCCGACGGGAACAGGGACGTCCGAAAGGGCAAGCGGGACATTGCGGGATGAAATAAAAAAATGGGGATGGTTTCTGTCCATTGCCGGATTTACGTGTAAAATAAACAAGCTCTAGTTTAGGGCCCCACTCGATTGGGGCCCCCAAAAAAATTTAAAGGGGGAAAAACCCTGGATGTACATTTCCAAAATATAAAAAATAAAATAAAACCGACATACAGTGTTTTGTGTTGTGTATGGACCTAAAGGTAAAGGTAAAGGGACCCCTGACCATTCGGTCCAGTCGTGGCCAACTCTGGGGTTGCGGTGCTCATCTCACTTTATTGGCCGAGGGAGCCGGTGTACAGCTTCCAGTCATGTGGCCAGCAGGACTAAGCCGCTTCTGGCGAACCAGAGCAGCGCACGGAAACGCCGTTTACCTTCCCGCCGGAGTGGTACCTATTTATCTACTTGCACTTTGACGTGCTTTCGAACTGCTAGGTTGGCAGGAGCAGGGACCGAGCAACGGGAGCTCACCCTGTCACGGGGATTCGAACCACCAACCTTCTGATCGGCAAGTCCTAGGCTCAGTGGTTTAACCACCAGCGCCACCCGTGTCCTGTGTATGGATCTATTAGGTCTATAAATGACCATAGAGCATATATTCAACACAAAAAAACAGGGACAATTTGTTGTTGACAAAGGAGAGTTGGACATATAAAGGGCCCCACTGCCTTCAGTAACTTAGGGCCTCATCAGACCTGAATCGGGCCCTTCTTCTGTCGACCCGGGACTGTCCCGGGAAAATAGGGGCACTTGGAGGGTCTGCAGACTGCTGGCAATCGGCTCCGATCCCCGCTGCAAAAGCTCAGCATTGCTTGCAGAGTAAGCCCCCCCCCCCCAGTTACCCTGGGAGCAAGCTCCCCTGGGATTCAGTGGGGCTTACTTCCGAGTAGGCAAAGTTAGGGATGGATGGCACTGCCAGCTAAACTAAGGCAGGAAGAAAAACGCCACAGTGATTTCGAAAAGAGGCAGCAAAACGTCAGTTCTATTATATTGCTGTCATTAATAATTGAATTTATAAAAGTTATATACAGATCAAGACTAAGGATTAGGATTAAAAAGGTTAAAAGAATGGAAAATTGGCTATTAATAGATAAAAATTTAATGTTATATTATATTAAGATTAAGGATTGGGATTAAAAAGAGAAGCGGACACGGAGCAATGGATCCAAACTACAAGAAAGAAGATTCCACCTAAACATTAGGAAGAACTTCCTGACAGTAAGAGCTGTTCGACAGTGGAATTTGCTGCCAAGGAGTGTGGTGGAGTCTCCTTCTTTGGAGGTCTTTAAGCAGAGGCTTGACAACCATATGTCAGGAGTGCTCTGATGGTGTTTCCTGCTTGGCAGGGGGTTGGACTTGATGGCCCTTGTGGTCTCTTCCAACTCTATGATTCTATGATTCTATGAAAAAGGAGGGAAAGGAATTGCTGGACAAACAAAACTGAATTGGAATACAAAAGAGGGAGGTATGAGGAGGTCCAGAAAATAAGTAAATTCAAAAGTAGTGATGAAAAGATGGAATTGTTTTTAACTGTTTTTTCTTTATTTTTCTGTATTTTGTATTGTGTATTTTTCTTTTTATTTTTAAATTCTTTTCTTATCGATGTGTTTCTTTTTATGTGAAATTTTAATAAATATCATTTAAAAATAATAATAATAATAATTGCATTTATATCCCGGCGTTTTCTGCAAGGAGCTCAAAGTCTTGTATGGGGCTCTATTCTGGCTCTTTCTCTTTAACCTCCCTGCGAGGGAGGTCAGGCCAACTGGGCTCAAGGTCACCCAGTGAACTTCAGGGTGATTTGAACCCTGGTCTCATCCAGGTCCTAGGCAGACGCTCTAACCACTATGCCGCACTGCTCCAGTAACTTAATCTGGTTGAGAATCAGATATTCTATACTTGGGTTTTGTTATTGTAACCCACATACGGCTGTACTCATGCCTATTTTATAGTTTTGGTTTTCCAGCTTTTAATTTCCATCTGTTATAGCCCTTCTATATACATTATAAAATGATTTTTTTAAAAAAAACAACCAAAAGCTTTACAAAAAATGAGAGCGAGGATAATCTGGAATTATTTGCTAAAAGCTTAATTATCTTACACCTTTTCGTGGCAAATGCTTGATTATACTTATAAAAGCTAAATATTTATATCTTTGTCTATGTAAAGTGATTCATTGAGGATTTAATATCAGTCTCTGTGTATAGAATTAAAGGGAAATAATAATAATATAGTTTTGATTTTTGAACCTAATGCTTTGTGTTGTATGTTCATGCGTATTATTAAGTGAAATAAAATTAATGTTGTTTTTTTTAAAAAAGAGAAAGAAAGAAAGGAAGGAAGGAAGGAAGGAAGGAAGGAAGGAAAGTGGTTGCGTCTACAATTTTCCGGTAGTCACAACCCAATATTTACTTGTCATGTTTAATTATGGTGAATTCTGTGCTGTACGGAGCACTGAGGGAACCATTAACTGAAATTAACGGACATACCTAACTCGGGTCTACTTTTTGGCCCGAGACCTGGGCGGGACCAGGGTTCAAGTCCCCTGAACCACAAAATTCACTGGTCTTCAGCCAGTCACTGACTTTACTCAGGCTAAACTACCTCGCAAGGTCGTTGTGGGGTTTAAATGAGGAGCGGGAGGAGAAACGTGCAAACCGCTTTGCGCTCCTTGGAGGAAAAAGGTGGGGTATAAATGCAATAAATGATTTGTTTTAAGAGAAGGTTCCTCTGAGCATGTGCAGAGTGGGAGAATGTCTCTCACCAGCAAGTAAAGCTCAGCATCGCCCTACAGGAGCAGGTTTAGGGACCCAAAGCTTCCAGATCAGAGACTCTTTAGCCTGGTGGAGTCTCATCTGAGAAATGGATGCTCTTCCAGCCCAAAAGAAAAACCAAAATAAACATAAGGGCATAAGCCTGTATTGATGGAAGCCTCACTTCTGTTGTCTATGCTCTGGTAACCTTTAGGTTAGATTACTGCAATGCGTTCTATGTAGGGCTGCCTCTGAACCATAGCTGTCAACTGTCCCTTATTTGGCGGGACAGTCCCTTATCCCAGCGCCATGTCCCGCTGCTGTCCCTTATTGATGAGGCTTCGTTTGGCTGCTGGCTGGGCTTTCTGCCTTTGGCTCGGAGGGGCTCAGAAGTTGAACATACCTGTGCCCGGAAAATCCCTTATTTTGGCTGCTGATCCCTTATTTTCAAATCTGTAAGTTGACAGCTAGGCTCTGAATACAGTTCAGCTGGTGCAGAATTCAGCAGCCCAATTATGCACCGGAGCAAAACGGTTTGAGCCTTATAACGCCAACCCTGGCCCGACGACACTGGCTGCCGATTAGTTTCTGCTTTTGACCTATCAACAGTGCCCGATTTACGTACAGTCATACCTCGGGTTACAGATGCTTCGGGTTGTGCGATTTCGGGTTGCGCACCGCACCGACCCCAGAAGTACTGAAACAGGTTATTTCTGGGTTTCGGTGCTTGCGCAGAAGCGCTAAATTGCGCTTTGCGCATGCACAGAAGCACCGAATCGCAATTCGCGCGTACGCAGATGCGGTGCTGCGGGTTGCGGACGCTGCGGGCTGCGAATGTGCTTCCCGCACGGATCACGTTCACAACCTGAGCGTCCACCGTATAAGCTAAACAAGCTACAGCTTAGGGCCCCACTCTCTTGGGGCCCCCAAAATATTAAAGGGGAAAAAACCTGGATGTACATTTCCAAAATATAAGATAAAAAACAAATAAAATAAAACCTACCTACAGCAACAGCATTTTGTGTTGTGTAGGCTCCTATGATGTAAGTCATGGGCCCCGCCTGCTAGCCTGCTCCCTAAAATATCCCTGGTTTGCTCCTTTCTATATATGGGCTGCCTACATTCTGCTATTTTGTAATTATTAGTAGTTTGCACCATATAGTTACACCTATTATTATTTCATGTTATAGCAAGTTTCCCGAGAATAGATTATGAGTCTTTGTAAATTGTATTTCTAAAGGAACTTTTGTTATTCCCAAATGCCAATGTGTTTGCATTATTTTGTTATGAATAAACAATCATTTTAAGTTACAGCTGAATCATTATTTCACTAACATACTTCTTCTCAATTGTATTTCCCTGTTAAAATACTTCTTCTTAATTGTATTTCAGTTTAACATTTACTTTGATAAAATACATATTTTGTTATGTGCATATGGCTTTAGAGACCTGGATGTACATTTCCAAAATATAAGATAAAAAACAAATACAGTGGTACCTCAGGTTACATACGCTTCAGGTTACATACGCTTCAGGTTACAGACTCCGCTAACCCAGAAATAGTACCTCGGGTTAAGAACTTTGCTTCAGGATGAGAACAGAAATCGTGCTCCGGCGGCGCAGCAGCAGCGGGAGGCCCCATTAGCTAAAGTGGTGCTTCAGGTTAAGAACAGTTTCAGGTTAAGAACGTACCTCCGGAACAAATTAAGTACTTAATCCGAGGTACCACTGTAAAATAAAACCTACATACAGTGTTTTGTGTTGTGTATGGACCTGTTAGGTCTATAAATGACCATATAGCATATATTCAACACACCAAAAACGGGACAATATGTTGTTGACAAAGGACAGCTGGACATATAAAGGGCCCCATTACCTTCTGTAGCTTAGGGCCTCATCAAACCTAAATCTGGCCCTGTCTATCAAGCCTTAAACGGCTCAGTACCGCCTCTCCCCATATAAGCCAACCGGGACCCTTTGATCATCACCTTAGGACCTCCTCTGTGTGCCTCCTCCGTGTCCGGAGGGTGGCGACGCAAGAACAGGGCCTTGTCTGTGGTGGCTCCTCTGTCTGCAGGACCCTTTCCCCAGGGAGGTTCGCCTGGTGCCTTCAATATACAGGCAAAAATGTTCCTCTTTTTCCAGGCCTTTGGCTAATTAAATCTATGGCCATTTAAGCCGTTTTGGGTGTGTTGCTTTAGTTTGTTACTTTGTTAAGCATTTTTTGTCTTTTTATACTGCAAACCGTTCTGCGATTTAATAAATAAAAGTGATGTTTATAAGCAGGAGCTGAGCCACACACAAAAATGTTCCAGGATGTCAATATGGCAAGGCTAAATATTGCAGGATTTCTGTGCGCTCTGAATAACGCAGGCGAGGCACATGCGCGGTGAAAGATCGGTGCGAAGCGCGCTTGTTGGCGCATGAGCTGAATGACATTGGCGACTCGGATGCGATCCTGTCTCCCTGCTAGGTAGCAAAATGCCAACCGCCGGATGCGATGCAGCCATCACACGGCCACATAATTTGAATTTAGCAATGCAGTTCCAGGTCACGCTCGCCACACGCGTGTGCTTTCCGTGATGTCACAGAAGCTAGTTCCGCTGTGCACATGGATCAGAATGACGGACAATTGCTCCAGAGGCTCTGCGCAAGAGAACGTGCAGAGTTCTAAAGCTGCAGGATGGATCTGATTTAAATCAAATCAATTTAAATCACGAGTCAGTAAACCCGATTTAAATCCTTTTTTTTTTTTTACAGAAAGACTCATTCTTGCTGGTATAATCTGAATATTTACCAACCAGATGAAACTTTCTTTTTCGGAATAATAAATCTTCAGAGTAGTTTTAACAGTTATATCAGAAATTACTGATTTGATTCTACTATTAGAAATACATTGACAGGTAATTATGAAATTATTGCGAGGTTTGGTAATTTAACTGTTTGTATTTGGACAACTTTTCTGCTGTACTTTATCAGAAGGAGAAAAACAACCATTTGCTTAATAACAATTTAAACAATTTATTTAACTAAAGCAATAACATTGTAGCATACGTATCCATGTTTGTTAACTGATGTGGTTAAACTTTTTTAAAAACAACAACCTTAGACTGAGTTTTAGCAGACATGAAAAACTTTAAACAAATCCTTATTTCCTGATGAATAGCCTTTGGACTATAATGTATGGTAACTTAAACAGAAAACAATCTTTAGAACGATTTTGCCTCCAAAAGCATTTTATTTTAAAAATCCGATTTAAATTTTTTAAAATCCAATTTAAATTTTTAAAAATCTGATTTTTTTGATTTTATTATTTTTTAAAATCATGAATTTTTATCCACCCTGCGGAGATGTGACCCATTCTGGGCCCAATCCAGCCTACTGAAAAGGGACTACATATGGGGTGCTGATTGCGAGAATTTTGGGATACCATATATAAAGAATTTAAAAAGATACTCAAATTCTCATTCACACAAAAAAACTGAGGCCTTCTTATTAGGAATTACGTCCATCGAAATTAAGAAAAATCTTAGACCTCTTTTGATGTACGCAACCACAGCGGCTAGGATTTTAATAGTAAAGAACTGGAAAAGAACTGATAACATTAGTTATTTACAACTTGCAAGGATGACAGGGAGATTAAAAGGAAATTTAGTTCAGAAAGTTAATAAAGATTGGATAATGTTTAAAGAATACCTTAAAAATTATTGTGATCATGGTAAGCTCCTGGCAAACTTAGAACGAATCTTGAAATATAAAGAGAGCATATAACAGAATTTTCTTGATAAGAAATGGGAAAGCTAAAAAAATAAAAATGAACTGTGTACAGATTAACAAAATGTTGAATGGTAAAATGAGAAGACTCAGAAGTTAGTGTTTAAGGTGTGTTTATGTTGTGTAGTGTGTCCTGTTTGTATTATATGTATTGTCGAAGTTAAATAGTGTAAGTTATAAGGTATATGCCAACTGATGTTAATTGATGTATAATAAAGATATTAAAAAAGAAAGAAAGATAGCAAGAATGTACAAAACCGGCTCAAACATTTGTTGGAAATGTAAAGAAAAAGAAGGGACTTTTTATCATATGTGGTGGGAGTGTAGAGAAGTTTTAAAAAAATGGGAAATGATATACAATGAATTGAAAAAATTGTTTAAAATGACATTTGTAAAAAAAAAAACCCAGAAGCATTTCTGTTAGGGATTGTAGGACAAGACCTGCCAAAGAAAACAAATAATTTATTTATGTAAGCTACAACAGCAGCAAGAGTCTTGATAGCACAAGGATGGAAGAATGAGGAAACTCCAATGAAATAACAGTGGCAAGAAAAATTAATGAACTATGCAGAATTGGCCAAATTGACTTACAAATTGCGAGATAAGGGTAATTGAGATAAGGATAATGGGAACTTTTTACAAACTATTTGAAAAGACAACAACACGAGCTGCACTCCTTGGCAGGTTTTGAAAAAACATACACAAATTTATTGGTTAATAACATGATGGATGGACATGTAAGGATATGTACAATTTTATAATATGCAGAGAAAATATGGGAAGAGAAATCAGGGAGAGGAGCTGAGGGAAGTCCGGGGGGGGGGGAGCGGAAAAAAATAACGTATGTGATTATATGGTGGAAATTGATCAATAAAAAAGTTACAGAGGAAAGAAAGAAAGAAAGAAAGAAAGAGAGAGAAAAAAGAGAGTAAGAAAGAGAGAGAGAGAGAGAGAGAGAGAAAGAGAGAAAGAAAGAGAGAGAGAGAAAGAAAGAGAGAGAGAGAGAAAGAAAGAGAGAAAGAAAGAAAGAAAGGGAGAAAGAAAGAAAGAGAGAGAGAGAGAGAGAGAGAGAGAGAGAGAGAGAGAGAGAGAGAGAGAGAGAGAGAGAGAAAGAAAGAAAGAAAGAAAGAAAGAAAGAAAGAAAGATAGATATGGGGCACTGTTTGCTGTCTGCATCAGCGTCAAAAGAAAGGACGGAAACCCTCAACTGCAACCCTCCAAAAATTTCTAACGGCCCTCAAGACTGTCCCAAGGCGACGCACTTTCCTGCAAACATCTCACCCAAACCCTAAGTCCCTTTAATCTTTTTCTCCAGGCTGGGGTCACAGAATCATAGATCTGTACGCTTGCAAGGGACCCCCCGAGCTAATCCAGCCCAAGGCAGAAAACACAGCTTTTTTTTCTTTTTTTTGCCAATTGCTTCTATTGATTTTCCAAGTTATTACAAATCACAGCCAAATCGATTGATAACCGTTTCCAAAACCGGTTTCCCGTTCTCCTTATAAGTCCCAAGTTGAACCCGTGTCGCTGCTTACATTCTCCGGTTAACACCCCCCAGTATTTACCGATATTATTATGATTAGAATATATTTTAATTAATTGTGTGGTTTTATGTACACTGTGCTATTTTTACCTGTCGTTAGGAGCCCGGCTTTGGCCGGGGAGGGCAGGATACAAATAAAATTTATTATTATTATTATTAATTGGCTCGCAGCTGAGATGTGCCTCTGAGGTCTGATTGTGCTTGCTGGATGGAGGACAGAATGCAGGGAACTGAATAATAATAATAATAATAATAATAATTTGTTATTATTTATAACCCACCCATCTGGCTGGGTTTCCCCAGCCACTCTGGGCAGCTCCCAACAGAATATTAAAAACAATACAGCATCAGACATTAAAAACTTCCCCAAACATGGCCGCCTTCAGTTGTCTTTTAAAAGTAAAGATATAAAGGTAATATTTGTGCGTTCCTTCTCCTCTCTGTTTTGGTCTCTAGCCCTGTACACCTATGGCACCTGACTTAGAAGGGGAAAAGAGGGTTGAGCCTGTGCAACTTAGAGCAAGTCTCTCTCTCTCTGAGCCTCAGTCCTTCTATCTGCAAAATGGGCGCAAGAGCGGCCTACTCCACAGGGTCGTTTGAAGGTCAAGTTTTTGCAAGTTAGTAACGCAGGCGAGCTGAGGGTGTGTTGCAGCTTGATCTAAGAATTGCAGCAGAAAATGTAACGTTAGGGATGGGTTCGGTCACGCTGCCTCCCATAAGAACACCCACAGCAATTAAAATTCCTAAATAGCGACTCAGGTTGGTTCGGGGATTATAATTACCTCGGTGGCTTGATGGCATTTCTCTCAGCAGAGAGGCATAATTGGGCAAGCAGCGGGGAGAACGCTGCAGAAATCCAGCCGTTTGGGAACGGTTTTGATTATGCAAATAATGCATCGTTTGCATACACAAATGCATGCATTTATTAAATGTATACAACCCTGGATGGTTAAAAAAGAAGGTCAGAATAGTTGACGAGAAAAAGGCAAAACAATAAACCAAGCCCTGGGGAAATAGCAAAAAAAGTCTGGAAAGTCAAAGGAACGATAGACGAAAATAGCTCAGTCGGTAGATTCTGAATCTCGGGTCGTGGGTTCGAATCCCACACAGGGCAAAAGGATTCCTGCAGAGCTGGGGGAATAGATGAGATAACGTGGGGCAGAGAGGGAGCCGCAGGGCTTTCGGGGACAACAGGAATATCAACTTCCTGCATTCCTATCGACCTTCAAGCCTTTCACGCAGAAATATGAGGACTAGAATCTTGGAAGAAATTCAAAGACTATTTGAATAAATATTCTAGCATTAAAGGTATGTAACCACTTGAAAGAACCAACTAGGCCTAGGACAAAATTAGATTTATAAGTATAAATAAGAAAATGCACTATAAGAAAGGTAAAGAAATTGGAATATGACTGTAATATTGTTTTATGAAATAATGATATTGGAAACTGCTACATTCAATTTAAGAGGAAATTCAGATGGAGGAGATTAGAGGAAGTCAACTAAAATGTTTATGAAAATGGATTTTAATGAATTAACTGATTTTATTTATTTATTTTACTTTACTTTTTTTTCTGTTTAGGTATGTCAAGTCTGTTATTCTTTTTTGTTTTTTTAATATCTATACTGTTGTTGTTGCTATGTTGTTGTGTGGTTGTATATCCTTTCTATTATGTCTATTGAAAACTAATAAATATTATTGTTTTTTAAAAAAGAAGAATCTTGCTTTTATTTTCAGCGGGTCTGACTACAGCTCAGTGACAGAGCCTATCCGGCATTATCCGCTGCCCCAAACCCTGGATAATTGCTACCAGGCAACACTTGAGACAGATGGATCTGCGATCCAACTCAGTACACAACTGCTTTTTGTGTCCCTGCGTTACTCGGGTAAGCGAGCCAAGCTACGCGCAGCGCAGCTGCGGCGCTCGCTCCCACGAGATGTAGCGAAGGCATCGATTCGGGTAGCATTAAAAGAAGGTAAAGCCTTGGAGCCACGAGGTCTGTATTCTCGGTGGCAGTATCTCAAAGAATCACAGAATGGTGGAGTTGGAAGAGGTTCCCCTGAGCACATCCAGTCCAGCCCCCAGGATTTGGGATTCGCAGCTAAATAACCCCTCTCAACGCCTTTTGCAAGGAATCAGAGTGCCGGTCTGGAGTAATATAACGCAGCTTTTTGCGCTCCCTCCTCACGATCAAGGGATACGGCCTGTGTTGGCGAAGGGGCACGATTCGCACTCAGACCCCGAGCACGCAAAATGAAATCCACTTGAAAGGAGCTGGGCCGGACACAGCTCCTTGCAACCTGGCACCCGAGCGCCGAGACTGTCCCCAAACAAAAGGAAGCATTCCCAGGATTCCTGCATTTCAGCGGGTTGGACTAGATGACCTTTGGGTACATTTCAACTCTACGATTTTTTTTTAATTCCTTCCAGGCTGCAATTTGTCACAACGGGTGTGCCTCAAAGAAGGCAATCCATTACACGTCCCATAAAAAATATCCGGTTTCTCCACTGAGCGTTAAAAACTTTGCTAGCAAACACGGCTCGGTGGCTCGATTCCCGAAACTCCATGAGGTCTAGAAACCCACCATTTTGAAAACGTGAAAAACGCCTCAGAGGCAATATTTTCAGTGGAAAGATACAGAAGCTCAAAAATCCCTAGAGTTGAAATCAGGGCCCAATTCCCTTGCTGCCTCTATGGCTGAAAACTAAGACTGTCTCTCTTCCCAGCTCAGAGGCCCACCCTGCAGGGAGGTCGTTGGCGGGCGAAAGCAGAACGAGGCGGAAGGGGAAGCTGAACAGATATTGCGATAAATCAACCCCGGACACTGCAAAGAACTTGTTTGTGCGAGGACCACTCGCCATAGAATTACAGAGCTGTGGAATCGGAAAGGGACACCTGAGGGTCATCCAGACCAACCCGCTGCGACGAACGCAGTCCGCATCTATTCTGGAAGCGTCTGAGAGCCGCAATTGGGTGAAAAGCAACTTGGGGAGACGCCCCGCTGCAGACAGCGTGGCTTAACCTCTGAGTAAACATGACCCTCATTTCACAGTCACAGGGACACCCTGAACTAAGAGGTATAAATAGTTGCTTGCATGATCCGGCGTGAAACCCAACTCTTAATTTCAAGTCACAACTCGGAGGCATTTAAAGATACGTTTGCCGGCGACGGAATATTCTGAGGAACCCCAGAAAAAGCAACAACCCCCCAAAATGTGCTCCCAAATCTATGGGTCACCTTGAGCTTTGGGTCTCAGCACCCCCACAGCACCCCACCACCCACTGTCTTCTCTTCTCCAGCCCCCCAACCCAACATTTACCTCGTCCTCGTCCTCTCTCCGTATCTGCTGGAAACCAGCCGGCATCTTTACGGAGGCGCCCGGGGCTGTGGCGAGTTCGAATCCTGATCAAGATGACGCAGAGAGTTGTCTTCTCTTTGGCTTAAAGGTTGGCCCTTCTTCTTTGGGGAAAGAAGTTTAAATCCAAAGTCAAGGTCAAGGCGGGGATTGGAGGTGTGGGGATAATAAGGATTGAAAACAAAAAACGGGGGAGTCCGGAAATGTCCTGAGGGGAGGAAAGTAGGGAAGAGGGGAAGAGGTGAAAGGAGGGAGAGAAAGAGAGGGGGGGCGGAAACAGGTGGAGAGAGAGAGAGAAAACAGGTGAAAAGAGACAGAGAGAAACAGGTGAAAAAGAGAGAGGGAAAGTTTGATGGAATAAGAGACGGATGAAGGGAAGGGAAGGAAGAATGAAGAGAGGGGGTGAAGGACAGACGGATGGAGGGAAGGAAGGAAAGGAAGAAAGGAAGAAAGAAAGAAAGAAAGGGAGGAAAGAGAGAGAGTGAAGGACAGGCGGATGGAAGGAAGGAAGGAAGGAAAGAAAGAAAGAAGAAGGGAAAGAGGGAGTGAAGGACAGGCGGATGGAGGGAAGGAAAGAAAGAAGGAAGGAAAGAAAGAGAGTGAAGGACAGGCGGATGGAAGGAAGGAAGGAAGGAAGGAAGGAAGGAAGGAAAGAAAGAAAGGGAGGAAAGAGAGAGTGTGAAGGACAGACGGATGGAGGGAAGGAAAGAAAGAATAAGGGAGTATAGAGAGGGAGTGTCAAGGAAGCAGATGAAAGGTGAAATTGTGAGATAGAGGAATAATTCCAAAGAGAGGGGAGACGAGATGGGCAAGAGGGAAACAAGGAAGAAAGAAAGAAAGAAAGAAAGAAAGAAAGAAAGAAAGAAAGAAAGAAAGAAAGTTGAGGGTCTTCAAAGAGCAGGGAAATCGGGGTGAGGAGGAGAGAGATGTAGAGAAGAGGGGAAGGAGAAAGCCGCGAGGAAGGAGGACTGGGCGAGACCCTCGTGGAAAGAGCTCCCGGGCGGCTGGCAGGTCTGCAGTTTGGCCAGGGCTGGGCTGGGCTGGGCTGGGCAGGGGGCAAAGCAAGCAGCACGCCCCCCCGCCCCGCCCCGCCCGCTCCCATTGGCTCGCATGGCCGGGCTGGCACCAGGCCCGGCAGGGCGGGCAGAAGCTCCTGGCTGGCTCCCCGGACGGGGTCGCGAAAGGGGGGAAATCGAGGGACGCGCCTCAGTTGTCCCACTCCGTAAAATGGGCGCAAAGGAAGCCCACCGTCTTTGAATGGGGTTGGACTAGATGTCCCCTTGGCTCCCGGTTCTCAAGGGCGTGGAAAGGGCAAGCGCTTCTCCTAATCCCAGAAAAAGCGCTTTGAGTCTCCTGTCACCGGCACTCTGCTTTTTGTTACCAATCGCTTTTCTTTTTTTAGAGGCAGCGTGGTGTATGCAGTGCCGGATTTACGTATAAACTAAACAAGCTGCAGCTTAGGGCCCCACTCTCTTGGGGCCCCCCAAAAAACTTGGGTATGCCTTGGTCCTGAATGGGGCAACTGTGCCCCTGAAGGACCAGGTGCGCAGCCGGGGAGTCATTCTGGACTCACAGCTGTCCATGGAGGCGCAGGTCAGTTCTGTGTCCAGAGCAGCTGTCTACCAGCTCCATCTGGTGCGCAGGATGAGACCCTACCTGCCCGCAGACTGTCTGGCCAGAGTGGTGCATGCTCTGGTTATCTCCCGCTTGGACTACTGCAATGTGCTCTGCGTGGGGCTACCTTTGAAGGTGACCCGGAAACTGCAACTAATCCAGAATGCGGCAGCTAGACTGGTGACTGGGAGCGGCCGCCAAGACCACATAACACTGGTCTTGAAAGACCTACATTGGCTCCCAGTATGTTTCTGAGCACAATTCAAAGTGTTGGTGCTGACCTTGAAAGCCCTAAACGGCCTCAAAGGCCCAGTATCCCTGAAGGAGCGTCTCCACCCCCATCGTTCTGCCCGGACGCTGAGGTCCAGCTCCGAGAGCCTTCTGGCGGTTCCCTCATTGCGAGAAGTGAGGTTACAGGGAAGCAGGCAGAGGGCCTTCTCTGTGGTGGCGCCCGCCCTGTGGAACACCCTCCCAGCAGATGTCAAAGAGAAAACCAACTACCAGACTTTTAGAAGACATCTGAAGGCAGCCCTGTTCAGGGAAGCATTTAATGTTTAATAGGTTATTGTATTTTAATATTCTGTTGGAAGCCGCCCAGAGTGGCTGGGGAAACCCAGCCAGATGGGCGGGGTATAAATAATAAATTATTATTATTATTATTGGTCAACAAGCAGATGTCTGGGACTACAACTCCCATCAAACGCATTCCCCCCCTCACAGCCCAGCCTACCTCACAGGGTTGCCTGACGGATCAGAGCTGAGCTTCACCTTTTTTTTGTTTGTTGAATACAGTGGTACCTCGGGTTAAGTACTTAATGCGTTCCGGAGGTCCGTTCTTAACCTGAAACTGTTCTTAACCTGAAACACCACTTTAGCTAATGGGGCCTCCCGCTGCTGCCACACAATTTCTGTTCTCATCCTGAAGCAAAGTTTTCAACCCGAGGTACTATTTCTGGGTTAGTGGAGTCTGTAACCTGAAGCGTATGTAACCCGAGGTACCATTGTATATGGTATATGGTAATTTATGGACCTAATAGGTGTCTAAAGCCATTTGCACATAACAAAATATGTATTTTTTCAAAGTAATTGTGGAACTGAAATACAATTAAGAAGGAGTATATTAATAGTGAAATACAATATTAATAGTGAAATACAATATTAATAGTGAAATAATTATTAAGCGCTAACTTAAAATGATTTTTTATTCATAACAAACTTCATAATGCAAACACACGTTTATTTTTTTATTTTATTTTTATCTTACATTTTGGAAATGTAAATCCAGTGGTTTTTTCCCTGAAAAATTTTTTGGGGGTCCCCAGAGAGTGGGGCCCTAAGCTATAGCTTGCTTGGCTTATACGTAAATCGGGCACTGCCTGCAATTCACGCTTAGATCCACGAAAACCACCTTCTTCTCTTCCCCTTTTTGACATTTTTGCCGGGGAGCTTGTAAAGATATAACTGGCCTGTGGCTTTTTTTTTGACGTCACAACAATCCTCAGGCCTCTCTCTCTCCTGGGGGCGAGGAAGCAACCTGATATTTGAGTTCAAAGCCAGAGAGGGAAAGTGGGGGGGGGGGGGGAGAGGAAAAGGTCTTCCCTGTGTCTCCCCCCCCCCAAGTCTCGTGTCAGCTGTCCCCTTGAGTGGCCTTTAGAGAAGCCTTGATGTCCTTCAGACACCCCTCCCTCCCCAGGGACGCCCCCTCCCCAGCAGACGCGAGTCACACACTGCTGGCACCCGGCTCAGCTCCTCCGAAAATAGTCCGCAAGCTACAGATCCCGTCTCTCAGCATGTTCTGGCGATATTCCCCCAGCCCCTAGGAGGAAAAAGAGGGTGATGGGTTGTGTGCGGGTTTGAAGAAGGGGAGATTGGGAAACAGGATGGGGAAAGGGGGCAGTTTCTCTGCCGGTGGAGGGGGGAGGGAATGGACTTACGCTACTGTTCAGCCATGTTGGCATTCTCTTGGACCCAAACCTCTGTGTATATGGCAGCTATCCATCACCTCTGGGACTCCCAAAGGGATTTAAAATGGACACCCTTTTAGCGGAGAATCTCCTTACGTTTCTTGAATCGTGGAATCAATAATTGTTGTTATTGAGTCATGTCCGACTCTTCATGACCCCCTGGACCAGAGCACGCCAGGCACTCCTGTCTTCCACTGCCTCCCGCAGTTTGGGCAAACTCATGCTGGTAGCTTCCAGAACGCTGTCCCACCATCTTGTCCTCCGTCGTCCCCTGCTCCTTGCGCCCTCCATCTTTCCCAACATCAGGGTCTTTTCCAGGGAGTCTTCTCTTCTCATGAGGTGGCCAAAGTATTGGAGCCTCAGCTTCAGGATCTGTCCTTCCAGTGAGCACTCAGGGCTGATTTCCTTCAGAATGGAGAGGTTGGATCTTCTTGCAGTCCATGGGACTCTCAAGAGTCTCCTCCAGCACCAGAATTCAAAAGCATCCATTCTTTGGTGATCAGCCTTCTTGATGGTCCAGCTCTCACTTCCATACATCACTACTGGGAAAACCAGAGCTTTAACTATACGGACCTTTGTCGGCAAGGTGATGTCTCTGCTTTTTAAGATGCTGGAATCAATAATACATAATAATAAAAAGCATTTTTTGTTTAGACAAGCCTGCCTAGGTACGTGGAACGCTGACACGTTTTCAGTTTATTGCTGGTTTTAATGAATGCTTAGGTTTTTTAATTAATAATTATAACCATTTTAGTCTTTTTGTAAACTCCATCGAGGTTTCCTGCAACCAAGCAGCATATATTATTATTATTATTATTATTATTATTATTATTATTATTAATTGAATTTGTATACCCCCCATACCACTAGGGTGGTTCACAGAATAAAATCAAGATATAAAACCACAAAATGCATAATAAAGGTGTATAATGAAGGTGCCAGGCAAACTTCCCTGGGGAGAGCATAAATACCCAAAAAAATACAAAACAGGACACCTGCTTTGAGTGCAGAAGAGCCCAGTTCTATTCCCTCGGCATCTCCTGGAAGAGCTGGGAAAGGACACCCTTCCCCAATTAAAAACCTGCACCCCAATCTTCCCCAACGGGGTGCCCTCTAACTGCCTTGGACTACAGTTCCCATTGCGCCCAGTTCTAGTCAAGGGATGGGTTCAAATGTGTGAGGTGTGCAAGGCCAAGCCAGGATTCCAGGGGACGATATCCAGCTAACCTCCGGACAGCGACAGCTTTTCTCCCGCGGCCCGTAAGACGGGGTTGGGCTGGATGACCTTTTAGGTCATTTCCCGTTTTATAGTTCTGAAAAAAATCTGGCTCCCCAGGTCGCTGGGTCCCTTGGGATGTGAGCTCCCTCTGCTGGCAGGAAGCAGGTAAAACCAGAAAATAAAAAGTTTAGCTCCGGGTCAGGCTTAGCCAACAAGGTGCCCGCCAGGCGTCAAGAGCTACAACTCCCATTATTCGCTGGCTGAGGTGGATAGCAGCTGCAGGAGGACACTGTGATGGCTGCCGCTGCCGCAGGCCTCGAATCCAGAGGCTGCTGGATCTCTGCACGTGCTCAGAGGCACCTCTCCTTGACATTTCCCCCCCAGGCTCCGGTTTCGAATCTTCCTGGTTGTTGGAAGATCCAGGGCAGGGCCCTTCTTTGCAAGTTAATCTGTGGAACTCCCTGCCACAAGAGCCAGTGGGGGGGACACTAATCCCAACGGCTTTAAAATTGGGTTGGACAAATTCGTAGAGGAGAAGAGGACTATGGGATGTCTGCTATGATCTGCCTTCCCAGCTGGAGGCAGATGAGGGGAGAGGGATCTTGTGTTCAAATCCTGCTTGAGGTTTCCCTTGGCATCTGTCTGGCCAGTGTGAGAGGACGACACTGGGCCAGATGGCCTCGATCCAGCAAGTTTTTATGCAAACGGGTTTATTTTTGCAAGGTGGGGAGGAAAACCAGCAGCAAAAAATTACGCAATTAAAAATAAATAAATTATTTTTTACCAACCACCAAAACAGAGTGAAACCCCCCAGGCGGCTGATACATTGGGTATACAATATTCAATAATATACGTATTCAATAATATTCAATAACAGCATATTCAAATCAACTATATGTACACTTTTATATACCTTAACACTCCTCCTTCCACAAGGTTTATTTAACTTTTCACATTTTAATTGCCCCAAATTGTTCAAACCTACTCAAATAATTCAATATATTCTCAAACCAATCCTCCTCTTTCTCACTGACCTTAAACCCTTTCCTTCTATGTATCTTCACAGTTAAGTATTCAAATTATAATATTATTCAGTTTTTTTCCTCCATTGGTTCACTCCTAGCTCTTCTGCATTTTTCCAATTACTCGCTATAACCTGCCTGGCTGCAACTACCATCAATTTTACCCATTTGCATTCCTCTTTTAACTCAGTACTCCTCAGGGTAGCAGGGATGCGGGTGGCCGTGGGTTAAACCACAGGGCCTAGGACTTGCCGATCAGAAGGTTGGCGGTTCGAATCCCCACGACGGGGTGAGCTCCCGTTGCTCGGTCCCTGCTCCTGCCCACCTAGCAGTTCGAAAGCACGTCAAAGTGCAAGTAGATAAATAGGTACCGCTCCGGCAGGAAGGTAAACGGCGTTTCCGTGCGCTGCTCTGGTTCGCCAGAAGCGGCTTAGTCCTGCTGGCCATATGACCCGGAAGCTGTACGCCGGCTCCCTCGGCCAATAAAGTGAGATGAGCACCGCAGCCCCAGAGTCGGCCACGACTGGACCTAATGGTCAGGGGTCCCTTTACCTTTAGCTTAGGACCATTAAGCAATTGTTTGATTGCTGTAAGTCGCTTTGGTTTCCTTGGGCGAGGTAAAGCTAGGGACGGATTTAACAAACGGATAATGAAACGAGTTCATCACAAAGCTCAGTTGGTAGAACATGGAATCTCAGAGTTGTGGGTTCAAGCCCAACGTTGGGCAAAAGATTCCTGCATTGCAGTGGGGTTGAGATAGATGACCCCCAGGTGTCCCTCCCAACCATTCTATGATTTGGGAGACGGAATGAATGGCTGGTTGAGAGGAGGAGCAGGCAGCAAAAAGGGCTTCTTGTGCCAGAGGGAGGGGAGTGATACTGTCTGCACGAGGTTGTGCCGGTGCCCAGGGTCTGTATTTTTAGACCGCAATCATCCATCAGAGCCGTCAAATGTCAAGAACTCAGCGGGAGGCATGTGGGATCTCGTGGCCTCTGTGTCTGAAGGGTCAGCCAGCCGCTTACCTTTCTCTGGGAACACGGAGGCCCTCGTGACTGGCACAACCCCTTTAGGAAGTCTTTCCCGCAGGGTGGCATGGGCAGGTGGTCTGAACCGCCCAGATGGCAGGCCTCATCCTGCAACCTTTGGAAAACAGTACAACCTGACTGGAAAGATGCAATCAATTGCAGTAATTCAGTTGGTCTGCTCTTGTGGGATAGAGTAAGGTTTGCAGAAGGTGAAAAGGAAGATGTTTTATTATATGTAATAATAATAATAATAATTTATTATTTATACACAATGACAAACCTAGACAGCATCTTAAAAAGCAGAGACATCACCTTGCCAACAAAGGTCCGTATAGTGAAAGCTCTGGTTTTCCCAGTAGTGATGCATGGAAGTGAGAGCTGGACCATAAAGAAGGCTGATCGCCGAAGAATGGATGCTTTTGAATTATGGTGCTGGAGGAGTCTTGAGAGTCCCATGGACTGCAAGAAGATCAAACCTCTCCATTCTGAAGGAAATCAGCCCTGAGTGCTCACTGGAAGGACAGATCCTGAAGCTGAGGCTCCAAGACTTTGGCCACCGCATGAGAAGAGAAGACTCCCTGGAAAAGACCCTGATGTTGGGAAAGATGGAGGGCACAAGGAGAAGGGGACAACAGAGGACAAGATGGTCGGACGGTGTTCTCGAAGCTACCAGCATGAGTCTGACCAAACTGCGGGAGGCAGTGGAAGACAGGAGGGCCTGGCGTGCTCTGGTCCAGGGGTCACGAAGAGGCGGACACGACTAAACGACTAAACAACAACAACAACACAACCCGACTGGAAAGATGCAATCCATTGCAGTCATTCAGTTGGTCTGCTCTTGTGGGATAGGGTAAGGTTTGCAGAATGCAAAAAGGAAGAGGTTTTATTACCATGTTTTTCACTCCATAAGACACACTTTTTTCTTCCTAAAAAGTAAGGGGAAATGTCTGTGCGTCTTATGGAGCGAATGCGTGGTCCCTGGAGCCGAATTGCCCAGGGGCGAAAAGCAGATCATGCTCTTTTTTTTGAAAGAGGGAAGGGGGTGTTGAAAGGAAGCAGCTGATCGGCAAGCGATCGGGGAGGGAGATAAGGGACGCTAGAGATAAAGGAGGCTGCCTGGGAGGGGGGAGGTAAAAGGCCATGGATCCTCAGGATTTTTGCATTGGGTCCCCCCAAATTCACCATCAGATCACATAGCATGTCCATGGCTACAGCCTGCACCACAAAAATCATACATCCACTGTTTCGTTCAGAATTTTTCTTTTCTTGTTTTCCTCCTCTAAAAACTAGGTGCGTCGTATTGGGATGCGGGTGGCGCTGTGGGTTAAAACACAGAGCCTAGGAATTGCCGATCAGAAGGTCGGCGGTTCGAATCCCCGCGACGGGGTGAGCTCCCGTTGCTGGGTCCCTGCTCCTGCCCACCTAGCAGTTCGAAAGCACACCAGTGCAAGTAGATAAATAGGTACCACTCCAGTGGGAAGGTAAATGGCGTTTCCGTGCGCTGCTCTGGTTCGCCAGAAGCGGCTTAGTCATGCTGGCCACATGACCCGGAAGCTGTATGCCGGCTCCCTCGGCCAGTAAAGCGAGATGAGCGCCACAACCCTAGAGTCGGCCACGGCTGGACCTCATGATCAGAGGTCCCTTTACCTTTATGGTCAGGTGCATCTTATGGAGCAAAAAATACGGTATGTGCTGTTTCTCTTGTCTGCATTTTAGCAGATTCGGCTTTTCAAATGTCATTTTAATTTGAGTTTATTTACCTTTGAACGACAATCACAATGACGTAGGCAGCTGCCCACTGCAAAGCCAGAACATCGGGGTTCTTCTTCCAACTCAGTTCTGTCTGCACAGCCTGGCAGCAGCACCCCAGGGTTTCAGAGCAGGAATTTCCCCCAGCCCTATTTGGGGATTGAATTTGCCACCTTCTGCACGCCAAGCAGACACTCTGCAGCTGAGCTGCGGACTCCGGACGTTGTCAAAAGAGAAGAAGGAAATTGCCTGGCTGTAACATTTTGAAGACATTCTTAATTTTATTTCCGATTGCTCTGTTTTGCTGCTTTGGGAGAAAGGCAGGCTAGACATTTAAATAATAACAGCAGCAGCAACAATAATATATGCCCTGTAGGTCCCTGAAGTCCTCAAATGACCCTGAAGTCGTAATCCACCAGCTCTCATCCTTGGATGTAGCAGGAACAGGTGCCTCTGCCATCCTCTAGTTTCAGAGGAACGGGTGTGCGTGGGTGGGTGGGTGGCACCATCGCAAAGGGCTGGACCACAACAACACACGTGCCTCCCATGTGCAAGAGAGTCTCTGTCTCACGTGCCTCAATTCCAGATCCCTTGTCTTACGGAAAAGATCTCAAAATATACACATGCCCCAGACGCCTGCATGCAATTTCTGCTCAGTTCTTTTTTTAAAAAAATTTTTTTATTGATTTTCCAAATTTATAACAAATATAAGACAAAAAGAAAAAAGAGAAACATTACAATACTAAAAAGAAAAAACAAACATATAAACACCTGCTTCTTTAAGACCTAATTTAATTTTCATTGTTAACTGACTTCCTCTAATCCCCCCTTACTGAATTTCATTGAATCACCTTGTAACAGCCCTCCAATATCCTATTTCTAATCAAATTAACTCCTTCAATTTACTATCTTCTTTGCTTTTCATTATTATCTAAGTCAAAAGTATTTTATAATTCATTCTTACTCTAATCCTAGGCCTCTCCATTCTGAAGGAAATCAGCCCTGAGTGCTCACTGGAAGGACAGATCCTGAAGCTGAGGCTCCAAGACTTTGGCCACCTCATGAGAAGAGAAGACTCCCTGGAAAAGACCCTGATGTTGGGAAAGATGGAGGGCCCAAGGAGAAGGGAACGACAGAGGACGAGATGGTGGGACAGTGTTCTCGAAGCTACCAGCATGAGTTTGACCAAACTGTGGGAGGCAGTGGAAGACAGGAGAGCCTGGCGTGCTCTGGTCCAGGGGGTCACGAAGAGTCGGACAAGACTAAACGACAACAACAACATATAGAAAGGAGGAAACCCGTGATATTTTAGGGAGCAGGCTAGCAGGCGGGGCCCATGACTTACATCATAGGAGCCTAGACAACACAAAACGCTGTTGCTGTAGGTAGGTTTTATTTTATTTGTTTTTTATCTCATATTTTGGAAATGTACATCCAGTTTTCTTCCTTTAAATTTTTTGGGGCCCCCAAGAGAGTGGGGCCCCAAGCTATAGCTTGTTTAGCGTATACGTAAATCCTGCACTGGATCATTAAAACGCTTTCACTCTCAGCTTGTTGACATGCACCGGATCCTATCAGGTTCGCCATCCACAAATACAACAGCGCCCCCTCTGTGAATGGTTGCAAATATTGCCCAAAATATTGAGAATCCTCCGACAGGGCTGCAGCAAGGGCGCCATCTACTGGCCTTGTTGGAGAAGTGCACCTTTTACTGGCCGAATCTGGCGCCCCGATTCTGGCCGAGATCCAGGCCGGGTTTTCTTAGACGCTGCCCCGCCTTTGTGAAAGCGGCGCCTTGGGCGCAGGTGAGTGGGTCGCCTGGAAATCCCGGACTGGATTCCTTCCCCAAACTCATACTAGCGAGTGCCTGATCGACCTGGCGGCGGAATGGTATTTTTCCTCCACGTGCAAAATGTGGTTTTGAGAGCTAAGAAAAGGCAGTATTCCAGCTTTGGCGGAATAGGTGTGTTTTAGGTAAATAAACTTAACATTTCCTCTCCTGGCCCCAACGTCACCATTCCATGCATTGCAATGTCCCTAAATTCCTGTTATGCTAGAGAGAGCAAGTTAAATAGGAAGTCAAATAAGTTTGCCAACCCAGATTAAGGAAAACAATACATTGAGCATGTTCAGTTTTGCATGTTAAATTCCAACAAGTCAACAGTAGCATCGCAGGAATGAAATGGAGTTTGCAGCTAAGAATGTTAAGTTACAAGAAAGGAGATTCCATCTAAACACCAGGAAGAACTTTGAGTGAAATATACATTGAGTGAAATATACTCAGAGTCGCAAAGTGATTTCATGCTCTTTATTCAGCTCATAGTGGTGAGGAGGAATGAATGGAAGTCCCCTCACAGTATCTGCTTTATATACATTATTTACACAATGGGCTGCACATGATTGGCTAATTCCGGAATTCTACTGTAAGCCAATCAGGTTGTGGATTCCCTTCTATCTGGAGCATGATTGGGTGGTTCCTGCCAACCAATCATACTGCTGCATTCTGAATCCTATTGTTCTAGGACCAATCAGACTGCTGCAATTTGGATCCTATTGTTCTAGGACCAATCAGACTGCTGCAGTTTGGATCCTATTCAACTCAGTACATAACATTGAGCATGTTCAGTTTTGCATGTTAAATTCCATTAAGTCTACAGTAGCATCGCAGGAATGAAATGGAGTTTGCTGCTAAGAACGTTAAGTCTGAAAATCCTTTAAAAAGTTTGAAAAGAGGGCTGGAATTGATTAAAGACTTTGGAGAAGTGGCAGGCTTTAAGCTGAATATAACCAAAACAAAAATGCTTGTTAAAAACGTAACCAGAAAAGGACGATTTAGGAAAAAATATTGGGCCTGAAAATCTCTCAAAAAGCAAAATATCTGGGTATTTGGATCACCCCCCAAGAATATAAATTTATTTCAGGATAACGACACAAAAACTTGGTTAGAGATTAGAAAAAATCTTCAAACCTGGAGTAAATTAAATTAACATTTCTGGGCAGGATTTCCATTATAAAGATGAATGTGCTTCCAAAATTAATCTTTTTATTTCAAATGATTCCAATACTGGGGGAAGCGGGTTGCCTCAAGATATGGCAAAGATAAATTTCCAAATTCTTGTGGGAAGGGAAGAAGCCGAGAATTAAGCATCTTTCTTTCTTTCTATTTATTTATATATAATTTTTATTTATTTTCCATTTAATTATATATATTCACATCATCATTATTCACTTTACCTCCCTGGCTCTCTAGAGCCTATTGACTTCCTTCCCTCCCGCCTCACGGCTTTCAAAATTAACCTTTATATCATTGCATTTTGTGCGTTTTCCATTTCTAATTGCACTCATTACAAAAGGACTCAAAATTTAAATAAATATAGAAAGGTAGAAAATTTCTCACTACAAGCCTTCAGACAACCTTGCTAGTGATGTTAATTGCTTACAATAATCTTTCAAATATCTTATAAATTTACTCCAGTCTTTTGGGAATACTTGATCATGCTGGTTTTGGATTTTTCCTGTCAGCTTCGCTAATTCTGCAAAGTCCCATCATCTTCATCTTCCACACTTCTTTCGTTTGTACTTCTCCCTGTTTCCATTTTTGGGCTAAAAGAATTCTTGCCGCAGTTGTTGCACACATAAACAGTCTTTTATCTTCCCTCGGTATCTCTTCACTAAACACCAGGAAGAACTTTAATTTTTTTTAATTGGAAATTTTATTTACAACATAACATAACCCCCCCAATACAGAAATCCACCCTCATTAAACATGAACATAACATACAATAAGTATAACATACAACAATACAAACAACCAAATAAAAGACTTCCTTTATCCTATATCTGGCCTCCTTATTTACTTCTTATAAGCTGTTTCCTTTATGAATAATTATTAAGATTTTTCTAATTATATCCACAAAATGTCCTGCAAACATTAATCGAAACAAGTCCAGGTATGTATTTTAGGGCACTATTTTGTAAAGTATTCTCTGCATTTCCCCCATGCTTTTTGAAACTCTTGTCTAGTGTGATCTCTAATTGCCTCTGTTAATCTAGCCAGTTCAATATACCGTATTTTTGCTCCATAAGACGCACTTTTCCCTCCTAAAAAGTAAGGGGAAATGTGTGTGTGTCTTATGGAGCGAATGCTGGCGGGAGGCAGGCGAGAAAAGCCCCCAACAGCTGCACACACGCTCCACACGGCTCTTGCGGGCTTTTCCCGGGGGGTGGGGAGAAGGGACTGACTGGCCCCTGACCGTTAGGTCCCGTCGCAGACGACTCTGGGGTTGCAGCGCTCATCTTGCTTTACTGGCTGAGGGAGCCGGCGTACAGCTTCCAGGTCATGTGGCCAGCATGACTAAGCCGTTTCTGGCGAACCAGAGCAGCGCACAGAAATGCCGTTTACCTTCCTGCCGGAGTGGTACCTATTTACTGTATCTACTTGCACTTTGACGTGCTTTTGAACTGCTAGGTTGGCAGGAGCAGGGACCGAGCAACGGGAGCTCACCCCGTTGTGGGGATTCGAACCGCCGACCTTCTGATCAGCACTTCCTAGGCTCTGTGGTTTAACCCGCAGCGCCACCCGCGTCCCTTATCACAATAGCCTACACAACACAAAACACTGCTGCTGTTTGTAGGTTTTATTCTATTCATTTTTTATCTTATATTTTGGAAATGTACATCCAGTATTTTCCCCTTTTAAATTTTTGGGGGCCCCCAATAGAGCAGGGCCCTAAGCTATAGCTTGTTTAGCTTCTATGTAAATCCGGCACTGGTTATACCCCACCCCTCCGACGTTTGCTGGTTTACACCATTTCGCTGCCTGCTTCTCAGTTGAAACATCGGCTTGGCGTGACCTGCTGCCAGTTTCGCCTGGGGCATAAATTCAGCCATAAAGTGACTTTGGATATCTAGAAGCTTACTAGGGAGTCAGAGAGGGTGTGCCTCTGAGCAGAGATGATGATGTTTTGCAGCGCCTTTTCTGTTCCTGGCTTGCAACGCAGGGAGCGGCAGGAAGGTTTGCCCATGTACGGGCAAGACTGGGCAAGGAACCAGCAGGTGCTCTCTGTATGCATCGCTGAGAGGCAAAGATTTATGGCCGACAACAACGGCACACAGGATGACCTGGCAGAATGCGCATGGAAACTTGGGTGTGATTCTGCCGGACCTGTGCGCCTGAAAATCGCTTTTTTTTATGGGAGAGCGTTCCTGTGGCTAGCAAAGGCGGCTACAAGGAGGCACCGCTAAGCGAGAGGAACTCTGAGCATACGAAGAGGGCCTGTTGCCACCTGTTAACACACAGAACCTGCTTTTGGGATTGTTTGTTTTTTGGGGGGTCCCTTCCAATTCTACGATTCTGTGAAAAGAGGGAACTGTTACGGCCACAGGTGAAAATTAAAAGGTGAAAAGCAAAACCACCAGATGTCAAAGAGAAAAATAACTACCACACTTTTAGAAGACAGAAGCTTTTAATGTTTAATAGGTTGTTGTATTTTAGCGTTCTTTTGGAAGCTGCCCAGAGTGGCTGGGGAAGCCCAGCCAGATGGGCGGGGTATAAATAATAAATTATTATTATTATTATTATTATTATTATTATTAAAACTAAAATACAGTTGAAGTCCAAATAAAGAATGTCAGCGTTATCTGATTGTCACGTCTCGTTCCAGATTTCCCCAGGCTTGTCTCGAAAACGAGGGTTCCATTGTCTATGTAATAAAAGAATGACAAATCATGCAAAAAGTGTCTGAAGGCTCTAGCTGAATTCTCAAATTATGCCTCATATTCTCCCTTACAGCTCTGCTCCAGAGCGAGCGGTACCCAACGTCCGGTGTAATATTTTGGATGGTTTCCCACTGAGTTGCAATTATTATTATTTGAGCTGCCGGGATCATATACAAGACCAGTTCTTTTGACAATTCAGTTTCCTGGGTATCGTCAGAAATATCCAGTAACGTTAGAGAACCTGCTTTCAGCGACAGCTGACTCAGCCCCGGAATGCATGGTTTTTCTTTTAAAGTAAGTCCGTGCGACCGGTCGAAAGGCTGGTTTCAAATCCGGTCTCCGTTGTCATGAGCTGACAAGAGTGTCCTTATACACGTGACTCACTGCCTCACTGCTGCTTCCCCCCACGGTTCTCATGAAAGCACAAACACAACAGACTGTTTTGTGTTAAGCAAGCCAGCAGCACCTGCAGAGAAACACCCTCTGTGCATGCTCAGATGCACACTCTGTTCTCATTATACACCCAGTCAGATGGGCAGGGTACAAATAATAAATTACTATTATTACCATGCGCTGCAAGTTCCCTTGTTAAGACCGGGTGTCGAAGGGCGATTGAGGGCAAAGCTTATCTTATACATATATGAATGCTTTATTTGGTTTCAAGATTCAAAATCACATTTTAACACTCCGTAATTATCATCCTGTTCTACAATACTAATGATTTTCTGTTCACCCATCCTTGATGTTTGGGTCTGCGGACCTCTAAGAGGGTCTAAGGCAGGGGTAGGCAACCTAAGGCCTGTGGGCCGGATCCCGCCCAATAGCCTTCTCAATCCAGCCCACGGACGGTCTGGGAATCAGTGTGTTTTTGCATGAGTAGAATGTGTCCTTTTATTTAAACTGCATCTCTGGGTTATTTGTGGGACATAGGAATTCGTTCATTTCCCCCTCAAAAATATAGTCTGGCCCACCACATGGTCTGAGGGACAGTGGACTGGCCCACGGCTGAAAAAGGTTGCTGACCCCTGGTCTAAGGGATGGGCTTCTGGGGGTCCACGAACCCCCTGAAAATTATTATTTTCCATCAACTTCCTGTTACCCTGGAAACTGGCATTGCGGAAAAACACTTCTGAGGAGGGGTCTGCGTGGAACTTCCATGGAGTCTCCCAGGTCCAAGTCTGACCCACTAACCACTACACCACACTGCCTTTCTTCTACCACACAGCGAGAGGTCGTGTCTTCTGTTTTTCCAGGCCAAAGAAGTTCTCACTGATGGACCTTTCTTACTGATAACCTCTGTAAGCATTTAAGAATAAATAAAACCGCATGGATGAGAACTGCATCTGCGAGTGATTCTGTTGCTGGCAAGGCTGCTTCTTCACCTGTTGGATTTCTACCTGCGCTGCAACTCAGAAAGTCAAAATAGTGAGCACTTTGCATGTTGCTTTCAGAGCTGATCTTCCTCAGGGGTGCACATCCAAATGTCTACTTGAGGAGGTGGGTGGGGGGGAGAAACTGCATTGGTGGCAACGACGACATGGTGACTTTACCTGACGGATTCCTGCCTGCGCCCCAACTCAGGCAGGCGAGAGAGAAAGAGACTGGATGCAAACCAACCGTGAAAATGACTTATGAATTGAAAGTGGTGACGCGATGTGTACTTTTGTTTGCTTGTCTTGTTTGGTTGCACAAGACAACAAAAACTAATTTTTTTTTCAGGAAGGAAAAAGTCCCTCTCTCTCTCTCTCTGTCTCTCTCTCCAGGAAATGGGCGAGGGTGGCCTTGGGTGTCGGTTTCTGTGGACACCCCTCCCCCTCCCTTGATGTCACGCGCCCCTCCCCCACCCGGAGGGGGAGGGGGAGGGGGAGGAGGTGGCGGCTAGGGCATAAATACAGGTGCGCTCACCTGGCGCGCAGGTACGCTCCTGGCCTCTCGCTCCCGCCGGATTCCTCGGGCTTCTACTCGCGCGTCTCCATCTCTCTCCCCCCTGCGCCATGGCCAACTCGGGCTTGCAGCTGCTGGGGTTTGCGTTGTCGCTGCTGGGCTGGATCGCCGCGCTGGCGGCCACCTGTATGCCCCAGTGGCAAATGTCTTCCTTCTCCGGGGCGAACATCATCACCGCGCAAGCCTTCTACAGGGGCCTCTGGATGGAGTGTGTTTATCAGAGCACGGGCCAGATGCAATGCAAGAACTACGACTCCATCCTCAGCCTCGACTGTGAGTAGCCAGGCGGACTACATTGCTTTTTTGGGAGGGAGCGGGGTGGGGTTTTTGGAAAGGGAGAAGCTGGAGGGTCCTGCCCTCCACTTCAGAGCAGGACCTTGTTCAAGGGGGGTGGGAATAAATCTATTTATTCCATAGTAAAGGAGGACATAATATTCCCCCTTCTTTCCTGATGCGCTTTTCTATCCAAGGCGCGCCAAGCGGTGCGCGCGGTTCTGCTCCCCATTTCATCCTCGCTACAGCCCCCCTGTGAAGGAGGTGAGGCTGAGAGAGGGCGGTGCCCCCCCCGGTCATCGTCCCCCCCCCCCGCACCAGGTCATCGCCCCCACTTCATGCCTAGTGACCGGAATTCGAACCCAGATCCGGCGCACTAATCCTTGCGCAACGCTGGTTTGGTTATTTCTGTATTACCCGCCCTTCGCCCTGAGGTCCCGGGGAGGGTCTTGCGGCGTTAAAATGGAAAACCGTGATGAAAAACGGCTTGCTTACGAGTAGGAGGGTTAGCAAAAGGAAATTGGGGGCCGAGATGGGGAGGAGAGAGAGCCAGGTGGTGTTTTTTCTTGGGATGTGTGTCAGGAAAGGAGCGGTTTTTTTGGAGATGTGGGTCACACCATGAAAAGAGGAGTTTGTAAGTTCCAGCTGTGGGGAGATGGGGGTTTCTTTGGGGGGGGGCAAGGAGCAGTTGATGGGAAGAGATACGTTTTTAGGGAATGTGGGGCTTTCTTAACCGCAAGGAAAGCGCAAGGTTGTGAGATGAGCGGGAAGGGCGCCGTTGTGGGTCAGGTGTGGGGCGTGTTTGGCCTTTGGCAGAAAAGGAGGGGCAGTTTGCAGTGGGGTTTGAAGGGCAGGAAAGAGGGTGGGGCAGGGGGGTCAAGTTGGGGTGACCCAGGTTGAGGAAGAAAGTCTTTGGGGCAACAGACTTAGCTCTCCACAAAATTACATTTTGTGGCCACTCCCCAAGCCTTGAAGGTGTTTTATTTTCATATATTTTTATATCCTGCCATCGTCGCAAGCTCTCAGGGCGGTTTGCAGTTTGAGAAGTTGAATTCGGTGCTTGGAGGGCAGAGATCGAGAGCAGCTGGCGTCCATTTTCTTCCTGCAAAAAGAAAAAAAGGCCCTTTACCTGCTCGATTCTTCGTTGCCCTTTCGCCCCCTTGGCTACTGATTAACTCAAACTGTCGCCTTCCCCATCCCACACTACAGGGAACAGGGAGCCCCATCCCAGGCCAGGAACGCTCCCCGCGAGGAACACACAGAAATAATTTTGGCCTTGTCTGGAAACTTCCCTCGCTCCCTTTCTTTAGATATTTGGAGTGTGGGTTGTGGCCTCCTCCCAGCCACAAAACCCCCAAGCATCTACTTTGGCCCTTTGGGGTCCCTGCCCACATCTTCCTTTGCAAATGTTCTCTGTTCCTTCGGACCGCAGCCTGAATTTTCTCCTGCCCAGACCTTTCTGCTTGTCTTTCCCTTTAGTTGTTGCGAAAGGAAGATTTGGGGAGAGGGGTGGGCAAAAGAAACAGCCCCCAATCCCCAAGGAGACAGACAGACAGCCAGCGAGAAAAGCACCCTCCTTTAAATTCCTCCCTCCCATCCGGATATTTGGGTGGCTAGGTTGACTGGGTTTTACAGGCTTTTAGGAGACAAACGGAAATGTATTTGCTCATCTTCTGGAAAGCCCTTTCTCTAATCCTGTCGATTAGTTGTGTTTGACAAGCAGGAACTGATTTCTCCTTTCACATTCAAAATGGTTCTTGGGCCCAAGATCCGGGTTCAAATCAAGCCTTTTATAAATTTAAGACCCCAAAACTTTATTTTTCCCTTTTTTTTTTTTTGCAACGTATAGTAAAGATTAGAAAAGCAAAGAACACCCAGAAGGCCAGTTTTGTATTTATAACATTGTGTTTACGGGAGACACATTTTTGTTATCCCCGCTTCCAGCCAAATCCTCCGATTTTATACCTTGGAATCCCTAAATTAGTAACTGGTGTGTCTTTCCCAGCTGTATAGTGGAAGGGACGGATTTTCAGCCTTACCTGATTTTACAGCCCTGTTAAGCCCCGTGGGACTATGAATCGTCTTAAACCGGGATTAAATGCAGTGCAAACTGAATTATGGGCGGGCAGGGAAAAAGGAAGCTATCGAGGGGGAAGAAGTTGTTAAATCTCTGTTTAGACAACTGGGCCACAATGATCGCACCACCCCTCCTTCCCCAAACAGAAAGAGGGTGGAGATCTCCACATCTTGTTTTGTGTGTTTTTTTAAATTGTGTGTTAGAAACACCAACACTAAATCTTTTTATTCCCTTTCTCCTTCTTCTGTGTGTCCTCTTTTTGCAAACCCGTTGCTTTCACTTCTTTTAAAAAAACCCACCACCCACTTCAAAACTCTCCTTCGCTTATTTCTTCCTTTTCTGCCAAAATTCTCTTCCTGAAACCACCTGGACTGGTTGGGTCACTTTTCTGGGTTTTTTCCCCCTCTCTCAAGCCACACCTTTCGGGTGAAGAATGACAAAAGGCCAGTTCTCTTGTCACCACCTGCCGCTTCGCGGCCCTCCCAGATCTCTTTGACCTTGTTTTTAAAAATAAAAGAGATAGGTGGAGCAGGAAAGGGGGAATTTATTTTATGGTCCGTATCCATGGCTGCCTTTTGGAGTTTGATAGGTCTCTGCCCTCAAGGCGCTTACAGTTTAAAACAGGCTGGGTGGAAGAGGCTTTCCTTCTGTGCTAAACGCCCTACAGAAGACAGTGCAAGGGTTTTTAAGTCCAGATTTCTGAGGACATACAATATATAATAAATATTACATTCATGAATGGCCATCTGTCATGGATGCTTTAGCTGAGATTCCAGCATTGCAGAGGGTTGTCTCTAGATGACTGTCGGGGTCTTTTCCAACTCTACGATTTTATTATATAATATACGCAGAGATTCTGAATTTGGCATAAACTGTGTCTATAGCCAACAAGCAGAGCAGGGAGTTGAGAAGGAGGAAGTGTTGAAGGCGGCGTTGAAATATTCCATAAACGAGGGGCAGATTTGAACCACAATACCTTTAAAGCACATTTGAATCTCCTTTCTGTCCCTCAAACAATTCTGGGCTCTGTGGTTTCAGGGGCTGCTGAGAATTATAACCTTGTCAGGGGCAAACTACAGTTCCCCGAATTCTTTGAGGGAAAGAATGTACTATAAAGCTATAGCATATGGTTACAGGGTGGGTTTCCCCACCCTTTTAAAGAGAGATTTGGGAGGAAGAATGGCTCCCGCCTGCTGGCTTTCATGGTCATCGTCGTCGTCATCCTCCTAAGGGATCTGGTTGGGAAATGATTCTGGCGAGAGACGCCTTGCGCTTTGAATGTCCCTGGAAATCAATAGTGATTCAGGGCTGTGTGTTTCCTGGCTCAAAATGGCTTCCATCTCGGAGTCGAGATTCCACTCTGGCCCTGTTTCCCTCCTGCCTGCTGGAGCTCGCCCTCCCCACACATCGCACCCCACCCCAAATGTGCATCTCGTTCCCGTCTGTTCTTGGGGGGAGCATCTTTCATACCGGTTTGCCCTGGGGACAACAACTCCCATCAGCCCCCAGAATGCGGCAGCCAGACTGGTGACTGGGAGCGGCCGCCGGGACCACATAACACCGGTCCTGAAAGACCTGCATTGGCTCCCAGGACGTTTCCAAGCACAATTCAAAGTGTTGGTGCTGACCTTGAAAGCCCTAAATGGCCTCAAAGGCCCAGTGGACCTGAAGGAGCGTCTCCACCCCCATTGTTCAGCCCAGACACTGAGGTCCAGCTCTGAGGGCCTTCTGGCGGTTCCCTCCCTGCGAGAAGTGAGGTTGCAGGGAACCAGACAGAGGGCCTTCTCGGTAGTGGCACCCGCCCTGTGGAACTCCCTCCCACCAGATGTCAAGGAAATAAGCAGCTATCCTATCTTTAAAAGACATCTGAAGGCAGCCCTGTTTAGGGAAGTTTTTAATATTTAAGGCTGTTTTTAACACTTGATTGGGAGCTGCCCAGAGTGGCTGGGGAGTCTGAGCCATATGGGCGGAGTATAAATAATAAATTATTATTATTATTATTATTATTATTATTATTATTATTATTACATGCTAGCTGAGGCTCAAGGGATTCGTGGTCCAGAACAGCTGGGGGTGCCACTGCTTTTAGGAGCACTTGCCTTCAGAATTAATGGTTACTGGCCCCTTGTTCTCTTCTGTGAAACCATTGTTTCTTGTTCGAAGATTGCCATGGAATTACAGACTTGTAGACTCAGAAGGGACCAGCGGGGTCATCCAGTCCACCCCCGTGACGCGCAGGAATCTTTCGCCCGACGTGGGGCTTGAACCCACGACCCCGAGGTTCTCATGTTCTACCAGTCGACTGAGAGGAGCAGGGTGCGGCCTCCTTCGCTTTCGAAGGAGCCAGCGGGTAGCTTGGCAGATATCTGAAGCTGGGCACCTGAAACATCTCATTATATGAAGTGTTAGAAACTTAGGTGTGCCCCAAATGGCTCCTTAAACCAGGGTGGCAGACACCAAAACAGAACGCCCATTTGCCATTTTGGGGTCAGAAGGCTCAAAAGTCGTATTTAATCAATATGGCTTTTTGCTTCCTGAAATCTGTTCGGATTGTGCAGGTAAAATATGACAGATGAGGTATTGCTAGTGTGTAGAATCTAAGGATTCACAGATGGTGGAGATGTCAGGATGGCAACCGGGCATCTTCACTTGGTCGCAAGTGGCCGATAGCCAGGTGCAAAATGTGCCTAAAAAGGTAAAGGGACCCCTAACCATTAGGTCCAGTCGTGGCCGACTCTGGGGTTGCGGTGCTCATCTCACTTTATTGGCCGAGGGAGCCGGTGTACAGCTTCCGGATCATGTGGCCAGCATGACTAATCCACTTCTGGCGAACCAGAGCAGCGCACGGAAACGCCGTTTCCCTTCCCGCCGGAGCGGTACCTATTGATTTACTTGCACTGGTGTGCTTTCGAACTGCTAGGTTGGCAGGAGCAAGGACTGAGCAATGGGAGCTCACCCCGTCATTGCGGGGATTCGAACCGCCGACCTTCTGATCAGCAAGTCCTAGGCTCTGTGGTTTAACCCACAGCACCACCCGCGTCCCTAAAATGTGCCTAGTGCCTGGCTAATTTTGAACGCCGATTACATGCGCCGCAGTAGGAAAGCCAATGATTTTGGGTCTCTGCAAGTAGGACCAGCGACGCCAGGCCTAACATACCTTCCATTATGGTGAGGAAGCAGGTGTTGGAGGTACCCGGGATCTTTAGGGCAAGGCTGAGGGGACCTGTGACCCTCCAGATATTTCAGGATTTCAGCTCCCAATAGCCAATGAGAAGAGGGCTCTTGCGCCCGAAGGTTTCCCATCATGGGCCAGAAATCCAGCCCGGCTCTTCTTATTTTTAAAATTATTATTTATTAATTTTTTATGCCGTCTTGTGCTCGTAGATCTCAAGGCGGTTCACAAAATAACATTGCAATATAAAGAAAACAGGAAATACGTAATAGAAACCAGAACGAAGATAACCCAATAACCCCCCCCCAACACATTTTAAAAGGACATCTGATGCCAATCAGCCCAAGGCCTGATCAAAGGGGAGACTTGTCGCCTGGTGTTTAAAGGTTGCACTAGGTCGGCCTCCCTGGGGAGAGCATCCTATAAATGAGGAGCCACCACAGATAAGGCCCCGTTCTTGTGTTGCCACCTTCCAGACCGGACTACTTCTTATGTATAAGAAGGAAGCTGACCTGGCTAGTATAGAGGAAGGCTCTAGATAGCAGGATTCTAGGTTTGAAGCCCCTTTGACCTAGGAACTTTTGGACTACAGTTCACATCTGCGCCCTCGCCAAAAAGGCGGTGTTTGGGAGTTGTAGCCCCAAGCTCCTGGAGGGCGCCAGGTTTTGGGTGTGGCTTATGACATCCTCTCTGGGAATTGGGGTCCAGTGGGTTCCACAACCAGAGCAATCTGCTTTGGCTTCCTTCTCTGTATACCTGAGTCGGCCAGCCTCTGTTTATAAAACCAGACCTCAGCGCCAAGAGGGCCTGATAATCTTATCGCCCTTCATTGTTTGAGAAAACAAACTTGCTTTGCTCACACAACCGCAGGGGTCACGGGAAGAAGTGGCGGCAGCAGCAGGAATCTGGAAATCTGTTTTGGTAACTGGCTGCGTCTCCATCCCGGGGGAGACGCCTGGTTTTTGTGCCCATTTCACAGATCCCTTTGCGTAAGGTAGAGGACTTGGAACTCCCAGATTTTCCAGAAAGGAAGCCTTGAGAACTAGATCCGGGAAGATAAGTTTTCCCAGTGGATCAGCGGGGAAAGGGGAAGAGTATTATGGGGTCTAATGCAGCTTGGGTGTGCAGCTAGGCAGAAAAAAAGTTGAGGAAACGCGATTAGAGGTTCCTGGCTGCAGGGCGGTATCTACTTTAGGGGTGCCCTATAGCTGGATCAGGCCCAAGGGGGCCCATCCTGTTCTCCCAGTGGCCAAGCATGTCCCCCATTGGGCAACCCAGAAGCAGGATCTGACCTCAAGAGTGTTCTCCCCTCCTGTGGTTCCCAGCAGCTGGGATTCAGAGGAAGGGGGCCGAGAGCAAGAAACTTTGCTCGGCTTTTTTGGGGAGACAGAAGGGGGCCCCCAATGAAGCAATAACAGCTAGGATTCCTGGTTCCCAGGCCTAACCTTCCCCCCTCCCCGTAGAAGGCCTGCTTTAGCCACTAGCTCCTGTCTTGTTGTTTAGTCGTTTAGTCGTGTCTGCCTCTTCGTGACCCCCTGGACCAGGCACTCCTGTCTTCCACTGCCTCCCGCAGTTTGGTCAAACTCATGCTGGTAGCTTCGAGAACACCGTCCGACCATCTTGTCCTCTGTCGTCCCCTTCTCCTTGGGCCCTCCATCTTTCCCAACATCAGGGTCTTTTCCAGGGAGTCTTCTCTTCTCATGCGGTGGCCAAAGTCTTGGAGCCTCAGCTTCAGGATCTGTCCTTCCAGTGAGCACTCAGGGCTGATTTCCTTCAGAATGGAGAGGTTTGATCTCCTTGCAGTCCATGGGACTCTCCAGAGTCTCCTCCAGCACCAGAATTCAAAAGCATCCATTCTTCGGCGATCAGCCTTCTTTATGGTCCAGCTCTCACCTCCATACATCACTATAGTGGTACCTCGGGTTAAAGACTTAATTCGTTCCGGAGGTCCGTACTTAACCTGAAACTGTTCTTAACCTGAAGCACCACTTTAGCCTATGGGGCCTCCTGCTGCTGCCGCGCCGCCAGAGCACGATTTCTGTTCTCATCCTGAAGCAAAGTTCTTAACCTGAAGCACTATTTCTGGGTTAGCAGAGTCTGTAACCTGAAGTGTATGTAACCTGGAGCATATGTAACCCGAGGTAGCACCGTACTGGGAAAACTATAGCTTTAACTATACGGACCTTTGTTGGCAAGGTGATGTCTCTGCCTACGCCACCCCTTTCCCTGAACTCTGTCCACCTGCGCTGGTTTCAATGAAACCCTTTGTTTCGCCTGCTGGTTGGCTGGTGTGTGTCGTCGTCCGTGGCACCTGGGCAGGTCTGCGTGCGCACCTGTCCTGAGGGAGGGGTGATGTCACCTCCCTCCCCTCCCCCCCCCGTCCGGCGGGGAGGGAGGCAGGAAAGAAGAAAGGGAAAGGGTGCGGCAAAGCCGAGTTGGATTCCGATCAATCCCTATATCAACTTTGCCGTGAAAGTGAGCAAGTCCCTTTCCAAAACACTCAGTTTCTCCCAAGTCTTCCTGTTTTCTCTCTCTCTCTCTTCCACTGCCTCCATTTCCCCCAGAGAAGGACCGAAAAGGTACTCCAGTTCAAAAATGGCACTGTTATGGGTGCAACATAAAACCTGTCTCTCAGTCAGAAGGAATCGGGTCTTTTTCGTGCAGCAGCACCTAAACTTTGGAACTCTCTGCCTGTTTCTAAATTAAATCGATTGGCCGTTTTCGTTTTTTGATGTGGCAACTTAGAGCGACTTAGAATATTTTAAGCAGAAGGCTTAAAAAGGGAGGGTGTTCCTTACGCAGGGAGCCACAGCGAAAAGGCCGATTCTTGTGTTGCCAGCCTCCATCAGACGTTCTCAACCTGTGGGTCCCCAGATGTTGTTGGACTACAACTCCCATCATCCCTAGCTAGCAAGGCCAGAGCTCAGGGATGATGGGAGTTGTAGTCGAACAACATCTGGGGACCCACAGGTTGAGAACCGCTGCTCCAGATCTCCCATGAAGGAGCGTCTCCACCCCCACTGTCCAGCCCGGACACTGAGGTCCAGCTCCGAGGGCCTTCTGGCGGTTCCCTCCCTGCGAGAAGTGAGGTCACAGGGAACCAGGCAGAGGGCCTTTTCGGTGGTGGCACCCGCCCTGTGGAACGCCCTCCCACCAGATGTCAAGGAAATAAACAACTAGCTGACTTTTCTAAAAGGCAACTGAAAGCAGCCCTGTTTAGGGAGGTTTTGAATATTTGATGTTTTATCATGTTTTTAATATACTGTTGGGAGCTGCCCAGAGCGGCTGGGGAAACCCAGCTAGATGGTTGGGGTATAAATAATATTTTTTTAAAAAAATATTATTATTATTGAGGGGGTGGGTACACGAGGGAGGGCTTCAGAGGGAAACCTGGGTTGATTCATATGGGGAGAGGTGGTCCTGAGCTGTTTAAGGCTTTATACATCAAAACCAGCACTTTGCATTGAGCCCAGAAACTAATTGGCAGCCAGTGAGGTCAGGCCAGAGTTGCTGTTATAGCTTCAAACCATCTTGCTCTGAATCCTGAACCAATCACAACAATACAAACACAACACATAGGCTAATAGTTGTTGTTGTTTAGTCGTTTTGTCGTGTCCGCCTCTTCGTGACCCCCTGGACCAGAGCACGCCAGGCACTCCTGTCTTCTGCTGCCTCCCGCAGTTTGGTCAAACTCATGCTGGTAGCTTCGAGAACACTGTCCCACCATCTCGTCCTCTGTCGTCCCCTTCTCCTTGCGCCCTCCATCTTTCCCAACATCAGGGTCTTTTCCAGGGAGTCTTCTCTTCTCATGAGGTGGCCAAAGTCTTGGAGCCTCAGCTTCAGGATCTGTCCTTCCAGTGAGCACTCAGGGCTGATTTCCTTCAGAATGGAGAGGTTTGATCTTCTTGCAGTCCATGGGACTCTCCAGAGTCTCCTCCAGCACCAGAATTCAAAAGCATCCATTCTTCGGCGATCAGCCTTCTTTATGGTCCAGCTCTCACTTCCATACATCACTACTAATAGAATAATAAAGGTAAAGGTAAAGGTACCCCTGCCCGTATGGGCCAGTCTTGACAGACTCTAGGGTTGTGCGCTCATCTCACTCTAGAGGCCAGGAGCCAGCGCTGTCCGCAGACACTTCCGGGTCACGTGGCAAGCGTGACAAGCTGCATCTGGTGAGCCAGCGCAGCACACGAAACGCCGTTTACCTTCCCGCTGGTAAGCGGTCCCTATTTATCTACTTGCACCCGGGGGTGCTTTCGAACTGCTAGGTTGGCAGGCGCTGGGACCGAACGACGGGAGCGCACCCCGCCGCGGGGATTCGAACCGCCGACCATGCGATCGGCAAGTCCTAGGCGCTGAGGTTTTACCCACAGCGCCACCCGCATAGAATAATAGTATCATTCAAATAATAATAGAACAATGGTATCATTCAAATTGTAGGAATAAGCCAATCAAAGTTCATATGTACAAAATAACAGTGGTAGCGAAGACCGTGTGTTCAAAACAGATGTCTAAGGAACAGTCTCACAATAGTCTTTCAAAAGTTACAACAGAAGACTTCTCAAAAGCTTCAAAAGGACAGTGTCTCTGGAATGATACTACTGTTTCGTAATAGTGTTCATCAGCTGGAAATAAGATACAAGGCAGACAACCGATGAATGATAACCAAACTGAGCTACTTGCATACACATTGTGTAATAAAGCAAAATATACATAAAAAGGCACATACTTGATATTTTCCAACACTAGATCGTGTAGCTGCTGATTCTTGCAACACAATTGCACAGGACATATAAAATAAGCCACAGGTGTTTCCCATAATGATATACTTAAAGGAACAGTATAGCATATACAGCATACAAAAACAAACACAGAGTAGACCCATGAAAAACAAATATACGGAGGAATAGTATTAAGTGATTTAAACATACAGTCATACCTCGGGTTACAGACGCTTCAGGTTGTGTGTTTTTGGGTCTCACACTGCGCCGAACCTGGAAGTATCGGAATGGGTTACTTCCGGGTTTCGGCACTTGCGCATGTGCAGAAACACTAAATTGCGCTTTGCGCATGCACAGAAGCACCGAATTGCAACCCGTGCGTGCACAGATGCGGCGCTGCGGGTTGCGAACGTTCCTCCCGCACGGATCACGTTCACAACCCAAGCGTCCAGTGTACAACAAATGATGCATGCACCAATTTTAAAATGAAACAAAGTCAACTTCAGAATTTAGCATCCCCCGGATGAATTGATTTGAACAGAAAAAGGGAACGACTTTCTTGTTGACGTAGCCGCCGTTCAAAATCTTGCCTCATCCCGAATTTCTTTTGATTTACCCATAATACTGTAAATGGTAAATCTTGTGTCCAAATGTTTATGGGAAATGAAATGTTTGACCAAAGGCCTTCATAATGGAATTTCGTATGCGGGAACGATGTTCCCCAGTGCGAACCCCGGCTGCTCCTGTGGTGGAACCTATGTGCAATAAATTACATGGACATCGAATAAGGTAAACCACATCTTTAGTTTGGAATGTTCTGAATCCTGCAGCAGCTGAAGTTCCCAGACTGTCTTCAGAGGCAGTCCTATGTGTAGCCCATTACAGTAATCTAACCTAAAGGTGACCAGAGCATAGACAACATAAGTTATTATTATTATTACCGTATTTTTTGCTCTATAAGACGCACCAGACCACAAGACGCACCTAGTTTTTGGAGGAGGAAAACAAGAAAAAAATATTCTGAATCTCAGAAGCCAGAACAGCAAGAGGGATTGCTGCGCAGTGAAAGCCGCAATCCCTCTTGCTGTTCTGGCTTCTGGGATAGCTGCGCAGCCTGCATTCGCTCCATAAGATGCACACACATTTCCCCTTACTTTTAGGAGGGAAAAGTGAGTCTTATAGAGCAAAAGATACGGTATTTATTGAATTTATATACCACTCTATACCCGGAGGTCTCTGGGCGGTTCACAGAATAAAACCAAAATATAAAACCACAAAATACATAATCAAAATAAAAACAACAACCCAATAACCCCCCCAAAAAACCCCACATTTTAAAAGGGCATAGGATCCTCACAACATTTAAAGTAAGACAATTAACAAACCTGAAGAGCCACTTGTTGGAAAGACCATGATTTCAGGAATGTTTGCAGCAAAATTTATTGCCAACTGAATTGGCCAGGTGCTTTTCTGATACAAAGACATACAGGAACGTAAAAAGCTGTAAAGGTAAAGGGACCCCTGACCATTAGGTCCAGTCGTGGCTGACTCTGGGGTTGCGGCGCTCATCTCGCTTTATTGGCCGAGGGAGCCGGCGTACAGCTTCTGGGTCATGTGGCCAGCAGGACTAAGCTGCTTCTGTCGAACCAGAGCAGCGCACGGAAACGCCGTTTACCTTCCTGCCGGAGCGGTACCTATTTATCTATTTTATCTATTTATCTGATGTGCTTTCGAACTGCTAGGTTGGCAGGAGCAGGGACTGAGCAACGGGAGCAAATGGCTCCGAACTCGTGGCAGCGGCATCCCCTCACCTGCCACAACCTGGCACTCTCCAGCTCTTTTGGACTACAACTCCCATCAGCCCCAGCTGGAGAGCACCAGGTTGGGGAAGCCTTGCTATTCTATTCAAACACAAACGGTTTCAAATATTAGAAGGGATTCAATTGCGTTAATGTTTATGATTTACCGTATTTTTCGCTCTATAGGACGCACTTTTCCCCCTCCAAAAATGAAGGGGAAATGTGTGTGCGTCCTATGGGGCGACTGCAGGCTTTCGCTGAAGCCTGGAGAGCGAGAGGGGCTGGTGCGCACTGACCCCTCTCACTCTCCAGGCTTCAGGAAGCTCTCCGCAAGCCTTCGGAGCCTGGCGGGAGTTCCTGCCGGGCTCCGAAGGCTTGCGGATTGCAGCCTGAAGCCCGGGGAGTGCAGTGCCCACTTCCGCTGCACTCCTCGGGCTTCAGGCAGCTATCCACAAACCTTCGGAGAGCTCCCCCAGCCCACAAGCTTCTGCCAAAGCCGTGCGCAGCCTCTCCTGGCTGGAGAAGTTGTGCGTGGCTAAAGAGGAAGCCAAGACAGCCAGTGGGATGGATCCTGCTGACTGTCTTGGCTTCTTTGCACTTTGGGGCTGGGGGGGAAAGAATTTTTTTCTTTATTTCCCCCTCTAAAAACTAGGTGCGCCCTATAGTCCGGTACGCCCTATGGAGCGAAAAATACGGGTACTTCTGGATGGAAAGATGTACAACCATGCTTTTCAGGTAGCTTTTTTTATTTTTAGAAAAAGGGGGGTCCTTTTTGTAAAATTGCTTCTAATTATCAGTGAGACGAGACCGAATGCTTCGCTTTCCACAAGATTTATTTTCATCTCATTTCACAAGATTTATGCACCGATTGTAAAAAAACAACAACGCTCAAAGTAATTTGCAAAAAAGATTTAAAATACCAGTACGAAGAATGAAGAGCACTAATTTAAGGCTTATAAAATAACAACAGGCTAAAAACAGATTAAAACTCGCAGCAACTTTCTCAACATCTGAATATGCCTGTTTTTAGCAGCGCCGAAAAGCGAACTGCACGGGCGCCTTTCTGAAATCAATTGGCAGGGAGTTCCAAAGTTTACTGCCGCACCACACTAAAAGACAAGTGCAAAATGGCACCTTTAGCACTGTCGGTAGTGACCTTGCAGTGATTGTGCGATCTGCCTCAAATCACCTGATTTATATAAATTTTTGGCGGGGTGGGGAGAGGAATCTGTTGACTCTCCCCTTCCCTTTAGATGCCAGCGCCCCGCTGAGTCACAAAATGGGGCAGGACTTTTTTGGCTGTGCGGCTGAGCATTGTGTGGTGGCAGGCAGGCAAGGTGGAAGCCCTCGATTGCTCCTCTCGGCTCTCTCCGGGAACCCAGGAGTCCGGCGGCGACTCCTACCTTTACGACAGCTCGTTTGCTGAATCCATGAAGCGTTAAGCAAGGTGTGGCTTTATAGGTCCTGCTAGCAAATGGCTTAGACTTTGAATCCCTTTTTAACCTACCAGGTTGTTCCTTGGCAAAAAGCCAACGAAAATCGGGGCCTGGCTTTAGATCCTGGTGCCCCCCAGCGGCTGCTGGGAGTTGCAATCCGAAGCAGCTGGGGGGCACCAGGTTTGTGGAAGGGTGGTCCGGGTCAGTCTGCCCCACTCCCTCCAGTACTGTAGAGATTAACCCCAGTAGAGGGTTCGTGACCCCTAGGAACCTTGCACTGCCAACCTCAGAATCATCCACGCCCCCAATCAAGCGCGAGTCAATGGGTTTAGCAAACAGTAAAGTCATTCATCTTGGGAGAAAAGCAATGACAAACCTAGACAGCATCTTAAAAAGTGGAGACATCACCTTGCCAACAAAGGTCCTTATAGTTCAAGCCATGGTTTCCCCAGTAGTGATGTATGGAAGTGAGAGCTGGACCATAAAGAAGGCTGATGGCCGAAGAATGGATGCTTTTGAATTCTGGTGCTGGAGGAGACTCTTGAGAGTCCCATGGACTTCAAGAAGATCAAACCTCTCCATTCTGAAGGAAACCAGCCCTGAGTGCTCACTGGAAGGACAGATCCTGAAGCTGAGGCTCCAAGACTTTGGCCACCTCATGAGAAGAGAAGACTCCCTGGCCATGACCCTGTTGTGGGGGAGGATGGGGGGCACAAGGTGACGGGGACGACGGAGGACGAGATGGTTGGACAGTGTTCTCGAAGCTACCAGCATGAGTTTGACCAAACTGCGGGAGGCAGTGGAAGACAGGAGGGCCTGGCGTGCTCTGGTCCAGGGGGTCACGAAGAGGCGGACACGACTAAAGGACTCAACAACAACAACAACAAAAGTCATTAAAGGCTGAAAGCAGGAAGGGCAGAGCTTTTTTGCAGGACCCCCCCATCATTCAGTTTGTACAAACATGACACACACACACACTCACACATGACATACGCGATGCTTCTGTTATAAATTCATAAAAAATCAGCCGTACATGGGATCTGTACCGTTCCACTTTTATTTTACACCACAAAGGAAGGACTATGAAAGGGGGGAGAACTGACACAAGGCAGCCATAATCCCCCAAGCGCGAGCCCTACCCAGTTGGCATGCCAACCTTGATGGTCCTAGACAGAAGATCATCACACTCACAAAGGACCCACATATGGGGGTGGATTCAGTACGGACTGAAACAAAGGACAGTGACCAGCCCTTCCCTCTGGGGGCAGGAAACAGTGAACTCCTCTTTGCCCTCAGGAATGTAATCATGGGGAGGGGGAAAGGAGGAAGCGGACAGGTGACAAGACACTCAGGTTACCACCACAACTCCTCCCTCAACCCCTCCTCTTTGTGATGTGTCAATGCTGTAGTCATGATGTAGTCTTAGGGGTGTAGCATGGGGGACTAGTAGCTAATAAAAGTTGGGGTCTTCTTCTGTTTGGGGCTTCCATCTTGTTTCACCTGGTGGCAGGTGGGAGTCCTGTTGCGACAGTCTTCAATAAAGACCAAGCCGACTGGCTGCTGTTTTGCTCTGGTATTCCTGGCTGGGTCCTTGCTTTTTTTGTCCAAGGGAGCCCTCAGATTTCTCTGTTAACAGCTTCCAACATTTCTCCGATGAAAAATAGGGACGTTTCTCACCCAACTGACCCCCATTTTTTGTCTCCTGCCCCCTGAGCAGTGGCGTAGCATGCGGGGGGCACAGGGGCAGAAAATTCTTAGCGGCGCAAAGTTTTGATGCCCGGTGCCGCCTCAATACATTTGCTTGCGTCCGTCGCTGGGCTCTGTCGGAAATGGCTTCTCCAGGAAGTAACCTCTGTCCAGACAGCGGAATGACTCTTCTTTTCTTATCTCTGCGGCCGCGATCTCCTGAGTCAAATGTCCGTATGTGCTCTGCCTGTTTCCTGCACTTTGCCTTGCCCCGGGCACCAGCAGCCCAGGCTACGCTACTGCCCCTTAGCGTCTCCTAACAGGATAAGGGCGAGTGCTGCTGCTGCTTTACCAACGGGGCACGACCTCTGCCGTCCTGAGAAAAACCCCTTCATCGCAATTTTATTTTATTCTTTTTTTTTGTCAATTTTTTTATTAGTTTTCACAATATTATAAACAAACGAACAAACACATAAGACAAACAAACATAAATCATAGCCTTATTGAAAATTACACTTATTAACTTTGTTAAGTGACTTCCTCGCTTCCCCTTGGTTGAATTTCATTGCATGTCCTTTTAACGGTTTTCCAAATCCCAATTCTTATAAAATTTAAGTTAAACATTAACATCCTTAGATCTTCACCCTATGGAACTAAACATATCAATTCATCACTGAACAGAAATAAAATCCTAAGCCAGTTAAGTATCTGCAAGCTGTTTTCAGTTAATTTGACTTAACAAATTTAGCTAGATAATCATTAAATTTAATCCACTCTTCCTGATACTCCTCCTCCTTCTGGTTGCGGACTCTTCCGGTTAGGTCGGCTAGCTCCGAAAAATCCATCATCTTCATCTGCCATTCTTCTATCGCTGGTAATTCTTGGGTTTTCCACTTTTTAGCTAACAAAATACGGGCAGCAGTTGTGGCATACAAAAATAATTTAACATCTTTCTTGGGCAATTCCAAACCTGTTATTCCAAGAAAAAAGGCCTCTGGTTTCTTTATAAGTGTATATTTCAACATTTTTTTCAATTCATATAAATCTTTTCCCAGAGGTCTTTCACCTTGGGACAGGTCCACCACATATGATAAAAGGTTCCTTCCTTTTCTTTACATTTCCAACATATATTGTCACAGTTATGCAATTTTATTTTACTCTTTGCAAAAAGAAAAGCACGCACCGACGAATAAATTTCAGAAAGGGGCAAGATTAGACCTTGCTGACCCTGGGAGCAAGGTATACAGACAGCTTTCTGGCTCTGGGACAGGAAGCAAGAAAGTGCCCCACGCTGACTCACAGACCGGAGTCATGCTTTTAAATTGCTGCAAAGACCTTTCGTTGATTTGTTTAACTTCTTGAAACTTGCACGCCTGGTATTTACCTGGGGAAGGGACGGGCCATGAGTAAACTCTCCGGTTTCAAACATTCAAACGGTAGCAGGAAAAGGGCAGGGCTGCAATTTATCCTCTCTGACAGAGGATCAGTGGGGCTTGAGAACCTGGGTGCGCAAATTACAGCCCAGGGGCCGGATCCGGCCCAATCGCCTTCTAATTCTGGCCTGCGGACGGTCTGGGAATCAGCATGTTTTTACATGAGTAGAATGTGTGCTTTTATTTAAAATGCATCTCTGGGTTATTTGTGGGGCATAGGAATTCGTTCTCACCCCCCAAAAAATATAGTCTTGCCCCCCACAAGGTCTGAGGGACGGTGGACCTGAAAAAGTTTGCTGACCCCTGTTTAAGAAAATCTGAAGAACTCTGCCAAAGCCCCATCTAGCCGGGTGTCTGTTTCCCACAGCGGCCAACCAGATGGCTGTGGGAAGCCCGAAAGCGGGACCCGAGTTCGAGGGCAGGTGCTGCCACACTTAAAGATTGATTTCTTACAAGTGTGGATGATGTTGCGCCTGTGACAGTTTCAGTTCCGCAGATTAAAGCAGTCGAGTGGGAATCTTTGGGGTGAGGCAATCTCCCTGCTTCAAGGTTTCGCTTCCGTCCTCATAAAAAGACATTTGATGTTTGCGGTGATTTATCGGCACACCTCGATTCCACTCACCCTCGCTACTGGTGCCATTTCAGCCCTGAAAAAAAATAGCCACACCTTTTAAATTTGTGGGTGTGTTGTTTTTTTGAAAAATAATTTTTATTAGTTTTCAGTAACGATCATCCAATATACGCCTCATTGTATCAATACCAAGTTATAATATCAATTCCAGTATCAATCAGTAATACCCAATTACATAATTTAAGTGGCTCCCCGCGTGGTAGAATTGAAGGTTTGATCATTTTCTTTAATTCTGCTCCCAAACCCTTATTTAATCCCATTACATTCCTATCGTAATAACGATTCATTATACAACAGCTGCAGTATCCTTAACTTCTATTCATGTTAACACTTTTCATAATTTATAAGACTGCCAGTATTAATAATCAGAATAAATTTGTGGTTTTTAACCTATTTGCTCTAATACTGTCTCCAGCTAAGTTTTCACTCCAGAAATCGATGGCGCCCAGTGAGTCACACATCCCTAAATGTGTCTATTTTGAAAACGGCAAATGTTCGCGATACAACCCAGCTGTTTCTCTTTTTTCAAAACCGTGAAATATTTGTGTGCCGGTGCTTAAAGCAGAGAAAAATGAAAGTGTTTGCTGTGAATTAAATCGGTACCTTTAAAAAGCAAGTAAACGAACCCTGGACAGATTCAAAAATGAACTTGAAATCCTTTGCCAGACTTCGGGGAAACAGTGAATTGTAGCCTTATTGCAGAGAAGCATTGCATTCGCATTTTCTGAATCTCCTCCCTTTATCTTTGCAGCGTCTCGCCAAGCCACCCGGGCACTGATGGTGGTCTCCCTGGTCCTGGGGGCGATTGCCATGGGCGTCGCCACCATGGGCATGAAATGCACCAATTGCGGGAGCGAGGACAAGGTGACGAAGGCTCGGATTGCCATGACAGGAGGCATAATCTTCATGGTTGCAGGTAAGTCGGCCAAGGAATGGCCTCTTTCCTGCTATGTGGGCCTAAAAAGAACAGTGGCCGCTGGATCAGTGCCGGGGGGGGGGGGGTGCCATTCTCAGCCAGCGCCAAAGGGGAAAAACCCACGAGCAGGATTCGAACGCAAGCCTACAGCAACCGGGATTTAGAAGCATCGCAATGGCTCTGACTCTGCAGGCAGGACACAGCCTTTGTGACTACGAGCCACCAATAGCCTTGTCCTCCGTTAATAATTTGTCCAGTCCTCTTTTAAAGCCTCCAGTTTGGTGGCCGTCACTGGGGCAGGGAGGTCCATTCGAATTCGAATATCCTTTATTAGGCATAGCAAACCACATGTTATCAAACAGACAAAGTTGTGCAAAATACGAGCTCAACATAATGAGGTTTGTCCCGGTCAGATCTTTAACTCCAGAGGAAATCAATTTGCATAAATAATACAACACAGAACTACCACATCACCGATCAATTAAGAGCCACTAAATCTCTTTATGGGATGCGGGTGGCGCTGTGGGTTAAACCACAGAGCCTAGGGCTTGCCGATCAGAAAGTCGGCAGTTCGAATCCCTGCAACAGGGTGAGCTCCCATTGCTCAGTCCCAGCTCCTGCCAACCTAGCAGTCCGAAAGCACATCAAAGTGCAAGTAGATAAATAGGTACCACTCCAGCGGGAAGGCAAACAGCGTTTCCGTGCGCTGCTCTGGTTCGACAGAAGCGGCTTAGTCCTGCTGGCCACATGACCTGGAAGCTGTACGCCGGCTCCCTCGGCCAATAAAGCGAGATGAGCGCCGCAACCCCAGAGTCAGCCACGACTGGACCTCATGGTCAGGGGTCCCTTTACCTTTACTTAAATCTCTTTATAATGGCCCAGTCTTTCCACATGGACAGCACTCAAAAATTCAGCCACTATTAAAGTAATTTGATCGTTCCTGTCCGAAAACAGGTCGTGAACCATTGGTAGCATAGAATTAAGCCTGTTGAGTTGTAAGGCCTCTAATAATTGTCTTCTGGCATAAATGCCAAAATCACAAGAAAAGAAGATATGCTCCAAAGTATCAGGTTCCTGTTTACTACATTTGCAGAGGCGCTCTGTTTCTGGGAGAGCTAATATCTTCCTCTTACTACCATCGAGGGAAACATATTAAATCTGGCTAACATAAACAGCCTGCACAGTTCATGGTTCTTGCAGGGAGTTCCATAGTTTAAACCCTGCGCTGTGTGAAAAAGGACTTTTTTTATCCGTCCTGAATTTTCCAGTGTTCATCTTCATGCGACGTCCACCAGTTCTGGTGCTATAGGAGACACTTTCTCTAGGGCAGGCGCCCCCAAACTTGGCCCTCCAGATGTTTTGGGGGCTACGATTCCCATCATCCTTGACCACCGGTCCTGTTAGCTAGGGATGATGGGAGTTGTAGTCCCAAAACAGCTGGAGGACTGAGTTTGGGGGTGCCCACTATAGGGCACGCATAATTTTATGAATTCCTATTGTGTCTCCTCATGCTCGCTTTTTCTCTAAGCTCGAAAAACCCAAACACTGCAACTTTTCCTCGTAAGTTGAGTCCCTCCACTTCTTAGATCATTTTTGTTCCCTTTTCAGAATCTTTTCCAACTCTACAATATCCTTTCTTACGTGAGGCGACCAGAACTGGACTCCATTCTGGGTCCTGCTGGGTGGTTTGCAGCCCTTGCGATGTTCTCTAGTTAATTTCTCTGGAAAGACATACAGTGGTACCTCTGGTTAAGTACTTAATTCGTTCCAGAGATCCGTTCTTAACCTGAAACTGTTCTTAACCTGAAGCACCACTTTAGCTAATGGGGCCTCCTGCTGCTGCCGCGCCACAGGAGCATGATTTCTGTTCTCATCCTGAAGCAAAGTTCTTAACCCAAGGTACTATTTCTGGGTTAGCGGAGTCTGTAACCCGAGATACCACTGTACAGTCGTACCTGTTAAGTCGAACATCTTGCGAGTCAAACGCCGCAAACCCAGAAATGAGCCTTCCGGCTTGCAAATGTTCTTTAGAACCCGAACACCCGACGCGGCTTCCGATTGGCTACAGGATCTTCCTGCAGCCAATCGGAAGCCGCACTTTGGTTTCCGAACGTTTTGGAAGTCGAATGGTCTTCCGGAATGGATTCTGTTCGATTTCCGAGGTACGACTGTACTTCTGATATAAGTCTCCATCCCAAGCAGACTCCTAACTGATTTTTTGTAGTGAGAGTCTTGCGCAGACCAGCTCCCATGCCTGTTAGAAGATCCCTCGCCTCATTGCATCCTTTTCCTGTGCATTAGCTAACTGCTTCAATCGGTTGCCGTCCCAATCATAAACCCACATTGCAAATTGCTGTTTGGGCTATGAATGCTGCCCGCAATGAGCTTGTTAATTCAAATAAGGCTTGATAGGCTCAGTCCCAGCTCATTCTTGTCCACGCCAAATGGCGGCAGCTGTAGAGGGTTTCGCACTCGGGGCCTGCTCGGCGGTACCATCAGGGAATTGACCCCGAAGCATTCTCTGTGCAAGGCATCTGCTCTGCTGCTGCTGCTAATAATAATAATAATACTAATTATTATTTATTAATTATTTATACTCCGCCCATCTGGCTGGGTTTCCCCAGCCACTCTGGGTGGCTTCCAACAGAATATTAAAAACACAATAAAACATTAAAAACTTCCCTAAACAGGCCTGCCTTCAGATGTCTTCTAAAAGTCAGGTAGTTGTTAATTTCCTTAACATTTGATGGGCTGGCGCCACCACTGAGAAGGCCCTCTGCCTGGTTCCCTGTAAGCTCCCTTCTCGCAGGGAGGGAACTGCCAGACGGCCCTCGGAGCTGGACCTCAGTGTCCAGGCTGGACGATGGGGGTGGAGACGCTCCTTCAGGTCTACTGGGCCTTTGAGGCCGTTTAGGGCTTTCAAGGTCAGCACCAACACTTTGAATTGTGCTCGGAAACGTACTGGGAGCTGATGTAGGTCTTTCAGGACCGGTGTTATGTGGTTTCGGCAGCCGCTCCCAGTCCCCAGTCTGGCTGCCGCATTCTGGATTAGTTGCAGTTTCCGGGTCACCTTCAAAGGTAAAGGTAAAGGGACCCCTGACCATTAGGTCCAGTCGTGGCCGACTCTGGGGTTGCGGTGCTCATCTCGCTTTATTGGCCGAGGGAGCCGGCGTACAGCTTCTGGGTCATGTGGCCAGCAAGACTAAGTCACTTCTGGCGAACCAGAGCAGTGCACGGAAACACCGTTTACCTTCCCGCCGGAGCCGTACCTCTTTATCTACTTGCACTTTGTGCTTTTGAACTGCTAGGTGGGCAGGAGCAGGGACCAAGCAATGGGAGCTCACCCCGTCGCGGGGATTCGAACCGCCGACCTTCTGATCGGCAAATCCTAGGCTCTGTGGTTTAACCCACAGTGCCACCCGTGTCCCCCTTCCAAGGTAGCTACAGGTAAAAAGCATCAGTTAGCCTGGTGAAAAGGAGGGTTGAGCTCTGAACCGCTCTTGCAGGGAAAGCATCTATTGAAGGGAGGCTGCAAATTGGATCTGTGGAATGAGGAGAGGCTGTTTGTTTTGGCGGTGGAGAAGCAGCGATGTTGTCATACAGGAGGGAATACCGTGCCCATCTCAAGGGAGGGCGGCAACAAGCGACTAGAGGAATCAGTGTTAGAAACTCAGATATATAAGCTAATCGCTCAACAGCACCTTGAACCTGGGCCAGGGGCGCCACAATGGAATGTCTAGGCAGCCCCCCCAAAATGAAATTTACCATTGTTGTTGTTTAGTCATTTAATTGTGTCCGCCTCTTCGTGACCCCCTGGACCAGAGCACACCAGGCTCTCCTGTCTTCCACTGCCTCCTGCAGTTTGGTCAAACTCATGCTGGTAGCTTCGAGAACACTGTCCAACGATCTCGTCCTCTGTCGTCCCCTTCTCCTTGCGCCCTCCATCTTTCCCAACATCAGGGACTTTTCCAGGGACTGTATTACTAATTTCATTCTTACACCACTTTATATTTTAAAGTATCTCAGGGTGGTTTAAAAGGTAAAGGTAAAGGGACCCCTGGACTTTTAAGTCCAGTCAAAGGCGACTCTGGGGTTGTGGTGCTCACCTCACTTTCAGGCCGAGGGAGCCAGCATTTGTCCGCAGACAGCTTTCCCAGTCATGCGGCCGGCAGGACTAAACCACTTCTGGCACAACGGGACACTGACAGAAACCAGAGCGCACGGAAATGCCGTTTACCTTCCTATTTATCTACTTGCGCTTGCGTGCTTTCGAACTGCTAGGTTGGAAGGAACTGGGACAGAGCTTGCCCCGTCGCGGGGATTCGAACCGCCGACCTTCCGATCGGCAAGCCCAAGAGGCTCCGTGGTTTAGACCACGGCGCCACCCCTTCCTTGCCCCCCGGAGCAACAGGAAACAAGTTTGCGCCATCTTCCAGGTGGCGGCCCTTCAGATGTTTGAAGATGGCTATCGTATCTCTTGCCCAACTCCCTCCACCGTTCCTTATAAGGCATGGTTTCCAGAGCCTTTTATCATCTCAGTTTCCCTCCTCTGCACATGTTCCAGCTTGTCAACATCCTTCTTAAACTGGGGAGCCCAGAACTGGACACAGGACTCCACATGGTGTCCTCCCAAGGCTGAATAGAACAGTTCCCAAACTCTGGGAACTGTAGTTTCCAGAGTTCCCAGACTCTGGGAACCGTAGCTGTACAAGGCAAATCTCAGCACCCTTAACAAACTACATGTCCCTGGATTCTTTTGGGGGAAGCCATGACTGTTTAAAGTGGCTTCTGCCATGTGAGATGAATGGGGCATAATAATAATAATAATAATAATAATAATAATAATAATTTATTATTTGTACCCCGCCCATCTGGCTGGGTTTCCTCAGCCACTCTGGGCGGCTTCCAACAAAGATTAAAAATACATAAGAAGACATGCACACACTTGAGTAACATTTATTTCCACAAACAATTAGGATCTTTGAGCATAAAGGGCTCAAAGAGTCTATAAAGTCGCAAATATCTTTTTCTTTTTTAAAAAACTTCTGGGTAGCAGCTTGTAACATCCTGAATGCTGGGGGGATAAAACTTCCGAGGGTCATTTGGACGAACTTGCATGTGGAACTCCCTGCCACAGGAGGCCAACTTGGATGGGTTTAAAAGAGGACCGGGCAAATTCATGGAGGAGGAGCGGGCTATGGATGGCGACTAGCCAGGATGGCTGGGCCCTACCTGCACAGTCAGAGGAAGTGATGATGATTTCTGGAAACTGCAGGAAGGGAGAGGACTCTTGAGTTCGAATCCTGCTTATGGGTTTCCCCTAATAGTCCTCTGGTTGGCCCCTGTGAGAACAGGATGCTGGACTTGATGGGCAATTGGCCTGATCTAGCAGGTCTCTTCCCATGTTCTTTATGAACTGAACTAGCAAAGGAGTCGTGGAATTGTGGCGTCGGAAGGGACCCGAGGGTCATCTAGTCCAACCCCCCCCCCCCCGCCCCGTGAATCTTGATTTAAAGCATCCAGAACAGATTATGGGTTTCGAACTGAAACTGCTTCCTTTCCCCCCCCAATTTTTTTTATTGGTTTTCACAACATTATAAACAAACAAACAAACACATAAGACAAACAAACATAAATCATAGCCTTGTTGAAAATTACACTTATTAACATTAAGTGACTTCCTCGCTTCCCCTTGGTTGAATTTCATTGCATGTCCTTTTAACGGTTTTCCAAATCACAGTTCTTGTAAAATTTAACTTCAACATTAACATCCTTAGATCTTCACATTATGAAATTAAACATATTAATTCATCACTTAACATAAATAAAATCCTAAGCCCATTAAGTATCTGCAAGCTGTTTTCAGTTAATTTAACATATTTAACTAAGTAATCATTAAATTTAATCCACTCTTCCTGATACTCCTCCTCCTTCTGGTCGCAGACTCTTCCGGTTAGGTTGGCTAGCTCCGAAAAATCCATCATCTTCATCTGCCATTCTTCTATCGTTGGTAATTCTTGGGTTTTCTACTTTTTACCTAACAAAATATGAACGGCTTCCTTTTTAAGCATGTCGAAGTTGAGCATGGAACTGTTGAGTTTTCCAGGCTGTTGCTTGAACACCATGGAGGGGAAAGAAGCTGTTATATAAATTATTTTCTCCCCCCCCACCTTCCCTCTCCCTCTTTTCCCCCAGGGCTGTGCGCACTCGTTGCTTGTTCGTGGATCGGGCACCAGACTGTGACGGATTTCTACAACACCCTGGTGCCAACAAATGCAAAGTGAGTTTTCCGGTTGAGGCAGGGGTGGGGGGAGAGGAATGAATGCAGACCCCAAACCCCACAAGCTCTGGGTGTTATGTTGTGGGCGAACATGTCAGACGACACAGCGATTCTTTAAACAGCTCTTCTTTATTCAGATGCCAGAACAGAACTAGGCGGAGGAGCTCAGTAAGCCTGCTTATATAGAGCTCCAGAACAATGCAACTGTTGCCATTTTCTAAAACTATCCAATCACTGAACGTCACTTTTCGATCCTTCATTTGCATAGCTATCTACAGTATCCCCCTGCTGGCCCAGGGTGAGAAGTTCAGTATATAACACTGGGCTTCTCTGATTTCTTCACCTCATCAAAACCTTGCCCACCCACCCAACCCCTATGCTAAATAATCCAGCACAGGGTGGATTTGATTTACCGTATTTTTCACTCTATAAGACGCACCAGACCACAAGACGCACCTAGTTTTTGGAGGAGGAAAACAGGGGAAAAAATATTCTGAATTACAGAAGCCAGAACAGCAAGAGGGATCGCTGCGCAGTGAAAGCAGCAATCCCTCTTCCTGTTCTGGCTTCTGGGATAGCTGTGCAGCCTGCATTCGCTCCGTAAGACGCACACACATTTCCCCTTACTTTTTAGGAGGGAAAAAGTGAGTCTTATAGAGCAAAAAATACGGTAAATCAAATTGAAGGAGCGTCTCCACCTCCATCGTTCTGCCCGGACACTGACGTCCAGCTCCGAGGGCCTTCTGGCGGTTCCCTCCCTGCGAGAAGCCAAGTTACAGGGAACCAGGCAGAGGGCCTTCTTGGTGGTGGCGCCCGCCCTGCGGAACGCCCTCCCACCAGATGTCAAAGAGAAAAACAACTACCAGACTTCTAGAAGACATCTGAAGGCAGCCCTGTTTAGGGAAGCTCTTAATGTTTGATGTATTACTGTATTTTAATATTTGGTTGGAAGCCGCCCAGAGTGGCTGGGGAAGCCCAGCCAGATGGGCGGGGTATAAATAAATTATTATCATTATTATTAGTAAGACAAAAACAAAAGGAAAAGGCCGCGAAAACGCAAAATAAATAGCAAAAACATACAGACCTCAGCGTAACACTCAAAATGGGAGTGTGGCACTCAAAACGGAGCACGTTTGGCTTCTGAGAAAAGTTCGCAAACCGGAACACTTACTTCTGGGTTTCCAGTGTTTTGAGTTGTTTGAGTCCCAAGGCACTTAAGAAACCAAGGAACCACTGTATTGTGCAATGGCTTTAGTATATTTGTACCAAGCCGGGATTGCATCTCCCGGTTATTTATGCTAGATGTATGTGCATTTTCGAAAACTCCACTTGCTATATACCAGGCAGGTGCAATACCTGTCTTTCCAACACCTATTTAAGATCTTCCCTTTTCCATCAAGCCTTTTAAGTGGTGATTTTTATCCCAGTTTGTATGTGTACTGGATTTGAAATTGTTTTTATTGTTTAAAATTGCTTTGGATTGCTCTGTGGGAAACAATAAAGGTAAAGGGACCCCTGACCTTTAGGTCCAGTCGTGGCCGACTCTGGGGTTGCGGCGCTCATCTCGCTTTATTGGCCGAGGGAGCCGGCGTACAGCTTCTGGGTCATGTGGCCAGCATGACTAAGCCGCTTCTGGGGAACCAGAGCAGCGCACGGAAACGCCGTTGACCTTCCCGCCGGAGTGGTACCTATTGATCTACTTGCACTGGCGTGCTTTTGAACTGCTAGGTTGGCAGGAGCAGGGACCGAGCAACGGGAGCTCACCCCGTCACGGGGATTCGAACCGCCGACCTTCTGATCGGCAGGCCCTAGGCTCTGTGGTTTAACCCACAGCGCCACCCGTGTCCCTCTTGTGGGAAACAATAAATGAAATAAATAAGTTCAAAAAGAAAGAAAAATGTGTGCATAAACTGGACCGATGGAGCATCTTTACGACTCACCTTTCTCCTCCTTGCAGGTACGAATTCGGATACGCCATTTTCATCGGCTGGGGGGGCGCTGCCCTGCTGCTCTTAGGGGGCGGGCTCCTCTCCTGCTCCTGCCCCGGGAAGACCGCCTACAGGGGGCGCCAGTACCCCCAGGGGAAGCCCATCTCCAAACCTCCCAGCTCCAAAGAATATGTCTAGCTTTCCTGATTGACAGTTCCTTCCCCCTTCCCCCCACGCCTAGAATACCACTGGACCAGAGGCGTGGAAAGACCACCCTGAACTTTTTGGGACGACCTCAGCAACTCCTTCCCCCACCCGAGAGAGGTGTTTTTAAATGTTTCCTCAGTTCACACCAGATTTAGTTTTCTTTTTTTACTAAATAATGCTATTTGTTAGCTTGCGATTTCCCCGTGTAATTCTTTTGCTAATGGATAGGAATAATTGTAAGTGATTAATGTAAGATGGTGTAAACACAACACTTCCACGCCGACTTATTGGAATGAGGGGCACACACAGATAATTTGTTAATTGAACTCTCTTCTCCACCTACCACCCCCGCAGACTCCCAAATTAATATAATTTTTTAAAAAGATTACTCAGGGACATATATATAGTTGCGACAGACCTAAAAGACAGGACCAAGTTCCCTTAAGTTTGTTTGAAAGCAACTCCTGAACTGGGAAGACTGGTGAATTCAGCACTTAACTGTGCGTCTGTATTGGGTCGTTGAACACCAGCAAATTGAGCTTTAAAACAACGGCTCATTTCTCCTTGGGGTGTTTACATCTATCTGTCGTATAAGCATTTATATTTTGGGGGGTGGGGAGAATGAATGGAGCCCCACTGGAAAATCCCCAGTGATATCTGTAACTGTGTGTAAGTATGTAGAACATTCACTTTGGGGCGAGTAGAAATGGTTTATACTAGGAAGGCTGTTCTGCATGGTGGAAAGTGTTGAGGGGGTCAGGATTTGACCCTAATTGCTTCGTGTGGCGTTAGAGGCAAGTGTGAAGGTTTGCTTTGCTGCAGAAATCATTGGTGGTTCTTCGTGTACACAAATACCCCTGATTTTATACACACACAAATACACACACACACACACAAATACACCACCACCCCATAAATTTGCTAGGGTTCTGGTGAAAACATTTGACCACAACCTACAAAGATACAATACTCTCGTTCAAGCCAGAGGCCTTTGGAAAAACAACCTGTTTGCCTATTTCCTATTACCGATATTAATGGCAATTCTAGTTTGTTAATTTCAACCCTTCACTTCACCCCACCGCGAAAAACTTCCCAGTAAACGCCCCCTAAATCGTGTGTCGGGAACTTTTCTATACTTGGAGATATCTGCTTGCTTTAATAGATTTTAAATACTTGCTTTTAATTGCATGGGAAAAGGGGGAGGGAAAATATTGCCGGTCTTCAAGAAAGGAGGTATTCCTAGATTTTTAAATGTGGCCTTATTTAAAGCACTAAGACTCCTTAAGGTTGTGTGCGTGCGCATATTTTTTATTATTAATTGTCTTTGTGTTGCTGGGAATTGATATTTTTTTGTACATAATAAACAAGAATGTTTTGGACAAAAGCGGGCTTCAGTTTGACTCGTGTTTTGGGTGCCAGTCCTCATGAAAATTCACCGGCATGAATTTTTTAGCATGAATTTCTCCCAATACAGACATTTTTGTATTCAATATTGCCAAAGAGACATGATATTGCAAAACCATTCTCGTATATAAACAGCCTGAAACAAGTTACAAAATAAATGTTGCAAAATACAAAGCAGCTCATTGCTCTTAAACTGGAAGTGTGGTCTAGCCTTCTGGAAAGTTCCTTAATACCGTCCAAGAACTTGCGTCTAGTCCCAGAGAAAGAACCTAAGCAACTTGCTTGTTCAGCAACACTGAGCTGAATATTGTTTTTAATTTGTAGAAAACACACATATCCCAACCGTCTGGCTCTAAACCTGTTCACTTAGAAGCAAATCTCACAGAACTCAACAATATTTACTTTAAGTGAAAATACATATGGCTGCAGTTTTAATTTTTGTGAAACATTCAAAACTGAACCCACAAGTATCTTTAATTCTATTTCATGCAGCAAATTTATTTTTTGGCACGAGCTCTACCACAAAGTTTTGTGTCATTTGCAGAAAGCTACACAAACAACAAAAATCTATAGATGTTTCCCCATACTTTTTTTCTTTTTTTCTTTTTTTAATTTTTAATTTTTTTGTTTTTATTAAAATAATTCATCATTAATACACATATATTACAAATATGCAAGCATACAAACATACATTTCATACAATCCTTAAAAGTGTTCAAACATACTTACACTCAATCCCACAAATAATTCCTTTTCCCATCACCATCCACCACCCCTCGCCCCACCTTTGTGTTAGACTTCCAATCTACTCAACTGCAATTTCTTTCCACTTCTACTACTTTCTTTCACACACCTTTAACCTAATTTCATACTTCTTTTTCTATTACACATTGTTATCCATCTTATTTAGTATTTCAGTATTTGAAACGGAACTTGTTTATTCTAATAGGAGTTCTGATTTTTCGATATGGTTTTGCAAGTATTTTTTAAACACCTTCCAGTCCCTATCTATCTTCTCATTTGAGATCCTTCCAATTTCTCCCATTGTTTTGGATATATTGTAGTACTCCAATAATTTGGCAAGCCACTCTATTTTTGTCGGTACAATACCACTTTTCCAATTTTTCGCGATCGATAACCTTGCGACTACTGTTGCGTATAAATATAAGGTCTTGTCTTCTTCCTTTAGGCTTCCTGGTACTATTCCCAATAGAAAACCTTCTGGTGTTTTCCTAAATGAATATCGAAACATTTTTTTCATTTCGTTATATATTATTTCCCAAAATTGTTTGACATTTAAACAATTCCACCATATATGTATCATAGCAACACTGGAAAAGGTACTATGCCCCATACTTATTTTCTAATTGAATTTTACTGAAATTTCAGTAGTCTTAATTTTGTGGATCTGCCAGGTTGGTCAAATGTTGTGAAAGGGCAAAGGGGTATTTAACTTGGACTTCTTCATGGCTGGGATGTATCCTGGAAGACACAGGCAAGAATCTGCTCACGTTTCGCCTCTGGCCCTGCTTCCCTCTGCCACGTGGCCCTCGGTCTGGAAAAGGTTCCCAATCTCTCTGAGACTGTCAAAGCACAAATCCCAGCAGTCTTGTGGCCTCACATGGGGATGAGGCGAAGACCTGGAGGGGGTGAGCAAGCCTACTGGCTGCCCCAATACCTAAAGAGAGCCTCACTTGCAGAGACATTATACCTGAAACTGCCAAGCATCGGAAACGAAGGGGAAAATTATGAACTTGTGACGTTTGTGAGGGCATCTGCTTGGTGGCTGCTGTGATGTTCTAGATCAGGGACGTCTGCAATCTAGGTAAAGGTAAAGGGACCCCTGACCATTAGGTCCAGTCGTGGCCGACTCTGGGGTTGTGGCGCTCATCTCGCTTTATTGGCCGAGGGAGCCGGCGTACAGCTTCCGGGTCATGTGGCCAGCAGGACTAAGCCGCTTCTGGCGAACCAGAGCAGCACACGGAAGCGCCGTTTACCTTCCCGCTGGAGCAGTACCTATTTATCTACTTGCACTTCATGCTTTCGAACTGCTGGCAGGAGCAGGGACCGAGCAACGGGAGCTCACCCCGTCGTGGGGATTCGAACCGCCGACCTTCTGATCGGCAAGTCCTAGGCTCTGTGGTTTAACCAACAGCAATCTACTCACAGTATAAAAAAACTGGCAGTGATCTACCCAAAGTTGTGGAGCTTTTTTTTAGGAAGCCAAAGTTGTTTTTTGCTTTCTTTGTAAGGAGATCGCTGAGGGGCCAGAGATCAACCGGATCTACCAGGAACACCCCGTGATCTACCAATAGATCATGATCTACCTGTTGGACATGCCTGTTCTAGATCAGGGGTAGGCAACCAAAGGCCCAGGGGCCGGATCCAGCCCAATTTCCTTCTAAATCTGGTCCATGGATGGTCCAGGAATCAGCGTGTTTTTACATGAGTAGAATGTGTCCTTTTATTTAAAATGCATCTCTGGGTTATTTGTGGGGCACAGGAATTCGTTCATTCCCCCCCCCCAATATAGTCCGGCCCCCCACAAGGTCTGAGGGACAGTGGACTGGCCCATGGCCGAAAAGGTTTGCTGACCCCTGTTCTAGATGGGCTCCCTGTGTCCTGATAGAGCAGCCAGGCACTTCCTATACTAGCTGAATAGCTCAGTTAACAGAGCATGAGATTCATAATCTCAGGGTTGTGAGTTTGAGCCCCACGTGGGGCAAAAATATTCCTGCATTGCAGGGGGTTGTGCTAGATGACCCTACGGGTCCCTTTCAACTTTGTTGGAATATTCTTTGTTATATTCTGTAGATGAAGGGATACTAATTTGCATGGATTTTGCATGGAACCATTGCATGGATTTTGATATTTTCCTTGCCTTGTTTTAAATCAGTGGTTCTCTTATTTTTTTTCTCTGAGCCGTACTATCAGAATAAAAAATTGCTTGTGCCACAACAGATCTTCTAGTTGAGTGTGAGCTGGGTGTCCATCAATATGCGGATGACACCCAGCTCTACCTCTCTTTCAAATCAGAACCAGTGAAGGTCCTGTGTGAGTGTCTGGAGGTGGTTGGAGGATGGATGGTGGCTAACAGATTGAGGTTGAATCCTGACAAGACAGAAGTACTCTTCTTGGGGGACAGGAGGCGGGCAGGTGTGGGGGACTCCCTGGTCCTGAATGGGGTAACTGTGCCCCCGAAGGACCAGGTGCACAGCCTGGGAGTCATTTTGAACTCACAGCTGTCAATGGAGGTGAAGGTCAATTCTGTGTCCAGGGCAGCTGTATACCAGCTCCATCTGGTATGCAGGATGAGACCCTCCCTGCCCGCAAACTGTCTCGCCAGAGTGGTGCATGCTCTAGTTATCTCCCGCTTGGACTACAATGCGCTCTATGTGGGGCTACCTTTGAAGGTGACCCAGAAACTACAACTAATCCAGAATGTGGCAGGTAGACTGGGGACTGGGAGCGGCCGCCGGGACCACATAACACCGGTCCCGAAAGACCTACATTGGCTCCCAGTACGTTTCCGAGCACAATTCAAAGTGTTGGTGTTGACCTTGAAAGCCCTAAATGGCCTCAGACCAGTAGACTTGAAGGAGCGTCTCCACCTCCATCATTCTGCCCGGACACTTAGGTCCAGCTCCGAGGGCCTTCTGGTGGTTCCCTCGCTGTGAGAAGCCAAGTTACAGGGAACCAGGCAGAGGGCCTTCTTGGTGGTGGCGTCCTCCCTGTGGAACGCCCTCCCACCAGATGTGAAGGAAATAAACAACTACCTGACTTTTAGAAGACATCTAAAGGCAGGCCTGTGTGGGGAAGCTTTTAAAATCTGATGAATTATTGTAGTTTAATATTCTGTTAGAAGCCGCCCAGCGTGGCTGGGGAAACCCAGCCAGCTGGGCGGGGTATAAATTATAAATAATAATAATAATAATAATAATTGATAAGCAATAAAAGCAAAGAAAGACAACTATTGATTTATAATGCAGTGCTTGACTTTTAACATAAAATGCAACAACTTTATAATATGAGCAAGTATAGAACAAGGCAGAAGCTAAGAACATGAATCATTCCCAAACTATAATTATGAACATGCCTCTTACCTTAAACAAACACCGTGAGAGGTGTGAGCTTGCTTATGCCAGGTAATCTAATTTATAATAGATCTATAATTTGAGACAAACTCTTATCTCCTCATCTCCACACAAAGAAGCCTTTTTTTGAGCTTTCATGTTTGTTCACAACAATATGTTGCAGAGAGAACTGCAGAGAAAACGCCAATACAGTGGTACCTCGGGTTAAGTACTTAATTCGTTCTGGAGGTCTGTTCTTAACCTGAAACTGTTCATAACCTGAAGCACCACTTTAGCTAATGGGGCCTCCTGCTGCTGCTGCGCAGCTGGAGCACGATTTCTGTCCTCATCCTGAAGCAAAGTTCTTAACCTGAGGTAATATTTCTGGGTTAGCAGAGTCTGTAACCTGAAGCGTAGGTAACCCGAGGTACCACTGTACGATGAAGAGAGGTGTGGAGGCTGTTTCTGGTTTTATATCCAGAACCGATTATTTTGATACTAAGGTAAAAGGTAAAGGACCCCTGGATGGTTAAGTCCAGTCAAAGGCGACTATGGGGTTGCGGCGCTCATCTTGCTTTCAGGCCAAGGGAGCCGGCGTCTGTCCACAGACAGCTTTCCGGGTCATGTGGCCAGCAAGACTAAACCGCTTCTGGCGCAACAGGACACCGTGACAGAAACCAGAGCCCATGGAAACACCATTTACCTTCCTGTCACAGTGGTACCTATTTATCTACTTGTATTGGTGTGCTTTTGAACTGCTAGGTTGGCAGGAGCAGGGACTGAGCAACGGGAGCTCACCCCGTTGCGGGGATTCGAACCGCCGACCTTCTGATCGGCAAGTCCTAGGCTCTGTGGTTTAACCCACAGCACCACCCGCGTTTTGATACTTTACTCCACTGAAACGTTCAAATGATTCTTTGATTGTCCTTGAGTCGATCCGCCACAGTTGCGATCCTCTCGTCTCCTGCCACACCCTGTGAGAACCGCTGTTTTAAATGTTATTTAAACTGAACTGACCGCATTGCATGCTGTGGTTAAACACCCCCCCCAGCAAGTGTAGAACAATGCTGAAAGTAAATAAATTAAAATAATTATGACCCAGGACTAGGGAGTTATCCAGAAGCTGGCTGCTTTCCTAGGGAAGGCTAGACACCTGCAGACTCTTAACTTGCAAGCCTGAATTCTCCCAGGGAACCATTGCAAGAAACAAAAGTGCTGCAGCGCCTCCCAATGGCCATTTGGGGTAGCACAGCTGTACATATACAATGTCCCCACTGTGGAAGGATGTGTGGATCCAGAACTGGCCTCCACAGTCACTTACGGACTCATGGTTAATGGTTTATGGAAGACAATCTTACTCGGCTACGAGGGTTCACCCAAAAAGAAGATACAGTGGTGCCTCGCAAGACGAAATTAATCCGTTCCGCGAGTCTCTTCGTCTTGCGGTTTTTTCGTCTTGCGAAGCACGGCTATTAGCGGCTTAGCGGCTATTAACGGCTTAGCGGCTTTAAGAAAAAGGAAACAAACTTGCAGGAACTCGCAAGACGTTTCGTCTTGCGAAGCAAGCCCATAGGGAAATTCGTCTTGTGGAACGACTCAAAAAACGGAAAACTCTTTCGTCTTGCGCGTTATTCGTCTTGCGAGGCATTCGTCTTGCGAGGTACCACTGTATTATGCATTCACGAGGCAGTCCCTTGGCTGTAACCATAAAGATGGAAAATAATTGTGTGCGTTACATAACAGCAGCAGCGACGGCATTCTAAATTTTAAAAGTTTAAATTGTTGTTTTATTTGTCTTGAGATTTTTTTTCTTTGAGCTTTTTATTTTTTAAAACATTCGGGCAGACCCCAGAGATACTTCTTTCTTTGCATTTAACAAAATGTATATACTGCTTAGTGAGGAGGAATTAAAGAACCCTTTAATGAGGGTGAAAGAGGAGAGCACAAAATATGGTCTGAAGCTCAACATCAAAAAAACGAAGATCATGGCCCGTGGTCCCATCACCTCCTGGCAAATACAAGAGGAAGAAATGGAGGCAGTGAGAGATTTTACTTTCTTGGGCTCCATGATCACTGCAGATGGTGACAAGCAGTCACGAAATTAAAAGACGCCTGCTTCTTGGGAGAAAGGCGATGGCAAACCTAGACAGCATCTTAAAAAGCAGAGACATCACCTTGCCGACAAAGGTCTGTATAGTTTAAGCTCTGGTTTACCCAGTAGTGATGTATGGAAGTGAGAGCTGGACCATAAAGAAGGCTGATCGCCGAAGAATGGATGCTTTTGAATTCTGGTGCTGGAGGAGACTCTTGAGACTCTTGCCAGCTTTTTAATGCCCAATGGTTGTTGACATCTCCCACATCTCTCTGCTGCCCCCTTGCCTCTTACCACCCCCAGGTAATCCCAGCAGCACACTCCCAGGGGGTGGTAGTGCCCCCTGTGGGAACAACTGGCTTACAGCTTCTCCATGGAGTAAGCAGTATATTTGTTGTTGTTGTTTAGTTGTTTAGTCGTGTCCACCTCTTCGTGACCCCCTGGACCAGAGCACGCCAGGCCCTCCTGTCTTCCACTGCCTCCCGCAGTTTGGTCAAACTCATGCTGGTAGCATTGAGAACACTGTCCCACCATCTCGTCCTCCTTCGTCCCCTTCTCCTTGTGCCCTCCATCTTTCCCAACATCAGGGTCTTTTCCAGGGAGTCTTCTCTTCTCATGAGGTGGCCAAAGCCTTGGAGCCTCAGCTTCAGGATCTGTCCTTCCAGTGAGCACTCAGGACTGATTTCCTTCAGAATGGATAGGTTTGATCATCTTGCAGTCCATGGGACTCTCAAGAGTCTCCTCCAGCACCAGAATTCAAAAGCATCAATTCTTCGGTGATCAGCCTTCTTTATGGTCCAGCTCTCACTTCCATACATCACTACTGGGAAAACCAGAGCTTTCACTATACGGACCTTTGTTGGCAAGGTCTCTGCTTTTTAAGATGCTGTCTACTGTTTTTATCTACTTTTTGTTTTTTTGCAAACCTTTCCAAGTTGTTTTTTTTAAACAATCAACAGGTATATAAAGTTTATGTAACATATAAATCCAGACAGGCTCCAGATCCGATTGCTCGCTTTGCATCGGACCAAACGGATATGCCGCTTTCTCCGCAGACGCTCCAAGCGGTTTACAAGTATCCAGCCGGCTCCTCCCTCCCACTGCTCCTGCTCCTCCCGATTAAGGCCGGCTTGGCCCGGGAATCTTCCCACTTCCCAGCCAACCCGCCTCCTCCTCCTCCTCCTCCACCTCCCTGCGCGCTGGCGTCGTCCCACCGGGCGGAGCTGCCGGTGACTTGCTCCAGGCGGCGCTGCGCGCTCGGCTTCGCGGACCGGCCGCCCGTGCGTGGCTCCGGGTCGTCCCGCAGACCGAGGGGGGGCGCCCTGCTGCCCTCTCCCGGGCGCCGCGAGGATGGCTCCTCCGCCGGGCGCCGCCCGCAGCCGCGCACCCCGCCCCGGGGCGGAGCAGGAGCCGCTGCCGGCGGCGCCTCCTTGCTCCTCCGCGCGCCCCTGGCTGGTCTTGCCTCTGCGCGGCTGCTCGCAGGTCTGGTCCAGGTATCAGCGCCGCCGCCGCCTCCACCTCCGGCCAGGGCTACCCGGAGCGTCCCGGAGAAACGGCGCCGCGATGACGGTCAAGCTGGACTTCGAGGAGTGCCTGAAAGACTCGCCGCGCTTCAGGTGGGTCCGCTTGGCGCGCCGCGCCGTGCGCCCTTGGCCATGCAGCTGGTGCGCTTTTACGCATCGCGCTCCGGCCGGTGCCAGGCGGAGGCAGGCGGGCTGTCCCGCCGCCACGCAGCTGCTCCGACGGCGCGCCTTGCAGAGACGGCGCTCCCGCTCGCTCCCGCGCACGGCTCCGCTGCCTGCCTTCGCCCGCCTCCCTCCTCCACTGGTTGGAGACGAGCCGGCAGTTCCTTCGGCCTTGGAGGGAGGACGTCCCGGGCCTGCTTTCCTTTCAAACAAACTCAGGAGGAGAGTTTTCGCTTGGGGAGGGAAGGCTGGGCTGCGTTGTTGGAGAAGGGGAGGAAGTGTCGCCTAGTGGTGAGAGCAGAGGGGGCGGCTAAAGACCCAACTGGCGGGGTCCGGAAGAGGGAGAAGTGTTGGGGCTTCGGTGAGAAACCCTAAATGATGGGATAAATATTAAGGAATGGAAGGGAATCAATCGCTCTTTCTCCTTTTCCGGAGGTGAGGGGGATTTCTCCAATCATATAGGGACCCTTAGGGTCATCTAGTCCAACCCCCTGCCGTGCAGGAATCTCATGATAAGGGGAGAGCTCCCATTTTGGGGGGGGGCTTCTTTTTGCCTCCCTTTTGGGGGCCCTTTCCTCCCCACTTCTCTCCTTTGCACCAGGCTACAAAAGGAGTCCAACAGTGCAGGAAGAGGCAGAAGTGTGTGTGTAAAATACTACTAAATTGGGGGCGGGGGGGGGGCAGTGGACAGTGTGGAGATGATACTGTGAAGCAAAGCGGAGCTGCCGGTGGGGTTGCCAACTTTTCAACCAGCTCTCTGCTCCTGTGTCTTTATCAGCGGTTAGCGCTGCAGCAACCGGCCTGTTCCTTGCTGTTTGCCCACCTGCCCCTAATGGCGCAGGAGCAGGCTAGGCTTGTGGAGGGGGGGTGATTTTGGGGTGAGGGGCGGTAAGTTGGCAACTCCGGTTGTCAGGGCTGCTGTGCTGAGGCTCAGGGCGCCTAAACTGTAATGGAGGAGCTAGCGCCACACTCAGCTCTTGAGAATCCGGCAGAGCAGGTGTAAGACTGCGGGCTATTTCTAGTGGTGTGGTTTTGGTAGTGCCCCCTTCTCTCCCCACCCCAAAAAAAACCCCACTAGCAGGAGTTTCCGGCCTGTACACATGGGAGCCCAGACCTAACGCTGGGGCGAAGAGGCAGGAAGTGATAACTGGGGCAAGGCTAGAAAGCGTTCCTGGGGTCGCTTGGGCCCCCAAAACCCCCTAAGCCGGCATGTTTCAGTGTGGGGCAGTCACCGTTGCCCCATATTCTGTGCCTGGGGTGTATTTGTGCGAAATTTGGGGCCGCTTTCTGCAGAGAAGCACATCCGTTGAGTGGATTTCTGTTTAACTTTTATATGTTGACATTATTTTTTTATACTATTCTAATCGATTGTTGAGAATGTTACTTTTTTGATATAGGCTGCCTATTTTAAAGTTATGTTTTATGATCACATTTTTGTATTGCATTAGATTGTTATAAGATGTACATTTTTTTGTTTCTTCAGCTTGTAAACCGCCTTGAGTATTGGAAGATAGAAAGGCGGGATACAAATTAAAAATGATGATCCGGCCCTGAAGCATTGCGGTTCAGGCTGGCCCCAAACACCCGTGTGGGGCAGTGATGTTTTGAGGGGTGAATCTGTTGGGGGACCCCAACTCCCCAGGGTCTTCTCTGGTGGTACAAAAGAGGATGGCGTTGGCTGTATATTTTTCAGAGCTGAGGGACTCAAAAGCCTTTTGGCCAGGCCCCACCAGCAATATCATGTTGCTTTAAATCACCATGGTTTCCCTCACCCACCCAAGGAATCCTGGGAACTGTAGTTTGATAAGGGTCTCGTAGTTGTTTGGCACACCCTTACAGAACTACAACTCCCAGACTTCCCTGGAAAAGAGTGACTGGCTGTTAAACCGCTCTGCGAATTGTAGCTCTGTGAGTGGAGCTCACCTGACAACGCTCAGCTCCCTTAACCAAACTACAGCTCCCAGAATTCCTTGGGTGAAGCCATGAAAGTTCAACCAGGGAATTCTGGGAACATTCGCTCTCTGAGAAGGAAATAGGAACCAGCTTCTGACTCTCAGCTCCCAGAATTCCTTGGGGGAAGCCATGATAGTTCAACCAGGGAATTATGGGAACAGTCGCTCTCTGAGAGGGAAATAGGAGCCAGCTTCCGACTCTCAGCTCCCAGAATTCCTTGGGTGAAGCCATGATAGTTCAACCAGGGAATTCTGGGAACAGTCGCTCTCTGAGAGGGAAATAGGAACCAGCTCCTGACTCTCAGCTCCCAGAATTCTTTGGGGGGAAGCCATGACTGTGTAAAGTGGTCTGATCCTGCTTTATATGACAACACTTCAAACCGCCATGGCTTCCCCCAGAGACTTCTGGGAGTTTAAGGCTGCTGAGAGTTGTTCGGAGAGCCCTTTATTTCTCCTCACGGAGCTACAATTCCCAGAACGGTTTAGCAGTCAGCCTCTCTTCTCAGGGAGCTCTGGGAAGTGTAGCTCTCGGAGGGGAAATATGGGGTCTCCTGGCAACACCCTCGGCGCCCTTCACCAAACTACAGCTCCCAGAATTCCTTGGGGGAAGCCATGATAGTTCAACCAGGGAATTATGGGAACAGTCGCTCTCTGAGAGGGAAATAGGAGCCAGCTTCCGACTCTCAGCTCCCAGAATTCCTTGGGGGAAGCCATGATAGTTCAACCAGGGAAATATGGGAACAGTCGCTCTCTGAGAGGGAAATAGGAGCCAGCTTCCGACTCTCAGCTCCCAGAATTCCTTGGGGGAAGCCATGATAGTTCAACCAGGGAATTCTGGGAACATTCACTCTCTGAGAAGGAAATAGGAACCAGCTCCTGACTCTCAGCTCCCAGGATTCCTTGGGCGAAGCCATGCCAGTTTGACACATCAACCCCACCTCCCAGGGAACTCGGGGGGGGGGGAATAGGGGTCTCCCAATGGCTCTCTGCAAACCAAACTACAGTTCCCAGGACTCTTTGGGGGAAGCAACGCCTTCTCAGAGTGAAATGGCTTTGAACGTGAACATGGCCCTGAGAGTCACAGACGGTGTCCTCATGGTTTCCATTCTCCAGCTGTGTGTGGCTGGGACATGAGAGATTGTTTCCAGGCGTCACTGATTTCCACTTGTAGGATGTTCTGCCACAATTTTCCTCTGGTGGGACGCCCAGTGGGTGGTTTTAAAAATGCTTCTCTTTCCCAGGTGAGAAAGGCTGGGCCGTCTCTCTCTCTCTTTCCACAAAACACACACACACTTTTTTTTGGGTGTGTCGCAGCATCGTCAAACTTGTGCTTTGTGTTTGATGCCCGTCCGCCTTGCCTCGTTCCTCCCAGCTTCCTGTGGTTTTGCCACACTTCCCTCCTCGTCGGAGCCGCTTCTGAGTTTCTTCCGCTCCGGTTTGAGCCATAGCCCAGGTGCATTGTGGGGGACGTGCACGCGGTGGCCATCTTGAAATGGCCTGAGTTCGGTTTCCTGAGCGGGAACCCAGTTTGGAGGTATTTACAGAGCACCTCCAATCTAGGTAACTCAAGTAAAAGCCAGAAACCAGGCAAAATTTGGGAATCAGGCCTCCTGTTGGTCTCCCTGCAGAGGGCCTTCTCGGTGGTGGCCCCCGCCCTGTGGAACTCCCTCCCACCAGATGTCAAAGAGAAAAACAACTACCAGACTTTTAGAAGACATCTGAAGGCAGCCCTCTTTAGGGAAGCTTTTAATGTTTAATACATTACTGTATTTTAATATTTTGTTGGAAGCCACCCAGAGTGGCTGGGGAAGCCCAGCCAGATGGGTGGGGTATTAATAATAATAATAATAATAATAATAATAATAATAATAATATTCCGGCCTACCAGACCACATGCATGAGTGTGCTGCTTAGGGTGGGTGTATTATTATGGGATGGGTGCTCCTCCTCTCCCATGCAGGCTTTTTGCAGCCTCCGTACCATCAAAATGCCCGTTCCAAGGAAGACTTGGCAATTTTTTACAAAGCCATTATTTGTGATATCTCAGTGGCCCGTTTGCAATTCTAAGCCATTGCCTGGAAGAGTTTATTCCCGACTCTTTCCAGAGGTCCTTGTAACATAGAAATTGTAGTTGGACCCATATACACTGAAGGTTTAAAGCAGCAGTCAGGTTTTTCTCCACCCCCCAAAAAGAATCTTGGGAACTCTAGTTTGTTCTGGGTGCTGAGAGCAGTTGGGAGTCCTGCCTATTCCCCTTCACAGATCTACAGTTCTCTGGAAGGCAGCCCTGTTTAGGGAAGTTTTTAAAATGTGTGACATGTTAATGTATTTTTAATCTTTGCTGGAAGCCGCCCAGAGTGGCTGGGGAAAGCCAGCCAGATGGGCGGGGTACAAATAAATTATTATTACTATTATTATTATTATTATTATTGATTGTTGAACCACTCTAGGATTTGAATAATAGAATTATAGAGTTCGAAGGGACCCGTACGGTCATCTAGCCCAACCCCCTGCTATGCACGGGGGTCGTCTCTCATTTACTTATTACCTTCCCTTCCCTTCAAGGTCCCAGGGTGGGTCATGGCATTTGTTATATGGAAAAATTAGGGATTGCCCTCCACTCATTGCCGGCCGTGGACTTAGGAGACACCGAACCCCTGGATAGAGAGTTGGGCTGCGAAAGCCAACCCCAAATTTTCCACATATCACGTGAAAACGCAGCATTAAAAACAGAACAACAATCGCAAGACTCAGACGGGTCCTGAAAACCAGGGCAACTCTTGGCACCCTTTGTTGTTGTTGTTTAGTCGTTTAGTCGTGTCCGCCTCTTCGTGACCCCCTGGACCAGGCACTCCTGTCTTCCACTGCCTCCCGCAGTTTGGTCAAACTCATGCTGGTAGCTTCGAGAACACTGTCCCACCATCTCGTCCTCCGTCGTCCCCTTCTCCTTGTGCCCTCCATCTTTCCCAACATCAGGGTCTTTTCCAGGGAGTCTTCTCTTCTCATGAGGTGGCCAAAGTACTTGGAGCCTCAGCTTCAGGATCTGTCCTTCCAGTGAGCACTCAGGGCTGATTTCCTTCAGAATGGAGCAGTTGGATCTTCTTGCAGTCCATGGGACTCTCAAGAGTCTCCTCCAGCACCAGAATTCAAAAGCATCCATTCTTCGGCAATCAGCCTTCTTTATGGTCCAGCTCTCACTTCCATACATCACTACTGGGAAAACCAGAGCTTTCACTATACGGACCTTTGTTGGCAAGGTGATGTCTGCTTTTTAAGGGTCTCGGCACCCTTAGCAAACTACAATTCCCAGGATTCCTTGGGCAGGAGGAGGGGGAAGCCATGGTGCAGACGGGGCCTTTTATATTGTGTGTTTTTGTTTTTTTTAATGTTGCGGTTTTGTGTTCCAAGCTGACCTGAGACCTACGGGTATAGGGCGGCATTCAAATTTAATAAATAATAGTAGTCACTTGTCACTCTGAGAACGTCTCTTCGTGTGCGGCAAAACCAGTTCGCTGTGGATAGGAAAGGTTTCCAGGCAACTGGCAGGAAGTGGTCGCAACGCCGGCCGAGGCAGGAAGCTTGCGAAGCGACCGCAAGGCAGCTTTCAGGGTTGGCGGAGAAGAACAGAGGTGCTTCTAAAACGCTACTCGGCCCCTAAGCTCAGCTCCTGGGCTCCCCTTCCTCGCTCCTGCACAGATGGTCTTTTCTTGCAAGTTCCTGTCCTGCTACCTGGTATGCCCCACAGAGGACCTTAAGGTCCATAAATAGCAACACCCTAGAGGTCCCAGGTCACCCTAGAGGGACGCGGGTGGCGCTGTGGGTTGAACCACAGAGCCTAGGGCTTGCCGATCAGAAGGTCGGCGGTTCGAATCCCCGTGACAGGGTGAGTTCCCGTTGCTCAGTCCCTGCTCCTGGCCACTTAGCAGTTCAAAAGCACACCAGTGCAAGTAGATAAATAGGTACCGCTCTGGCAGGAAGGTAAACGGCGTTTCCGTGCACTGCTCTGGTTCGCCAGAAGCAGCTTAGTCATGCTGGCCACGTGCTGTACGCCGGCTCCCTCGGCCAGTAAAGCGAGATGAGCGCCACAACCCCAGAGTCGGTCAGGACTGGACCTAACGGTCAGGGGTCCCTTTACCTTTACCTTTAGAAATCCCAGGCCGTAAGGAAGTCAGATTAGCCTCAACCAGAGCCAGGGCCTTTTCAACACTGGCTCCGGCCTGGTGGAACGCTCTGTCTCATGAGACCAGGGCCCTGCGGGATCTGATAAAATACATAATTTTAAAAAGCAGAGCCTGCTGGAAGGTGTGTAGAGGAGGGTGACCAAGATGATTGAGGGTCTGGAAACCGAGCCATATGAGGAGTGGTTGAAGGAGTTGGGTATGTTTAGCCTGAAAAAGAGGAGATATGAGAGCCATCTTCAAATATCTGCAGGCCTGCCCCATGGAAGAAGGAGCAAGCTTGTTTTTCGCCTGTTTTGGAGGGTAGAACCCAATCCAATGGAGTCGAGTTTCAAGAAGGGCGATTCTGAGGAAACATTAGGAAGAGCTTTTTGATGGCAAGACCCGTTTGCCAGTGGAATGGGTAAAATGCGAGGCGATGTTCTGGTGGCTAAACAGTTGCCTCATAGAGAAGCTGGGAAGCAGGACCTGAGTGCGAGAGTCCTCTCTGCCTTCTGCAGTTTCCAGCAGCTGGTATAATCTTCATACGTACAAACGGGAAATAGAGACAGAGTGAATGGTTTCCCCCAGGCCAGGTACAAGACAGAAGTACTGTTTGGGGGATAGGAGACGGGCAGGTGTGGGGGACTCCCTGGTCCTGAATGGGGCAACTGTGCCCCTAAAGGACCAGGTGCGCAGCCTGGGAGTCATTCTGGACTCACCGCTGTCCATGGAGGAGCAGGTCAGTTCTGTGTCCAGGGCAGCTGTCTGCCAGCTCCATCTGGTGCGCAGGATGAGACCCTTCCTGGCCGCAGACTGTCTCTCCAGAGTGGCACATGCTCTGGTTATCTCCTGCTTGGACTACTGCAACACGCTCTATATGGGGCTACCTTTGAAGGTGACCCGGAAACTACAACTAATCCGTAATGCGGCAGCTGGACTGGTGACTGGGAGCGGCCACCGAGACCACATAACACCGGTCTTGAAAGACCTACATTGGCTCCCAGTACGTTCCCGAGCACAATTCAAAGTGTTGGTGCTGACCTTGAAAGCCCTAAACGGCCTCAAAGGCCCAGTATCCCTGAAGGAGCGTCTCCACCCCCATCGTTCTGCCCGGACACTGAGGTCCAGCACCGAGGGCGTTCTGGCAGTTCCCTCATTGCGAGAAGTGAAGTTACAGGGAACCAGGCAGAGGGCCTTTTCGGTAGTGGCACCCACCCTGTGGAACACCCTCCCTACAGATGTCAAGGAAATAAGCAGCTATCTTATCTGAAGGCAGCCCTGTTTAGGGAAGTTTTTAATATCTAATCCTGTATTGTTTTTAACACTCGATTGGGAGCCGCCCAGAGTAGCTGGGGAAACTCAGCCAGATGGGCGGGGTATAAATATTATTATTATTATTATTATTATTATTATTATTATTATTATTAGGTCTGTGGCTGAGGCAGACCTTGAACCCATGTTAAATCCCGGTTATGCACCTGTGCTGATATTTCTCTCCTCCCTCTTATTTCCCTCGCCCCCCAACCTCAGGGCTGCCATTGAGACGGTGGAAACGGAGGTCTCTGCTTTGGAGTCTCAGCTGGAAAAGGTGAGGAAGCGGCGATCGGCTTGCAAGGGTCCTTAGCTGTGCGGTGGGAGACTTTGCAAAGGGCTCCTTTGCTTGTCGAGAGAAGGCCTTGCTCCTGGGGAAACGGCAAATTCTTCCCCACAAGCTGGAGCAGAAAAACTTGTTGACACGACTGCAAAAACCCAGGGTGGGGCAGGCCTTTGGGGTCACATGGGATGAAGCATCCTTAGACCTATCCGGGGCCCACACCGTGCAGGCCTTGCAAGGCAAAAAACAACTGTCGTTTGAAATACAGTCATACCTCGGGTTACAGACACTTCAGGTTGCGTTTTTTCGGATTATGGACCGGCCAAAACCCGGAAGTACCGGAATGGGCTACTTCCGGGTTTTGGCAGTCGCGCATGCGCAGAAGCGGTAAATTGCGCTTTTCGCGTGCGCAGAAGCACCGAATCGCAACCCGTTCATGCGCAGACGGGTTGCGAACGTGCCTCCTGCACGGATCACGTTTGCAACCCGAGCGTCCACTGTAGTAATGAAATGCAACAGAGGGGAGACCGCATAGGGGAAGAGAAATGGAAGTGGGAGCGGTGAACAGGGAATACTCTGCATTTGTTATTTTCCCTGATTTTAAAAATACAATCATACCTCGGATCCTGAACGCCTTGGGAGTCGAATTTTTGGCTCCCGTACGCCGCAAACCCGGAAGTGAGTGTTCCGGTTTGCGAACGATCTTTGGAACCCGAATGTCCTCCGTGGGTTCCGATTGGCTGCAGAAGGTGCTTCCTGCAGCCAATCGGAAGCCGCGCCTTGGTTTGCGAACGTTTTGGAAGTAAAAAAAAATCATTTGCAGTAAAAATGAGCTGGGAGGGAGGGAAAGCTGAGATTTCCACATGGGAAGGGGTGTTGGTCTGCCTTTCCGTGCAGCGGGCTGCCCGTCTCTCGCGCCGCCTGACCTCCCTGTTCCTTGCCCCCTCTCTCCTGCCTACCCCCCAGCTCCTCAAACTCTGCACCACGATGCTGGATTCGGGAAGGCAATACTGCGCCCACAGCAAGAATTTTGTCTCCGGGGTCCAGGAGCTGTCTCAGAATTCCCCAGGGGACACCATGATGAGCGTAAGTTTGCTCGGCGGGCAAGAATGGGCAATTGTGCCTGGAGGAAAGGCGGAGGAGGAGGGAAGAGGAAAGGTGTGCGAGCCCAGGTACCAGGATGGAGGGGTATCTCGTTCGAATGTGGGGTGGGGAAGGGGAAAGGTTGCTTTCTTGCCTGCGCTAGCCTGCCCGGCGTTTGCCGAGCCACTGGTCTTGAAAGACGGGTTTTGCCGAGGCCTGAGGGGGGTCATGAAAGGAGCTGTGATTTTTGGGCACACCTTTTTTTCGGGGGGGGGGAGCGTTGGCTTAGCAGTGAGGTGACCAGGTGCAGGTAAACATCGTTAATCACCTAATTGCGCCATTTTATTTGAGGTCTGGGAGTGGGGCAGGGCGACTGGGTGACCTGGAGCCGGTTTTCCACCCCTTAGAACCTGTTTTCACAGCCGGGGGCTTAGCTGTGCCTAGGCAGTGCCTCTGAGCATGCGCAGAGTGCCCTTTGCTGGCGAGTGCCTGGGGCCTAGGGGAGCCCCTTCTCTCAGGTTCCACCTGACGCGGCGTTTCGTATTTATTTGTTTTACTCTGTAAAATTTACACGCCGCTTGAATGTTGTTGTTTTTATAAAAAAGCAACAACCGCCAAAGCGATTTATGTGAGAATGAAACGAGAACTATCAATAATAATAATACTAATAAAACTACTACTAATTTATTTATATCCCACCCTACCCAGCCAAAGCTGGGCTCAGAGCGGCTAACAACAGTTTACACAAAATCACAAACAATTTATAATAATAAATTTATATAGATAGATAGATAGATAGATATAGATATATGTGTGTGTGTATGTGTGTGTGTATATATATATAAAAAATAAAATAATATAAATAATATATGTTATTTATTATATATATATATATAAATATAAATAAAATAATATAATATAAATAATATATGTTATTTATTATATACTGTATATGTGTGTGTGTGTATATATATGTATATATGTGTGTGTGTATATATATATATATATATATATATGTATATATAATAAAAAATTGTCCAGTAGCACCTCAGAGACCAACTTAAGTTTGTTCCGTGTACATGCACACTTCAGATATGAAAGTTTATACCAGAACAAACTTAGTTGGTCTCTGAGGCGCTACTGGACAATTTTTTATTTTTTATTATTTTTATTTTAACTGCGTCAGAACCAGCACGGTTACCTACCTGAAATTAGAACTATCAGTAAAAGTCTTTCAAAACAATTTTTAAAAAATGTCCGCATAAAACTTTAAAATCGGCGCTGAAGTAAAAAGAGATGGAAACTGTTTTGTTGCCACCTACCGTATTTTTCGCTTTATAGGACGCACCTTGTTTCAGAGGGGGAGAATAAGAAAAAAAATATTCTGAATGAAACAGTGGATATATGATTTTTTGTGGAGCCCCTTCCATTTCTCCTGCTGCTTCGCTGAAGGGGCGCTGCTCAGAGAGGGGGAGAATTTTTTTTCTTGTCCCCCCCCCAAACCAGGTGCGTTCTCTGCGTTCAAGGTGCGCACCGACCCCTCTCGCTCTCCAGGCTTCAGTGAAGGCAACCCGAAGCCTATGGAGCGCGGCGGGCGTTCCTTTCGACCTTCGGGTTCCTTTCGACCGCTCTTTGGGGCTGGTGGGGGGAAGAGCTTCTTTCCCCCACCGCCAGCCTAAAAGATCCCTGAAGCCTTCGGAGCGCAGCGCGAGTTCCCGCTGCGCTCCGCAGGCTTTGGAGCCAGGAGAGTCTTCAGCAAAAGGAACATGAAGCCTGCGGAACGCAGTGGGAACTCGCGCTGTGCTCCGGAGGCTTCAGGCGGCTATCCCTGAAGCCTGGAGAGCGAGAGGGTTCGGTGCGCACCGACCCTTCTCGCTCTCCAGGCTTCAGCGAAAGCAACGTGAAGCCAAGGAGCACGGAGGAAGCGCTCCCTGTGCGCTTCGGAGGCTTCGCCTTGCTATCGCTGAAGCCAAGGAGCCTGCATTCGCTTCATAGGACGCACACACATTTCCCCTTAATTTTTGGAGGGGAAAAGTGCGTCCTATAGAGCGAAAAATACAGTATGCAGCTAGCAGCAACTCTCTTAAGATTTCAAGTCTTTTTGCCAGCCCTACCCGGACGGGCTGTTGGGAATTGAACCCGAAACCTTCTGCGTTCCAGGCATGTGTCCTGCCACAGAGCAACAGCCTGAAAGAGGAACATAGGAAACAGGCTGTGTGCAACACCGTGCACTTAAAGCGCATGACTCCCCCCCCCCCGAGAGCAACCCGGGAACTGTAGTTCTCCCCTTCGCCAAACTATAACTCCCAGCACCCGCAGCAGACTACAGTTCCCGGGGTTCCTTTTTCAGAGGGGTAAAGTTGTAATAATAATAATAATAATAATAATAATAATAATAATAATAGATGATTTATACCCCGCCCATCTGGCTGAGTTTCCCCAGCCACTCTGGGTGGCTTCCAGTCAAGTGTTAAAAACAATACAGCATTAAATATTAAAAACTTCCCTAAACAGGGCTGCCTTCAGATGTCTTTTAAAGAGAAGATAGCTGCTTATTTCCTTCACATCTGCTGGGAGGGCGTTCCACAGGGCGGGCGCCACCACCGAGAAGGCCCTCTGCCTGGTTCCCTGTAACCTCACTTCTCACAATGAGGGAACCGCCAGAAGGTCCTCAAAGTTGGATCTCAGTGTCCGGGCTGAACAATGGGGGTGGAGACGCTCCTTCAGGTATACAGGACCGAGGCCGTTTCGGGCTTTAAAGGTCAGCACCAACACTTTGAATTGTGCTCGGAAACGTACTGGGAGCCAATGCAGATCTCTCAGGACCGGTGTTCTGTGGTCCTGGCGGCCACTCCCAGTCACCAGTCTAGCTGCCGCATTCTGGATTAATTGCAGTTTCCAGGTCACCTTCAAAGGTAGCCCCACGTAGAGCGCATTGCAGTAGTCCAAGCGGGAGATAACCAGAGCATGCACCACTCTGGAGAGACAGTCTGCAGGCAGGGAGGGCATCATCCTGCGTACCAGATGGAGCTGGTAGACAGCCGCCCTGGACACAGAATTGATCTGTGCCTCCATGGACAGCTGTGAGTCCAAAATGACTCCCAGGCTGCGCACCTGGTCCTTCAGGGGCACAGTTGCCCCATTCAGGACCAGGGAGTCCCCCACACCCGCCCGCCCCCTGTTCCCCCAAAACAGTACTTCAGTCTTGTCAGGATTCAACCTCAATTTGTTAGCCGCCATCCATCCTCCAGCCGCCTCCAGACACTCACACAGGACCTTCACCGCCTTCACTGGTTCTGATTTGAAAGAGAGGAAGAGCTGGGTATCATCCGCATATTGATGGACACCCAGCCCAAACCCCCTGATGATCTCTCCCAGCGGCTTCATATAGATGTTGAAAAGCATGGGGGAGAGGACAGAACCCTGAGGCACCCCACAAGTGAGAGCCCAGGGGTCTGAACACTCATCCCCCAACACCACTTGTGAGCGTTGAATGTCTGGCGTGGGCAGGAAGCTATGCTGACGCGCACCGCCGCTGCATGTTTTTGCCGCATGTGTGTTGGGGGGGTGTTTAGGTGACCGCACATCGCTTTCCCGCCACTTTGTCATGAGTAGCCGGACCGAAAGGGCTTTTGCATTAGATGTGGTGGTTTCAAGTCAAACAGCAGCGCCCACCACTTCCCTCTGAGCAAACCGAGGGCTGTTTGTGGCGGGCCAGACAGGAAATGCTTAAGGCTGGGGGTGCCGGGGGAGGGGGCGTTCAGGTCAGCCTCTAAATTTGGAGCCTGCTTGGATATTTCCGCAGCCCACAACGGGCTCTGAAAAAAAATTACGGGGGAAACAATGAGATCTAGAAACTTGGTTTTTTTAAACAAATTGGGGCTAGCGGAGAAGGCGTTGCAGATTCCAGCCTGCAACGTGCCTTCCGTCTCTGCTCTGATCCCCAGATCGTAAGCAGGGGTACCGGGAGATCCCAAACTCTGTGCCCTCTGCCCAACGCCTCTCTTCCTTGCTTGATTTGCTCCCTTGTTGCAGGCGGGGTTGGGCTGGATGACCTTTGGAGGACCCTTCCTTCCAACCCTGCGGTTCCCCTTGTTTTCCAGGAGTGCCTTGAGAAGTTTTCCGAGAGCTTGAAGAAGATGATTGACGGCCACGAGGTGAGCGGCGTCACCCGTCTTTCCGTCGCCCTCCTCCCGCGCCTTCCTCTTTCCCAAAGGGTGCTCAGCCGCTCCGTCACCCTCCAAATGTGGGTGGGGAAAGGTTGAGAACCTAGGAAGGAGTCGAGACCATCGGTCCATCTAGCCCTATATTGCGTGCACTGGCTGGCAGCAGCTCTCGGTCAAGGGAGATTCCCAACCTAGCTGGCGATAGCAGGGCTTGGACCCGGGACTTTTCCGTGCGCAAAGGAGGCAGAGATCCGTAAGCTCTGGTCCTAACCCAGCAGAGGAAGCTGCCTTATGCTGATCTGATAGCTCAATAGTCCCTACACAGACTGGCAGCAGCTCTACTTGGAGGTGAACTGCGGCCCTTTTATCTTCCTACCTTTCTTTGTCGTAGGAGCTTCTGGATACGACGCAACAGTCCCTCAAACATCAGCTGCAGAGTCTGGTGAAAGAGTATGTATTGTGATTGGGGCGCCCACTCCGAAGGGTCGGTTTTTTGTGTGGGGGGGTACCAGAAGGAAGGCAGCTACAGGTCGACTAGGTGGGGGGCAGTTTTGTGTTTCAAAGGGGGAGGGTGTCGAACCTTTCTTGTATGTCCCGTGCTGTGTTTGGTCTTCGAGGGGGGATCCAATAGCTGCTCCCATTTCCTGTGGCGGTGAGTTCCACAGATCACTTGTACACCTCGAGCCTGTAAGGTTCCCTTTTCGCAGCTGCTGTTGCTACAAACACCCAGCTAACACTTTCCGGAGTCCTTCACCATGAAAGAGAAAATTGCAAGCCATAATAATAATAATAATAATAATAATAATAATAATAATAATTTATTTATACCCCAGCCACCCTGGGCGGCTTCCAACGAAATATTAAAATACTGTAATGCATCAAACATTAAAAGCTTCCCTAAACAGGGCTGCCTTCAGATGTCTAATAAAAGTCTGGTAGTTGTTGTTCTCTTTGACATCTGGTGGGAGGGCGTTCCAGAGGGCGGGCGCCACCACCGAGAAGGCCCTCTGCCTGATTCCCTGTAATGCATGTAAAGCATGGGTAGGCAAACTAAGGCCCAGGGGCCGGATCCGGCCCAATCGCCTTCTCAATCCGGCCCACAGACGGTCCGGGAATCAGTTTGTTTTTCCATGAGTAGAATGTGTCCTTTTATTTAAAATGCATCTCTGGGTTATTTGTGGGGCATAGGAATTCGTTCATGTTTATTTATTTTTTCAAAATACAGTCCGGCCACCCACAAGGTCTGAGGGACAGTGGACTGGCCCTCTGCTGAAAAAATTTGCTGACCCCTGATGTAAAGCTTTAGATTTTGTGGGCAGTTGTGGTTTGGGCAGCTGCCAGCACCAAATTGTACTGGTGTTAACCACCCTGAGCCCGGCTCTGGCCGGAGAGGGCGGGGTATAAATAAAATTTATTATAAATTATTATTATTATTATTATTATTATTATACCAGGAGTTATTATTATTCCAGCCTCTGCTACGTTGCTTATATTAATAGTAATAATAATAATAATAATAATAATAATAATAATATTTTTTATTTTATTTTATTTTTTTTATTTTTTTTTATTTTATTTTATTTTATTTTATTTGTACCCCACCCGTCTAACTGGGTTACCACAGCCGCTCTGGGTAGCTACAAAAGTTGAGGGGTATAACAGCCGATGTAATCCGACCTCATGGAATTATAGAGCTGGGAGAGGGGGGCCCGCCAAAGCTCATCCATCCCAACCCTCTCACGTCTCCAGAAGGGGCTGTTATGTCTCCTTGCCGTTTTGCGATATGACGGAAACGTGTGTTTCAGGGACATGAAGCAGTTCAAGGAGACCCGGAAGGAATTCGAACGCGGCAGCGAAAGCCTCGCAAGCGCCTTGCACCACAACGCCGAGGTGCCGCGGCGGCGCCACCATGAGGCTGAGGAGGCCGTGGTCGCCCTGAAAGCCGCCCGAACCACCTTCCGCGCCCGAGCCCTCGACTACGTGCTGCAGGTGGGCCGCCGGCGGGCAGCTCGGACTCCTGGGTCCTTTCCATAGCTGTCAACCGTCCCTTATTTGGCGGGAAAGTCCCTTATCCCAGCTGCTGTCCCTTATTGATGATGTCCCTTAAATTTCCCGGGTTTCAAAGGAAGCAGCTCCTCTCCCTCCCTCCCTGCTGGCCAGGGAGGAGGGAGGCTCCAACTGTGTTGCTTGGCTGCGTTGCTCACCCAATAAGGAGTCTAAGAACGACTGGGGGGTGGAGCTTGCATGCCTTGTGCCAATCAAATCGGCCGCGTTGCCTGGGGACTCACCTTTGCTCAGCGCTTCCCAGCGGAGAGGTGACGGTGGTTTTCCTTGCTGCATCCCCTTTGCCGGGTTGCTGCGCTGTGGGAACCACCGCTTGAGGCTTCGTTTGGCTGCTGGCTGGGCTTTCTACCTTTGGCTCAGAAGTTGAACATACCTGTGCTCGGAAAATCCCTTATTTTGGCTGCTGATCCCTTATTTTTGAGGCTGCTGGTCCCTTATTTTCAAATCTGTAAATTGACAGCTATGGTGCTTTCCTCGGCTCTGGGGGAGGGCGGCAGGACCCAGCGGATTCCCCCTCCTGTCTGATTTCGCCTGGGTCTTGGAGGGCCTTTCTCAATGCAAGGAGGGCGTTCCCTTGGGGTCAACCTCGTTGGGGTGGTGTTTTGGGGGCGTGGCCAGGGCAAAGTGGGCGTGGCAAAGGGGCGTGGCTCTCCTTTGGGTTTTTATTTATTTATTATTTTATTGATACAGCAAGAAAAGAAGAAAGCGAAAACACAAATACCAAATTGCACACAGGAATAACCACAGACATTATATATATATTATATATATATTATATTATAATATTATATATTATATAATATTATATATTATAGACATTATATATATTATAAACACTAAAACAACAACAACAAGACGTTGACTTCCACCAGTCCCACAGCACCTCCTTTATCTCTCATTGTGTCTTCCTGTTTTCCTGTTTTCCTTATCATCTCTGTCCTAACATCTAGATATAAATCCTTCTGTCATATCCTTTCACTTCACAAGGTTATTCCAGACTCAGCCAGATTTCTGCCCTCAAACCTTGACTTTTGAGGTATTCATTTAGGCACTCCCATTCTTTTTTTACTTCACTTTTTGGTTTTTGTCTTGTTACGTCTGTCAATTTGGCTAATTCTAAGTATTCTGAGAGCTTACATAGCCACTCTCCCCTAGTGGGTAACTGATTCCCTTTCCACTAGGATTCTTGCTGCGGACGTTGCGTATAAGAAAAATTTAGTTTTGTCTTTGGGAATATTGTCATTTAAAATTCCTAAAAGGAATGCCTCTGGCCTTTTACTATATGATATTCTTAATATTTTCTTTATTTCTTCGTGCGTGAGAAATTTTTAAAAAGGATAAAATGAAAGTTGGGGGAGCGTCTCTGGGCGAACGCCATGCTTTGCATTGGGAGCAAAGTACGAAGGACCGAAGCGACGGAACGGGCTTCTCTGTCTTTTTTTTTTACAAATAAAAATAAATAATAAAATTTTATTTCACATAATTATTACAAAATACAAGCAAAATACATACATACATATTTTTTCAGATAAGCACACACATATAAAAAAAGAACAAAAAAGAGAAAAGGGGAAAAGAAAAAGAAAAAATAAGAAGAAAAATTGCAAAAAGAAGAAAAATTGGAAGAATTCTTCTCTGTCTTTCAGATCAACGTGATCCAGTCGAAGAAGAAGTTTGAGATCCTGAAGTTTGTGAGTAGCCGACAGTTTGTGGTTCGGTGTTGGCCAGCCAGAAATTTTGGACTACAAATCCCATCAGCCCCGGCCAGCTATGGACCAGGGGGTTAAATCCTGGTTCTTTGGCTGTGTACCTGTACTGTGTGGCGCGCTGGAAGGTGTATTGGAAAAACTGGGTCACCCACCCTCAATTCAGCCTCAGCCTGTTTTCAGGCTTAGGTCTGAAGCACATGTAGAAATGAGGTTACCTCTGAGCACACGCAGAGTTCCCCCTGCCCTGCGATAACCAACTATAGCCATCTCCCACTTGTCTAGCCTTTCCTAGTAAAAAAAAACCAGTGGCTTCTAGGCAACCCCAGACCCCCGAACCTTTTTGTTTTAAAATCATAGCTGCTAATAATAATAATAATAATAATAATAATAATTTATTATTTATACCCCGCCCATCTGGCTGGGTTTCCCCAGCCACTCTGGGCGGCCTCCAACAAAACACTAAAATACAATAACCTATTAAACATTAAAAGCTTCCCTAAACAGGGCTGCCTTCAGATGTCTTCTAAAAGTTTGGTACTTTGCCAACAGACCAGCTCCTACCCCGAACCGTTTTCTACGCCTGCTGATTATGCCAAAAACTATTTAGGAATCTGTGCCCGAGTTTGCTTTCCTCCTCTTCCCTCCCTATTCCCCTTTCCTTGCGTGTCGTGCTTTTCTTTGTTCAAGATTATAAGCCTGCCGTCGGGGCTGTCTCATTTTAACCGACCGTATAGTACGTCGCTCTTTTCAGCCAAAGAGCCGGGTGCGAACACTCGTAACTTCAGCAGCTGCTTCCTGTTTTTCCAGATGTTGACGTTCATGGAGGCTCAGTCGTTCTACCTGGATAAGGGGTTCCAGACGGCGAAGCGGCTCGAGCAGTATCGCAAGGACCTGGCGGCTCAGGTGAGCACCCGGTGGAGTCCAGGGAGGGTGCACGGTTCGAAGGAAGCGGCGGGGAGATGGGCAGGCAGGAAAGAGATAACCTTCTCCTTCCTCTGTCATAACACTGGAACTCAAAGACAAACCGACAAAGCTGAGTGTTGGAAGATTTAGGACAGATACCCAGTTAGACTGTGGAACTCCCTGCCACTGGGTGGACTGTAAAAGAGGATTGGATAAATTCACAGAGGAGCGAGAGCTATTGATGTTTACCAGCCGCAGTTCCTATGCTCTGTCGCCACTGTCAGAAGCAGGAAAAGCTTCTGGATGGGGTTTGCTGGAAACGGCAGGACAGGGGAATCGCTCTTGAGTTCGAATCCTGCTTGCTGGGCTAGATGGGCCGCTGGCCTGATTCAGCAGGCTTCTCGCTATGATTTTCTCCTGCTTGCCTCCTGGCAACTGCTAGAGAGGGAGAGGGAGGAAGCTGGCTTGGGCGGTGGGAGGCTGGGGAACCAGCCCTGTCAGCAAAGAAGAGAAGAATCGGATCAAAACAGGATGCAGGAATTCAGATTCCATGCCGGCTGCCGAAATGCGGCAACCTCTGAGCTCTGCTTCTGAATTTTCGAGGTAGGCAGCTTGTCCGATAGGAGATTCTTTGCAGAGTGCCTGTGATCGCAAGACCGGCGAGAGGGAAAGCTTGGAGGCGGGTGGAAACGATTTGGATGTTGGGAAGAAAATGCTGGAATTGGGGGGTTTCTGATTCTGGGTTCTCCAAGCCCATAATGAGGACTAGGACCCTGACATGGCCAGAGGTGCAGCTGTAAGGGTTCGTGGCAAGTGACTCCCGCAGGTATAGTGTGGATTATTTGCTCCCCTAGCGCAGGAAGCCCTCCGGAAGGCTGTTACAGCCTTGGCCGATGTGATAGCCTCCCAATGTTGGACTACAAGTCCCATGCTCCAGCGCAGCCCAAACATATGGTTGGCGAAGGCTGCTCTGAGCCAGCGTACTTCGACCTTGGGTTGCCGTTGGACTGCAGCACCCATCATCCAGGGCAATCGGCTGAGCTGAGTCAGGATGATGGGATTTGTAGTACATGTGGAGATCGGCGAACCGGCGGTCATTTATAATGAAATGATTTTAGAATGTTTTATCATTTTACTGTTGTTAGCCGCTCTGAGCCCGGCTTCGGCTGGGGAGGGCGGGATGTAAATAAAATTTATTATTATTATTACTGACTCCCATCATCCTTTTACCCTTCCACGCTCCTCCATTAAACTCCTTTCAAATCTGTTTCCCCCCTAGTTATGGTTATTCCGAGTTCAAATCTCGCTCCACCGTCTTCCCGGCGGAAGCGACAATTCTGTCTTGCAGGGTGACCCCAGATCTGTTGTTTTGGCTGGAATGGACCTCCCTCCCCAGTCCAGTGTGCTGGAAGGGGGAAGGGGGCGCGAGGAATGCCAGGCAAACGTTCGTGTGAGAAAGAGACCCAGGCGTCCGGCCTCATTTCCCCTCCCTCTCTTCCTCCAGCTCGATCAGTTGGTTCTGGAGTCGGCCCGAGAGAAGCGAGACATGGAGCAGAGGCACACCGTGATCAAGCAAAAGGTTTGAGCACTCTATGTGTGTGTGTGCCTCAGTTTTGCCTTACGGAAGCCGCCCAGTTAGGGGAGGAGCCTTTGGGAGGCGGAGCTTGCACTTGGAGTTCTAAGGGGCGGGGCTTGGGACAGGTGGGAGGAGTCTTGGAGCATGGGGCGGGATTCTGAAATGCACTCGGCTGGGCTTGGCAGGGGAGCGCCTGAGACTTGGGGTGTGGGCGGAGCTTGCGGGCGAAGGGGTGGAGCTTATGCACTGGGCGGAACAGCACAGGGCGGGGCTTGCTGATTGGGTGGGAGGAGCCTAGGAGTGAGGGGCGGGGCTTAGGCAAAATCAGAAGAATAGAATCGTAGCAATAGGTTGACACTCGCGTTGACTTTCGGAGCATGTGGCTGGGCTTTGCCTTTGGGCATCTTTTCTTTAATTAGGTGGGTCTGCCCCCCTCCTGTTCTTTCCCAGGACCTGTCCCAGGAAGACGTTGTTCCCGAGGTCCGTTCGGAGCCCGGAGGGGTGGTGATGGAAGGCTACCTCTACAAACGGGCCAGCAACGCCTTCAAGACCTGGAGCAGGTGAGCAGGGCTCCTGTTTGCCACCCTCTTAGCAGGACGGGTGAGGTTTGAGGGCACTGCTTATTGAGGTTATCTCCAACTCCTACTGCACAAAGACCAGGGGGCGGCACAGAGGTAACACAGTTTACAGTACGTTTCCGAGCACAATTCAAAGTGTTGGTGCTGACCTTGAAAGCCCTAAACGGCCTCAAAGGCCCAGGATACATGAAGGAGCGTCTCCCCCCCATCGTTCAGCCCGGACACGGAGGTCCAGCTCCGAAGGCCTTCTGGCAGTTCCCTCCCTGCAAGAAGTGAGGGTACAGAGAACCAGACAGAGGGCCTTCTCGGTGGTGGCGCCCTCCCTGTGGAACGCCCTCCCACCAGATGTCAAAGAGAAAAACAACTACCAAACTTTTAGAAGACATCTGACGGCAGCCCTGTTCAGGGAAGCATTTAATGTTTAATAGGTTATTGTATTTTAGTGTTTTGTTGGAAGCCGCCCAGAGTGGCTGGGGAAACCCAGCCAGATGGGCGGGGTATAAATAAATTATTATTATTATTATTATTATTATTATTATTATTATTATTATTACAATCGAGAGCATTCTAAAACAGGTTAAAAAACAACTGCCGTTTAAAACGCCTAAAACCAGTTACAATAATCCTAACTGCAATTTCATTTTTTTTATTTAAATTTTTTTTATTAGATTTTCCACAGTTATAACGAATGTCACATAACAAAACAACAAACAAAAACAAAGACATAAAAAGAAAAGATACATCAAAGAAAAACAACAATACAATACCAAATCCATCCCCCCATAACAAATACACAATAAAAACAAACTTAATCCTTTAAAAATCCAACTTCGTGTACATATTAATTGACTTCCTCTAGTCCCTCCCTTCTGAACTTCCTTGTATCTGATTGTAACAGCTTTCCAATATCATTATTAAACAAGAATACTTCCAATTATAATCTAACTTACTCACTTTTCTTATTGTTCTGAATCCAATTTATTTAATTAAATCCTAATTTGATCCTAGGCCTATTTGGTACTTTCAAGTGTTTTCTAATTTTTTATATTACCCTAACTGCAATTTCAGTTAATAGTGTCTGGCGGTCTTAGCGTTGCCAGGAGCAGTATCGTTCATCCACCACTTCGGCATTCCACAGGCGGAGAGCCATCACTAAAAAGGCCCCGTTCTCGTGTTGCCGTCATCTGGTCAAGAAGAAGGGGGCAGTCACAGGGTCCGGGACGGTTCATAAGGGGAGAGGGAATACCTTGAGGTATTGGGGTCCTGAGCCGTTTCAGGCGCTTTAGGTAAAAAACCCGGCACTTTGAGCCTGGAAACTAATTGGTAGCCATTGCGGTCGTTAGAATACTTGAACCACCTTGCTCCGATGAGCAACCTAGCTTCTGAATTCTGTACCAGCTTCCATTTCCGAACCACCTTCCGAGCGAGTCTCACGTATAATGCATTGCTGTATTCTAATTTCTAACCTAGTTACACTCTGGACGGCATCCAACAAAGATTAAAAATACAATAAAACATCAGTCATTAAAAACTTCCCTAAACGGGGCTGCCTTCAGATGTTGTCTAAACGTCCAATAGTTGTTTATTTCCTTGACATCTGGTGGGAGGGTGTTCCACAGGGTGGGTGACACCTACCGAAAAGGCCCTCTGCCTGGTTCCCTGTAACTTGGCTTCTCGCAGGGAGGGAACTGCCAGAAGGCCCTCGGCGCTGGACCTCAGTGTCCTGACAGAACGATGGGGGTGGAGACGCTCCTTCAGGTCTACTGGGCCTTTGAGGCCGTTTAGGGCTTTCAAGGTCAGCACCAACACTTTGAATTGTGCTCAGAAACGTACTGGGAGCCAATGTAGGTCTTTCTGGACTGGTGTTATATGGTCTCGGCAGCCGCTCCCAGTCCCCAGTCTGGCTGCCGCATTCTGGATTAGTTGTAGTTTCCGGGTCACCTTCAAAGGCACGTAGAGCACATTGCAGTAGTCCAAGCAGCAGATAACCAGAGCATGCACCACTCTGGCCGGACAGTCTGCGGGCAGGGAGGGTCTCATCCTGCATACCAGATGGAGCTGGCAGACAGCTACCCTGGACACAGAACTGACCTGCCCCTCCATGGATAGCTGTGAGTCCAAAATGACTCCCATGCTGTGCACCTGGTCCTTCAGCGGCACAGTTGCCCCATTCAGGACCAGGGAGTCCTCCACACCCGCCCGCCCCCTGTCCCCCCAAAAAACAATACTTCTGTCTTGTCAGGATTCAACCTCAATCTGTTAGCTGCCATCCATCCTCCAACTGCCTCCAGACACTCACACAGGACCTTCACTGGTTCGCGTTGCACTCTGTTGTTCCAGCTTGCAGGGTCTGCTACGCCTCTGGCTGGTCACAGGGAGAACAGAATTCTGGGCACGATCCACCTGCAAAGCTCTCCTTACATTCCTCATGAGCAGGATGCAGCCTGAGTTGCCAACTGCTCTGGTTACTCACGTTCCGCCGCCATCCCTTCCCTCCTCCGCTAACTCAGTGGCCTGTGGCCAAACCGGATTTGCAGATCTTCGCAGCCCTCCAAGCCATAACTGGCCCCCCCAGCAACGCGACTGTCTGTGGTGCAATCGATACACATTATCTGAGTGCAGGATCAGCACCTATTGACTAGTGCCCAAGCCGTATAATCTCCCCCCTCCTTCCAATACCTGGAGCAGTTTTTGCAGCCTCTCATTATTCTGAAAGTATTTGCAAGGGTCCGGACGTACCTGTGCTTTTAGGCTTTGGAAAGAAAAGCGCAGGTTACCATCCCGTTCCCACCGAGCGAGACCCACCCCCAATTCAAGTACGCCTTGTTTTCCTTGGAAATATTGCTGTCAGATCTTTATTGCTCAAAGCCACAGTTGTTTTCCTTAGAAGTGAAATTGACTAGACCTCGGCGGTCCAGTCAGTTTCTCCCGAGTAAATTTCTTGTCTTTTCTTTTTTGTTAGATGGTTTTTATTAATTTTCCAATAAAATAAATCCAATTAACATATCAAATCATAATCCAATAAAAATAAAAATCTAAAATAAATAAAAGGTCGAATTATCTTCCGAATTGTAATTATTAATTTTACGGCTTCCCATAGTCTGAACCTTGAAGCATGTCCAAATCTCAGCCCTGCCTCTCAGCGATATTTTCATATTTCCACATCTTGATTTTAACTCCCCAAACTTCTTTGTCTCTGGCTCTGCGATCCTCAATCATATCAGCAATCATATAACCTTTCATCCGTCGAATACAGATTTGTTTGCGTAATATACTTTTCCAACTGTCTTTTTTGCTGACGCGGCTTCATCTAGCTCCATTCCAATCCGGGCTGTTATTCAACTCTCTGAAGTTACTCCCGAGTAAATTTCAAAGGTCCGGACTGCTCTGCCCACTCACCCTCAGTTCGAGAACAACTTTACGTGTCCTCAGGTCAGGCTCAGCCTTTGTGCATCAGGTTGCCTTCCAGATGTTTTGGACTACAACTCCCATCAGCCCCCAGAAACGTTAAAACACACACACACACACACACACACACACACACACACCACCCTCTCCTCAGCCCCAGTCGGCTCCAGAGGTGGGTGGGATTTCTGAGCTGAAAGGCTTGCGATTGGTGGAGCTTTGGAACACAGCCCTATGAGATTCTGAGTTGAGCATCTTTAACTTAGGCACATATTCCATGTAGACTATTGTACAGTGGTACCTCGGGTTACATACGCTTCAGGTTACACACTCTGCTAACCCAGAAATAGTGCTTCAGGTTAAGAACTTTGCTTCAGGATGAGAACAGAAATCGTGCTCTGGCGGCGCGGCAGCAGCAGGAGGCCCCATTAGCTAAAGTGGTGCTTCAGGTTAAGAACAGACCTCCGGAACGAATTAAGTACTTAACCCGAGGTACCACTGTATTTCCGGTGCTCCTCCGACCCAGGTGCGCCGAAAATAGAGTGTGCGCACGCGTATGGGCATGCGCTCGCCCGCCCTCCGGCCCATCGCGCGATCGGCGCTGGAGACACCGGTCCGAGGCGCAGTAAGTTTGCTGACACCTGGTTTAGGTTCTGTCAAAGAGGGAGAGAACACCCTTTCTTGAAGCTTTAGTCCAGAACATCTCTAGGTCTGCCTTGTGCTCCCGCGTTTCATTATGTATATTTTTTTAATTGCAGGCGCTGGTTTTCCATCCAGAGCAACCAGCTGGTGTATCAGAAGAAGGCCAAGGTGAGGAATAGGAAATGGATTTATTTGTGAGCCTTTGAGATGCGTGTGAATATTTGGGGGAGGGGGTGGGAGGAAGGGGCAAAAATTTGGGCGCAGGCAAAGGGCATAAGGTTTGCAAGATTCCACCTGCCTCTTTTTTCCCTAATTTCCTAATTCTCCCCTGGTCTCCTCACTGGCCCAAGTAGAACCAATTCAGCCAGCTAGCCCTGGGGATTATCTAATGTTTATTTCCCTTAAATTGATTTTTGATTTTTGAATTTTATTGTTATTCATGTTTTTATACTGTATTTTATTCTGCTTTTATAATTACCATATTTTCCGCTCTATAAGACGCACCAGACCATAAGACGCACCTAATTTTTGGAGGAGGAAAAGAAGAAAAAAAATATTCTGAATCCCAGAAGCCAGAACAACAAGAGGGATAGCTGCGCAGTGAAAGCATCAATCCCTCTTGCTGTTCTGGCTTCTGGGATAGCTGCGCAGCCTGCATTCGCTCCATAAGATGCACACACATTTCCCCTTACTTTTTAGGAGGGAAAAAGTGAGTCTTATAGAGCAAAAAATACGGTAAGTGTTTTAAATTTGTTGTTAGCCACCTTGAGCCCAGTTTTTGAACCGGGAAGGGCGGGGTATAAATAAAAAAAATATTATTATTATCATCATTATCATTATTACTACTACTAATTTGTTGAAATTAAGGCCGATGAGCTGATGGAGCTCTTTGGTATGCAAAGCGGTTGCCTTGGCTCCAAAAAGATATCTTAGACCGGGGGGGGGGGGGAGAGATTCAGTAAAGGGCCGCCGAAAAGATCATGGGTGAGGGGGAAAGCACAACTCCCCTAGGAAGAAAAGCTTGCAGCGTTTTGGACTTTTTAGTTTAGAGAAAAGGCAGATTAAGAGGCAGCAGAATTGAAGTTGGTAAGAGGTGAATAGAGAAAAGCCTTTCTTCCTCTGTCAAACACAGGAATTCCGGGACACTCCATAAAGCTGGATGTTGGAAGATTTGGGACAGATAAAATATTCACATAGTGCGTAGTTAAACTACGGAACTCCCTGCCACTTGAATGGCTTTAAAAGTGTATTAGACATTAGAGTATCAGTCTAAACATGAAAGAGATAGAGAAGTCAGCTAGGAAGTCACAGGCCCAGGGATAGTCTGGGAATATGGATTTCCCTCCCTTTGTCCCCATGCAAATCCCTCCTCTTCTTCTTTTAATTTTATTGATTTGTTCAAAACAAAAAGTAAGAAAAGAAAAGAATTTAAAATATAAAGCGCCACAGCCTGGAAGGACAAAAGTACAAAGGCAACAGCACAGTTCCAAAGGGATCGTACATTATTATCGCATTCTTCGCTCTATAAGACGCACCAGACCACAAGACGCACCTAGTTTTTGGAGGAGGAAAACAAGAAAAAAAATATTCTGAATCTCAGAAGCCAGAACAGCAAGAGGGATCGCTGCGCAGTGAAAGCAGCGATCCCTCTTGCTGTTCTGGTTTCTGGCATAGCTGTGCAGCCTGCATTCGCTCCATAAGACGCCCACACATTTCCCCTTACTTTTTAGGAGGGAAAAGGTGAGTCCTATAGAGCAAAAAATACGGTAACTCATACAAAAATTCCCTTTGCAAATATTTCTAAAAATAAAAGCATTATCCATCTGTGAGTTCCGTTATTGTTGAGAAGAAGGGTTCTGTGTAGTCTTAAACGTAGCCATTTACTGACCCCCGTGCCTTGACATTTGTATAAGAAATAAAATTATGCCGTACGTGAGTGGAAAACGGTCATTTGAGCTCTGCCCTTTGAATACTTTCAGTATTGCGGGATGCTTTCAGTTTATGAGATTCATTTTCAAGAAGGGTAGTTTGCCAAGCCCTGGAACGCTGGCGATCCAAATCATTAAGATTAAAGGCTTCTCATGAATTGGCAGTGCAGTCCTGAGATGAAAAATCAGTCCTTTGCTTTCCAACTCTGCTTTCTGCAAATCTCAATTGCACCCAAACTACCGAAAGAATTGGCCCGTTCCCCGCCCCTTCACCTTGCTTTGTTGAATGAAGAATTAGGAGCCTGATGAGAGAGAGAGAGAGAAAGAAAGAAGGATTAGGAGCCTAAACAGGTTTGGCAGACTTATCTGCTAATCCACCAGGGTGTGTGGGTGTAAGATGAATTCTATCCGTCGGGTGGAGGAGAGTTCAGATAGGTTAATATCGGGGATGAGAGCAGGGCATGGATGGGAAGAACGATGGTGGCATCTGAAGAGGCAGAGGCAGGGGGCTGTTTGTGCCAGGGCCAAATCCTGCCCTTTTCCTTCCCGAGCCCAGGATGTCCTGACGGTGGTTGTGGAGGACCTGCGCCTGTGCACCGTCAAACCTTGCCCGGACCACGAACGCCGATTCTGCTTCGAGGTGGTTTCTCCCACTAAGTGAGTTTTCTCTTCCCTGTTAGGCCCTCAAATATGTGTGTTTTTTCACACAGACACACAGCAGCTAGACTGGGAGCAGCCGCCGAGACCACATAACACCGGTCCTGAAAGACCTACACTGCCTCCCAGTACGTTTCCGAGCACAATTCAAAGTGTTGGTGCTGACCTTGAAAGCCCTAAACGGCCTCAAAGGTCCAGTAGACCTGAAGGAGCATCTCAGAAATAGTGCTTCAGGTTAAGAACTTTGCTTCAGGATGAGAACAGAAATCGTGCTATGGCGGCGCGGCGGCAGCAGGAGGCCCCATTAGCTAAAGTGGTGCTTCAGGTTAAGAACAGTTTCAGGTTAAGAACGGACCTCCAGAACGAATTAAGTACTTACCCCGAGGTACCACTATAATAATAATAATGTATTTATGCCCTGCCCATTTGGCTGGGGAAACCCAGCCACTCCGGGCGGCTTCCAACAGAATATTAAAACACGATAAAACACCAAACACTAAAAACGTCCCTAAACAGGGCTGCCTTCAGATGTCGTCTAAAAGTCAGGTAGTTGTTTATTTCCTTGACATCTGCTGGGACGGAGTTCCACAGGGCGGGTGCCACCACCAAGAAGGCCCTCTGCCTGGTTCCCTGTCACTTGGCTCCTCGCAGGGAGGGAACCGCCAGAAGGCCCTCGGAGCTGGACCTCAGTGTCCGGGCTGAACGATGGGGGTGGAGACGCTCCTTCAGGTCTACTGGGCCTTTGAGGCCATTTAGGGCTTTCAAGGTCAGCACCAACACTTTGAATTGGGAAGAGGGATACAGTGGTACTTCGTGTTACATACGCTTTAGGTTACAGACTCCGCTAACCCAGAAATAGTACCTCGGGTTAAGAACTTTGTGAGGATGAGAACAGAAATTGCTCCACGGCAGTGGGAGGCCGTATTAGCTAAAGTGGTACCTCAGGTTAAGAACAGTTTCGGGTTAAGAACGGACCTCTGGAACGAATTAAGTTCTTAACCCGAGGTACCACTGTATTGGCAAGCTGGAAGGTGTGCAGAGGAGGGCAACCCAGACTATAAAGTGAGTCTGTAAACCAAGCGTTGCAAGAGTTTAGCCAGGAGAAGAGGGAACTGAGAGGCAGCCATTTTCAAATAAAAAAACAAAAATGGAGGAGGCCTGTTTTCCGCTGCTCCAGAAGGCAGGATCCGAACCTGTGGATTCAAATGACAATGAAGGAGATGCTGACTAAAGATTAGGACGAATTTTCTGACGGTAAGAGCCGTTGGGCAGTGGAACGGACTCCCTCAGAATGGACTCTCCTTCCTTGGTGGTTTTTCAACGGAGGTTCGGATGACCACCGACTGCATCTTGGGGGGTTAGGCTGGATGACCTTTGGAGGTCCCTTCCAGCTCTGCAGTTCTGCCATTCGGTGTTCTCCCTCTTTGACCCTTTGCTGTCCTTCCGCTTTCCCTGGCAGGAGCTGTTTCCTCCAAGCGGATTCGGAGAGGCACCAGCAAGCCTGGGTGTGCGCCGTTCAAAACAGCATTGCGTCTGCTTACAACGAGGAACATCTGGAACCCCGGGGGCAGGTAAGGGGTTGCCAAACACCAGGAGAGTTAGCAAATTCACAGTATTCCGGTCCCAAACCGTCACCCTAAGCAGAAGACACCCACCGCTTTTTGCTTATTTTTGCTCTGCGTGGGGCTGCTGTTGAGACTGACCCAGAAACTCCAGCGGGTGCAGAATGCCGCGGTGAGGCTCCTTACGGGGTCCTTGCCGCAGGATCACATTCACCCAGTGCTTCCCCAACTGCACTGGCTCCCGGTGGAGTGCAGGGTCAGGTTCAAGGTGCTGGTTTTAACCTTTAAAGCCCTATATGGCCTAGGACCCTCGCACCTACGAGACCGCCTCTCCTGGTATGTCCCACAGAGGACCTTACGGTCTTCAAATAAAAACATCTTGGAGGTCCCAGGCCACAGGGAGGTTAGGCTGGCCTCAATCAGAGCCAGGGCTTTTTTGGCTGTGGCCCCGATCTGGTGGAACGCTCTGTCACAAGTGTCTAGAGACTAGGAATATTGGTGTGTTGAATATAAATGTGATGAAGGCAGCATATAGAAGTGTGCTTAAAAAATATGCCACAGTACAGAACTTTTGTGCAGAGTCTGCCATACATGGGAAAGGATTTTTTAAAATATCTCTATATGTCTTCCAATAACCAAGTTACAGTTTTATATGTTTGCTGTTCCAGTGGAAGATAATCAAGTTCCATTTTCCCATTTGCCAGACTGACCTTCTCTTACCCTTATTAGATTTGAGGGTTTCTTGATAGATGCCATTTCCCAGACTCTGGTGAGCTGGGAATGTATGGATGATGGAAGATATTTTTTCCATGCGCTCTGGCACTCGTCACGGCGCTCCATGTGCCAGAAGCGGTTTAGTCCCGCTGGCCACATGACCCGGAAAGCTGTCTGCGGACAAACGCCGGCTCCCTCAGCCGGAAAAGAGAGATAACCTCCCAGGGGCCCTTTACCTTTTTTAAACTTCTCCCATTTTTGCAGATTTCTATTTTTGTCACTGTTTTTCACTAAGGCCACAATTTCCTGACCTGCCTCCAGTGCTGTGCCTTTAAAATACTCAAATATTGTTGCAGGTGGCTCTATAGTGAGGTCCTGACCAAGGATATATATATATACCGGTATATAAATCCTGTTTACATTGCACAACTCTTCTTACCGTACTGCCACTCCATCCCTTCAAAACTTTCTTGCACCCTGAAGTTCCTAAGGCTTGCACAGCCATTGCCTTCCCATCCTGTACTGAGGACTAGCCACTTGGTTTCTTTGTCGCTGCCATTTTAAAAAGAGGATTGAGATTCTCGCGCCCGAATGCCAATTTCTGAACTTGGAAAGGGGGGAAAAGACATGCAAGCCTTTTTCGTTCCACTCCTCTGCAGCCCCTGGAGCGGACGGCGTCTCTTTCTGCCGCAAAACTGCAGTCCCCCTCCAGCCGGAAGCTGCGTGCCGGGGTGGACAAGCAAGTCATAGACCAGGTGCAGAGACTGGAGGGCAACGCCCAGTGTTGCGACTGCCGGGAGCCGGCGCCTGAGTGGGCAAGCATCAACCTGGGCATCACGCTTTGCATAGAGTGTTCCGGCATCCACAGGTGAGCTGGCAAACTTAGGGCGTGGCAGATGGAGCGGATTCCAGTTCCTGGTTTTCTCTGCTGCTCCCTTTCCTGCTCTAAGAGGCTTGAGGGAGGTGGGAGGAGCCTTGGAGAAAGGGGAGGGGCTTTGAAATACCGTATTGGCCCGAATATAAGCCGCACCTTTAAAATCGGAAGGGGGGAAAGAAAAAAAGAAAAAATATCCAAATATTGTTGTGGTTTAGTCGTTTAGTCGTGTCCGACTCTTCGTGACCCCCTGGACCAGAGCACGCCAGGCACTCCTGTCTTCCACTGCCTCCCGCAGTTTGGTCAAACTCACGTCTGTAGCTTCGAGAACACTGTCCCACCATCTCATCCTCCGTCATCCCCTTCTCCTTGGGCCCTCCATCTTTCCCAACATCAGGGTCTTTTCCAGGGAGTCTTCTCTTCTCAGGAGGTGGCCAAAGTCTTGGAGCCTCAGCTTCAGGATCTGTCCTTCCAGTGAGCACTCAGGGCTGATTTCCTTCAGAATGGAGAGGTTTGATCTTCTTGCAGTCCATGGGACTCTCAAGAGTCTCCTCCAGCACCAGAATTCAAAAGCATCCATTCTTCGGCAATCGGCCTTCTTTAGTATATCTTAGTAAGTTAGTGGCTGAAGTGGGGCTGAGATTGTGGGAGGAGCCTGTGGAGGAAAGGGGCGGGGCTTGCACACCAGGAACTGGGAAAGGGGGTGGGGCTTGTGACAAAATGGGGAGGTGCTTGCCATAGATGGGAGGAGCCAGGGAAGAGAGGGTGGGGCTTGGGTACAATCCAAAAAGAGGGATTGCCATTTCTGCCAGGCCACCTTGAAGGTTGGCCCCTTTGTTAGGAACATAAACAGAGCCTGCTGGATCAGGCCCAGAGGCATCCTGCTCTCACAGTGGCCAACCAGATGACTATTATGGGAAACCCGCAAACAGGATCTGAGCCCAGGAGCCCTGTCCCACCTCTGTGGTTTCCATCAGTTGGGATTCAGAAAATATTTCTGAGCCTGGCCACCGTGGCGAATGGCATTTGATAGCCCTCCACAGATTTGCCTCATCTTCTTTTCAAGCCCTCCAGGTTGTTGCCTGCCTCCTGTGGCAGGGAGTTCCGCAATTTAACTGTGCCCTGCATGGAGCAGGAGTGCCCCTTGCCTGATCTCTCCCTCCCTGTCTCCAAATTAGGAGTCTCGGTGTCCATTTCTCTAAGGTGCGGTCGCTGACGCTCGACTCCTGGGAACCTGAGCTAGTCAAGGTAAATGCAGGGACCTAATGGTGGGCGGGCTCTGAACTCCCCATCGGTCCCCAGTGGTTGGGAATGATGGCAGTGGTGTAGCAAGGTCAGGTGGTACCCGGTCCCCATCAGTCACCAGTGGTTGGGAATGATGGCAGTGGTGTAGCAAGGTCAGGTGGTACCCGGTCCCCATCGGTCCCCAGTGGTTGGGAATGATGGCAGTGGTGTAGCAAGGTCAGGTGGTACCCGGTCCCCATCGGTCACCAGTGGTTGGGAATGATGGCAGTGGCGTAGCAAGGTCAGGTGGTACCCGGTCCCCATCAGTCACCAGTGGTTGGGAATGATGGCAGTGGTGTAGCAAGGTCAGGTGGTACCCGGTCCCCATCGGTCACCAGTGGTTGGGAATGATGGCAGTGGCGTAGCAAGGTCAGGTGGTACCCGGTCCCCATCAGTCACCAGTGGTTGGGAATGATGGCAGTGGCGTAGCAAGGTCAGGTGGTACCCGGTCCCCATCAGTCACCAGTGGTTGGGAATGATGGCAGTGGCGTAGCAAGGTCAGGTGGTACCCGGTCCCCATCAGTCACCAGTGGTTGGGAATGATGGCAGTGGCGTAGCAAGGTCAGGTGGTACCCGGTGCGGAATTTTTTTTGTCAACCTCCCCACTGAAATTTTCCCTCCCTCCCTCCACTGCCCCCATCAAAGAAAGCTAAGCCCTGCCCTTCTCCAGGAGCATGGGGGGCAACAGCGCGCCGCCCGCCCGTGACCCCCAAGCCTCCCCCGAGCTGGGGGAAGGGGGGAAGGCCGCTGGCAAAGCGGCGCAGCTCCCCGCCTTCCCCCGGCGGCTCAGGGTCATAGCTGTCAACGTTTCCCTTTTTTTTTTAAAAGGGAAATTCCCTTATTCCGAATAGGATTCCTCGCAAGAAAAGGGGAAAGTTGACAGCTATGTGTCAGGGTAGGCTTGGGAGTTGCGGGCGCGATGTGCGCCGAATGTCACTCCCCTCGGTGTGTGTGTGTGTGTGTGTGTGTGGCCGCATTCGAAGCTTTGCTGCTGCTCAGGAGGCAAGGCAGGGTGTAACCCCCCCAAGGGCGGGACATGGACGGGGTGGGCAGGGAGAGCCTGGCCAGTTGCTGGGAAGGGGACGCACTGCGATGCAACCCAGCCCTGCTCGGGTCCACAGGCAGCACTGAGTTGTGTTGTGTCACACCCCCCCCATTGATGGCACCCGGGGTGGTCCGCCCCCCCTTCCTCCGCCAGACAGTGATGGGAGTTGTAGCCTAGCAAAAGCTGGAAGGCTAAAGGTTCCTTCTCGGTGCCTAATAGCGAGGGTGGTTGGGGGTGGGGTTGCCTAAGACGCAGCTTCTGAGATCCTCGCCTCTCCCTCCTCCCTCCTGCAGCTGATGTGCGAACTGGGGAACCGAGTCATCAACCAGATTTACGAGGCGCGAGTGGAAGAGATGAACATGAAGCGTCCCCAGCCGGGCTGTTTGCGGTGAGGACGTCCCCTTCATTGAACGATACGATAATCTTTATTGTCATTGTCCCATACAGAACAACGAAGTTGAAAAAAATCTACATAAAGACATTCAAAAACCAGCAAGCCTGCTATCCCAGCCTGGTTAGCCCCCTAAAAACTCTGACACCCCGTTTTTAAATACAATATACAGTGGTACCTTGGGTTACCTACGCTTCAGGTTACAGACTCCGCTAACCCAGAAATAGGACCTCGGGTTAAGAACTTTGCTTCAGGATGAGAACAGAAAGCGTGCCCCGGCAGCAGCGGGAGGCCCCATTAGCTAAAGTGGTGCTTCAGGTTAAGAACAGTTTCAGGTTAAGAACGGATCTCCGGAACGAATTAAGTACTTAACCCGAGGTACCACTGTACTCCCATAGAGACTCCTTACACTGTATTTAAAACCAAAATCACATTTGGATAGAAACTGTTTCTCAGGCGGCTAGTCCTGGTCCAACCCTGTACCTTCACAGAGCCTAGGACTTGCTGATCGGAGGTTGGCGGTTCGAATCCCCGCAATGACGGGGTGAGCTCCCGTTGCTCGGTCCCTGCTCCTGCCAACCTAGCAGTTCGAAAGCACGTCAAAGTGCAAGTAGATAAATAGGTACCGCTCCGGCGGGAAGGTAAACGGCGCTTCCGTGCGCTGCTCTGGTTCGCCAGAAACAGCATAGTCATGCTGGCCACATGACCCGGAAGCTGTACGCCGGCTCCCTCGGCCAATAAAGCGAGATGAGCGCCGCAACCCCAGAGTCGGCCACGACTGGACCTAGTGGTCAGGGGTCCCTTTACCTTTACCTTCTTCCAGAAGGTAGAAGCACCCCACATCTCCTTCTCCTCCCCCCCCCAGCCTCCATCTGCTATAAACACCCTAAAAAAAGGTTATCTACATTTCTATCCCAACTTGAGGAGCTCAAGTTGGTGTGCATGGTTTCCTAATTCCCACTTCTATCCTCACAACACCCCTGTGGGGTAGGTTAGGCTGAGATTTGGCAGCGGATGCCTCTAGGCCACAACCACGACCTTCGCCCATGGCCTAGGGGGGATTTGAACCCAGATCTTGCTGTGACCCGGTGGTTGTCTAAGGGTGTGCGACGCACCGCGCCGGTGCGCCAGGAGAGGATGGCAACTGTGGCGGGAACGTTCAGGGACAAGCAAAGAAACATTTAACCATTTCAGCGTCGTATGGTATACTATGGTATCAAATGTATATACAGTGGTACCTCGGGTTACATACACTTCAGGTTACATACGCTTCAGGTTACATACGCTTCAGCTTACAGACTCCGCTAACCCAGAAATAGTGCTTCAGGTTAAGAACTTTGCTTCAGGATGAGAACAGAAATCGTGCTTTGGCGGCGCGGCGGCAGCAGGAGACCCCATTAGCTAAAGTGGTGCTTCAGGTTAAGAACAGTTTCAGGTTAAGAACGGACCTCCAGAACGAATTAAGTACTTAACCTGAGGTACCACTGTATATATTTGGATATACAGCCAGAAGGACTATCCACGCCTCTCTTCAGGGGCGTTGGCTATTCTTATGCACTTCTCCACGATGTATTGTTGTGTACAGGGCAAATAAATTCTGGCAAATAAGAAAGATCACAGAAGAGAAAGGCTTCTTGTGTTGATGAGATCTGATTTAAATGAGATTACCTGGCAAAAAAGCAAGCTCACACGTCTCCTCGACTTTGTATACTTACTTAAGAGGCTTGTTCCTAATTATATTTTGGGAATGATGCATGTTTTTAGGCAGCTGCCTTGTTTTATACTTTCGGAGTGTCCTGTGATCATACTACTGTATAAACCAATAGTGTTCTGTGTTATAAATCGAGTACTGCTTGGAGTATTCCATTGCATTTCTTAGGAATAAAACGATTCAATGTGGCCCGAGCAAAAATGTTATTCTGAAAGTGTAGCCCAGAGAAGAAAGTTTGAGATCTGGTGCTCTAACCACTACACCACACAGCCACAGAAGGAGAGAGATTTGTGTTTGCGTCTACACATTTGATTCCCTCCCTTTTTATTCAATACTCTATCATGCACCTAAAAGGTTCTCAGTGCTCCCTGTGTATTAAAAGATAAGGCGGTCCCTGTCCCAGGGGCTGACGCGTTCCGGTAGACACGGCACAAAAGGAAAGAGGGATGGGGAGGGAAGAGGAGTGTTCAGGTACCTGCAACTTCGTTGGCTGATACCATGGTGGCCAGAAAGCACCTACCGTCGGTTGCCCAGTAGGTGGTGCTGTTGCATAGGACTGATCTGCACCATCCCTCACTCTCTAAATGGGGGGGGGGGAGAGAGAGAGAGATGAAAGGACCACTCCCATCATGCACCAGGAAACATTGGCTCCTCCCCCTTCGCTTGTCAATTCTGTGCAGGGACGTTGTCAAGTCTCTGAACATGTGCAAAATTCACCTTTGGTACCTGTCATTGTTATAAAAATTAAATTAAATTAAATAATTTCTTCTTCTGTTTCTCTGCCCCAAGGTTGGAGAAGGAGGCCTGGATCCGGGCCAAATACGTGGAAAAGAAGTTCATCACCCAGTTCCCGAAGGCCGGGGCACGGCTCCATCGGGGAGGAGACGTCCGGGGGTTCGAGAAGCCCAAACCGTTCCCCAAACCCAAACCTCCGGGGCAGAAACGAGGGGGCGCAGGTAGGGAGAGAGGCTCTCTTCCTTCCCCCTGCCCTTAGCGCAGGGGATATAAGATACAGTGGTGCCTCGCAAGACGAAATTAATTCGTTCCGCGAGTCTCTTCGTCTTGCGGTTTTTTCGTCTTGCGAAGCACGGCTGTTAGCGGCTTAGCGGCTATTAACGGCTTAGCGGCTATTAATGGCTTAGCGGCTATTAACGGCTTAGCGGCTATTAACGGCTTAGTGGCTTAGCGGCTATTAACGGCTTAGCGGCATTAAGAAAAAGGAAACAAACTCGCAAGAACTCGCAAGACGTTTTGTCTTGCGAAGCAAGCCCATAGGGAAATTCGTCTTGCGGAACGACTAAAAAACCGAAAACCTCTTTCGTCTTGCGCGTTTTTCGTCTTGCGAGGCATTCTTCTTGCGGGGCACCACTGTAGCTGTCAGTTTTCTGGAGATTTGCGGGGTTAGAGGCAGAAGCAAGGAGCCAGGTCCTGCTGGTTTCCCAGAAGTAGTTTTCATGTAGAGTGGTACCTCGGGTTACAGACGCTTCAGGTTACAGACTCCGCTAACCCAGAAATAGTACCTCGGGTTAAGAACTTTGCTTCAGGATGAGAACAGAAATTGCGCGGCATCGTCAGCAGGAGGCCCCATTAGCTAAAGTGGTGCTTCAGGTTAAGAACAGTTTCAGGTTAAGAACGGACCTCCGGAACGAATTAAGTACTTAACCCGAGGTACCACTGTAGATACGAAAGGTCCCCTAAAACATTGAAATGATCATGAACCATCAGGAAAACTGAATAAAAGCCAGGTCTGCTGTTTCTAATAGATCTGCTCTGAGCAAACTTATTATTGTGTTTTTAATATTCGGTTGGGAGTTGCCCAGCCAGATGGGCGGGGTATAAATAATAAATTATTATTATTATTATATTATATATATTGTTCATTGCATTGAATTACCCACTTTTTTCTCTCCAAGGGGGATGATAGTGTACACCAGGGGTCAGCAAACTTTTCCAGCAGGGGGCCAGTCCACCGTCCCTCAGACCTTGTGAGGGGCGGACTATATTTTTTGGGGAGGGGGAATATGAACGAATTCCTATGCCCCACAAATAACCCAGAGATGCATTTTAAATAAAAGCACACATTCTACTCATGTAAAAACACGCTGATTTCCGGACTGTCCATGGGTCGGATTTAGAAGACGATTGGGCCTGATCCGGCCCCCGGGCCTTAGTTTGCCTACCCACGGTGTACACAGTTCTCTCCCCTTCCCTATTTCATTCCCACAACAACTCAGTGAGGTAGGTTAGGCTGAAAGCAGCCGTGGCTGCCCCCCCCCAGTCCCTCAGTGAAGTTTCATGTGGCCAAATAAGGATTCGAACCCTGGTCCCTCCCAGGTCCTGGTCCAACATCCTTAAGTAGGGACACAGGTGGCACTGTGGTCTAAACCACTGAGCCTAGGGCTTGCTGATCGGAAGGTCGGTGGTTCGAATCCCCGCAACAGGGTGAGCTCCCCTTGCTCCTGCTAACCTAGCAGTTCGAAAGCACACCAGTGCAAGTAAGTAAATAGGTACCACTCCGGCGGGAAGGTAAACGGCGTTTCCGTGCACTGCTCTGGCTTCCGTCATGGTGTCCCGTTGCGCTCGAAGCGGTTTAGTCATGCATGACCTGGAAAGCTGTCTGCGGACAAACGCCGGCTCCCTCGGCCTGAAAGCGAGATGAGCGCCGCAACCCCATAATTGCCTTTGACTGGACATAACCGTCCAGGGGTCCTTTACCTGTTAAGGTAACAGCTGCACCACCAGCGCTCATCTTCTCAGCCTCCTTGCTGAGGTGTAAAGTCATCGTTGCGTAATGCAGTGCAGATAAGGAAACCGATGGGTTTTACCCGAACGCTGAAAGAATATACCATTTCTTACTGGTCTCCCTTTTTTTACTCCTACAGGAAGTAGTCCAAGCCGAGCGAGCCCAAACCCAGGTATGTGTCTCTCAAAGCCAGGTATACTTTGAAAGATGGTGGAGGTTCGTTTTTGAGCTCAGTTTAGGAGCGATGGGGACCATCGCTGTCAACCTTCCCTTATTTTGTTTCCCGCTGCTTCCCACTGCTATCCCGGATTGTTAAATATCCCGTAGACTGTCCCCGGGACAGGTGAGGCTGCTGATCCCTTATTTTCAAAGCTGAAAGTTGACAGCTATGGATGGGGACCCACATGGAAGAGAGCTGGGCTGGGTGAGAGTCCCCATCTTTCCTGGTGCTGTTCAGTCCTAGCCCCAGAATGCCAGGACGCATTTATTTATCTCCTAAAATTCACACGCCGCTTATAGACTCACAGAATTGCAGAATCAAAAGGGGTCGTATTGTCCAAGCCCTGACATTGCAGGAATCGCAGCTTTGTTGTAAAAACAAACAAACCTCAAAGCAGATTACAAAAAAAGGACAAAGCAATAAAACGATCATAAGATTTTGAAAAGTTAAAACGACAACGGAATAAGAGCAGATTCGAACTCGCAGCGGCTTCCTGAATGACTGGGTAGGCTTGCCTAAACAAAAATGTTAGATCTCTGAGCAGAGGGGCTAGTATCCTGACAAGGCCTTTCTCCTGTCGGCAGTCGGGTGTCGGCACTGTTTGCCAGTCTGGGCCGAGTCAAAGGCGTTATTGTCTGTATACAAAGCCCTTAACAACGTGGGGACAACTTTACCTATGAGATCTCCTTCCCCCGCTGCTTTGGTCCACTTGGCTGCTTTGAATGGCAGAACTGGCGCCACCGACACTGTGGAACTCCCTGCCTCTTGAGAGCAAGCAGCTGCCTTCACTGGACTCCTTTCAGAGCCTGCTAAAAACATCCTTGTTTCGACAGGCCTACCCAGAAGCATAGGGAAGTGGAGGCAATTTTAATTTGTATGCTTCAAAGTGCTGTTGTAAATTTCTCTTGGTTTCATCGTCATCATCATCATCATCATAATTTATACCCCGCCCATCTGGTTGGGCTTCCCCAGCCGCCACTCTGGGCGGCTTCCAACAAAATATTAAAATACACTAATGCATCAAACATTAAAAGCTTCCCTAAACAGGGCTGCATTCAGGTGTCTTCTAAAAGTCTGGTAGTTGTTATTCTCTTTGACATCTGATGGGAGGGCGTTCCACAGGGCGGGTGCCACCACTGAGAAGGCCCTCTGTCTGGTTCTCTGTACCCTCACTTCTTGCAGGGAGGGAACTGCCAGAAGGCCTTCGGAGCTGGACCTCAGTGTCCGGGCAGAACAATGGGGGTGGAGACGCTCCTTCAGGTATGCAGGGCCTTTGAGGCCGTTTTGGGCTTTAAAGGTCAGCACCAACACTTTGAATTGTGCTCGGAAACGTACTGGGAGCCAATGTAGGTCTTTCAGGACTGGTGTTATATGGTCTCGGCTGCCACTCCCAGTCCCCAGTCTGGCTGCCGCATTCTGGATTAGTTGTAGTTTCCAGGTCACCTTCAAAGGTAGCCCCACGTAGAGCGCATGGCAGTAGTCCAAGCGGGAGATAACCAGAGCCTGTACCACTCTGGAGAGACAGTCTGCGGGCAGGTAGGGTCTCATCCTGCGCACCAGATGGAGCTGGTAGACATCTGCCCTGGACACAGAGCTGACCTGCGCCTCCATGGACAGCGGTGAGTCCAGAATGACTCCCAGGCTGCGCACCTGGTCCTTCGGGGGCACAGTTGCCCCATTCAGGACCAGGGAGTCCTCCACAACTGCCTGCCTCCTGTCCCCCCAAAACAGCACTTCTGTCTTGTCAGGATTCAACCTCCATCTGTCATTGCTCTAGCTCTTTACGTAAACAGCATTCGGGTTTCTTGCCATGTATATATATTATATGAAATGAATAAAATCCTGGAGAGCTGCCAGCCAGTGTTGGCATACCTGAATTAGATGGGCCAGTGGTCTAACTAAGTACAAGGCAGCTTCCTAAGTAATCCACGCTGGTGGCTGTTGCTGGTCTGATTCTCTCTGCCTCCCCTCCTCTTTTTAGGGGCAAGGGAAGGGGCCTCTCCAAACCCCACAGACAACCTGCAGAGTTTGCACCCTGGGGCCTTGCTCTATCGCGCTGCCGCTGCACCCCCAAGCCTGCCCACCATGGCGGACGCCTTGGCTCACGGCGCTGACGTCAACTGGGTGAACGCCAACCACGAAAGCCGGACCCCTTTGCTGCAGGCCGTCGACGCGGTGAGTCTGTGGGGGGGCTCAGAAGTGTTTTTTTTAAAAAAAAATTTTTTTTATTAAATTTTCCATTTTAACAATCCAATCAGATCACATTAAATATTCCAAATTATACAAATACATCTCATGTAGTCCAAATATTCTGCCAAATTATAGATTTTTGTTGGGGCTTCCCATGCTTCAAGTTCAGTGAGGTTCCAATCATCTTATGTTTCTACTGCCTTGAGTTTCCAATAGTTCCTTCTTTAAATCTTCCTGTTGGTATCCTTCCCTTCCTTCATGGCCTCTGAGTTTGTTTCCACAGGCGAGCTGAAGTAAACAATAATGGGCTTCTGTGTGAAATTTGTATGACTCTCCTTTTTTTTGCAGCTGGTACGTCTGTTTTTTGCAGAATGTCCTCAGTCCTCACACACTTTTTTTTTATTGATACACCGAAAAAGGAAAAAAAAACAAGACAAGAAATACAAACCGAACCATGATAAGGACAATATTAATTACGAATCACTAAAACGAAAAGTGGTCGTTGGACTATAGACCCGACCTCCCGTCCATTCCTTATTTCACTTATCTATTATTTGTCGCCAATACACGCTTTTGTCTTAACTGATTAACTAATTATTGTTAGTTTCAGGTTAAGTATGGACCTCTGGAACTAATTAAGTACTTAACCTGAGGTATCACTATATTATGTTTTTAGTGTGATTTTATTTTATTGGTGTTAGCTGCCCTGAGCCCGGCTCTGGCCGGGGAAGGCGGGGTATAAATTATTATTATTATTATTATTACTACTACTACTACTACTACAGTGGTACCTCGGGTTAAGTACTTAAACTGTTCTTAACCTGAAGTTCCACTTTAGCTAATGGGGCCTCCTGCTGCTGCCGCGCCGCCGGAGCACGATTTCTGTTCTTATCCTGAAGCAAAGTTCTTAACCTGAAGCACTATTTCTGGGTTAGCGGTGTCTGTAACCTGAAGCGTCTGTAACCTGAAGCGTATGTAACCCGAGGTACCACTGTATTATTTTCTGTGGGGCTCAGAACTCTTGACGCTCTCAAACGCCAACCCACTTCCCTCATTTCCCCACTTCACCTTCTCTCTCTCTCTCTCTCTCTCTACCCAGAATTCTCTCTTGGCCTGCGAATTCCTTCTTCAAAATGGAGCCAGCGTCAACCAGCCAGACAGCAGAGGCCGAGGCCCCCTTCATCATGCTACCATCTTGGGACACACTGGGTAGATACCTATCTATATATCTCTATACATATATCTTCCTATATGCATAGAAATGGAAGGCTGTCGTCACGTTGTAGTTTGCTGCAGCCAGCGCCAACTCCAGCATGGCAACAGAAAGGCGGGCAGGCAGGTGTGGAAGAACCCCGAAAGCAAGCAAGCAGCCGCGGGAAGGGGGAGAAGGGAGACTTCAGGGGGAGAACAAGGCTATTGATGGTTGAATCATTGTGTTTTAATATTCTACTGGAAGCCCCCCAGATTGGAGTCCAACCTCCAATCTTTCACCGAAGTGGGATTCGAACCCACAACCCTTGTGCTCTACCGACTGAGCTTATGGACAATTGGTTCAGTGATCTGGTTGGTGTGAACTAATTTGTTCCAGGCACTGGGAACGAATAACCCTTACAGGTGAAACTCAAAAAATTAGAATATTGTGGAAAAGTTCATTTATTTCAGTAATTCAACTTAAAAGGTGAAACTAATATATGAGATAGACTCATGACATGCAAAGCGAGATATGTCAAGCCGTTATTTGTTACAGTTGTGATGTTTATGGTGTACGGCTGATGAAAACCCCAAATTAACAATCTCAGAAAATTAGAATATTAAATGAAATCAGCAAAACAAGGACTGCAAATAGAGCAGTATTGGACCTCTGAGAAGTAGAAGCATGCATATGTACTCAGTGCTTGGTTTGGGCCCTTTTGCATCAATTACTGCCTCATTGCGGCGTGGCATGGATGCTATCGGCCTGTGGCACTGCCGAGGTGTTATGGAAGACTAGGATGCTTCCATAGCAGCCTTCAGCTCTTCTGCATTGCTCGGTCTCATGTCTCTCATCTTTCTCTTGGCAGTGCCCCATAGATTCTCTATGGGGTTCAGGTCAGGCGAGTTTGCTGGCCATTCAAGCACAATAATCCCATGGGCATTGAACCAGGTTTTGGTACTTTGGGCAGTGTGGGCAGGTGACAAAGTCCTGCTGGAAAATGAAATCAGCATCCCCATAAAGCTCGTCTGCGGAAGGAAGCATGAAGTGCTCCAAAATCTCTTGGTGGACGGCTGCGTTGACCCTGGACTTAATGAAGCACAGTGGACCAACACCAGCTGATGACATGGCTCCCCAAATCAACACAGACTGGGGAAACTTCACACTGGAATTCAAGCATCGGGCATTGTGTGTCTCTCCGTTCTTCCTCCAGACTCTGGGTCCTTGGTTTCCAAGTGAGATGCAAAAGCTGCTCTCATCAGAAAAGAGATTGGAGTTTCACCTATATATTGTAAAGGGATTTTGCTGATAGTGCATAATGATCTATTTATGTATGAGGCTGTTAGAGATGCTTGTCATGTGGAAATATTGAATAAGTGTCTTCCCTGTTTCGTTTCCTAGGCTGGCCTGCCTCTTCCTCAAGCGCGGGGCCAACATGAACGCCGTCGATGGGGAAGGGAAGGACCCCCTCAGCATCGCCATAGATTCAGCCAACGCGGATATCGTCACCTTGTAAGGGAGATTCTCCACCCCCCACCCGCCCCCGTCTCCCTTGGGTGCCAAATAATCCCCCCCCCCATCGTGAGGTCTTGGGTGTGAATTCTGAAGCTCTTCAGAGGTTGAAGGGGAAGAGAGGGATTCTGGGAGGAAGTTGGCGGGATGTCGGCCATCTTGAATCTTGGGCTCAGGCCTTTGGGTCTGTAAATGTGTTATAACACTGTGGCACTAGATGGCGCTGTCGGGCTGAAACTGGAAGTCGATTATCATTTCCATTGTCAGCTTTTACGTTTTTTCCATAGCATTTTTTTACAGCTGTGTAGATCCAGCCCATATCTGGTTTCAGCTTCTTGTCAATTGTTCTTCCAGCGTTTTTAATAGCTGTTCTTAAATTGCTTTTACTGGTAATTTTATTCTTTTTCTAAACTGCTTTGAGGTTTTTTTGGTTTTTTTACAACCAAGTGGTATGCATAAATTTTAAGAAATATATAATCAACAAAATAAATTGAACGATTGGGTCTGTGGCTGGTAGGGGATTGGGGTAAGATGGGGGGGGAGAAGGGGCTGAAATTCATTTTTTTCTGTTGTGTCACGTGACTCTTTTTCTCTCCCACCCACCTTCCCTCTTTCAAAGATTGCGATTGGCCAAGATGCGTGAATCTGAGCTTGCCCTCGGCCAATCAGGTGAGTCTCACCTGTGGGGGGTGGGAACACAATTCCACATCAGAATTCGCTCTATCTCCTCGAAAATCTTCCGGAATCAGTTTCCCATACGCTCTCAGTCCTCAGTTGCTCCATCTGTAAAATGGGAACAATCTGTCAACGATGGCCAACAGGTGGACAAACAAGTGATGGGTGTTTGCTGTTTACACACCCGGACATAACAACGGCTAAAAATTAATTAATGTTACAGATAAGTAGCAAAACCCAGAAGCTGGTGTTTAGGCAACAGGTGCAAAATTAACAACCAAATAACTGAGATAGCTTAGTCGGCTGAGCAACAGGCTCTGAATTTCAGGGTTGTGGGTTCGAAGACCACGTAGGGCAAAAATATTCCTGCGTTGGAGGGGGTCAGACTAGATGCCCCTCACGGTCCCTTCCAACTTGACGATTCTATACGATAATAAGTTTTTATCCCAGGCTACTATTTTTATAGAAGGCGATAAACAGCTCAAGTTAACCCAGAGGTTTTATAATGTGAGGAGAGTCCCCTGTTTTAAGTTTTTTAAGCCAACCTGCCTTTGTCCCTCAAGACTTGAGCCAATTTTCTTTTATTATTCTATTTTTCGACAAGGACACTTTGGCCAGATTTTGCTGTACTGATTTGTCAGAGAATACACACTCTCACGCACGCACACACCTCTCATTGCTTCCAAGATCTCGCTATTATTATGAGCCTGGCTGCTAAGTAGGAGAGAACTTAATTGAAGGTTGAAGCTGTAAGTTAATATTCGTCTCTTGTGAAAAGATTGAGGAGAAGCAACTCTGGACATTTTGTCCAGCAAATTCGCTGCACCCGGTGGGAGGGAGTTCCACAGGTTAACTAAGCGCTGCATGAAGAAGCACTTTCTTTTATCTGTCCTGGATCTGCCACCATTCGCCTTCTTTTGGTATCCCATTAGTTCCTTGGCAGACATTCCCCCAACATGACCAGTAGATGCTGGGGCTGTGGGTGCGAATCCTGATTCAATGCCAGAGAGTGGCTGGTGCGATTCAGGGCAGGCTGAGGCGGCGATCTGGGGTCTTCCTTCCAGGACGCAAACAGATTTCCGATGCTCCCTGCCCAGGGCCCTTGCAGACTCCTAGCTGCGCTCCTTGCATTGGAGCGGGTTGGACTAGATGAGCTTTGGGGTCTGCCTCCCTGGTCCTGAATGGGGCAACTGTGCCCCTGAAGGACCAGGTGCGCAGCCTGGGAGTCATTCTGGACTCACAGCTGTCCATGGAGGCGCAGGTCAGTTCTGTGTCCAGGGCAGCTGTTTACCAGCTCCATCTGGTACGCAGGATGAGACCCTCCCTGCCCGCAGACTGTCTGGCCAGAGTGGCACATGCTCTGGTTATCTCCCGCTTGGACTACTGCCATGAGCTCTACGTGGGGCTACCTTTAAAGGTGACTCGGAAACTGCAATTAATCCAGAATGCGGCAGCCAGACTGGTGACTGGGAGCGGCTGCCGAGACCGCATAACACCGGTCCTGAAAGACTTACATTGACTCCCAGTACGTTTCCGAGCACAATTCAAATTGTTGGTGCTGACATTAAAAGCCCTAAACGGCCTCAGTCAAGTATACCTGAAGGAGCATCTCCACCCCCATCATTCTGCCCGGACACTGAGGTCCAGCTGCGAGGGCCTTCTGGCGGTTCCCTCCTTGTGAGAAGTGAGGTTACAGGGAACCAGGCAAAGGGCCTTCTTGGTGGTGGCTCCTGCCCTGTGGAACGCCCTCCCACCAGATGTCAAAGAAATAAACAACTATCTGACGTTTAGAAGACATCTGAAGGCAGCCCTGTTTAGGGATGTTTTTAATGACTGAAGTTTTAATGTATATTTAATCTTTAGTTGGAAGCCGCCCAGAGTGGCTGGGGAAACCCAGCCAGATGGGCGGGGTATAAGTAATAAATTATTATTTGAGTTTCTATTGAGATGAGGCTTCATTTTAATGTTGTATTTTAATCCTGTTTTTAAGTTGTATCTTAATCAATTGTTTTATATCTGGTGTTAGCCACCCCGAGCCTGGTCTTGGCTGGGGAGGGCGGGGTATAAATAAAATTTATTATTATTATTATTATTATTATTATTATTATTATTATATCATTATTATTCCCTGATTCTTCCCGCTCTTCCAGGAGACGAAACATACCTCGACATCTTCCAGGATTTCTCCCTCATGGCGTCCAACGATCCAGACAAGTTGACCCGGCGGAGTTATGATCTGAAGCTGACGACGATGTGAAGTTGGCCCCCAGCCGCCGAAAGGAGGAGGGAGACAGGAGCAAGAGGCCTTAAGTTACCTTCAGATTCCCGGTGTGACACTTGAGTCGGAAACAAAGGACCGTCCAGTAGAAGTTTGTCTCTCCCTTCAGCCCCCAAAGTGCTTTTGGTGACTTTGTGGTGTCTGGCAGAAGCAAAGGGTTTTCGTGGAAGTTTGCGGGAAACGAAGAACCGATCTCTCCAGATTACTCTGCCCTCCACAACTCCTGTCTTTTATTTATTGCTGACAGATGAGGACGTAAAAAGCTGTACCACCTTCTTGGCCCTTGATGGACACAGAGATAAAATTACGGATTATTTCTCCTCCCACCTCTTCGAAACCAGATTACAGTCGTTTTATTTTCTTCCCTGGGCCTTGAAAAGGGAGATACTCCTTGAGGGAGCAAAGGGATTTGGGGTCGAGGAAAGGTTGTGTAGGAAGAGGCACAGATTAAGCACAGCTCCCTACAATTTGGGAAATGGTGTGTTTCATCTCTGTGTGTGTTGAAATTCTCAGCGGTTTTTTCCTGAGGTTGAAATCTAATTTTGCAGGTAGAGCAAACCTGCCTCAAGGTTTGCCCACGTTTATTTCGTTCGTAATTAGCTGAGCGTAAACGGAACGTTCTTTTTCTTTTAATTTAAATTGCGGTGTGGACATTTTAAATAAACTCGCATCTCTGGCCAAACCACCCCAAATGACCAAGCTAAAGGCAACCAGTGTGGTCATTTCCGTGTTTTAATTTTTTGCCTCTGTGTGTGAGTGTGTTCTTGTTTGTTTTTCAAAGTACTGGGGTTTATTTATTTCATAAAATCTATACACCGCTTGAGTGTTGGGGGCGGGCGGGGAAGCCCCAAAGTGATTTGCAAAACAAATTAAGACATTTTCCTTACTGACGGTTTTGTGAACAGCAAAAACGTCAAACTTGCGAAAAGTTAAAATAACGACAAATTAAAAATAGATTGCAACTCACACAAACTTTCTAAACATCACAGGCAGGCATGCTTAAGCAAGAATGTTTTTAGCAGGCGCTGAAAAGAGAACCGTGAAGGCACTTGCCTGATATAGATAGGCAGGGAGTTCCAAAGTTTGTGTTGTTGTTGTTGTTTAGTCGTTTAATCGTGTCCGCCTCTTCGTGACCCCATGGACCAGAGCACGCCAGGCCCTCCTGTCTTCCACTGCCTCCCGCAGTTTGGTCAAACTCATGCTGGTAGCTTCGAGAACACTGTCCAACCATCTCGTCCTCCGTCGTCCCCTTCTCCTTGTGCCCTCCATCTTTCCCAACATCTTTTCCAGGGAGTCTTCTCTTCTCATGAGGTGGCCAAAGTCTTGGAGCCTCAGGTTCATGATCGGTCCTTCCAGTGAGCACTCAGGGCTGATTTCCTTCAGAATGGAGAGGTTGGATCTTCTTGCAGTCCATGGGACTCTCAAGAGTCTCCTCCAGCACCAGAATTCAAAAGCATCCATTCTTCGGCGATCAGCCTTCTTTATGGTCCAGCTCTCACTTGCATACATCACTACTGGGAAAACCAGAGCTTTAACTATACGGACCTTTGTTGGCAAGGTGATGTCTCTGCTTTTTAAGATGCTGCCTAGGTTTGCCATTGCTTTTCTCCCAAGAAGCAGGCGTCTTTTTTTCCAAAGTTTACATTGCCCCAAATAAATTGTCCTGATCCCAGGTGTGTAAAGGAAGGAGCTGTACACTGGCGTTCATTCACTTCATATCCCATCCTTTTAAAGAATTTGGGGTGGCACACACAGGGCAGCACCCTATTTTATCTTCACAAGAGCCCTGAAGAGCAGGCTGTGTCCCCCGGGAAGTGAGGGGAAAGGTGGTAGCTGAGTGTTTTGCATGCAAGACAATCCCTGATGGCATATCCAGGTGCAGGGGTCAGCGACCTTTTTCAGCAGGGGGCCGGTCCACTGTCCCTCAGACCTTGTGGGGGCTGGACTATATTTTTTTTGGGGGGGGGAAATGAACGAATTCCTATGCCCCACAAATAACCCAGAGATGCATTTTAAATAAAAGGACACATTCTACTCATGTAAAAACACCAGGCAGGCCCCACAAATAACCCAGGGATGAATTTCACATAAAAGGGCACATTTTACTCATGTAAAAACACACATATTCCCGGACCGTCCGTGGGCCGGATTGAGAAGGCGATTGGGCCGGATCCGGCCCCCGGGCCTTAGTTTGCCTACCCATGAGGTAGGGCTTTGGAGAGACTCCCTGCTTTGTGGGACGGTGCTTGATAACACAAAAAAAGACACACATACACACCCGGATGTAAAATTGCATCATGTAATTGATACAGACATATAATTGAAAGCCAGTTTCTACGTCTTTCTGAAGGCAGCCCTGTATCAGGAAGTTTTTAATGTCTGATGTTTCGCTGTTTTCTTTTATATTCTGTTGGAAGCTGGCCAGAGTGGCTGAGGCAGCCCGGTCAGAAGGGTGTGGAATAAGTAATAAATTATTATGTCCTTCTGTAAATAATAATAATAATATCAGAAGGTGGTAAGCTCTCCTTCCTTGAAGGTTTTTAAAGCAGAGGTTGGACGGCCATCTGCCATGGATGCTTTAGCTGAGATTCCTGCATTGAAGGGGGTTGGGCTGGATGACCTTTGGGGGTCCCAACTCTACAATTCTATGATATAGAGCAGAAAGACACCAAGTGACCTGTGTGCCCGTTCAAACTGCTGACCAGGTGCTGTTAAAGGGGGAGGGGGTAATTCTACTCAGAGTAGACCCATTGAAATCAGTAGACCTAACTTAGACATGCCCATTCACTGCAAAGGGTCTGCTCTGAGTACAGCTAATACAGTGATCCCTTGGTTCTCAAACGCCTTGGTACTCAACTTGGAACCCAAACAACTGCAAACCCAGAAGTAAGTGTTCCGGTTTGCAAACATTTTTCAGAAGCCGAACGTGCTCTTTTTTGAGTGTTATGCTTCCGATTTGAGTGTTCTGCTGAGGTTTGTCTGTTTTTGCTATTTATTTTCCATTTTTGTTTTTGCAGCTCTTTTTCATTTTCTTCTTGTGACTGTGTGGAACCCAGTCCAGCTACTGATTGATTGGTTGTGTGACTGCAGTACATTGCTTATTGCTTTCATTTTATGGATCAGTGGTCTCGTCAGATAGTAAAATTCATGTGAAATTTCTGTTTTAGGGGTTGTTTTTAAAAGTCTGGAACAGATTAATCCATTTTGCATTACTTTCTATGGGAAAGCGCACCTGGGTTTTGGAACGCTTTGGTTTCGGAACGGACTTCCGGAACGGATTAAGTTTGAGAACCAAGGTACCACTGTATTTGGATAAAACCCGGGCATGTGCAGTAGAGGACAGCATTCAGGAGAGGAACGTCCTCTCTAAAATTATTATTATTATTATTAAACATTTAATACCCTGTTATTCTGCAAACCAACCAGTGGTCTGACTCTGTAGACTAAAGGCTCAGGTAGGTAGCCGCGTTGCTCTGATGTAGTCGAAATAAATAAAAAAATGTCCAGTAGCACCGACCTTAGAGACCAACTAAGTATGTTCTGGGTATAAGCTTTCGCGTGCATGCACACTTCTTCAGATAACATTGAAAAAGAAGTTACCAGACCATTATATATAGTGGGAAGGTGGGGTGGGGTTTTTCTCAGCAGGGTAGTAGGAGATGGGTGATTGGCATTGAGTTGCAAGGGGCCACAAGGATCGAGTAGTCCAACCCCCTGCAATGCGACGTGGGTCTCGAACCCACAACCCTGAGATGCGTCTCACACTCTACCGACTGAGCTGCCTAGCTGCTGCTATATTCCTGCTGAGCAATTGGCCCAGGGCTAAACCAGCGAGGGTCTCATAGCTGAGCCCAGGGCCAAGGCAATTGTGCTAGGACTCGGATGCCTGATGATCATCTTCCAAAGCAACTACTCTATTCCAAACTTATGCTAAAGGTAAAGGTAAAGGGACCCCTGACCATTAGGTCCAGTCGTGGCCGACTCTCGGGTTGCGGCGCTCATCTCGCTTTATTGGGTGAGGGAGCCGGCGTACAGCTTCCGGGTCATGTGGTCAGCATGACTAAGCCACTTCTGGCGAACCAGAGCAGCGCACGGAAACGCCGTTTACCTTCCCGCCGGAGTGGTACCTATTTATCTACTTGTACTTTGATGTGCTTCCGATCTGCTAGGTAGGCAGGAGCAGGGACCGACAACGGGAGCTCACCCTGTCGCGGGGATTCGAACCGCCGACCTTCTGATCAGCAAGTCCTAGACTCAGTGGTTTAACCCACAGTGCCACCCGTGTCCCTAAGCGTAATGCTGGTGGTCAACAAGAGGTTTAAAGACTCTCTCAAGGCAAATCTTTAAAAATGGAGTATACACACTGACAACTGGGAAACACTGGCCTGCGAGCGCTCCAGTTGGAGAACAGCCTTTACCAAAAGTGTCGTGGGCTTTGAAGACACTCGAACTCAGGACGCAAGGGAGAAACGCGCTAGGAGGAAGGCACGCTTGGCAAATCCACACCGTGATGGACTCCCGCCTGGAAACCAATGTCCCCACTGTGGAAGGACGTGTGGTCCAGAATTGGCCTCCACAGTCACTTACGGACTCCCTGTTAAAACTGTGTTTATGGAAGACAGTCTTACTTGGCTACGAGGGGTCGCCAAAGAAGAAAGAAGCAGCAGCTCTCTGCACGTGCTCAGTGGAGCTCTGGTTTTGCATCCCTGTGCATCATGCCAGGATCAAGTCGCAGCCCTGCAACAGATTTCTGAGGTTCTGCCTCTGTGCTATTATGGCTTAACTGGGGGAGATGGCTTAACTGACTTGAGTTCCCAGTCTCACGCCTTTGGCATCACCGCATTTCAGAACAGCCAACAGGTAGGTGCCCAAGAATGTTACTTGCCCCAAAATGGAAAGAAGCAGAAGTCCCAGCAAAGTAAGACTGGCTACAAAAACTTATGGAATATGCAGAAATGGTGAAACGTACCAGAAGAATAAGAAATCAAGATAAACTTTTTCATATATAACAGCATGCAAATGCTTTATTGAATATTTACAGATAAATTGTAAGCAGATAAGAACACTGGCAGGATTATTGTAATAACCTGCAGTTTAATAAGAGTATATAAATAAAATAAACGAGCAAATTAATTGAATTTGGAAATGCGGAAGATATTAAAAATAAATTTAAGGAAGCGCGGAAAGAGGGGGATGGAAGTCAAGTTTTGAAAGGTTAAAATGATTGTAAAATTAATGAAATGAATGATGATGGTGATAATTTTAATTCTACCCCACCCATCTGGCTGGGTTTCCCCAGCCACTCTGGGCGGCTTCCAACAGAACATTCAAAACATCAAACGTTAAAAACCTCCAGATACAGGGCTGCCTTCAGATGTCTTCTAAAAGTCAGATAGTAGTTTATTTCCTTGACATCTAATGGGAGGGCATTCCACAGGGAGGGCGCCACCACCGAGAAGGCCCTCTGCCTGGTTCCCTGTCACCTCACTTCTCACAAGGAGGGAACCGCCAGAAGGCCCTCGGAGCTGGATCTCAGTGTCCAGGCTGAATGATGGGGGTGGAGACGCTCCTTCAGATATACTGGACCGAGGCCGTTTAGGGCTTTCAAGGTCAGCACCAAGACTTTGAATTGTGCTTGGAAACGTACTGGGAGCCAATTTAGGTCTTTCAAGACCGGTGTTATGTGGTCTCAGTGGCCGCTCCCAGTCACCAGTCTGGCTGCCGCATTCTGGATTAGTTGTAGTTTCCGGGTCACCTTCAAAGGTAGCCCCACATAGAGCACATTGCAGTAGTCCAAGCGAGAGATAACTAGAGCATGCACCACTCTGGCCAGACAGTCTGCGGGCAGGGAGGGTCTCATCCTGCGCACCAGATGGAGCTGGTAAACAGCTGCCCTGGGCACAGAACTGACCTGTGCCTCCATGGACAGCTGTGAGTCCAAAATGACTCCCAGGCTGCACACCTGGTCCTTCAGGGGCACAGTTGCCCCATTCAGGACCAGGGAGTCCCCCACACCTGCCCACCTCCTGTCCCCCCAAAATAGTACTTCTGTCTTGTGGTTCAACCTCAATCTGTTAGCTGCCATCCATCCTCCAACCACCTCCAGACACTCATTGTTATTGTTATTAGAACTGAAGCGGGCAGTAGCCTTGTGCCTTTCCCTGGGAAGCAACAGGCAGGCGCCCAACAGGTGCAGCCTCCCCGCAGGACACGGGATTGCAAGGAGACAGAGAAGCCTCCCTCTTGGGCAGCTGAGAAATGCTTAGGAGTCTCTTGGTTTGGCAACCGCAAGGCAGCAACCAACTCCCTTGCGGGGCGGGAACAGGATCCGCCTTCGCTTCCAGCCAGAGTCATGCCCATCCGGCTGGCACCTTTTAAAGGCGGCCGTCCCAGCTTCTCCATGGGGAAAAGGGGAAACCTTCTCACGGCTCAGGATACCTCTGGGCTGGCCCTTGCCGCAGAGGACGAGGCTCCTTCCCACAGCATCCTCTCTCACCTGTCGCAGGTAAAATAACTTGGATAAGGAGGACGGAGTGGGATGGGGGGCAGGATCAGGAAACCAGCAAAGATCTCAGATGTGATGGAGAGGGGAGCTCCCGTTAGTGCCTGGCTCATGACACCCCCTCCAGCACCATCCCATAATTTCAGGGCCCCTCCAGACGTCCTCAAAAAATAAATAACTGCGTTCATGATGCTATCGGGGTGGTTATACGTAAATCCCGCTTTCGACACCGTTTCCGAAACTTTCAGCGCGGACACAACTTCATTTCCAATCGGTGCAGGTCTTCCTGCGAGTATCCTGCAACTTTTCACACCGCAGATGTTCCGGGAAGGGGGTGGGGGCGGTGTCCCACTTTTGCTGCGCTTATAGGATAAGAGTGACCCCCCCAAGCCCAATAATTACGTGTGGACCGACCAGTATGAATCCATCTCTAATGCGCTGTCATTGCATCGATGTGACGCATTGCAGAACACTCCCCACAAAAATCCCACCAGTTTGGGGGAGGGGGTTCTTCCAAAGTTTCCATCTTATATTATTGAGACCCCCCCTTCGGTCCCTGTTAAAATGGGGGTCTTGCATCCCACCCATCCCCTTCTTGCTTGCAAAACCCCTCGTGGGCTCTCCCTCTTCTGCGTCTTGGCGACCCCTACCAGACTTTATATTCTCTCCCTTGCTCATTTCCCTGTCCTGAGATTTGCCCCCACCCCAGTTTATGCAGCCCAGAAGGCTTCTCTCTTCTCAGCCGCTACAAATCATCTCCCCCCCAAACCCAAAAAAAGGAGGTTTCCCAGGAGAGTTGGGTTACAATATACCTGAACCAACCAGTTCCAAACTGCCCCTTGAGTCTCCGGATTAGAGATTTAAGTACTGCCTTGTATAATCAGTGAGCAGCTTTTTTTGGGGGGGGGGGAGTATTTGGCTTTAGACTGTGTGTGTGTGTGTGTGTGTGTGTTTATTTTGACAAATGCAGGTTTTGATTGGGGAGTCGCCATGATACTATACCGCAGAGGGTCCCACGCTTTTTGCGCGCGCGCCCCCCCCCCGCAACTTGGTGCCATAAATTCCTTTCCACCGCCCCCTCCCCTGTAAAAAGCGCTATTCGGACTATCAGTTTGCACGACCCTCTCAAGTAAAGAGAACGGCACAGCAAAATCCAAAGCCTAAACAATGAATTGCGCATTTATTCCAAATCCAGTTAAAACTATTTATTTCCATTAATTCCACAAAAGGGATGAACGTGGTCCAATGATGCCAACTTTTCAAAACTGGATCGTCATTTGTATCTCCTGCGCCCACCCTCTCTTACTTTGGGAACACCTGCTATACAGGAGAATTGTGGCCACGCTGGGTGCTGTGCATATAGAACTATGGTCCCCAGGTTTTTTGCTCTATGGATATCCTTTGATATGCTGACCCATCAATTTATCGCCCCGTGAATTCTGGACCTCTTTGTTTTTTGGCAGCCGCCGATTTCGTGCCTCCGAACTGCAAGTTTGCCTGTTTTCTGCCCATTACTCGGGGCAGCCGAGCGAAGCGTCCCTATTTAATGTGCCATTTGGTGAAATATTTATAGTACTTTCAAAGCCCCCTATCCGAGATTTTGCTCACGCGAATGCAAGCACGCCGCCTGATCACAGGGGATTTTATGGGGCTCCCGTGCGAAGCCTGCACGACCCACCTGCGCCGTGGGAAACGCTGGTTTGGAGAATTTAACCAGGTGGGCGATTTTTTGGGGGGGTGGGGCAGACTCCCTGCCTCGCCAGCTCCTTCCAGCAGGGGGCGCACCCGGCTCCTGATGCGTTGCTGCTGGCCAAGATGAGACTCGGGGTTCCGTCCTCTCCCCCATGCTTTTCAACATCTACATGCAGCCGCTGGGAGAGATCATCAGGGGGTTTGGGCTGGGTGTCCATCAATATGCGGATGACACCCAGCTCTACCTCTCTTTCAAATCGGAACCAGTGAAGGCGTTGAAGGTCCTGTGTGAGTGTCTGGAGGTACTTAGAGGATGGATGGCGGCTAAGAGATTGAGGTTGAATCCTGACAAGACAGAAGGACTGTTTTTGGGGGACAGGAGGCGGGTGGGTGTGGAGGACTCCCTGGTCCTGAATGGGGCAACTGTGCCTCTGAAGGACCAGGTGTGCAGCCTGGGAGTCATTCTGGACTCACAGCTGTCCATGGAGGCGCAGGTCAATTCTGTGTCCAGGGCAGCTGTCTACCAGCTCCATCTGGTACGCAGGATGAGACCCCACCTGCCCGCAGACTGTCTCGCCAGAGTGGTGCATGCTCTGGTTATCTTCTGCTTGGACTACTGCAATGCGCTCTATGTGGGGCTACCTTTGAAGGTGACCCAGAAACTACAACTAATCCAGAATGTGGCAACCAGACTGGTGACTGGGAGTGGCCACCGAGACCACATAACACTGGTCCTGGAAGACCTACATTGGCTCCCAGTACGTTTCCGAGCACAATTCAAAGTGTTGGTGCTGACCTTGAAAGCCCTAAACGGCCTCAAAGGCCCAGTAGACCTGAAGGAGCGTCTCCACCCCTATCGTCCAGCCTGGAAACTGAGGTCCAGCTCCGAGGGCCTCAGTGTGAGGAACCCCAAAGTTGTTAACATTTTTAGGGAGCTGACACCACACTTATCTCTGCTCAGGAAAAGAAAACAGGAAACATAAGGAGCCCAGCTCAGCAAACCAGCCCGAGGCGCGGCGTCAGCGACTGAGCAAAGCCGGGCGCCTCGTGGTGTAAGCAGCGTGCGCTGGGCCCTACGCCAATCCCAGGGGTGGAGGGCGGAGCCGGTCAGCTGCCTTTGGCCTCGCTAGCTCGCTCACCCCCGAACTCACGGCGCAGAGCTGCCCGCAGTAAAAGAGCCCACTGTGGCGCTCCGACCGACGGACGGGCTCTAACCTGGACTCCAACTCTTAGGCCCCGGACTCTCAGCCTGGCGCCCCTGAGAGCCCGGTGCCCTGCACCCCTGGTGCCTATGGTTAAGACGGCCCTGATTGCTATAAATCAGGGGTCAGCAAACTTACTGAGCCTTGGGCCAGTGTCTCCAGCACTGATTGCGCGGCGGGCCGGAGGGCGGGGGAGCGTGTGCCCATATGCGTGCGCACACGCTATTTCCGGCGCACTTCAGGGTCAGAGGAGCAACGGAAATAGCTTGTGCGCATGTGCACAGGCCTCCTCCGACCCAGATGTGCACCAGAAATAATGCTTGTGCATGCACAAATAACACTTGTGCATGCACAAATAACGTGTGTGTGTGTGTGTGCAAATAACGCTTGCGCATGCACAAAGAACACTTGCGCATGTGCACAAGCTATTTCCGGCGCACTTCTGGGTCAGAGGAGCACCGGAAATAGCTTGTGTCCATGCGCACAGGCCTCCTCCGACCCAGATGTGCAGCGGAAATAACACTTTCGCATGTGCACAAGCTATTTGTGCCACTAAGAGCAGGCGGTGGCAGTGGGCAGCAGGGGTCACCGCGGGCCGGATAAACCAGTCCCTCAGGCCTTATCCAGCCTGCGGGCCTTAGTTTGGGGACCCCTGCTATAAATGCAATAAATGGGATCCAGAAAACAGTCGCCCATAATGGCGGCCTGCTCCCTGCCACAACGTTCCCACTGAACATGTGCAGCCTTGTCTTGTGGAAGTTATAAAGAGCAGCGGGTTATGGCCATGTTTTGCAAAAAGGCTCTCTTCTCTCCTTCAACTCTTCTAGGAATCCCACCCTGAGAGATGTCGCTGCCTCTGGAAAACCCTCCGGATGGGGGCTGGGGTTGGCTGATCGTCCTCTCGGGATTTCTGGCCAACTCCCTCACTTACGGCATCTTGAGATCTCTGGGTATCCTCTTTGAAGAACTGGTGGAAGCTTTCGACGCCAGCGCTGCCCAGGTCTCCTGGGTGACGGCCATCGCCTTGGCAACCCAGCAGCTGGCTAGTAAGTTTTCCAGATGGGGCCACCACCCAGAAGGCCACGTCTGTTGACGCCTTGGCTCCGGATCTCAGTTTTGTATCGGCGATGTCGCAGCCGCATGCAGAATAATATACTTTTCAAACAACAAACCTTTTAACCGTATTGGAACGCAACTCAAAATCCTCAAAAACTGTGCTGGGTTCAAATAGGTGAAATGGCAAATAATTAAGCCGTAAAAAGTCTGTCAAGACAAAGAGTGCAGCCATTTCTCTTCATTTTTGAGTGAATCAGCTGGACTGTCTCCGGAGCGAAGGCAACACATTTATCTGAGATTCCTGCATTGCAAGGGGTGGGCTAGATATCTCTTGAGGTCCCTTCCAAAGCTAGGATGCTATGAGAGCTTATTTCTAATGGAGAAAATCTCCCAGCGCTCCTCATTTCTTGTTAATCTCACATCCCTACACTGTCAAGTTTTAATTATATTCCAAATATAATGAAATTAAAGAGGGCAGAGGTTGAGAGCAAATCTGGGAAGGGTTTGGCAGGGTTTGATTTGCAGGCAGAACGCCACGGGTTCAATCCTTGGCTTGGTTCAATCCTTCAGTTTAACATAAAACCAAACAAACTAACCCGTAACTGTGAGGTTGGAGGGGGAGATCTCTAGAAGATGTCAGGGAACTAATCAGATTGCCAAAAGCCGGTGTTCTTCATCCTTGGCTCCCCAGATGTTGTCAGATTACAACTCCCATCATCCACAAAAATCGGTTACGCTGACTCAGGACGATGGGAGTTGTAGTCCAAAAAAATCTGGAGGGCACCAGATTGCCAAAAGGCAACGTTCTTCAACCTTGGCTCCCCAAAAGTTGTCGAACTACAACTCCCATCATCCATGAAAATCGGTTACGCTGACTCAGGATGATGGGAGTTGTAGTCCCAAAAAATCTGGAGGGCACCAGATTGCCAAAAGGCAATGTTCTTCAACCTTGGCTCCCCAAAAGTTGTCGGACTACAACTCCCATCATCCATGAAAATCGGTTACGCTGACTCAGGATGATGGGAGTTGTAGTCCCAAAAAATCTGGAGGGCACCAGATTGCCAAAAGGCAATGTTCGTCAACCTTGGCTCCCCAAAAGTTGTCAGACTACAACTCCCATCATCTACAAATATTGGTTACGCTGACTCAGGATGATGGGACTTGTAGTCCAAAAATAAACACCCAAGAGGCTGCCCTAACCCTTTGCAACCACCTTCCACCCGTTTCCCACCCAGGTCCCGTTGGTACGGCTGCTAGCATGCGGTTCGGAGCTCGTCCGGTGGTCATGCTGGGAGGCCTCCTCTCCTCTCTGGGCGTCTTCTGGGCTTCCTTCAGCACCAGCTTACTCCAGTTGTATCTCACCCTGGGCTTTCTGACAGGTGAGTGAGCATGGGGTGCACCTTCCCCTCCTGCTCCCCCCAGAAAGTGGAGTTCAAAAGGATTGCTGCCTCAGACCGCGGAGGCAGAGCAGAGCCTCATCTCCCACGAACTTGTCCGATCCTCTGCTGATGCCACCCAAGCTGGTGGCCATTGCCGCCTCCTGTGGCAGGGAGTTCCGTAGTCAAACTACGCACGGCATGAAGGAGGAGGCAGAACATAAGCGTAGTGTTTAGGGAAGTTTTTAATGTTTGAAGTTCTATTCTGTTCTTAGTCCTCTGTTGGAAGTCGCCCAGGGTGGCTGGGGAGACCCAGCTGGATGGGGTATAAATAATAAAATAATAATAATTATTAAAGTAGTAGTAGTAGTTATGATTGTGGGACACGGGTGGCGCTGTGGGTTAAACCACAGAGCCTAGGACTTGCCGATCAGAAGGTCGGCGGTTCGAATCCCTGCGACGGGGTGAGCTCCCGTTGCTCGGTCCCTGCTCCTGCCAAGCTAGCAGTTTGAAAACACGTCAAAGTGCAAGTAGATAAATAGGTACTACTCCAGCGGGAAGGTAAACGGCGTTTCCGTGCGCTGCTCTGGTTCGCCAGAAGCGGCTTAGTCATGCTGGCCACAGGACCCGGAAGCTGTACGCCAGCTCCCTCGGCCAATAAAGCGAGATGAGCGCCGCAACCCCAGAGTCGTCCGTGACTTGACCTAATGGTCAGGGGTCCTTTAGTAATTATGATAATAATGTCTTCCTCTCCTGCTGCCACCTGCTCCTCTCTCCCTTGGTCTCCCCAGGAACCAGAAGAGGCATGAAAAGGGCGGAGGATAGGTTGGCTGCAGGCAGGCGCAGTCTCCGAATGCTTGGGGAAAACCTGGAGAGGAGGGGACTGAGATGGCTGTGGGGAGACAGGGACCTTCAGCCCCCACAACTGCCTCATAGGGGCAGGACCACAGCTGCTGTGCTCATTAGGCCTGGCAGTCCTGAGCAGATCTTTGAATAAAGAGGGATCTATTGTTGGCAACAACATGGCTGCCTGCTGTTTCGTTCTGTTAATGGGTTTGTTATTTCTGGAATGGCTACCTGTCTGGCACTCAGGTATCAGGATGCCAGGGATTATCACTCAGGCAGAGGGGCTGCTGAGGAGCTGAGCTCACGTGTGTATATGAATTTCTGAAGTTTTCCCTGTGAGCCAGTACACAGATCCATTGATCAGTGAATTCTTACATTTGGTATTCTGCAGTAGAGGCCCTTTGAAGAGATAGGAAGAAACTGTGATGAAGTGTTTTGTGGGGACAAATCACAAAAGTCACAAAAGCGACTGTGCTGGTTTTGGTAATGGGCTGCATGTGCATGAGATCTGCTGGAGGGGCAACCCCCCCAACCTATACATAAATTCCTGCAACAATGAGAAACAATGGAAGGGTCCCCCAGAGTCATCTAGTCCAACCCCCTGCAATGCAGGAATGTGTGGGCATGTACGAACCCAGAGGAGGAGACATTGATGGCTGTGGGGAGACAGGGACCTTCAGCCCCCACAACTGCCTCATAGGGGCAGGACCACATTTGCTGTGCTCATTAGTCCTGGCAGTCCTGAGCAGATCTTTGAATAAAGAGGAATTTATTGTTGGCAACAACACGGCATAGCTGTCAAGTGTCCCTTATTTGAAGGGACAGTCCCTTATTCCAGCGCCATGTCCCGCTGCTGTCCCTTATTGATGGATGTCCCTTAAATGATGTCCCTTAAATTTCAAAGGAAGCAGCTCCTCTCCCTCCCTCCCTGCCGGCCAGGGAGGGAGGCTCCAACTGTGTTGCTTGGCTGTGTTGCTCACCCAATAAGAAGTCTAAGAACGACTGGGGGTGGAGCTTGCATGCCTTGTGTGTGGCTAGTTAATGCAAGCTGAGGGGGTTTTTGAATGCTGGACGCCATTTTGTTGCACATGCTGCTGCAAACTTTGCAGTACAAAGCCAGGCCGGGGAGCCATCTTAAGTTGAGGCTGCCTAGGCCTTGTGGTGCATGTGATTCAGATTCTATTCAGCTGAACCTCTGGTTACAAAGTTGGTTGGACAGTGTTCTCGAAGCTTCCAGCAAGAGTTTGACCAGACTGCAGGAGGACAGGAAGAAAGGAGTGCCTGGAACAGGTGAGGATGCAGGTCCCTTATTTTGGCTGCAGGTCCCTTATTTTCAAGGCTGCTGGTCCCTTATCTTCAAATCTGTAAGTTGACAGCTATGCAACACGGGTGCCTGCTGTTTCCTTCGCCCACCCAAAGCCTCTCTCCCCTCGCAGGTTTCGGCTGGGCGCTGGCCTTCGCCCCCGTCATGGGCACCCTCTCACGCTACTTCTCGTCTCGGCGCTCCCTGGCGATGGGCCTGGCACTGACGGGCAACGGACTGTCCTCCTTCGCCTTCTCCCCGCTGCTGCGGCTCCTGGCTGACTCCCTGGCGTGGCGAGGGGCTCTGCTTGCCACCTCCGCCCTGGGCCTCCACCTCTTGGTCTGCGGGGCCCTCCTGCGCCCGCTGAGCCTGCGGGGCGACCTCTCGCACTCGGGACCGGCCTTCGACCTGGGCCTGTTTGCTGAGAGGGGCTTCGCGGCCTTCTCCTTCGGCGCCGCCCTGCTGGCTGCGGGCTACTTCACGCCTTACGTCCACCTGGAGCCCTACGGCCGAGCCATGGGCCTCGGCCCCTACGAAGCCGCCGCCGTCGTGTCCGCGGCCTCCCTCTCGGATGCTCTGGCCCGGCTGCTGGCCGGCGGCCTGGCTGACCGGCGCCTCCTGTCCCCGGCCCGCCTCCTCGTCCTCTGCAGTGCGCTGACCGCCTGCAGCCTGCTCCTCTTCCCGCTCGCCTCGTCCTTCGCAGATGCCCTCGGACTGGCCCTGCTCTACGGCACAAGCGCGGGCAGTTTTGCCACGGTGGCCTTCGGGGTCTTGCCTGAGATTGTCGGCGTGGCACGCGTGGTCAATGCCACGGGGCTGTGTCTGATGGCCATGAGCGTCGGGGGGCTGCTGGGCCCGCCTCTCTCTGGTAAGGGACACCTCGATTATGATGATGATGATGATGATGATGATTATTATGATTATGATTATGATTATTATTATTATTACAACAGGAGGTCTCGGGGGGTTCATAGAAAAGATCACAACATCTATAATCAGAATTATATATGAAAGCTCATACCAAGAACAAAATTAGTTGGTCTCTAAGGTGCTACTTAGAGGGACGCGGGTGGCGCTGTGGGTTAAACCACAGAGCCTAGAACTTGCCGATCAGAAGGTCAGCGGTTCGAATCCCCGCCACGGGGTGAGCTCCCGTTGTTCGGTCCCTAGCAGTTCGAAAGCACGTCAAAAGTGTAAGTAGATAAATAGGTACCGCTCCGGCGGGAAGGTAAACGGCGTTTCCGTGCGCTGCTCTGGTTCGCCAGAAGCGGCTTAGCCATGCTGGCCACATGACCCGGAAGCTGGATGCCGGCTCCCTCGGCCAATAAAGCCAGATGAGCGCTGCAACCCCAGAGTCGGCCAGACTGGACCTAATGGCCAGGGGTCCCTTTACCTTTACCTAAGGTGCTACTGGACAATTTTTTAAAATTTTATATATATATATTTCTACTGTGTCAGACCAGCATGGCTACGTACCTGACTCTAGAACTCTGTAGGGAAGTTTTTAATGCTCGATGTTTTGTTGTGTTTTGATATTTGGCTGGCCCAGCCAGATGGGCTGCATAAAGATGTTGACTTTTTGCAGTATGGTAGCGCTGCAGAGAGCTTGCTGGGGAGACCATGCATTAAAAAGGGACTCAAAAATAACTTAAACAAGGTTTTAATAAGAAAAACAAAAACTCCTTTTACACTAAATACATTAACAAACAAACATGACCCAACCACCAACCCATCCCCCAGGGTAATGGGAGAGCTAGGTGCTGCTCCTTATATACTACACCCAATTACCAACACAGCTTAATCAATACAACTCAGCAGCACCTGCTATGTTTCACAGCTGTAAAGCTGGGTCTCGTTATTTTGCTCTGGCCCTTTCTCTGGCCCCTTAAAGACATACACATCGAGTGGAACAATGATGAACCTTTACATATTAAACCATTCAACATTTCCCCTGCGGTTCATCATTGTGGAACAAAAACATAAAGCATACTTTGTACATGTTTTCATGTATACCTTTTGGAAGTGCTTTAGTAAAAATGTCTGCAATTTGATTGTCACCTGGAACATATTTAAATACAACCATTTCATCAGCAATTAGTTTCTTTACAAACTGTAAACGTAATCTTAAGACTTTAGTGCGCTGCGTATTGGTTTCTGAACATAGGATAGCGAGTCCACTCTGGGAATCAAGGTAAACTTTTACTGGTAGTGTTACTTGCATCTGTAGGTCTGCGAATACTTGCAGATACCATTCCACATCACGAGTGGCCTGAACACATGCACATAATTCACTCTCTGTTGTGGAGAGACAAATAATGGTTTGTGTCTGGGACTTCCATTCAAATGGACAACCATTATAACAAAACACCATACCAGACACACCCCTGCAATTATTTTGTTCCACTGCATGAGATGCATCACAGAAAATTTCAAAACCTTTGTCAATACATGTTGTAAACTGCAACCTATAATGTTTGGTATGTTTAAGGTACATTACCACTCTCTTAAGAGCAGAGAAACATTGTGTAGTGGGCTTTTCCACAAATTTTGCCAGAAAGTGAAAGGCATAAGTTATATCTGGTCTTGAGATTCTTTGAATGAAATTTAGCTTGCCTATAGCAGAACGATACAAAGTTTTGTTAGGAAATGGCTTATCTTCACCTGTAAAAGTGAAACCACACACCATGGGCGTTTCCTTCCCATTTGCATTTTCTAAACATAGCATTTCAACAAGATCGTCAATTTTTGCAGTTTGATGAACCAGAAAAGATCCATTTTTGCCTTTCTCAATTTGCATGGATAAGTAATTTTTAGCTATGCCTAATTCCACCACATCAAATTTCTTCTGTAACTGTGTTACTACCTGTTCATATTCCTGTTTAGTTTTTGTAGAAATTAACACGTCATCTACATAGACACATATTTTTGCTACAGAGTTTGCCCTTTCCTTTATAAACACACAATTGTCTGCCTTTCCCTGTGAAAAACCAATATCCAGCAATTCTTTTGCTAAAGTTTGATGCCAATTCCTTCCACTTTGGTGCAGACCATAAAGGGATTTATTTAATTTGCATACCAAACCTTCAGCGGCGTCTATGCCTTCAGGGACACGCATAAAAATTTGTTCTTTTAAATCTGCAAACAAATATGCAGTTTTTATATCTAGGTGATAAACAGAATGTCCACGTTGTGATGCATCTTTTAACAAAAGCTTAACTGTTTCATATTTTACACTTGGTGAATAACACAAATCATAATCTTCGCCTGGAATTTGTTGAAAACCCCTAGCAACTAATCTTGCCTTGTACCTTACAACTTCATTTTTGTCATTCATTTTAACTCTATAAACCCATTTTGAATCAATAAGTCTCATATCTGGGGTTTGTGGTACAAGAGACCAAGTGTTATGCTCTTTTAAAGAAGCTATTTCAGAGTTCATAGCTTTATACCAATTTACAGCTTGGTGCTTAGGTAAATTCTGAACATCATTGTAGCTTTTTGGCTCAAAAACTGCCTTATTGGCATACACAGTATTAAAATGTTCATCTGCAAAACGTTGTGGCTTCTGTCTCTTTCTATCTGAACGTCTCAGTCCGGAAGGAGAGTCAGACTCCTCAGACTTAATGGGACTATGTAAACTACTAGTTTCAGGTTGTAAATCATCATTGTCAGACTGAAGAGATGCCTGTTGGCTAAGCTCACGGTCAGAAAACTCAAGAGAATCTAACCTCCCCTCGGGTGCCTGTGACTTTAAATCATCAAAGAAATTATCAGATTCAACAGGCTTTTTGTCTTCTTCCATTAATTCAGAAGCACCATTTCCTGCTGCTGCTGCTGCTTCTTCTACCTCTTCTTCCTCAGTATTATCTATACCATTACTATCTTGGAAAACAGCAACACCATTCCAATTTACAGTTTGTATCATGCTTCTGGTAATATGAAATTTGCCAGTTGCTGGTATGTAAATTCTGTACGCCCCCTGCTGGTAGCCCATTAATTTTCCCTGGACACTACGTTCACCCAATTTCTGCTTAGCGGGATAATGCATTATTACATCTGAACCCCAAATGCGTAGGTATTTCAGATTAGGGCGTTTTTAAACAGCTTCTCATAGGGGGTGACATCTAAACCAGAATGATAACTGCGATTTCTAACATAACAAAAGGCATTGAGCGCTTCAGCCCAAAAGTCTTTGGGCAGATTAGCATCATGCAGATAAGTTTTAACCCCTGCCTGCAGGTCACGCTGCACAACTTCAACAAGCCCATTTTGCCAGGGACTTCGGGGCAAGATAACTCATGAGTAGTCCCCTGCGCTTCCAGGAATTTCTCAAAATCCTCAGAAACAAATTCCCGCCCCTGTCAGAAAAAAGGTTCTTAATAGGTTTGTTAAAATGTGTTTTTACCCAGTTGCAAAAAACTTTGTACTTCTCAAATGCTTGGGACTTCTCAGCTATTGCATAAGTCCAACAATATCTACTATACTGGTCTATCAGGGTAAGCCAGTACTTAGAACCTCCTAAGGATGGTGGGAGTGGCCCAACTAAATCACAATGTACACGCTCAAATGGCTCAGTTACTTTCCTATCTGAGCACCTACCCTTGCGTGCAACCTTAATCTTATTCTTGCAACAGGATAGACATTGCATAAAGAATTTACATGGTTTTAAGTTGAGGCCATTAACAATATTCTTGGTCTTAATTACATCAGCAAAATTCAGATGTCCCAGAATTCTGTGCGCCTCATGGACACACCCAGAATGTGGCCTTACATTCCTCAACCCCTGGCTTGACTGTGCTGCTCTGCAATTTATAGGCGATTGGGAGTAGGTGCGAAAATACAGTCTATATAAACCATCAGATTCCCGGGCATACAATAGACGTTTGTTCCCCTCGAAAAACTCACACATTGACTTTAAGAAACGCACAGTTATGCCTTGGCGAGCAAAACACCTTACTGACAATAAATTGTCCACTGATGGGCAGTAAATGCAGTTCGCTATAGTAATGTTTAAAGAGTCAAGTTTAACAGTACCCCTGCCAAGCGACTGCAAGACTTGTGAATTGGCTAAATGTACATTACCAATTTCCTCTTCGAAAGAAATAAACAAGCTTCGATCGTTGCAAACGTGCTGAGATGCTCCTGAGTCCACAATAGAAAGAATTCCACTTGGCACCTTTAATTCTTTTACGATCTCTTGTGCTAGCGTGAAAAGCTCGCGGCTCGTTTCTGTCTTTACGGTACGATGCCGGCTGCTGAGCTGACGACCGTGACTGACGAACAGAAACAGACTTGGGAGTACTTTGCTTTCTTTTGGATCTGCAGTCCTTTGCAAAATGTCCTTGCTTATTGCAGAACCAACAACGCTTTGCAGCTTTAAATGCAGTTGTATCACCACAAGTTTGCATATGGCGTTCCTCATTCTTTCTGGAAATAGGAGTGCTTATGGCACAAGCCTCCCTTCTGTCCAACTCGCCCATTAATCTTGCCGTTACCCCTTCCACAGTTAATTGTGCTGGTGGACGGCAGATATCTGGCTAGCTATACCATCAAAGTCCTCATTAAGGGAACAAAGGATGATGAAAACATACTGAATATCAGGTATCTCCATGTCCCTTCGAATTAATTCGCCGCGTATTGCCTCCAGACGTCTCAAGTGTGCTGCCAAATCACCACCAGGCTGCAACTTCGTCTGGTACAACTGCTTGAAAATCGTCACTGCAGAAGCTGACTCTTTTCTAACATGCACTGCTGCAAGACTGTCCCACATTTCTTTGGCAGTTTTCTTATTTCTTATATAGACTACTTGCTGGTCGCTGACTGCCAAATTAATTATCGCCCTGGCTTTCGCATCTCCTTTCGACCAAGCATTAGTCACAGGGTCAGGAGGGTCATCAGTTACATAGGTCCATACTTCTCTAGAGGTCAAAGCGCCTCCACCCGAAAAGACCATAAACTATAGTTCTCATCTGTCAGCTGTGGGAAGACCAGAGCCTTCTCAGCTTCAGGAACCCGGTCAACCATTCTGGAACTCTTCCAGACCCACAGAACTACGCTAACAGGAGAAGGAGTTTTCAAACCTTTCTCAGAGTCCAAAAATATGCAGTCATCCACTCAGCAGCTGGGCCCATAACCAAAGATGTTGACTTTTTGCAGTATGGTAGCGCTGCAGAGAGCTTGCTGGGGACCATGCATTAAAAAGGGACTCAAAAATAACTTAAACAAGGTTTTAATAAGAAAAACAAAAACTCCTTTTACACTAAATACATTAACAAACAAACATGACCCAACCACCAACCCATCCCCCAGGGTAATGGGAGAGCTAGGTGCTGCTCCTTATATACTACACCCAATTACCAACACAGCTTAATCAATACAACTCAGCAGCACCTGCTATGTTTCACAGCTGTAAAGCTGGGTCTCGTTATTTTGCTCTGGCCCTTTCTCTGGCCCCTTAAAGACATACACATCGAGTGGAACAATGATGAACCTTTACATATTAAACCATTCAACAATAAATAGTCACAGAATCATAGAGTTTGAAGGGACCCCGGGGGACATCCAGTCCAACCCCCTGCAATGCAGGGATCTCAACACGCAGGTCCCCCATCCAATCTGAAACCCCACTGGCACCTGCTTAGCTTTTCAAATGTGCAGGAGGGAGCACTGCATTCCTATCCCTCCTTTTCCTGCAAGGTGCTCAAGGTGGCCTGGAAATGGTTCTCCCCTTCCTCGTTTGATCACCACACACGTAGTCAGTGACCTCACACACGTTCCCACCCAACCACTCTGCCCTCCATCCAGACAAGGGGAGAGTTCTGGGTAGCTGAGATGAACTACCCCTGTTTAAATTATTGCCATTGTTACTAAATTTGCAGCCATGCATTTTAATAATAATAATAATAATAATAATTTTTATACTCTGCCATTCTGGCTGGGTTTCCCCAGCCACTCTGGGTGTCTTCCAACAGAATATTAAAAACACAACAAAACACCAGACATTAAAAACTTTAGATGTCTTCTAAAAGTCAGATAGTTGTTTATTTCCTTGACATTGGATGGGAGGGCGTTCCACAGGGCGGGTGCCACCACTGAGAAGGCCCTCTGCCTGGTTCCCTGTAACCTCACTTCTCACAATGAGGGAACCGCCAGAAGGCCCTCGGAGCTGGACCTCAGTGTCCGGGCTGGACGATGGGGGTGGAGACGCCCCTTCAGGTCTACTGGACCGAGGCTGTTATGCAAAAACCATGCAAATTTCGTGCCTCATGTTTCCTCCTTACTTGAATGTGCCAGGTGCCACTATAAGCTAAACAAGGTATAGCTTAGGGCCCCACTCTCTTGGGGCCCCCCAAAAAATGTAAAGGAAAAACAAACTTTTGTTATGTGCAAACGGCATTAGATACCTATTAGGTCCATAAATGACCATATAGCATATATTCAACACAAAAAACAGCGACAATTTGTTGTTGACAAAGGACAGCTGGATGTCCTTCAGTAGCATAGGGCCCCATCACACCTAAATATGGTCCTGCCAGGCGTCAAGGTACACTGCCCTTGAACATGGAGGTTCTGTTTTGCCATTAGCCACGAGTCTAGGCCTCCTGCCCAAAGTTCTCTGAGTTCTGGCGAAAGCAAGGTCTGGCGGCCTCCTACTGTCTTCCTCTTCTTCTCCAGGTTTCCTGAGAGACCTGACGGGAGACTTCACCGCCTCGTTCCTGGTCGGAGGGTCCTTCGTCCTCTGCGCCAGCGGGGTCTTCGCTGCCCTCCCCTCTTTCTGCCCCGGCTGCTGCAAGGACGATGGCGACCCCAGGATCCGGGGAATCCACGGCTTGGTCCCCTCTCTGCTGCCTTCTCCCCTCACAAGCAAATGTTCGCAGGTATGAAGAAAGAAAAGAAAAGAAAGAAGTCTTCCCTCCTCTAGCATTGACACGACAACCAAACTTCAGCCATGAGCGCCTGTTTTTCGCCGCAGAGGCTAAAAAGTTGGCAGAGTTGTCTCATATCTTAAATCTGGAAGAGAAGCTGTTTCTCAGACACTAATCCACAAACTGGAAAGGTTTCAGAGGATTTGAGAATATCTCTTTTGCCCATGCAGGTGATTATTATTATTATTATTTTATCAAGGCTGGAGTTTGAAGGCTGGATAAGCCTGCCATTTTCACAAGACTGTGTCTGCCTAATATTTCCTCCCTTAAAATTTCAGTTCAAGGGATCAATAACTTGCATACGAAGAGGTTGCTTTTATCGACCATGCCCGCACTGCAGAAGAATATATATATATCTTTTTTTATTAAATTATGAGTTACGTATGCGCCGTGATTAAAAAAACACACACGATAAAGCTTATTAAATGCTCTTCTAAGTCGCCGAGCAATTGTCGAGGGAGGCGCAAAAAAGAATTTTATAGCTGCCTGAGAACAGCAGCTTTCTACCCAAATTGGCACGCTTCAGGTGTTCAGCCCTAAATCGTGCACAATCGTGCTGGCAGAGGCTGATGGGTTTTGTAGTCCAATATATCAGAGTAGGAGAACTGAAAGCAAGGCTAATATATTTCACATCTGACAACTAATGTGCTGCTTTGGTTTCAGATACTGTAAGCACATGGGGTCTCAAAAGCCCGGGACACAAATTTTCATGGCCCTCTAAGCGGCTAGGATGTCTCATTTGCCAGAAGTGATGTATTGAGAGTTGACTCTGGTACCTAATTTGGACCAAACTGATGTATATTTTGCTCCTGTCCCTTCCAAGCTGGGGGTGTGTGGGGCTTCCAAGACAGAGGGTAAAAAAACAGCCTGCTCCCCCTCCACCCTACTGCCTTCCTGCCTCCAAATATCAGGAATATGACATGTCCCAGGCCGATGGAGACTGGTCCTTTTCCCAAAACGAAACAGTCTGGGGTTGATCTCCGTCAGGCTAGACAAACTCCGTTTTGCTGGCTTGGGTTCCAGGGATCTTCCGGCTTGCTCCCTTCCTGGTTCTGCGTAGGGGGGCTGGGGGTATGGAGGGAGAAATAGCCGGGCAGGAGCAAAAGTCCCAGGCTTCCAGCGACAAGGAAGGAGCCCCCTGCCAGGAAGGAGGCCTTGTAACTTCCGCTAACGTCCCGGATCCAACCTGGAACAGAGGAAAGGTCCAAGTTGTGAGTGGAATAAGATTCATCTTGGGGGTGTACATAATAAGAGCATAGTAAAAGCCCGCTGGATCAAGTCCGCCGGATCGATGCCTCCGACAGTGAAGGGAGAGCACGGAAGCCATCAATAGCCTGCTCCTCCTCCTCCTCCATGAATTCACCCAATCCTCTTTTAAAGACATCTAGTTTGGTGGACGTGACTGCCTCTTGTGGCAGGGAGTTCCGCAGTGTAACTGCGTGGCACAAATAAGTCCTTTATTTGTTCTGTTCTGAATTTTGTGGCTAGTGCGTTAAATGGAGGAGATAGGCTGGGGGATAAGCCATAGCTGTCAACATTTCCCTTTTCTTGCGAGGAATCCTATTCGGAATAAGGGAATTTCCCTTAAAAAAAGGGAAACGTTAACAGCTATGGGATAAGCCCGCCAGTCTCGGGCAAAAATGGAGGGGATTTTTTTGAGAGAGAGAGAGAGTGAAATCTAAGTTGTTCATTTAAATGACTAAAGCTGAGTTGACAGTATGCTAAAGGGCAAAAAAGCAGCTTTCTCTGTGTCTCCCACTCCCAGCACAGCTTTATAAATCTCTACAACGCCCCTCATCTCAATTTGCTTACATCACTCGCCTATTGGGATGACAGCACCCGACGGACAGGTGGATGTGGTCTCAGGGGAAACATTAAGATTAGTTCTGAGGATCCGATCAAAGGCTTTGCAATCATAAAAAGTTGGAAGAAATGTTTCAAATATGAATGAAGTGGAACTATACAAAAATAAACATTATTTTCCATCTTACTGCAGGTTTCGTTTCGTTTTGAAAAGTAACATTTTATTTTACAGTTTTTTGTGGTTTATAGTTTGAAATAGATATATGGGGGGGGTATCAAAATCTTTTAGGTGCTTAGCACCTCTAAAGGTCTTAATCCAGCCTTGGGTAGGAGAGATGGCTGCAGGTTTATACCCGCCAACATTTTCCTGGTGAAAATAGGGATGTCCTTAACAACAACAACATGCCTTCCACTCTAGGTGACTTCCAACATGTATAAAAACATAATAAAACTTTAAACATTAAAAAAACTTCCCTATCCAGGGCTGTCTTCAGATGTCTTCTGAAGGTTCTATAGTTACTTACCTCCTTGGCTGTGCAATTGCATAATTCCATACCCTCCTATGAAAATAGGAACGTCTACCATACCCTCCAACAGTGCTTTTTTCTGGGGGGGACGGGGACGCATTAGTACGCATACCCCTAAACATTTTGTGAATCTAAGTTTGGCCTCATTGAGGGGCAGTATTTTAATATACCACACTTTTCAGTGTATAAGACTAGGTGGTTTTTTTTACTAAAAAATAATGTTAAAACGGGACGCGGGTGGCTCTGTGGGTTAAACCACAGAGCCTAGGACTTGCCGATCAGAAGGTTGGCGGTTCGAATCCCCGCGACGGGGTGAGCTCCTGTTGCTCTGTCCCTGCTCCTGCCAACCTAGCAGTTCGAAAGCACGTCAAAGTGCAAGTAGATAAATAGGTACCGCTCCGGCGGGAAGGTCAACGGCGTTTCCGTGCACTGCTCTGGTTTGCCAGAAGCGGCTTAGTCATGCTGGCCACATGACCCGGAAGCTGTACGCCGGCTCCCTCGTCCTATAGAGCGAGATGAGCGCCGCAACCCCAGAGTCGGCCACAACTGGACCTAATGGTCAGGGGTCCCTTTACCTTTTACTAATGTTAAAAAAGGAGGGTAGTCTTATACATGGGGGCAATCTCCCATTTTCTTAATTTGCAGTCGCCAAAAATAGGGGGCATCTTAAACATGGTGTTATACACCGAAAAATATGGTATGTAGGAAAATGAGAGTACCCCTAAACATTTTTTAAAGAAAAAAAGCACTGTCCTCCAACATTTCTCCAATGAAAACAGGGACGTGATGCAACTAAGGAAAAGCGAGACATTCAAGGATCAAATCAGAAACTCCTTCCACCTTCCTTGCTCTGCCCTCTGCTTCTCAATGTGTATTGTATTGTTTTATGTACTGTGGCTTGTCATTGTTTTATCGATTATAGTTTAGCTATTATTGTAACTGTTGAGTGGGTTTCTGTTTAACTTTTATCAATAGTATAACATCATAATATATTATTATTGTGTTATACTATTCTAACTGATGGTTGAATGATGCTATTTTGATGTAGGTAAAGGTAAAGGGACCCGTGACCATTAGGTCCAGTCGTGACCGACTCTGGGGTTGCGGTGCTCATCTCACTTTACGGGCCGAGGGAGCCGGCGTACAGCTTCCGGGTCATGTGGCTAGCAGGACTAAGCCGCTTCTGGAGAACCAGAGCAGTGCACGGAAACGCCATTTACCTTCCCGCCAGAGTGGTACCTATTGATCTACTTGCACTTTGATGTGCTTTCGAACTGCTAGGTTGGCAGGAGCAGGGACTGAGCAACGGGAGCTCACCCCGTCGCGGAGATTTGAACCGCCAACCTTCTGATCGGCAAGTCCTAGGCTCTGTGGTTTAACCCGCAGCGCCACCCGCGTCCCCATTTTGATGTAGGCTGCCTATTTTAAAGTTATGTTTTATTATCACATTTTTGTATTGCATTAGATTCTTATAAGAAGTACATTTTTTGTTTCTTCAGCTTGTAAACCGCCTTGAGTATTGTAAGATAGAAAGGCGGGATACAAATTAAAAATTAGGATGATGATGATGAAACCGGGACAGCTTCTGTCAATCCGGGACTGTCCCTGGAAAATCAGAATGCTTGGAGACTGACCAGCCGACCACCAGGCTCCGGCCTGGACCGCGTCTTCCTTACCTGACAGGGGGGGGCCCGACAGTGCCCCGATGCTTTCCATCAGGTTGATGAGTCCGATGGCCCCCATAATCCGTGCAGGACCCACGATTTCCACCAGGGTGGAGACCCTGAGCGGGAGAACGGCGCCGGCCAGGAACCCATAGCAGGCGCTGATGGCGAGCACAGCCCCATAGCTGCGACCCAGGGGCACGGCCAGGACAGAAACCCCTGTCAGGAAGCTCCACAGGGTGAGGTGGTGGCAGAGGCGGAGAGGGCCGCAGGTGACCAGCCACGTGCAGGCGACGCGGCCCCCGATGTCGGCCACACCCACGGCGGAGGCGAGGAAAGCCGCCTGGTACTCGTCGAAGTCCAGTTCCCGGGCGTGGGGCACGAGGTGGACCAGGGGCACGAAGAACCCGGCCGCGTTCAGCACCCCGCAGCAGGTGTAGGTCATGAAGCCTCGGTGGCGGAGCAGAGAGAGTCCGAAGAGAGACGAGAGTCGGTGGCGCCAGCTCACCGCCTGCTCCGGGGGCGCTGCCAGGGCATCGTCCTTGGGCAAGACGAGGGGGCGAAGCAGGGCTCCGCATGGCAGCAGGTGGAAGACCATCCCGGATACCAGCAGGAGAGCCCCGCGCCAGCCGTAGAGGTCCACCAGGAACTGGAAGAGGGGCGAGAGGGCCAGGGAGGCCACGCCGGCGCCCGAGAGGGCCAGGGAGGTGGCCAGGGGGCGCCGGCGCTCGAAGTAGCGCGACAGCAAGGCCAATGAGGGCCAGAGGGCAAAGGTGCCTCCAATTCCTGAGTGGGGAAGACAGGGAAACAGGACGTCGGCGCAGCGAAAGGAGCCAAGAGCCTTTCAACGCAAACGTTTCGCCTCCCGGACAACCAGAAACCGGAAGCGGTCGTCCCGGTTTCTGAATGTTTTCCGGAAGCCGAACGTCCGGTGTACGTTTCCGAGCACAATTCAAAGTGTTGGAGCTGACCTTGAAAGCCCTAAACGGCCTCAAAGGCCCAGTAGACCTGAAGGAGCGTCTCCACCCCCATCGTTCTATCCGGACACTGAGGTCCAGCGCCGAGGGCCTTATGGCGGTTCCTTCACTGCGAGAAGCCAAATTACAGGGAACCAGGCAGAGGGCCTTCTTGGTGGTGGTGCCTGCCCTGTGGAACGCCCTCCCAGCAGATGTCAAAGAGAACAACAACTACCAGATTTTTAGAAGATATCTGAAGGCAGCCCTGTTTAGGGAAGCTCTTAATGTTTGATGTACTACTGTATTTTAATATTTGGTTGGAAGCCGCCCAGAGTGGCTGGGGAAGCCCAGCCAGATGGGCGGGGTATAAATAATAATAATTAATAATAATAATAAAGTTAAAGAACCAAGGTACGACAGTATATCATAATGCTTACAGATATGAAATTATGTATAAATAGCTCTGTAAGCTGGGATAGCTCTGTTGGCGGAGCACGAGACTCTGAATCTCAGAGTTCTGGGTTCAAGTCCCACACTGGCAAAAGATTCTTGCATTGCTGGGGGTTGGAATAGATGAGCTTTTGGGGGTCCCACCCAATTCTGGGATAACATGCATGCGTGTTATCCATTTGTAAAAGACATTTTATATCAATGACAATATTGATTTATAGGGATTTAGAGGGAGCAAGGGAGAACCTAGGGCATGTAGTTCTCTCTGTGTGTGTGTATAATGTGGCAAGCAAATTCAAATAATGAACCTTTCTGGCCTGTGGCTGGGGGTCTTTACTGCGGAGGAAGGAGTAAGAGCCCCCTCCCGGTAAGAAAGAGACTCTGGCTTGACTCCAGACATTCCTTACCTGTGAACACGCCAATAAATATATAGAGCTGTGCCAGGTTGGTGGCGAAGGAGGCGAGGAAATAGCCGAGGCCCGAAAGGAGCCCCCCTGCCATGGCGACGGGACGCTCTCCGTACTGAGTGGCCAGTGCCCCTGCCAACGGACCTGAAAATATAGAAGATAAACAGAGGGGCTGATCTGGACCCTCACGGCGGAGGCTGAGGCACCCCGAAGGATCTCATTCTCCCCTATCTGAGATCTCTGGGGGAGGTGCTTCTCTCAGTCCTGCCACCCTCACAGGCCTGCACGGTGGGGACCAGGACAGGGCCTTTTTGGTGGTGGCTCCTCCCAGGCACCTTAGGAACTCCCTGCTTAGAGAAGCCAGACCAGCTCCCCACTTCCTATCCTTCTGCCAAACAGGTGAAGATGCTTTTATAGCTACCGGCCTTTGGGGAACGGACTGTTTCCTTAAAGTAAGGGCTTTTAAATAATGCCATTCTTTTTTCTTTTTTGCTATCTGTATACACCTGTCTTTATATTGCTTGGGCTCTGCTAATGACTTTGAGTCTTCTGCGTTTTATCTCTTTTGCTTTAATCTGAGTAAGCTGCCTCAAGTCCCAGTCTGGGTAAAAGGTGCGGATAGGAATGGAATTAAGACTATTTCCCTATTCAAGGGTGCCCACTTGGATAAAATATTATTGAGGCGCCCAGGTAAGGCCTGCCTTGCACAATCAATCACAAGACTCATGAACACCATTTGAAAGGCAGTGTCCATCAACTGGGGGTGGGGCAGACCCCCTCAAATACAGTGGTACCTCGGTTTTCAAACGTATTCTGTTCCGGAAGAACGTTCGAGTTCCGAAACGTTCGAAAACTGAGGTGCAATAGGCGGTCTGCCAATTCAATTGAGAAAAATAACGTATGCACTCAGCGGAAGCCGTTTGACTTCCAAGGCACGTTTGAAAATTGAAGCAGTTACTTCTGGTTTTACGGCAGTCGAGTTCCGAAACGTTTGTCAGCGGAGATGTTTGCAAAACCGAGGTACCACTGTATTTTAGTGGCTGCGGGAGTTGCGAGAAGGAGGCGTACAAGGCGCCATCCAACCGCCTTAGGGACTCCGCTCCAGATTTGTGTAGGGTTTATTCCTGAGCCTTTTAGTCTCCTGAAGATTTCTGACAAGGCAGCGGAGGTTGAGGTCCAGAGTTTTCCTTCTCTAGGGTGGGCTCCCTTCCCAGGTGGCTGACCCCACCTGCCCCTCAGTTTTTATATTTGATTTTACGTTGTAAACCACCCTGAGACCTGCGGGTATACAAATTTAATAAATAACAATAATCGTTACCACCAATTCCCTCTGTAAAGGTAAAGGTAAAGGGACCCCTGACCATTAGGTCCAGTCGTGGCCGACTCTGGGGTTGCGGCGCTCATCTCGCTTTACTGGCCGAGGGAGCTGGTGTTCTGAACCAGAGCAGCGCATGGAAACGCCGTTTACCTTCCTGCCGGAGCGGTACCTATTTATCTACTTGCACTTTGATGTGCTTTTGAACTGCTAGGTTGGCAGGAGCTGGGACCGAGCACTGGGAGCTCACCCCGTCACGGGGATTCGAACCGCCGACCTTCTGATCGGCAAGCCCTAGGCTCTGTGGTTTAACCCACAGCACCACCCGCATCCCACGTCCCTCTATAGCACGTGCAGAAACCGACTAAGCTCACAATTGCGTTTAGAAACCAGTCACTCGGTCATCGGAAACGGGTACTCACTGGTGAATTTCGACGTGGCCACGGTGATGGACGAAATCCAGGACGTGGCACTCGACGGCTCGTCGAAATAGGCCATGAACTCCACAAAGAAGATGCCGAAAGGCCGCGTGACCCCAAAGACCAGGGCGGACTGCATGAAACACGCCAGCGTGATTGCCCAGCCCCAGCCCCCATCTGGGGGCTCAGAATATACCCGTGGGCTCATGTTGTTTCAGTAGAGGAGCCCCATCAATTCACCGCCAGCACAGAGCAGCTTCCCTATGCGGCTGTTTTGCGCTTTGTGGACTCTGCCCCAGAAGCGGCTGCATTCTGAGTAATGGAGCATATATAGGCGACTTCTCCCTCCACCCCCCGAAGTGGCGACTTTCCTATAGGATGAGCAGAAAGCTTTCTTTTTCTTTTCTTTTTTCAAAGAGAGCTAAACCACCAGGTCCCCTCTCCTCCTCTTCCAAACCACGTCAGCGTCGAGAAAGTGCTCTCTCTGCCACTGCTGACCCCCTGAACATCGCTTGCACTTGATGTGACCCACGTTCAAAAGGTTGCCCGTCGTAAACCCCGGGGCCAAAGTCTGCGCGGAGGTGTGTCACTGCGCACCTGCGGTCTGAATACCAGCTGCTGGAATGCACAGGAGAACAGATCAGGGAACTGGAGAGTTGGAAGAGACCCCTAGGGGTCATCTATCCCAACCCGCTGCCGTGCGAAGAATCTGCAATGCGCCACAAGAACAGCCTGCTGGATCGTGTCCCATGAAGAACGCAAGAGTCCTGCTCTACTCGACCTGCAGCTTCCAGCAAACTGGTACAGTAGTACCTCGGGTTAAGTACTTAATTCGTTCCGGAGGTCCGTTCTTAACCTGAAGCTGTTCTTAACCTGAAGCACCACCTTAGCTAATTGGGGGCCTCCTACTGCCGCCACGCCGCCGGAGCCCGATTTCTGTTCTCATCCTGAAGCAAAGTTCTTAACCTGAAGCACTATTTCTGGGTTAGCGGAATCTGTAACCTGAAGCATATGTAACCCGAGGTACCACTGTACTCAGAAGCTGCTGCCTCCCAGCCATTGCGTTCAGTAGCAATTCAACCCAAGAAAATAAGTAAAAGGGGTGTGGGGAAAAGAGGAGTGCAGTTGGACTGTGGACGAACAAGCAAATTCTAGCTGCCATTAACAGAAGTGTAAAAAGGGTTATTTTACTGGCAGTTGCCTAGACGAAGTTTTTTTGCTATTGCTTTTGCAGAAACCGAGTCAAGTTGCACACGAAGCAAATGAGCATTTATTCAGAGCCCTCTGCTTCGACCCATTTTATTAAAATTGTGTGTTTTGTTTTCCAAAAATTCTTGGAGGAAGAAATGAAACTACAGAAGTGAAGGAGTAATTTGAAGAATAAGAGTGAATTGCGTAAAACGACTTTGCTTGTCCACCGTTGTTTTAAAAACAAATAGCGCCTTTTTCTTTTTTGCACTGATTTCTTTGCTTCCAGAAAAGGATGCTGAATTTGTCTCTGAGCAGTGACTAGCTTGCTCTCAGACTTTTTACAGAGTTTGACGAAGTCTAGGACCTAGCAGCTGCTAAAAGACAGGTGGGAAATTAAACCGGCTATCGTATCAGGATTTGACCCGCTTAAATGAGTGAGCAAGGCTAGGTTTACAACTGCATTTGGAAATCAGGCTATTGGCTCTTGGATCCTGGAAACATCCCTGGTTTACTATCCCTAGTACTTCAAAAGTGACTGGCTTAAAACCCTCTATCAAAAACTTCACTCTTGTGTCCTATCCCCACAACACCTACTCACTGTGGGCCCTACTAAAGCAAACAGTCTAAATGGTCAACGTCTAAAAGATATCGAGCATCAGAACAACCTGGCCACTATAAGGAAATTCTGTCCTTGGTATGTTCATTTTCCACCTCTCCATTTTGATTCTCTGGCCCCGTATCTGCACAAACTTACTATCCCAAAATACAGACGTGCTTTTACACTTGCAAGACCGGATGTTTTGCCATCTGTGGTACTTGAGGGTCGATTCCAAAAGATCCTGCCTGAGAAACGCCTTTGCCCCTGTGGAGACGGTAGCACCGAAACAGCAGCCCACGTCCTCCTGTCTTGCACTCCCTTTAAAAAAAACCTGAGGAACGAGATCACCACCCCACTCGTACTAACCATCCCAGGGCACTCAACCGCTGCCACAATGTCCTTCCTTCCATCAGATCAAAATGAGCTGATAATGGCAAAGGTTGCTAGGTTCATAGCAGGGGCAATAAGAATAAGGGCTGCTGATTCAGGACTTTAAATTGTGCTCTTATATCAAATTTCCTTTTCTGCGTGGTACCTTGGGTTAAGTACTTAATTCATTCCAGAGGTCCGTTCTTAACCTGAAACTGTTCTTAACCTATGGTTAAAGCTATGGTTTTCCCAGTAGTGATGTATGGAAGTGAGAGCTGGACCATAAAGAAGGCTGATCGCCGAAGAATGGATGCTTTTGAATTCTGGTGCTGGAGGAGACTCTTGAGAGTCCCATGGACTGCAAGAAGATCAAACGTATCCATTCTGAAGGGAATCAGCCCTGAGTGCTCACTGGAAGGATAGATCCTGAAGCTGAGGCTCCGAGACTTTGGCCACCTCATGAGAAGAGAAGACTCCCTGGAAAAGACCCTGATGTTGGGAAAGATGGAGGGCCGAAGGATAAGGGGACGACGGAGGACGAGATGGTTGGACAGTGTTCTCGAAGCTACCAGCATGAGTTTGACCAAACTGCGGGAGGCAGTGGAAGACAGGAGTGCCTGGCGTGCTCTGGCCCATGGGGTCACAAAGAGTCGGGCATGACTAAACGACTAAACAGCAACAGCAGTTCTTAACCTGAAGCACCACTTTAGCTAATGGGGCCTCCTGCTGCCACTGCACCACCGGAGCACGATTTCTGTTCTCATCCTGAAGCAAAGTTCTTAACCCGAGGTAATATTTCTGGGTTAGCGGAGTCTGTAACCTGAAGCGTATGTAACCCGAGGTACCACTGTACTGTAAAGTTTTACTGTCGCTATGGCCATTGGCTAATGTGAATGAAGTTTTATCTTATCTTAACCCCCCTGGAAACGGACCGGAGTCGGGTACTCACTGGTGACCATCATCGTGGCCAAGGCGACGGACGAAATCCAGGACGTGGCACTCGACGGCTCGTCGAAATAGGCCATGAACTCCACAAAGAAGATGCCTAAAAGGCGAGTGACCCCAAAGACCAGGACGGACTGCATGAAACACGCCAGCGCGATCGCCCAGCCCCAGCCCCCATCTGGGGGCTCAGAATATACCCGTGGGCTCATGTCGTTTCAGTAGAGGAGCCCCATTAATTCACCGCCAGCACAGAGCAGCTTCCCTATGCGGCTGTTTTGCTCCTTGTGGGTTCTTCCCCAGAAGCGGCTGCATTCTGAGCAACAGAGGATATACACAAGCGTCAGACTTTCCCCGCAAAAGTGGCTAATTTCCTATGGGGTTAGCACAAATATTATAAAACGCAATCAAACAACCTGACCCCTCCTCGCCGCCTCTTTCAAGGCATGTCAGCGTTGCGGAAGTTCCCTCTTTGTCACGGGGCGACCACCCGAAGATTGCCCGCCTTTGATGGCCTGTCGTAAAATCCGGGGCCAAAGTCTGAGCGGAGGTGTGTCCCTGTGAACACCAGAAATGGCAGGAAGGCAACACAGAACAGAACCTCTCTCGCCCTGACCTAGCCACTGTGATCCACGCGACGGTCACCTCCAGACTGGATTATTGTAACTCGCTCTACGTGGGGCTGCCCTTGAGACTGACCCAGAAACTCCAGCGGGTGCAGAATGCTGCGGTAAGACTCCTTACGGGGTCCTTGCTGCGAGATCACATTCACCCGGTGCTATACCAGCTGCACTGGCTCCCAGTGGGGTACAGGATCAGGTTTAAGGTGCTGGTTCAAAGCCCTATACGGCCTAGGACCCTCGTACCTACGGGACCGCCTCTCCTGGTATGTCCCACAGAGGAACTTACGGTCTTCAAACAAAAACATCCTGAAGGTCCCAGGCCACAGAGAGGTTAGGCTGGCCTCAACCAGAGCCAGGGCCTTTTCGGCTGTGACTCCAATCTGGTGGAACGCTCTGTCACAAGAGACCAGGGCCCTGTGGGACTTGACATCTTTCCGCAGGGCCTGCAAGACAGAGCTATTCCACCAGGACTTTGGCCAGGGCACAGCCTGACTCCCTCCTTTGGCAATCTCCACATAACTCTAGCCCAATGGTTGCCATCAATTTGATTTGAATTAATTTTATAATGAAATGATTTTAGAATGTTGTATTATTTTATTGTTGTTAGGCGCCCTGAGCCCGGCTTCAGCTGGGGAGGGCGGGATATAAATAAAAAATATTATTATTATTATTATTAATCATACGATTGCAGAGATGGGAGCCCCCTAAGGGCCATCTAGTCCAACCCCCGGCAATGCAGGACCCAAGAAAAGCCCTGCAGGATTGTCTATCTAGCCCAACATCCTGTTCTCACAGCGGCTGGGCAGAGGCAAGCATGATTCGAACGCAGGAGCGCGCCGCCTGCCTGCCGTTTGCAGCAGCTGGTGTTCAGAAGCGTCACTGCCAGTGAGGATGCCATAGAGACAACTCTTTCTCGCGACTTTAGACACTTGAGAGGGGTGTGTTTTTAGGAATCATCTCCTCTCTATTCCTGAAAATTGTTTTAAACTGTTTCTAACATTATGTTTTGATGTTGTAGCCCAGCCACGGACCTTAGGGTAATAAAGAAAGAATACACCTTCTGCATTTATCAGAAATCAATATTTTAGTGTGATTTGTCCCCACAAAACACTTCATCACAGTTTCTTCCTATCTATTCAAAGGGCCTCTGCTGCACAATAACAAATGTAACTATGTACTGGCTCACTGGAAAAACTTCAGAAACTCATATAGACAGGTGTGTTCAGCTCCTCAGCAGCCCCTCTGCCTGAGTGATAATCCCTGGCATCCTGATACCTGAGTGCCATTCCAGAAATAACAAACCCAGATGAGGACAAAAGGGTGGGATTAACTTGGCTGGGAAACAGGGAAATGTAAATATATTTTTTGTTTGGTGGAGGGCAAGGAGAACCATGGGGCAGGGTCCAGGATGCTCAGATTACTGCCACCAGACCTCCCCTTTCATGATGTAACCATGATGTAACCGTGATGTAGTTTTTGGGGGGTGTAACATGGGGATTAGCAGCTAATAAAAGTTTGGGGGCTCTTTTGTTCGGGGCTTCCATCTTGTCCCACCTGGTGGCAGGTGGGAGTCCGGTCGCGACAGTCTCCAATAAAGACCAAGCCTACTGGCTGCTGTTTTGCTCTGGTATTCCTGGCTGGTGTCCTTGTTTCTTGTCCAAGGGAGCCCTCAGATTTCTCCAATAACAGAGGCAATGGCAGCAGTTTGGCATGCGCTCTTCAGGGTCCATCTCCTCCTCCTTTGTCCACCCCTCAAATCTCACCAAACCCCCTTTCCCTACATTCCATTTACGGCATAAACCTGTGGGGATCTTTGCAACCACTTATCCGCAAAGGATGGAAAGCTGTGCCAGATTTTGAGCAAATTTCTCACATCCTGCCTTTCCCCAGACCAAAGTGATGGTTTGGCACACAAAATGGAGGCTTTGCTTGTCTTGAGGTACTGCAAAAGGCTCCCTGTGGGGAGAAGGTCTTCCTTGGGCTCCTTTCTCCTCGCCCAGGGAGCGCCGAAAGGTCCAAAGGCACCCCGTCTCCTCTTTGCAAGAGCGATCGGCTAACCTGTCTCCGCCTTACGCTCTGTCTTGTTGGGGCAGACCCCTTAATTCGAAGGCCTGGTGGTCTGGGGGTCCCGTGAGGGTCTCTGCCTTGGTTTGCGATGGCCGGGAGCAGGAGAAGTAGTCCGGCAAGGTGAGAAGGGTCGCGCTGCCCGCCAGGAGGAACGCTCCGGCCGTGAGGAAGGAGGCGGTGTAATTCCCCGTCATGTCTCTCAGCCAGCCTGGAACGTAAAAGGTGGTCTTAGCTTTTGAGCTTATTGGCATTGCCCTCTGGTAAAAGATCGTAGGAAGAGCCCTGCCGGGTCAGGCCAATGGCCCATGTAGCTGTTCTCACAGTGGGAAACCCAGCAAGCAGAATTTAAACACAAGAGCCACTCTCCCCTCATGGGGTTTTTTGCACGTGGCTTGGGAGAAAAGCAATGACAAACCTAGACAGCATCTTGAAAAGCAGAGACATCACCTTGCTAGCAAGGGTCCGTATAGTTAAAGCTATGGTTTTCCCAGCAGTGATGTATGGAAGTGAGAGCTGGACCATAAAGAAGGCTGATCGCCGAAGAATGGATGCTTTTGAATTCTGGTGCTGGAGGAGACTCTGGAGAGTCCCATGGACTGCAAGAAGATCGAACCTATCCATTCTGAAGGAAATCAGCCCTGAGTGCTCACTGGAAGGACGGATCCTGAAGCTGAGGCTCCAAGACTTTGGCCACCTCCTGAGAAGAGAAGACTCCCTGGAAAAGACCCTGATGTTGGGAAAGATGGAGGGCGCAAGGAGAAGGGGACGACAGAGGACGAGATGGTGGGACAGTGTTCTTGAAGGTACCAGCATGAGTTTGACCAAACTGGGGGAGGCAGTGGAAGACAGGAGGGCCTGGCGTGCTCTGGTCCAGGGGGTCACGAAGAGGTGGACACGACTAAACGACTCAACAACAACAACAACAACAACAATTCGGAAGCATTGCTGCCTCAAACTGTGGAGATTATCCACCCTGGCTAGGAGCCCCTGATAGCCCTCTCCACCACAAATCTGACTTCTTTTAAAGTCACCTAGATTGGTGGCTGTCACTGCCTCATGTGGGAGTTGTTGTTGTTGTTGTTATTTAATACCTATGGGACCGCCTTTCCTAGTATGCCCCATGGAGGACCTTAAGGTCCACAAATGACAACACCTTGGAGGTCCCAGGTTGCAAGGTGGTTAGACTGGTCTCAGCTAAGGCCAGGGCCTTTTCAGTACTGGCCCCGACTTGGTGGAATGCTCTGTCACAAGAGACCAGGGCCCTGCGGGACTTGACATCTTTCCGCAGGGCCTGCAAGACAGAGCTGTTCCGCCTGGCCTTTGGTTTGGACTCAGTCTGACCCTTATGTTTCCCTCCCCTTATGGTTTTGATCTATGGGCTACTTTTAAAATGAGGCTGCACTTTAAATTGCATTTTAAGCTGTATTTTAAATTGTTCCCTCCCCCTTATGTTTTTACTGTAATTTTGCTGGTGTTAGCTGCCCTGAGCCTGGCTCTGGCTGGGGAGGGTGCATTTGTGTATGAATAGGGTGAGCCTGTGACCTGGATTCAGGAACTAGAGTATTAACCACCACAAAATAATGGCCAGGCTGCCCAGGCAGCAGCGTAGCGTGGGTTGTCAGCACCCTGGGCAAGGCAAGTAATTTGCGCCCCCTAACCCCTAACCTGCCGCCGCTGCCAGCTTCTTCTTGCTGCTTCCTGGTCTGGTCTGGTGTGGTTCTCTCCCGTGCTCAGCGCTGCGCTGGGCGGCCGCTGCACTGTCCCTCCCCCAGATAGTCCCTCGCTCTCTCTCTGCACCGCACGCCTGGCACCCCCCCTCCACAGTGGGCGGCGACCCGGCGGCTTGGATCGGATTCGCACAGCCAGCACTGCAGTGAGAGAGAGTGAGTGAGCCAGGTAGGGGCAGAGAGCTGCGAGTGCGAGCGCGCCCCCCCCCAGATGTTGCGCCCGGTGCGGCTGGCCCCCCCTGCACCCCCCACGCTACGCCACTGTGCCCAGGTAAAGCAATCAAGGACCATTATCAGGTATCCTGGCAGGCAGGATTTCTGCTGTAGGCTGCCTCCTTCTGTGATGTATGTATGATGTTTTGGGGGGTGGTCTTGGGCTACAGGGTGGGCAATTTCAAGCGTCTATATAACAGCTTGCGCACCATTGTTCAGGGTTCCTCCTCTTTCCTGCGTGTGGTGAGCGGGGGATCCTGCTGCAAAAGTTTTATAAAGATCAGGCTTACTAGCCGCTTTACTTCTCAATGTTCTCTGCTTGGCCTCTGTTATTTTCTCCTACTGATAGGGAACCCACTTAAGGACTCTTGGATACACCATAAGGGAAAAGGAGCAGGTTTTTCTTATAACATGAGTGACACACTCCATCCTCTGAATTGCCCTTCTCCGAACCTTTCCCACCCCTTTTCGGTACCCTTTTTGAGGCGAGGCCACCAGAACCGTCCGCCAAAGAGCCCTCGGAAGCCTGGGAGCAAGGGGAATAAACCGGAGCCCTTTACCTGACAGAGGGGTCCCCACCAGAGCCCCCACGCTCTCCAACATGTGCATGAGGCCGATACCCCCCAGTACCGAGTCGGCACCCACGATTTCTGCCAGGCTAGCGAACTGGAGAGGGACGAGGGCGCCGGCGAAGAACCCGTAGCAGAGGCCGAGGGACACCAGAGCAGCGAAGCCGTGCCCCAGGGGCACCAGAGCGAGCGAGACCCCCGTGAGGACAGTCCAGAGGGTCAGGTGGTGGACGAGGCGGCAGCAGACGGCGGTATCTGCCAGCCAGCCTGCCCAAATCCGGCCAAACATGTCCGCCACGGCGGCGGCGGCCATGATAAAGGCGGCTTGGTATTCGTCGCAGCCCTCTTCCCTTGCGTGGGCCACCAGGTGGGCGTAGGGGACGAAGTAGCCGGCGTCAACCAGGACGAAGGCCAAGACGTAGCGCAGGAAGCGTCCCTGGCGGAGTAGCTCCAGGGCGAAGAGGGAAGCCAATGTCTGCCGCCATTTTGAATCCTGGGCCTGGAGGTCCGGCTGTCCGTCTCCCTCCATGGTCAAGGGCCTCAGAAGCGCGGCGGACGCCACCAGGTTGAGGGACATGGCCGAGACCACCAGCAGCGCCCCTCGCCAGCCGTACGAGTCCGCCAGGAGCTGGAAGAGCGGGGAGAAGACCAGCGAGGAGACGCCGGCGCCCGAGACCGCCAGCCCCATGGCCAGAGCCCGGCGCTTCTGGAAATAATCGGAGACAGCGGCCGTGGAAGGGGTGAACACCAAGGCCCAGCCGAACCCTGTGGTTGGGGGGGGGGAGAAAAGCAGGCGGTGAGATCAGGCAGTGGATCGCAGAATCGCAGGCTTGGAAAGGGGACTCCTGCAGGTCATCTAGTCTGACCCCGGCTCGGCACTGCCGGTGCAGTGACCGGCAGTAACTAACTGCTCTCCGGGCTGCCAGACATTGGCGGGGATTGAATCAGGTGCCTTCTGCTCTATCTCTGAGCTACAGCCAAACCCCCTGGAAATAAAGCAAGCTTGTAGTCCTCATGGATCCAGATAAATGGGTGGGTTAGATAGGGACAGGGATGGAGAACCCGCAACCGGTCTCCAGGGGTCGTTGTTGGACTCTTGACAGCTAACATTAAATAAGTTGGAGCTCTTGTTATTAAATATACCAAGAAAAAAGCACACCAAGAACTCAGGCCAATATAAATTTCAGTAGTGGGAGATTACAAACACAAACAGAGATTACAAGATTATATCCAGTTATGGATCAGAAACCAGTAAATTCATGAATTTACTGGTTTCTGTTCCATAGTTGGATATACATATCCTTATGAGTTTGAGTTTGTAATCTCTGCTTGAGTTTGTAATCTCTATTTGAGTCTGAAATCCTTGTCAGAATACATACTTTTGAATGGATTAGTTTTTGTTACAATTGACTATTGATTTGCCAGTAGGGACCACTCCCACCCCTGAAACTTATATTGGCCTAGGTTCTTGGTGTGCTTCTTTCTTGGACTGACAGCTGGCAGACCCAGCAGCCAGCATGCCTTGTGGTCAGGAAGGATGGGAAGAGTCGTATTAGCAGCATCAGGGACTGGGATGGGTTCCCCATTGCTGACCCTATAGCCCCCTTTCCCACATACCATGAGAAGGCTTTTTTTTGGGGGGGTGGACTGTCCCTTTCCAATTCTTCATGTGGGATGTGAAACACAAGAGCAGTCAAGTACAACATTCCTAGAGTTTACACATGGGAGGAATGTTTGTCCAGCCAGCAGGTAAACTTCCTGTTTCCTTCTGGGCTGGGACAGACTTCCTCTGCATGTGACTAAAGGTGGGCGTGGCCTCACCTGTGCAGGTAAGGACAAAAGCACAGGGCAGGGCAGCCATCTCTCTCTCTTTGACTACATGCATCAAAGAAGCAACATCTGCTTAGCCAAAGATGCCCTCAAGAGAGGACAAAGGGACTGTCTTCTTATGAGATAGTTTCTAGGTATATGTTAGTTTTCTAAGCTAAGTCTGCCTTCTGGGATCCTATTGTGAACAGAATGATGTGTGAGTAAACCTTTTTTTATACCTTTGTAGAAGACCGTGTCATGTCTTATCTTTTATGAGGGATTAAGGGGAAAATACCAGAACAGTTATTATAGAGGCTTTAGTGAGCCTGAGCAAATGCATCCGCTGCAAGCTTAAAAAGGGGAATGTTACTCTGCTAAATTGTGGAACTTGTTAACACAAGTTGCAAAAGGATATAACCAAACAAGATATCCTCTTCTTCACCCCTGAAAAATATATCCTCTACTGAACATTCCCACACTTCAGTTCTTCCTCTCCTCTTGCTTAGGGAATGGATGAGGGACCATTTTCCCATAGGCCTAGCACACCAATGTGAATGTGTGTCCAAACTAACCTACGCTTGTGGGCATCCTTCTGTTTCAATAAACATCATCATCATCATCATCATCATCATCATTAATACCCTGCCCATCTGGCTGCGTTTCCCCAGCCACTCTGGGCGGCTCCCAACAGTATATTAAAAACACGATAAAACGTCAAACATTAAAAACTGCCCTAAACAGGGCTGCCTTCAGATGTCTTCTAAAAGTCAGCTAGTTGTTTATTTCCTTGACATCTGATGGGAGGGCGTTCCACAGGGCAGGTGCCACCACCGAGAAGGCCCTCTGCCTGGTTCCCTGTAACTTCGCTTCTCAAAGTGAGGGAACTGCCAGGAGGCCCTCGGCGCTGGACCTCAGCGTCCGGGCAGAACGATGGGGGTGGAGACTCTCCTTCAGGTCTACTGGGCTAGGTATACTACTGTACAAAGGTGAGCATTTGCATCCATTGTCCTAACAACCTTTCACCCTGACCCTGCCCATGTGGCCCTTGAAAGGCTGCCCATTTGAGAATGCGGCCCTCAATCTGGAAAAGCATCCCGCATCCTGCCCCCCCACCCGGCTTAGAAGAAGGCGCACCTGAGATGAGGCCGATGCTCAGGTAAAGGTGAGAGATCTTGACGGAGAACGAAGCCAGCAGCAAACCTAGGCTAGCGAGGAGGCCTCCGGCCATCACCACTGGGCGTGCCCCGTACCGGGCGCTGAGGGCGCTCCCCATCGGACCTGTAGGGGGCAGCACACGCATAAGCGGCAAGTTTCTCTTACAGTCGGCAGGAGTTGAGCTTGCTCGATCAATGAAAAGGAGCTGAGCTGCTGGATCAATGCAAACGTTCAGCTCCCTCTGTCGCAGGTTACACAATCCCACGTGATTAATGTATGGCGCTGTGGGTTAAACCACTGAGCCTAGGGCTTGACGATCCAGAAGGTCGGCGGTTCGAATCCCCACGACAGGGTGAGCTCCCGTTGCTCGGTCCCTGCTCCTGCCAAGCTAGCAGTTCGAAAGCACGTCAAAGTGCAAGTAGATAAAGAGGTACCACTCCGGCGGAAAGGTAAACGGCGTTTCCGTGCGCTGTTCTGGTTCGCCAGAAGCGGCTTAGTCATGCTGGCCACATGACCCGGAAGCTGTACGCCGGCTCCCTCGGCCAGTAAAGCGAGATGAGCGCCGCAACCCCAGAGTCGTTTGCGACTGGACCTAATGGTCAGGGGTCCCTTTACCTTTACCTAGGGAGTTGAGGGTGGCTGGCCATTGCCCAGTTTTTAAAAAACTCTGCGCATTTATGTTTCACAGGGTGCGAAAGAAGGGCTTTGCACCTTTATACAATATGCACGTGTGCTTGGGCCCAGGGCCTTTTGCCTCACCATTCCCACTACTGACTCCCTGTTGCTACTCAGCTTCAAAAGAAAAAAGAAAATAAGTGTCCATGGATTGATTGAAACAAATCTGGTAACCATAGCCTAGAATAGCGCCAGCTTTTTTTGCTGCTGCATCACGCTGCGGACTCATGTTCAGATTGTGGTCTGCTGAGACCCCTCAAAAATATTTTACGAGCACTGAGCCACGACCCCTTCCCAATGGGCGCCGGAGCCCATAAACACCTTTAACAGGTTCCCCATCCCTGGTACATAAAGAGCCGTTTCCTCGCCGCACGGCATAGGCAGATGTATCCAAATTACTGTTTAACTTTTATGACGCTGGCTGTGCATCGAAAGCAACGTTGGAAATAACCCGGCTGCTTTCTGATTCCTCCCTGACTCTGGGACTGGGGTTGTAAGAGCGGAGAGGAGTCGGCCGTCCCAGAGCCGGCACTCAAATCTCCACGCTGGAGAAGACCCCCGAAATCTGGAACGCCCCTTACTCGCAAATTGCAGGATGGCGACGCCAAGAGACAGGGCCCACGAGACAGTGCTTGTGGATTCCTTGAAGTGAGCCACAAACTCGACGAAGAAGACCCCGAAGGAGCGGATCACCCCAAAGACCAGGGCCGTTTGCACAAAACCTGCCAGGACTACCATCCATCCCCAGCTGCTGTCAGGATGCGTGCGAAGGGCCATGGAGTCCTCTTCCTTTGCAGAGGTGAGGGGTCTTTGAAAAGAAATGAGAGAATGGAAAGAGAATTAAATTGGTGGCGAGTTACTGTGCATAAGAACAGTGCCTGATTTATGTGTAAGATAAACGAGCTCTAGCTTATGGCCCCAGTCTCTTGGGGGGCCCCCAAAAAATTAAAGGGGGGAAAAACTGGATGTACATTTCCAAAATATAAGATTAAAAACAAATAAAATAAAACCTACATACAGCAAGAGTGTTTTGTGTTGTGTAGGCTCCCATTTTGTTATGTTTAAATGGCTTTAGATACCTATTAGGTCCATAAATTACCATATAGCATATAGGTAAAGGTAAAGGGACCCCTGACCGTTAGGTCCAGTCGCGGACGACTCTGGGGTTGCAGCGCTCATCTCGCTTTACTGGCTGAGGGAGCCGGCGTACAGCTTCCAGGTCATGTGGCCAGCAGGACTAAGCCGCTTCTGGCGAACCAGAGCAGCGCACGGAAACGCCGTTTACCTTCCCGCCGGAGCGGTACCTATTGATCTACTTGCACTTTGACGTGCTTTCGAATTGCTAGGTGGGCAGGAGCAGGAACCGAGCAACGGGAGCTCACCCCGTCGCAGGGATTCAAACCACTGACTTTCCGATCGGCAAGCCCTAGGCTCTGTGGTTTAGACCACAGCGCCACCCGTGCACAATTCACAATTCAACACAAAAAAGCGACAATTTGTTGTTGACATATAAAGGGTCCCGTTACCTTCCGTAGCTTAGGGCCTCATCAAACCTAAATCCAGCTCTGTCTAAGAATAGCAGAACTTGGCCGCTGGATCCGGCATACTGTCCACCCAGATGCTTTTTGTGGAAAGCCCACCGTCAGAATTCGAACACAATTCTCTTGCCTCCTGCAGCTTCCAGCAACTGGGATTCAAAAGCTTGGCTTCCTCCAACCATGGAGGCAGAGCATAGCCATTCTGGGTAGTAGCCATCAAATGGCCCCCTGGATAGCTCAGTTGATTAGAGCGTGGGGCTGATGATGCCGAGGTTGCGGGTTCGATCCAGACTTCATATTCCTGTATTGCAGGGGGTTGGACTGGATGGGCCCTCTTCTAATTCTACAGTTCTACGATTCCCCTGTGGGACGTGGGTGGCGCTGTGGTCTTGCCGATTAGATGGTCAGCGGTTCGAATCCCTGCAACGGGGTGAGCTCCTGTTGCTTGGTCCCTGCTCCTGCCCACCTAGCAGTTCGAAAGCATGTCAAAAGTGCAAGTAGATAAAGAGGTACCGCTCCGGCGGTAAGGTAAACGGTGTTTCCGTGCGCTGCTCTGGTTCGCCAGAAGCGGCTTAGTCCTGCTGGCCACATGACCTGGAAGCTGTACGCCGGCTCCCTCGGCCAATAAAGCGAGATGAGCGCCGCAACCCCAGAGTCGGCCACGACTAGACCTGATAGTCAGCGGTCCCTTTACCTTTACCTTTACCTTTACTATGATTCTCCTCCATGAATTTGTCCAATCCTCTTTTAAAGCCTTCTAGAGCGGGGGCAGGGAGTTCCACAGATTAACTAAGCACTGTGTGAAGAAGGGCTTTATTTTGCCTTTCCTGACTCTGCCAACAGGGAGCTTCATGGGACATCCATGAGTTCCAGCATTAGGGGAGATGGATAATTCCCCCCTCCCCTTCTATCCACTTTCATAATGCCATGTATTGTTTTATAACCTTCCATCACTTCTTACTCACCTTTTCTCTAGGGGAAATCATTTTAATTTATTGCAATTATTCTTTGCATTTATATTCCACCCTCAAATGCCTGGCTCTCCCTTCCTCGCTTAATCCCTGTGAGTTTGATTAGGCAGAGAAGCAGCGCTCGACCTGAAATGTCACTCAGTCAGTTTCATGGGCATAGTGGGGATTCGAACCCAGCTCTCTCAGGCCCTAGTCCAGGGGTAGGCAACCTAAGGCCCATGGGCCACAAGCGGCCCACGGGAGTTGTTTAACTGGCCCTGAACCAAGCTGCCTGCTCAGTGAGTCCCCGCGCGCTGCGCTAAAGTGGTGCAGCGCAGCACAGGGACTCACTTCCGCAGCGCTGGAAATTGCGCCTGTGCAGACGCAGACGTTGGAAATCGCGGCTGTGATCCGGCCCACAGAGGGATCTCCACTGGAGTGAACCGGCCCAGGCGAGGTAAACCTTGCCGACCCCTGTCTGATGCTCTAACCACTGCACGATACTGCCTCTCATTGTAGAACAGCTAATAAAGTAGAATGACGTGTCCAACATAGATCTGTTGATAATGCACTTCTGTTGCTGTAGTAGCCTTGCAGAAAAGAACCACAAATGCACACTCCCCACCACTGGAAAAGCACAGAAATCAAACTATACGCCTGATAAAATTAACCACGCAGCTGATCTCTCCAGGGCTCCAGCTGTACTTCTTCCCCTGCTCCTAGGACTTGCCGATCAGAAGGTCGGCGGTTCAAATCCCCGCAATGACGGGGTGAGCTCCCGTTGCTCAGTCCCTGCTCCTGCCAACCTAGCAGTTCGAAAGCACGTCAAAGTGCAAGTAGATAAATAGGTACCACTCCGGCGGGAAGGTAAACGGCGTTCCCGTGCGCTGCTCTGGTTCGCCAGAAGCGGCTTAGTCCTGCTGGCCACATGACCCAGAAGCTGTACGCCGGCTCCCTTGGCCAGTAAAGCGAGATGGTCACCGCAACCCCAGAGTCGGTCACGACTGGACCTAATGGTCAGGGGTCCCTTTACCTTTACTCACCCTTCCACCAGAAGTCGTTGTCCCGGCCAGCACAGCCGCAGGAGATGAAATTCTGGACTGGAGTTTTTCTGTCCTCACCCTTCCAAGAAATCTGGGGCTTTCGAGCATTTGGCGGAGAATCTGGGCCTCACCCCAGAGGCACCGTCTCGGCCAGGACAAAGTCTCCTCTGCCTGTGTCCTTAAATCATCTTCACTCCTCACCCAATAGACTTCTTCATTTGTGCAACTCTGTTTTTCCAGAAACCAGAATCGATGAGGTTGCCTACGTCTGCGCGCTGGGATCTGAGTGATTTGAGTGTATGGACTTGGGCTGCGTCCAATTCCAGGACTCGGACCTGTTTGGAAGCGTTTTCCTTTGAGGCTTGGGAGCCCGAGGAATTTGTGGGGGTTTTTTTAGTCAATCTTTATTGAGTTAAAATGAACACATCCATGCAGTATTTGGCATTAGAAGCTTACAACATAAGAAAGAAAGAAAAGGAAAATGCAAGATAAGGACAATGTATAAAAATCAAGGAAAAGAGAAGTGGGGAAAAACATACGTGATTGTGGAATTCCTCAACATTAAGCATTTTGTTAATGCAATGATTATTCACACAATTAGAAATAAAAAGTGCTGCAAACATTTAAAAAGACTTCCAAGTATTCTCATTGTATTTTATTTGTTATATACATTATACCACACAGTTACCTGTTTCTTGTGATTTTTTATTATACCTCAGTTGCCTTTTATGAAATTCAAGGATCAGTCCAATTCTGCCAGGAGATTTCTGTTTACACCATAGTTTTTAAAGTCTTCTTTATATATTCTCCATTCCTTATAGACTCTCTGTTTCGTCAGACCTCTAACTCTTCCTGTCATCTTTACCCGAGGATTTTGGGTGGGCGATACGTACGGGCCGTAAGTTGCCCGGC